ACCCTAACCCTAACCCTAACCCTAACCCTAACCCTAACCCTAACCCTAACCCTAACCCTAACCCTAACCCTAACCCTAACCCTAACCCTAACCCTAACCCTAACCCTAACCCTAACCCTAAAGCTGCTAATAAGGTGCTCCTTTACCTCTACAAAACCTAAAGAATTACACTTTAAATAAAAGGAGAAGATAGATTTAAGGTAGTAAGTAATGCTTTATTTGCTAATAATACAATAGATAGAAGAAGTTCTTAAAAATACGCAATTAAGCTATTTAGAAGACTTATTGCGTAGAAGGCAAATAAACAAGACACTATTACTACATTAATAACTAAAGCTAAGTTACTTGCTCTTGCTTAAGTAGCTAAAGAATTAATGTATATTAAAAGGCTTATGCTAGAACTAAAGATTAAACTACTAGAAGCAATTAAAATATAATGCAACAATTAGCAAACAATACGTTTGCTAATAGAAAAACTTACAAAGCTTGTTACTAAGCTACGCTATGTAGATATCTACAATTACTAGCTAAGGCAAGCAGTAAATTATAATAAAATTACTATAATCTACTATTTAACTAGTAAAATAATTACTAATAGATTTACTAAGGCATTAGCACTAAATAAATAGGCTCCCTTTCTATCTTAACTTAGATTAGAAACGGTAGAAAACTACAAAACAAAGAAAGCTCTTAACCTATCTACAAAAAAAACCTAATTAAGTAAGTTGTTTCTAGCTTAACTAATTTAGAATACTACAGAATTATTAAAAGTTACTGTAGAATTGCCTAGGTTAGCTAAACTAAAGAGGTGTGTTAAATAAGAAGCAATAAATTACTGTAAACTACAGTAGAGTTACAATAAGGCTTAATTAGGCTAAGAGAACTCTGCTAATCTAACTAGATTATATTAGAATAAGTAGTGCAATTTATAAGTAAGAGTATAGCTATGTAATAAATAGGTGTGCACCTGTGTACACTAGCTCCCTACCTAGGGTAAGAGGGGGTATAGCAAAGTTATAAGGTCTAAAGAGACAAAGAATCAATTATCAATTTCTATTATAATAGTTATTACTATAAATTACTGTAATATCTAACAGCTTTTTGCGTTCTGTAGTGCAGGCGCGCAAGTATTCTAGATTGCTAGCTCTATTGTAACTCTACTTTAACCCTAACTATATTTTATAAATCTGCCTAGAATTAGTTTAAATGCTGTAGATGTATTAAGCACATGTATAAAAGAAAATGTTATATAGAGACAAAGTACTCTAGAGCTCTGTATGTAAATGCATTAGTAGGGTTAAAATAAGCGATTCCGTAGGTGCGCCGTAGCTGAATACAGAATGCAACCCTAACGCTAAACCTGTTTTAGTATAATATACACACGATTTACCCCCCGAATCGCGCCTTATATTAGTTAGGGTTTAGTTATTGTAGTTAGGTCGCTCAACTGTATATTCTTTTTTATTATTGTCGAATAATACTCTTGCAAAATGCACGAGGGCCGTTTTAAATCAAGGCCCTCGACTGCCTAGCCATGAAGTCCTCAAATTCGGGACTAAGCTTTGGCCACTAATGCATCTCGTCATGACTGATTAGTCACTTATGAGAAAGCAAACATATCTAGGTCGGGTAGGAGAAGAGTAGACAATATTTCCATGGTTTCCAAGCAGCTATGGCAGGCACTGGGGCTAGGACATAGCTTCAACATTTTCGAAGAATATTTGGCAGTGCATTCTACTCAATTCTTCCCCAAATACTCAGTCAGCAGTCGAGAGTCGTGAGCGTGGTTGACTTAGCTATCCGGAAAGGCCATTAGAGTGCTGTGCTAGTCCACTCGTGCGTCCATACACGGTGCGCGTTTGCTCATTGTCTCGTAGTATACGGGACCGCTAAAAAGCGCAAGCAAGCAACCTAGTGGCATAGATAACGGTAGCGCTGTCGCAGCCCTATATGCTTCACGGCTTTAATACTTACAGTCACCCGGTCAGAGAATCAGGGTGAGCATCATCGATTGCCAGTTACCACCAATGGCTGGCAATGTTCTTCTTCCTACGATGATCAGCTTCGCTGCCACAAGATTGCAATTGCTTACTACCATGGCACAAGACTACGCCCACATGCTCACAGTATTAAACGAGCAGCTGCATCGACTATTGATGCAAATTAAGGATTATAACCCCTAGACTTTGCACACATGAATGGCGTCCAGAAGGCCAGCTGTTGCCTCGCAGGGCAGCCTGGCATCCTTTGGGTGCACTGATTCGGTCACTGCCACGCCACCGAATTATGGTGCTCGATCTGCTGGGCAATTGGTTGCAGAGGCTTCTTTTCTCCCTAGTAGACGTGACCTTGCTAGCTGCTCAGCTTCTCTATCGCATTGAATCCGTTCACAGCAGGTTGCTCCTCCACCGCGACATTAAATCTACCAACATGGGGACGGATCTACGTGGTGGCATTGGGGTGTACCTGATCGACTTGGGCCTTGCGAAGAGATTCGTCCACCCGGGTACCGGGTTGCACGTCCGCAAGCGCAAGATTGGCGATTTCGTTGGCACCTCTCGCTACTCCAGCGGCAACGCTCACAACGGCTACGGTGCGCTCCGTCCAACCTCACGTGTCTGGAGAGTCGCTGACAGCCCACAGTGCAGTCCCGCCGAGATGATGTCGATCCTTTGGGGTATGCCCTCGTCGCAGATAAGTAGCGACCACCTACAGGGGGTCGTAGATCGGGAGGTCACATATCAGGAGGTTATCTGCTTTACTAGACATCAACTAATTAGCATTCAACGGAGGAGATGAACTGCACATGTGATAGGTTGGACAACGGAGTTAAGACGGACCTCCCAATATGTGACCTCCCGATGTACGGTGCCGTGGTATTTTCAACACACCATCTCAGTGAAATATCAAAGAATGCTAAGCAGTCTTGTCGCTTGGCAGCCCAGCTTTGTCTTTCTCTGGGCATTGCCATCGCCATACCTTGACTTATTTCCCTTATTACCGCTTAGCCTAGAATACACAGATGCACTGTATATGTAGTTCGTTTACACTTCTTAAAAAAGTATAAGTCCATATGATAAGCGAGGCGGGTAACGGGAACTAGACTTAGCTTGAGATTGGCAGCGGGAGCTGATGGGGGGGGAAGGGGGCAGAGAACGCCCTACTCCTTAGATTTTTGGCGCCCCTACACCAAATCATCAACCACACAATCAATAATTATGAAAAGGAAAAGTCCTATAGAAGCCGTCCTAAAACACAGCCTCGTGGCATTAGAATTAAAATCTACGGTCCGATTGTAGAGTTATAAGTAAGTAGTAACAATCAAGAGATGTTTAACGTTCAAAATTGCGCCGCACGCCAAGAGCGTTGGCGTAGCTTTAGAAAGTCAATTTCTACGCTATACTCAACTAGGGCAATGGAGGACAAACAAGCTGCATCCTTTTTCTCCAGGATATGAGTCACGTGCATGTCACAACAGGAGAACATTATCGACCAGAGATGAACCCTACAGCAAGCCGTGCGATTTAGAACTCAGCGTCGCGATCTTGCATTGTTAGTGATGCTTCTTACGGATATTTAATTCTTATCTCTTGCATATGCCATTCTCCATGTGCGTCATTATTCTCACTCCTAATCTCACGCGCCGAAACTGCCGTCAGCAATCATAGAATGTCAGCAAAGTACGCACTCTACCCGAGGTCTCCCCCCATCTTACACTCGGATTACCAATGGGAATGAATAGTAAGAAACCACTTCGCCTAACCTTGCTGCATGTTCAATACATATGTGCATTAGCCTAATTTCTCCTCAAGCCTTGCCTATGCGACTATGCGAGCTCTTTTGGTTCTTGATTACGACAGCAATCCCCCTAAGGCTGAAACCATTCAATGAGCATCTTGAGCCAACTGACATACTAATCCGCAGCTTTCCTTTCTTCTCCTCTTACTCAAAGTGGGCCCGTTTCCCAGGGTGAACATCTGAACTGCCACATTCATTTAAATGGTCCCTTCTTCATTGTAGGATTAACCGATAATGAAACTTATAGGAAATGCAGTAAGAAAACGCCCTGGGAAAGCAACTGGCAAATTTCCACCAATGTCGCGTCTTCCAAAAACAAATCTATCGGGAAGGTGGATCTTTATGCCCAATGGTTGATTCCCGTGGTTTGTCTTCAGATTCTCCCGGAAGGATGAATACTAACCAGGCTGGGAAGAAAAATGGCAGATTGCGGCGTCTTATCTCTCAGTCTGTGAGACATGACGTGACTCAATCGGTAGAATATGGGGATCCGTCAAAGTGATCAACCACTTGCACTTGGTTGGAATGCGGGTGGTGTCAGCATTCCCACCATATGTGGCAGCTGACCCGGATCCCTGATATGCAATCCACTGAAAGAAAGTCTTTGACTTTAACGATCAATTTAAGTACAGCACACGCTGACGAATGTCAAAACTTGACCCAGGTTTAAGGACGGATCATTCCCGCGACCCCACTCTTGCTTAACAATTGTCAATTGTGGTCGCACGGAAAGCTGTTACAGACAATGGCTGAGTATATAATGAAGTAGAGGGTATGAAACATGCTTCTGGAGCATCAATCTAGTTTCAAAGTTCTTTGTTCTTTCGCAATGGCGCAAAATGCCATACTTTTAGCCACGGCGGGCGTCTTGTTTCTTGTATACGTAGCTGGTCAATATCGCCGCCGCTCTAAACTCCCACCTGGACCACCGGGGCTCCCTTTGCTGGGAAATCTCCTTCAAGCACCCAGTTCCTCCCCATGGGTGAAGTTCCAAGAATGGAATCAACAGTATGGCCCGCTTGTCAGCGTCACCTTTGGTAGTAACATCGTGATTCTTGTCGGCGACTACGACATGGCCAAGGACTTGCTGGATAAACGCTCTGCCACATATAGCGCACGTCCTCGTATGGTTATGGCCGGAGAGTTGATGTGTAAAGATCAATATATGCTACTTCGACAACCCACTGAAAGATATCTGCTGCATCAACGGTTGGAGTCTCCAGTACTGAGTTCCAGAGCTGCACCATCATACGAACCAATACAAGATATGGAGAGCATGGTACTGGTGCATAACTTGCTACGGAGTAACAATGTCAAGAAGTACCTGGAGATATATGTCGCCAGCGTCGCTTATATTCTAATGTACGGCTTCCGTATCATAACCAATGATGAGTGGCAGATGCACGCTGCACACGAAGTATTACAGAACTTCGTCAATGCTGCGCAACCTGGTGCTTGGCTTGTCGACACTATACCAGCGCTCCAATACTTGCCTACGTTCCTCGCCCCCTTTAAAAGACACGCCGAGGCCCATTATCAAAAGACAACAGACCTACACATGCGCAACATGAAACAAGGCTTGGATAGCAAGAGCTGGAACTGGTCAAAAGACTTTTGCGCCGCGAAAGAGGCTGCAACTATGTCTCAAGAAGAGATTGCTTGGGATCTCGGCGTTTTGCAAGACGCAGCAATCGAAACGTCAGACGTCTTCTTGCAAATATTTATGTTCGCTTGCATCTCCCAACCGGACTTCATGGCCACTGCACAAAAGGAGATTGATGGAGTAGTGGGACCTGACGGATCACGCATGCCAGGCTTCGCGGACATGGAAAGAATGCCATATATCAGTGCCATTGTCGAAGAACTCTTTCGCTGGCGGCATGTCATGCCGGGTGGAGTCTCACACGCTTCATCAAAAGACGATTGGTACAACGGGTATCTTATTCCTAAAGGGGCAACTGTAATCCCTGTGTGGAAGACAATGCGCGAAGACACCGGCCGATACGAGAACCCAGCGGAGTTCCGCCCGGAACGTTGGCTGGGGGTGAAAGGACAGCCAAATAACTGGGGCTACGGCAGAAGGATCTGTGCAGGGCGCCACATCGCAGAAAGAACGGTTAAGATTGCGGTGGCAAGAATTCTTTGGGCGTTCCACGTGCGACCAGCCGACGGGAAGAAGGTTGCGATGGACGAAAGCTTATTTGCTGGAGGCTTTGTATCAAACCCTTACAACCTGGATGTTGTTTTTGAACCCCGAAGTGACACTCACAAGATGGTTATAGAGGAAAACTTCAGGACGGCGGAAAAAGACCCCGATAATATCATGGCGGGCGTTTTCGATTCACAGAACAAGAATGGGTTTAAGATGAGGAGCACTTAGATGCATCAATGCGGCGCGGAAGCAACATCCATGCGACAACCCATGTCGTGTCACACTTTATTCAACATATCTTATTGAGTCCTAGCACACAGCCTTCCGCATGCTCTTCTTAACGCGGCATGTGTAGCTTGTATTTCAGAATTAAGAAGGGCTTTCCAAAGAGGAGATGCAGGAGTTGGTCCCATTTTTTAACAGGGGTTTAGTACGGGAACGAATCAATTAGATAATAAAGCCCGTGCGCCTACACTACTAGACTATAAGTAAGTTATACTATATAAATCACCGCTACGCTTAATCATAGGCTCATAATGACTCATCACTTTCGTAATAACCACGGAACATGAGCCCTGCCTAGAGCCCTGCCTAGAGCTCAACGGCAGATTTATTGTATTTTTTAATACGTAGTGTTTGTGCCGTAAGCAATATGCGATGATTAAATAGTATACTTAATAATATGCTCATACCACTAGTAATATTGAACTACTTGTTTTCAGCGTATTTCTGTTTACATGAAGCGTAGTCAGCGCTTATTACATATGTATCTAACTTACACGTTTCTAGGAGAGGTTAGTGTACAGAAATGCGGCGTTTTGCTATACAGTTTAGCAACTAAACCCATCGAAACTAGTTCTAGAAGATAGATCAACTATAGATCGTTAGGCATCTGCATATACGCGAGATGCATAAATAGATTTGCTTATCTACGTTGTTGCTTGTCGTAGCTCTCAATCTTTCTTTTCTTCCTGACTGTTCCGCTACTCTTCTAGTTACTATCTTCCAGCGCTCGTGCGCAGCAAAGGTTGTCTTTACTTCTAGAACCAAGAGGGTAAAAAAAAGTGGACTTCTCTTTAGGGGTCTCGACGCCCTCTCTGATCCAGAGTGTCAAGGTAGGTCTAATTCACGCAAGAGATATTTGCAATAGTGTCTGAAACATCCAGAAATTTAGGTATAAAAGGAGTCGGGTATGGAAGTTTCATCTTATGATAAGTTAATACTGTGAGCCTATGCCGTAGTATGTGATATTAAGACAATTACGGGACAAATATTAGGCGCATTCATGCGTACAAGCTTGGACTATAGGTTGTCTTATTTTCTTTAATAGCAGCATGCCAGTGGTGATAAGCGATTCCTATAGCATAGAATTTTCGGCTTGAAGTAGTGCGCAAAAGTAAATTATTTCTAGAGCTCAGTTACATTACATAAGGTAATAGAACGCCCATTCCAGATCGCGTGTAGGATAGGATAGCTCCCAAACCTAGCCTATACCAACTAAATCAGAGGGCAACGAGCGTAGAATGGTTCCTCAGTCTCAACACCACAGATATCTCTGGTCCGTACATCTCCCTTGGATCGTTGGGACGTTGTACACTTGCCTACGTCAAATGCGCAGTCAATTAACTGAATGTACACCATCATTGTATTCTTGGATAACCTGTCACCTGGAATCCAAAAATCCTCTTTCTAGTACACGCGTAATTTGCGCTGCCTTGCAGAATGAAAGAAAGAGCACTAATGATACAGATAACCCTACATCTGTAATCAATATTGTGAACTAACAGTCTTTGAAGCTCCCCACTTTCATCGATGGATCTAGAGAGAAGTTCGTCACAGCTTTGCAAACCATCCCAAGCAGCATCTCCGCCTGTTCGAAACTGAGAATATGCGTGTTCCCCTGTAGAACGATTCTCAGTCCATCCTCCTGATGGTAGGAAACTAGAGTTATCTGCCGCTGAACAAACGACGGATTGTTGAACCATCCAACTTTGACATTCGTGTTTGCGAAGCGAAACTCGGGTCGCTCATCCACGTTTTGATGCTGAACTAATGTAGGAACAGCCGCGTCAACCGGCCAGTCTGTACATTGTTTGACTATATCGTCTAATCCCATGGCGTCACACTCTCCGAGAGAGGCTTGCTGTGTGTGAACAGACTGCAACAGCTGTTTCAATGTCGTATCCGGCCCAACTTGCGCGCGAACGGGGACGATATTCAAACAGGGGCCTGCAATCTCTGAGATGTGAAGTATGTTTGAGTTACGTCCGGCGACTAAGTAGCCGTATACAACATCATCGGTTCCGCTGAAAGATGCAAGTACTAATGCCCAGGCAGCGCTGACAAGGGAAGCAATGGTGTTACCTTTGGGAGGCTCAGGCATGCCGATCACCTTTTCGAATCGGACGTTTTTGGGGGAAATCTCCAGTCGCGCAGAATTTTCCACGGGCATAGTCTTGCTGACATCTGTCAGAGTTGAGCCTCTGAGCAGATTTGTCCAATATTGAGCCGATGTCGATTGCCGCTTCTTTGCATATGCCAGATATCCTGCAAAGCTTGATAGGACACTTACGGGCTCATGCTGATAGAGCGAAGCAAGAGCGCTGAGCAATATTGGGAGAGATATGCCGTCGTATTGTGCATGGGATAGCCGCATTATGAGTCGAAGTCCGTAAGTCCCACCCTGCAGAAGCATGAATGAAGTGCCAAGTGCGAGAGGTGACGATTGCTCCAGGTCTTGCATACAGATTGACTGGGACGTCTGTTCGATTGATTTCTCGACACTAAATGTGCCAAATGGTAGCTCAGGACTTCTGAGCACCGCTTGATACATCTGGTGATCATCAAAGACAAATCTCGTGCGAAGAATTGGATAGTGTTCCATTAGTTCACGGCAACTATCTTTGAGTCGCCGAATGTCGATTCGTGGGGTCAGATCAACAAACACGTAATTGAAAGCTTCTAGTGGACATTGGAGCGCTCTTGTAACGTAGAAGCGTTGCATGTAGGTGGTCGGCAGAACTTCGAGGACGTCACTGACTTCAACTTGGTACTGACGACGAAGGCTAGAGATCACAGCCTGTTGTGTATTGGTGGACAAAAGCGGTGATTCCTCGGACTCATCGAGCTCGGGGCTCACCCTGCATATCTTGGCTAGGGTGGCTAGGGAATCATTACGGAGCAAATCCGCGACATTGAGATAAATGTCATGGTTTCGAGCCTCTGCCACAAATCTCATGGCCGCAATGGAGTCGCCACCGAGCTCAATGAAACTGTTGTCTATCCCAATGCTCTCAACCTCTACATTCAGAAGTTGTGACCAAATGCCTTGGAGAAGCCGCTCGACCCTGTTTGACGGCTGATGCTCCCGCCTTTGCTTGTCTTTTGCTCGTGCAGCAACTAACTGCTGAGTAGTAAACGAGGCCCCGATCTTGCGCAACTCCTTCCGATTCATTTTCCCCGATACCGTTGTCGGGAGGCGATCCATGACAAAGTAGACGTCCGGTATCATATATCGTGGCATACGTTCGGCCAGAACCTTTTTTGTTGCATCACTGAGGTTGAAGACTTTTGCAAGTGAATTATCTTTCTCTGTGACAGCAGTGGTGGAAATCATGTCACTATTGGATACCGCTCCCAGTTGAATGAAAGCTGCTAGTATTTTCTCGCCGTGGTTTTCGTCCAGCATAACGATCTCGGTCGCCACGTGCTCAGCCTGTAGTGCGTGACGTACGTTGTGTTCAATTTCTCCAAGGTCAACACGCTGGCCTCGAATTTTAGCTTGGCCATCTTTGCGGCCAATGTAGATCAGGTCGCCATTTGAGTCAAGTCTGACCAGATCTCCGGTTTTGTATATGGTGCCCTGTCGTCCGACTACGGCATGACTGCTACTATTGTCGCCCTCCAAGAGCCAAGTGGGATTCTCGATAAACGCTTTTGCGGTTTTCTCTGAGTCGTTAAGATAGCCGCGGGCTAAAATAGGGCCCTCTATTACCAGCTCCCCGATAGATCCCAGCGGAGCGAGTTTGTCGTGGTCTTTCATATCCACTACCCAACTCGTGGATGCGATCGATTTACCAATCAACCCTGACTTGAAATATGAGCCAGCATGTCCGACGCAGATAACGCAGCACTCAGTAGGCCCATATGCATTATTGGCCTGAACAAGAGTGTCCCATTGAGTCCAATCGGATTTGGCTACCTGTTCGCCGCCTAGAACCAATGTTTTCAGAGAAGGTAAAAGGCTCGGGGTCAGCAGTTTAGCGACTGAGGGGACCAGAAGAGCCCAGTTCACGTTCATTAAACGGATAGCAGCGGGTAAATTGTCTGTTCGATCTTTCTCAGATGGTATGCATACGCACCCACCATGAATTAGGGTCGTGATTATTTCGGTAATGCAAGCGTCGAATGTGTATGATGAAAACTGGAGGGCCCTTGTTTTTCGGTTGAAGCCAAACATTGCACCGTGGCCTAAACAGCTTGTCGAAACAGCTTGGTGCTCAACAATTACACCCTTGGGTACCCCTGTACTGCCTGATGTGAAAATAATATAGGCAGATTGTCGTGGATTTACTATCGGAATTGATGGAAGATATGGAGGCTGTAATTGTTTGATGTTTGCTTCGTTGATGATGACAATGCTTAATAAGGACTGTCGAAACAAAGATGAACATCGGCTAGATGTAAGCACGATCTTCGCTTTCGTCTGCTGAATTATTTCCTGGTGCCGACTGGCGGGATGGTCTGGATCGAGTGGTACAAATGTCCCTCCAGATTTGAGTATCGCTAGTATGGCTACAACCATCCACTTGGACTTCTCGAAACAGACAGGCACAGCGTCCTCGGAAGAAATATTATGGTGAGCTAGATGTCTGGCCAATTTTGAAGACATCATATCTAGATCAGCATAAGTAGTCTCGGTATACCCGGCATCGCCCTCGCCTTCCCAAGCGCATATGGCTGGTTCATTCGGTTGTGTCTTCGACAGCTTCTCGATCAGACTGTGCACGCAACTCTCTACCGCGAGTTTTGGCTTGAGATTCTTGCTCCAGACCTCTGCTTTATCCCCCGGAGAAATCAGGTCAACATCTGCGAGACTTGCGGTGGTGTCTCTGGCCAACTGTTGGATGACGAAGCCGAATTGGCGAAGCATCTTCCTCACGTGCCACTGCTCGATCACGCGAGAGTCAAAACTTGCTGAAACGTCAATTCCACCTTCGGATCCCTCACCAACCTCGTTAGGTAGGGTGAATTGAATCATGAGTGCGTAAGTTGTGAAATGGTGCAACTCTGAGACGGTCTCCCATCTACCAAGCACGTCATCCTGCTCGAAGTCCCGATTTTCAGGTGGCTGGACAACGACCAAGGTCTGGAACTGGGATGCATGCCGTCCATCCTCACCGCTTATCTTAGCGATCTGGCGCAGCCCTGTCTGTTCAAAAGGAATCATGTCGGTTGCCTGCTGCTGGAAAGCCCGAAGAAAATCCGCAATCGTCGTAGATTGCTTTTCGGGCATTCTTATTCGAATAGGCACAGTTGCGATAGTCGGACCTGGAATATCTTCGATTCCAGGTACAGGTGCATTACGACCAATGACGGTTGCGCCAAATACCAAATCGTCAGAGTTAGAGTGGCTGCTGTCCACAATAGCCCAAGCTGCGCGGATAAGAGTTGAGAGTGTCGTGTCGACTGATGTGACTTTAGGAATCGGCGGGCAGATGAATTCGATGAGCGAATCTGCAACAGGATGCTGGATGTTGGAAGGCAAAGGAGGAAATAAGGTTGCGTCCCTACAATCAGCTAGCGTCTTCTGCCAGTATACCTTGGTGTCCTCTTGACGTTGCTGGATATCGACATATTGAATGAAGGAGTTGAAGCCGGGCTGGTGTACTATCTTGGAAGTCGGCGAGGTTATATCGTTTTTGAGCGCGGTGTACGTTTCTTTAGCGGCATTCAATACGCGATCCAAAGACCAGCCATCATACAAAGCATGATGCAGTGTACATACAAACCAAGTGCCACTCTCTTTATTGTGATTAGCCTCGCTGTTTGCGCCCTGTATGCTGTCTTCATGACTCCCCATAGCCAAGCACGGTAGTGTATCATCACATTCATTTCTCACCATAGCATACCGCGCGAGTGGGTCCCCAATACCCATTGGCTGCAACTTATCGTGGGATAGATATGATTGCAGGCTTTCAACGTGCTTACCGATCAACGAAAGATCCTCTGGGGGCGATAAGACAGTCTGAAGTAGACCTAGCTGGGCATTCTGCACGATCCTCGTTCGTAATATAGGCATTGATGCAATGACACGTCCCCATGCCATGCAAAAAAGGTCCTCGTCGATGTCTTTCTTGAGCTTCAGTACCCCTTGCAAGATATAGTCGCCCGCGCGCTTTGAAGACAGCGATAGCAGCCCTTCCTGAAGTGGTGAACAAGGGTAGATATCATCAATCACACGAGCTTTTACACCGCAGCTTGCTGCGACCTGTTGTCGTAGATATTCTACGTTCAGGCTACCGTCCAGAAGTGCAAATGGTTTGAGGATTGCAGCATCAGCCACACGGTTCTCTTGTGTGTCGCTGAAATGTGCCAAGTCAATCAGCCTGGGATGTTGGAATATAGAGGAGGCTGAGATCGCAATATCATGTTTTCGTGCCTCGGCTACAAGCCTCATTGCTGAAATCGAATCGCCTCCCAACTGGAGGAATTTGTCGTCTAGTGCAATGCTTCCCACGTCAATCTCTAGTATCTGTGCCCATAGTTCTCGCAATTTCTTTTCCGTTGCTGTCTTGGGAAGTCGTTGGACGGCTCTAGTATCCGCATGCACATTCGCCAGCTCCCGGACAGTGATCGACGCACCGACTTCTCTTAGTCGTTTTCTGTCCATCTTTCCAGAGGGCGTGGTGGGAAGCGATTCCATAACCAAGTAAATCTCTGGCATCATATAAGTTGGCAGCCTTTGACCCAGCAATTGATCCCACTCAGCTGAGTGAACCACTGTAGGATCCGGGCCACATCGTGATCCGGCTGCCGCTTTGAGCTGCAAAAACACAGCAATCTTTGCAATTCCTGCGCTCCCATTTCCATCTGTCAGCCTCACCACTTCAGCGGCCACGTTTCTGGCTGTCGGTATACACTGTCGCACGTGATGCTCAATCTCCCCCAGCTCTACGCGTTGCCCTCGTACTTTGATTTGGCTGTCCTTTCTGCCGACGTAGGTAAGACTCCCGTCAGCTTCATACTTTACGAGATCTCCAGTCTTGTACAACGTCCCGTGACGTCCTGGATAGCTTCCGCAGCCATCTTTGAGCCAAGCAGGATCTCTTGGAAACATCGCATTTGTCTTCTCCACATCATGCAGGTATTCTTTGCTTAGAAGTGCCCCTTCTAGCAGTAGCTCTCCAACTGAGCCTACGCCAAGCAGCACGTCCGTATCGTCTGGGTCAACAACCCACGTGTTGACACCGACACCTATCCCAATACTTATCGATGGTGCAGAGCGATTCACATTCGAATTGATGGTAGCCATAGGCGCACACTCTGCTGGTCCATAAGCATTGATGACTTTCACTGATCTGGGCCATCGAAGTACGTCTTTTGGCTCCACTTTCTCACCCGCTAGGATCAATGTTGACAGTGTGGGTACATCTTCAGGGTTCACCAAACTGGCTACGGAAGGCGTCAAGTCGACCAAAGTGGCTCGCATGTGCGACATGACCAGCCCCAGGTCCCCTTTCCTCTCCTCTTCTGAAGGAACACATAGACACCCACCGACCATCAACGTTGCGAAGGCATTATGAATAGCAACATCGAAACTGTACGATGCGAAGTCGAACACCCTACTTCTCGGGGTGAATCCCAGTAAATCGGCTTGACTTTGCACCGCCGTGCAGAAGCTGTCATGTTGCATAGCGATTCCTTTTGGATTTCCAGTGCTACCAGATGTAAACACAATATATGCTGTGGCGGAGCTCGGTACAGTTTGAAGAATGTTTTGGGCCGCAATATTTTTCATGGATTCGAGCTCCTGATCCACAAATAAAACTCGGGCATCGAGTTGAGCGCTCCACTTTCCACTCGTTTCAGAAGATAGCACAAGCCGGGCTTTCGTAAACTTGACAATGGCCTGTAACCGAGCTATCGGCTGAGCTGTGTCGAGAAACACGAATGTTGCGCCAGCTTTGAGTACAGCAAGCGCAGCCATTATTGTCCATTTTGATTTTTGAAAGCAGAGTGGAATTGTGTCTCCAATTTTGACCTTGACAACACTGACCAGATGCGAAGCCAATCGACTTGACCGATCGTGCAGATCGCCATATGTCATATTTCCGTCCCATGCGTCGATAGCTTGAGCCCTTGGTTGTTTCATTGTTTGACCAGTGAAAGCATTATGGATGCAAATATCCAATTTGGATGGGACCTCACTGTTCCATTTCCACAGCTTTTCTCTGTCCTCGGGAGTTAAAGTGCTGATCTCGCCCAGTTTTGCATTCGGACCTGCAGTTGCTAGTTGCTTCACAACGAGATGAAACTGCCGCAATAGCGTTTCGACTTGCCATGGTCTGATAGCGCGTTCATCAAAACTGGCGGTAATCTCAATGTTTCTGGAACCGAGCTCACACTGCACCATCAATGGATAAGATGTTACTGATTGTAGTTTGGTGGTACTACGCCACGTGCCGAGCACTCCATCATCACCTAGTCCATTGTGGCCGGTTTGCACAATCAAAAGCGTCTGGAATCCACATGCATGCTGAGCATCTGGTCCCATCTTTGCAATGCGTTGGAGCCCCGTCTGTTCGTACGGGATCATATCAATAGCTTGCCGCTGGGTGGTTTGCAGCAAATCATATACGGTCTGATCCCGTCTCAAACAGATGCGAACAGGAACAGTCGCTATAGTTGGTCCTAACACTGTTTCAATCTTGGGTATTGGGGCATTCCTGCCTGTAACAGTTGCTCCAAAAATAACGTCGTTTGAGCCAGTATAGGAGCTAGTCGCAATGGCCCATGCGGCACGGATTAGTGTGGATTCTGTTATTCCACTCAACCCGAAACTGGGTGGGATTTGACAAGTTTCTCTCGCCACTGAGGATGCAGTGAACGATTTCACTGTCGTGGGTCGTGGTGGGAACGGTGTTGCTTCACATTCCGATAGCGATTTTTTCCAGTATTTCGCAGCGTCCTCTTGGTCCAACCGGCTGATGTGGTTGATAAAAGCATTAAAACACGCTCGCTCTTGAAGTTTTGAATCCTGATAATTGAGCTTGACAGACTCCAAGACTTGGGGTAATGAATAACCGTCGTGAAGGGCATGGTGAACAGTCCACACAAATTGTTTTTTCCCATGCTTCGCCCGATCCTCCACGATAGCGTAATGTGCTAATGAATCACCCAAGCCCATTGGCGCTGAACTCTCTTGCAAAAGATAGATCTCCAGGTCTTCCGCTATCAACCAATCTATGTCTTCCTTGACAACAACCTGTATGAGACCTTGTGTGGTATGCTGCACGATTCGTGTACGGAAAATCGCTGCTGCTGCAGAGCCCACGAAATTGTCCCAAGCCTTCATGAAAGCAACTTCATCAACGTTGCTTTTCAGCTCAAGGATGTATTGCATAACGTAGTTGCCGGACGTCTTCGCGGTCAGTGACATCAAACCCTCCTGGAGTGGCGAGCACGGATAAATGTCTTCAATAGCAGCCGCTTCGACACAACAGCTAGCCGCAACCTCATCACAAATGCGATTGAGATCTACATCCGTACCTAGCATCGAGAAATTCGGTAAATCTTCATTGGTAGTGAGTTGTTGCGTTCTACACTGCCTGGCTAGATCGAAAAGGCTTGGGTACCGGAAGATAGTAGAGACGGTGAGTTGCACTCCTTGATTTCGCGCCTTTGCTACTAACTTCATCGCGTCGATAGAGTTGCCACCTAGCCGAAAGAAGCTGTCGTCAAGCCCCAGAGCTTCTTTTTCGAGATCAAGAATTTCGCACCAGAGCTGCTGCAACAGCTTTTCGTCGTCCAGTATGGGGGAACGAAATGAAGTCGTCCGACGAGCTGATTCTAACTTTCGTTGGGCAAGCACCTTCCGATCAATCTTGAAGTTTGAATTTAGGGGCATGTGGTCCAAAACACTAATTCTCTGGGGCACCATGTACGATGGAAGTTTGCCCTGTAGCATTTCTTGTAACTCCAGTTCAATCTTTTGTGAAGCTCCCTGCTGCTGTAGACTGGTATCACGTGTTCTGTTGGTAGGGCTGACTGCCCGGTCTGTATCGAACCGAAAGAGCGTTCTTTCCCCCGCACCTTCTTTGTCAAATCGATGAAATACAGCATCAAGACCGCCATGCTGAGAGTATTGTTTGTTCCAGCTGATTTCCACATTGCATCTTGAATCTTTCGCTATTTGAACCAGATCAAGCGCTGAGAACGACAAGGTATTTTTGGCTTGCTCTTGAAGGGCATCAACCCAGCACTCTGGGTCGTCCACACTGGTTTTTGAAGCGTCGACGCACTTCACGGCATCCACTAAAACATTGCTCAGCACGGTTTTGCTGTTGGTGATATTTCTCAGCGCGAAGATCGACGAGCCGGACAAATTCTCCAGTTGTTTTGATAGTGATGTCTTATCCAGACTTCTCGTGGGAAAATCTATCCAGGAGTCCTGCGGTATAGAATGTATATGCCTCTCCTGGCCTCCTGCATTTCTCGGGTATATAATGGCAGCATATCGATAGCAGCTCAGTTCATTAGTGGCGGCCATACGTTTGGGTAAAATCTCAACGTGTTCCACCAAATGGGGCAAAGCAGTGGCTAGGGAAGTAAAGAATTCCGGGTCAATGAACAGTTCCATCTCGGCGTCCTCCATGTCGGTCATCATCCGTGCAAATTCTGACTTGGTCGCGATACCTTTTGTTATGTGCAAAGCTCTAGCTGCGAAGAACTCGTCTTTAAGGGCTTTGGAACGTATATCGCCGAAGAAGATACTGTGGCGGACACCTAGTCTCAGCAGATGTTGAACTACCCGGGAGAGGTATGCTAAGCTGGGAAAGTATTGGGCTACCGAATTCACAACGACGTGATCGATGTCGGTTGGTAGTGCAAATGTTGCGAGCTCCGCGGCAGAACCTCTGTACAGAGTCACTCGATTTTTGAGAGCTAGGATAGACGCCGACGCATCCGTGAGATATTGGATGGCTGTCTCGGACAAATCGAGGCCCGTGTACTTCTGAAGACCGTGTTTCGCTAGATTGAATAGGATCATCCCACTTCCCGATCCTATCTCCAGTACGCTTCCTGCATCTCTACCATTGATGATGGTTTTGATTGTATCGTCTAGCCACTCGGACATCTCTTCCTCATCAATTTGTGACCCATCGTACATCGATGTCCACCCGATGAAATCGCGTCCTACCGATTGTGGGCCATCGCTTTGAAGAGGCGTGTATGTTTCAGAATCATACCGGTTCTTCCACATAGATACCACGCTGGCATCTGTCCTTGGATCAGACACGTTTCCGCTGCTGATACCGGCCCTGCTGAGGAGCGTAACGAAACCGACCAGCCCAGTGCTATCGCTCTTTGATACAACCACAGCCGCTTGGGAGATGGATCCGTGGGTGAGTAGTGTACTCTCAATTTCTCCAAGCTCTACCCGCTGCCCGCGTATTTTGACTTGGCTGTCTTTCCGACCCATCCAGATCAGGTTTCCATCGTCGTCGTATCTGACGAGGTCTCCTGTTCTGTACATTCTACCTTGGCGACCAGGGTACCCCAACCCCCCTTTTAACAGCCAGCTTGGACTATCAATGAAGGCCATCGCTGTTTTCTCGGGGTTATCCAGATATCCTCGAGCCAATATGGGACCTTCGACGAGAAGCTCCCCTATAGCACCTAGTGGTGCAAGCTTGTTGTAGTCATCAGGATCAACGACCCAGTTAACGGATGTGATACCCTTCCCTATCATGCCTGGTATAAACCCGTGGATACCCACGAAACAACTGGAGAATATACACGTCTCCGTAGGGCCGTATCCTTGAACCAGACGCTCGCAATCCCGCCATCTTTCACAGTCTGCAATATTAACTTGCTCGCCGCCTAGCACTACCATCTTCAAAGTTGGTACATCGGCAGGATCGATCAGTTGTGCAACCGTCGGCGTGAAGTATGCCCAATTGACTTCCATGCTCCTGATTGCGCCGGTTAAGTCATTTCGCCGTTCGTATTCGGAGGGAATACAAATGCAGCCGCCAAAAAGCAAAGTGGTGATGATCTCGGTGACTGCAACATCAAACATGAGGTTGGTAAACTGGAGAGCACGAGTGTGGTGCGAAAACCCGAAGGCGCTTCCGTGAGCTAGGCAACTAGTAGCTACGGCACCATGTTCGAGGACTACCCCCTTTGGCGTTCCAGTACTACCGGAAGTAAATAGAACATAAGCTAACTGGCTAGCTTCAACGATTGGATGTTTGCGAATAGCCAACTTCTTATCGTAATGGCGGTCAACTTGCGGTTTAGTTATGTTTTCGTGGCCTACGGTGATGACCACCATGTCTCTCTCTTCCCAGATTTTTCCGTAGCGTTTCATTCCTGCGTTAGAAGTGATGATCTTTGTTGCTTTTGCCTGTTGAAATATCTCCTCGTGGCGACTCTGCGGGTGATCTGGATCCAATGGCGCGAACGCTGCCCCTGCTTTGAGCACAGCTAGTATAGCAACGATAGCCCACTTTGACTTCTCGAAGCAAATAGGGATGATCTCTTCGCGCTGTACATTGAACTGCAAGAGTATGTCCGCGTATTTGTCAGATAGCCTTTCGAGCTCGCCATAACTCATTCTGCCATCCCATGCAGTTACAGCTGGACATTGAGGAGCCATAACAGCCTGTGATGAGAAGAGGTGATGAAGACTCTGCTTGATTTGGATAGGAACAGTTTTGTTCCACGACCATATCTTCCGCCTATCATCGTCGCCGGGGTGGTCAGGGTTGCCATTCGATTCTGAATGTCGGCTGCTAACATCTAGCCTTGTCGAGGATAGATCACCCATATCTGGCAGAACTCTCTTGTAGACTGATTTCTGTATTGCTTGTTGTTTAAGTAGAAGGGTCTCTACAAGTTGTATGTTGGAATAAAGCAAACTTGGCTGTTTATATATCATTTTCTTCAAATGTGTATAAGCACTAATGTTCTCTAGTATCTATGCTTCAACCCAAATACCTTGAGCGAATTTGATCCGATGCATGCATTCCAATCACAAAACACTGATTTCTCTCCATTCGTCAAGGCAAGAAGTCTTCTCAGCTGGAAGTTCAGGCACTGGTCACAGCTACATGGTACTTCTTGCCAACTAGTGGCTTCACCAACGCACCCCTTACATCATGGGATGATGATGATGCTCTTCGTATTGCTGCCTTTTTTTGCTGGCTTGCGCAATCATAAAGTTTGGCTTGAAATTCAGGATTCAGTCTAAACTGCTTCAAGGCAATACTGTGCTTGTTGGTAGTCTACCCCACCGAAGGCAAACCTGCGGCCTAACTGTCAGCATGTCACGGAAGGGCGGTGACTACACAGAACCTGATGAAGATAAAACATTGCGGAAGGATTATGAAGAACGGATGCGAAAGAATGGCAGATGTAGATCGGTTGGCCCGGACGCGAGCTTGGCAAATGAAATCGGTAGCTTCGCGATTCGGATACATTGTAGATTGATGTTAGAAGGGGTAAAACCAGGTAAAGGCAAAAGGGCCATTCACCGGTGCGGGATGTCTGTAAGCATGCCGAATCAAGATGGCACCTGTTACCCCATGTGTGATATTTCTACGAGAAAACTACCCTAACTGTGGAGAAATGTATGCAGATAAGCAAATCGATAATTTCAAGATTTGATTGGGGGCTGCAACTATAGAAGGATCGGCGTAATGCTTAGTGCTGGATGAGACGCATGCATGCTCCCGAAAAACCGATGTATCCCGAAGGAGATAGTCCGACATGGAGGTGAATGTCGCTTCCGACGTTTCATTTCATACCGGAACTTCCGGCATGTTTCCACACAGCTAGAGAATCGGCCCCCGGCCAGTACAACAAGATCATAGCAAACGACAGCTACCGTGCTAGACACCGACTCGCTGGTGGGCGAAATAGTCTCGTGGGCCAAGTTGCGTGCGCGTCTCATTTGTAGATATGACAGTTCGTTGAATTTTGTACTGCATGGAAATGCGATGATTCACTGCCGTGCTTAATGCGATATACAGGCGATTTTTGTATGCTACCGAGATCGGCTTGTCAGACGCCTGCTGATCAGTGCACTGACCTGTCTCGTATTCCAATGCAAAGGTTACCATCAATCCTCACCTTCGTATTGCGCACGTGGTCTTGGGTCAGAGTGCGCCCTTGTCTGGTCGCCCATCTGGCCAGATCTTCGCACCTTGAACACGCAGACCACTGGTCGAGCCAAACTTGGAAACTAGTGTACAAGTAAAACAAGTAATATAGAAATGATCCCCTAAACATGCTACTGAACATGTCCTTTCGCGCCTAGTACATTTGACTAGTACTTAATATACCTAGATTAGCACATTCGCTCTTTACGCCTGTTCCAGACTAGGATTGTGTAAAGTGGTAAATGGGCGTAGGTGGGGTGAAGGTGAGGTCACTTTCCTACTCGATTACATGCCTGCTGCTAAAAGATACAGTTACGTGATGAGATGTCTGATGATTTCACAACCCCACTCACCGCACCTACACCCATTTACCACTTCAGGATTTGGGGTGGCGGTGTGAGGGAGAGGGCCTAGAGCTCAAGATGGGGCTATAGAGGGTGAATGTATTTGCTGTATTCCCATACAAAATCTGGGCAGTTGCGTACTCAAATGACGCATAATATCCTCTTTCACTGAACTAACCACTCGCTCCGCCCCCATCTCGACATTGCTCAAAACCCCGGCAATCTTTTCGCCCGTCATCAGGTCAATCTTTGTGATGGCCGCGTCCAGCTCAGCTTTGCGATGGTCCAATACAGCAGCGACTTGGTCGCATTAGAGGCTGTAGATTTGCTCCTCATCGGCTTTTGAAGAGATCACATTCACGCAGACCGTCTGTTTGAGCATGAGCTCATCGGTAGTTTCGTGGATCTGGGTTCCACCGTGCCGAGTTCTGATCACTCTGGCCTTCTCTTCGCACGATGTTGGCATTGATTATAGGTTTTCGCGATGGCTGGCAATATACTCCATCAAAGCTGGGTTGAATTTTGTTTCATGGGATATGTTAGGATAAGGGTGTGGAGTTTGATGATTTTTTTTTTTTTTTTTTTTTTTTGGTTAGCTGGATGGTCCTTGAGTATCCCCTCGATCGCCCGCATATGCTGCTCGTCGTTCTATCCTGCGACCACCCGACCGTGGAGAAATTCCATAAAGAGCACGATGCTCCCGTAAGGAAGTTGATCTCTGAAGCTCTTCTCTCTCATGATTCGGTGGCAGTTGACGATCAAATCCACGTCCAGTTCGCAGATGGTGGTGTATCGGTGCTGACATGGTGTTAGTTACCTCCATCATTATCAGTGCCATTTTCTAATACCTTGATTTCATCAATCAACTTCGATGCCTGCTCGCGTTGAGGCACGAGATGCCAGTCGAAGAAGGCCTCCGTGCCTTCGTTGCTTTGTTTGTTCTGCAGATCAGGCAAATATCCTTCAGCCTCGCCTGTCATCCGTTCCAGAGCATTACCGGATCTACCTGTCAAATTGAAGATACTCCATATGAATCGCATAGTGTTTCCCATACCTTCATTCGATGTAAATCTGAAGACCCTCAAGTCTCGACACTGAGCCTTCTGTTGAACCTTGGTCTTTGAAACGCAAAGGCTGCTCCTGATTATAGTGCTTCGATCTCCGCGACAGCTTCTTTGAAAATTCTGGATAGTTATTTTCATTCTTGAGGTCCTTTTGATCGAGCTGCTCCCAAATCTCGTCGAACGAGAATATGCACGTTCCGGCGATTGTGCGGAGGCGTCAGCGGTCATGAACTGGATGACAGGCGACATAGCACTTGATCGAGCTGTTGGCGACGTAGATCGTTCGAGGGGCCGCAGCACGGAGGAGTTTGGGATGTTTTGCCAATACGCCTCTTGCTGCACGTTCACCTTTCAGCTTGAAATTCCTTCCACCCTGACCTCCAGAGTCCAGCGTTGACTTTGACTGTGTACTTCTGGGTATCATCAGCCAAGACAAGATCGACGACAAGGAACACCATGGTATTCCCTCCGTTTGCTCGCTCCTTGGGTGATCCAAGGATGAATAATGCCGAAACCAAATTCTTTTGTCCAGTTCGGGCTTGTATCTGTCGGTCTTTCTATTACCTCCTCCAAAGCTTGTTAAGCCTCTTGTGTGTCGCCGTCCAAGCGCTTTCTCAAAGCTTTGTGAAGGGCCCGGAAAGCTCCGATTTGCTCAGGATTAAGCTCATGTTCGGGAGCCTCCATGGGTGGGAGTGTGGGCTTGATATGACTCATATGAGTCGCTGCATGTCCTCGTTCACGTTCTCGAAAGCTTTCTCAACCGCGGCAGCTTTGGTCAATTCAGTGGCGTGAGCCAGATCTTTGATGCTTTGGATGAGGGCTACCCGGTCGGAGTTTTGGATACCGGCCGCAGACAGAGTCATGGTGAATTGTGATGGTGGTTCGAGTATGATTTCCAAGTGTTGTTGCGCAATCCTTCGAAACGATGGCATCGAACGCCTATACGCAAGCCGCAGCGGAAGGCTCCGGAAATCGAGCTGAGCCCCGAGCGAATCGGAGCTTTCCGGGCCCTCCACAAGGCCCTGAAGAACAGAATAAACAACGAAAATGATGAGGCTGAGCGGAAACTGGCCGATGCAACGGAAAAGGCCATAACGTCGGTAAACCCCCCCGTCCATGTCTTCCCCAAAAGGAATGATCCCAAGGCAAAGAATGGTATGTCAATGATCCATATAAGCTTCACTCTAGTTAATCAAGTGTGCTCTATTAGCGCCTGCTCGGAGTGACAAGTGTCGCAAGAAGATCGACTACAAGGCGAAAGGTAACGGGGAGAGTCTGTCGGATCTAGTTGATGGTAGTGATTTCACTTCGGATGAGGACGAAGAAGAGGACGAAGAAGAGGACGACGAAAAGGAAGAAGAAGGAAAACAGTAATCATGGCGTGCAATGGAGGATTGGAGGCCGTCCAAAGGCCCTCTTCATTCAAGCGGTCTTGCTATGTATATAGAGGCTTGTTCTCATCGCGGAACACTGCTAGCCAACCGCGGGGGATCGCGCCTTCACAACGTATCAGAATGGTATACTGTACACTGAGCGAGATATGCGAAGCTTCCATGATCATATTGCAAGTAACTCCTCGACCTGCTTCCTGCAAACCTCCAATGAAACCTCAACAGCAGGGACCGCAATCGCTGTCTTAATCCCCATTTCACTCGATATAAAATACAAAATTCGATTCAACCATTCCCTCCGCGCAGCAACATCAATGCTTGCGGGCTTCGTAATGGGAAACCCAGAGTAGCTCATGTTGGTGGGAAGATCGAACGGGTGGGTAGGTGACGAGTCGAAAAGGTGTTGCTTGGAACCCGTGGACGAAATCATAGACGATGCGTGTGGGGTATTAGGGTCATGCGCATAGCTTCTGCGTGCAACGTTCGCCGCATGGTTCTGCAATCCGTAGGAGCGAAGAAGCTCACAGAGTTCGTCTGGTCGAACGAGTGTTGTGTCGTGAATCGTACCTGATGAGCCCCAATATGGTGGCTGTACACCTTGCATATGTGGAGATGGGGTTCCACTACTTGGAGGAGTAATGGGATTTGCGGAGTCGGGAATGAAGCCGAGTTTCAACACTGCGTCCATGACGCCCAGTGGCCATATCATCATATAGCCGCGCAAGCCTATAAGATCATGATCCATCTTTCCATAAACAAATGCGTTGAAGATGCCAAACATTGCTGATGTGCCTTTTTCGATAACGTTCACGAGGTTTGTGGTCGCGAAAGCGTGGTGCACCTGTAAGCTCGCGTTGTTCATAGGCTTGAGCTGCGAATTGTTTTCTGTGTTGTGAAATAGTGGCAGCTTAAACATCCAATTCAGCATCTCCAGTAAGTCTCTCAGAACTATTATGTGTGTCGTGCGGTAAAATATCCACGCCCAGCATCTCTTAAGTTTGCTGTATGAATGTATTTCTTTCGGTGCCCCCGGGCTTCCCAGAAACAGCTCTCGCCATCTAGGATCGTAGGTTGCTCTGGCGTGAGCAGTGTTGAGTTCCATGTGATATCGCCAACCGCGGGGAATTGCGCGTTCCCATGACGTGAAATCGGCATCCAACTGAAGAGCGGATTGAATGTAGTTATGTAAGTCAATTCTACTGCTCGGAGGGTTGTTGCCATGCTTGAGCTCATGCCATGCCGCGTGCAATTGAGTTTCCCTATGTACCAGAAGTAGCAATGCGGCACTACTTTTGGCTGTTGAGGATTCAATGTATCTTTGCATAATTGCGATATCCGTCGTAGATATCGGTGGCATGATTGCGTGGTGTAGAGCGCTCAATTGTACTTGCCAGACGGTAAGCTGATCCAGTCAGTTCATTGTGACGCGAGTAGCTGCAATTCATATCTTGCCTCGAACAATCGTGTGGAATAATGGTCCGCATAGTACTCCTCAACGTTTCGTAGCTGCAGAAGCGCTTTCGCGCCACGATTATGTGCCAACAGTGTGTCTTTGTGAGCTTGCGGGACGGCTATGAGAGTCTGTTGCATCGTTAGCAACGATCGACGTCCTAAGCCAATGTGATAGTTACCCCAAAGAGTCCCATAAGGTACACTGAACAAAGAGCGTCATTAGAAGATGCGGTAGATTTGTCCGCGATGGTCGCTTGTAGGAGCTTGATACTTCTTGCCGCGCACTCCTCCGCCAAAGGAAGAGCATGCGGTGCGTTGCATCTGCTAGCGAAATTGCCATACGAAACGGCATCAACTGTGGCAGCCAGGCATGAGTCCCTGCCCGCCTTCTCATACAGATATGGGATAAAATCCCACATTGCATCGGTCGGCTCATCAGAAGGTTTATTGGGACTTTCGAAGACCACGAAGTCGTAAACGAAACGTTCGTAAGCTAAACGCCGAAGGTCGTTCTGTAAAGGTGTAATGCAAAGACCGTTGAAATCTAGCAGAGGCGCTGGATACCGCTCTTGCGACGAGCTAGCTGCGACGCTGTGCTGGGTGCTGCTCGAGCTTTGATCCAATGGCGTTGAATGCAATGAAGAGACAACGCTCTCACTAACGCTACGTTGATGCGATCTCGATCTCTTCCGCCACGACTCTTCGGCTTTCTGTGCTGCGAAGGCGGTCTGATTGCGGAAAACCAGATCAGTTTGATCGCGATATCGACAGTCCTGTCTGGATTTTTTGCACCGTGTGCATGCTGGCTTTCCTTCGTCACACTGTTGTCGAGCGTGAGTATATATGGCATGCTGAGCCCTTTATGGAAACCAACCTTGATCTTCTTTAATCGGCATGCATCGCATCCTTTGCTAGGTCGACCGCGGTAGGAGGACATTTTGGACGCGCAATCTCTGTTAGACAGGTTGTGGACAGGTTGTTTGGACATCGTGTGCAGGCCCTCGTTGTTTAAACACTCATGTTTCTCGTCATGCCTCCTGGTTCGAGAACTGTCACATAATGTAGGTTGTACCATACGAAGCTAAATTTTGGGCCATGTTACAGGAAGGCTAGCTCTGAGGTTCGATGCCGAGTGTCGTAAAGCTGACGGTGTTCCGCGAACAAGAAGAAGACTCTGCACACGCAGGAAGTGCACTTGAACGAGGAAGATCGTTGAATCTCTTCCACCCTAAGACCACACGATGTTCTAAGTCCCCTTCTGAGGTACATCGCTATGCGCGATAACGTGAATCGGGCCGATGGACAATGTCGAACACAAAACCAATGTTCGATCAATGTTTGTCAATGTAGGTCATGCCATTTTTGCATTTCATGCTGCAACAACTTTCTTGAGCAGGTCAAGTCAAGGCAGCTTCAACGAGCCATTCGCGAGTTCCGTTCGCCGACTGACTGACGCTGTGCCATCCGCTTCCTGTTTCGCAATCGCCTCACGATTTGAGTTTGTTCAGCGCACCCACCCTGTATGAGAGGAAGAATAACAACACTTTGTGTCACGATGATCCTCGTGGGTTATTCCACTTTTTGTATCCCCGAAATTCCGGGGCAAATCACATGGACTATCGAAACTGAGCAATTCGTCCTTTACTGACGAACAAAGGAAGCAGCATGGAACCTTGTAGGGGCAATCAGCTACGTACCAGGGTCAATCAAGAACTATCGCGATTGACTATCGTACTGTTGATTGAATGGAACATAGAATTGGATGATCTGTGTGACTCTAGATACTAATCTCCGTATTTAGTTTCATTATTCTTGAAGTGAGCTCGGAACTGGTGTTCTTCGGAGCGCTGCACAGTGTCTCACTATACAGGTTAGGGATGGCAATAAAGTTCTAAATGACTCGAAAAGACAGCGGAAGTTGGGATTCGTCTCAGATATGCGACCGTTTTTTAAGAATGAAAATCATCGGTTTGAATGAATGCATACATGTGCAGGCGTCGGGGTAAATTTTCCAGGACTCTTTATTGATCCAGGACTATTGGCTAGGGGTTTGCAATGTATATACCGGACAGAGGATGAGGCTTGAGGTGATATAGCCTAGGACGATGCGTTGGGTGCACTTCCTGTATTAGCATACTAGTAGATGGCGTATCAACATATCCTCTACAGCTTTTCAGTTCTATTCAATGGAAACTCGATAAATTGATATCTTAACAACCGCCAAATAGCGATTCTAAACTGCAGGAACCCCCAGTGCTTACAACGCATCAATCGATACTTTGATGATTTATATGAAATCTTTGCCTGTGCGCTGGGTAATGGGTTCCCTTCAAGGTTGCTGTAAAGTATTATCAGCGCAATCAGACATTCGAGATTCAATCGCTTTTGCCCTAGTCTTCTGTGAATACAATTCCCGTAAAAATTGAGCGGCGACACTCCACCTACGGCTCAATTGGGCGGTCGTTGTGAATGACGATTCTGATTGGCTCTGGCTGCGATTACCTCATCCGCTAAAGCTTCACACGCACGAGCCACAGCCGACATATCACAACCTCAAACTCGACCCTAGCACATACATCCTCGAGTACACCCGGGCACGATAAATCAAGCAATACTACCACAATTACATTAAATCAGAAGACTTTATCGGACTGGAACTCTTTCTTCGGAAGCTTTGTTCCCGCAAAATATCACTCGATAGTCGAACGGGCCAAAAATCAACCAAAAATCCAACACCACGTGCCGAGGAACCCAATAGTCCGAAAGCCTGAGCGCGAGACAACACGGGAAAGAAAAAGAGAGGGAATTCGGAAAACGACAGAGACTACTAGCAGATAAGAAGTTTGCACAATGGATATCCGTGTTCTGCGACCCGAGGACATTCCTCACGTTCAACTCGCCAACATCACCAACCTGCCCGAGAACTACTTCTGCAAGTACTATCTCTACCATGCGATGAGCTGGCCGCAGCTCAGCTATGTTGCTGTCGATGTGAGTATTACTCTACATTTTTTTTAAAGAAAAAGTTCGGTTTTTCATCATCGTCTATTTCATCTCGATTTCTTGTGTTCGCTCATCAGTGTGATCCCCCCGCGATCAGCAACGTTGCGGGGAGAGGAGCGCAATGAATGGGGAAGAGAAGGAAGACCACCAAAGGACATGTTATATCTACACAGGAAAGAACAAGGGTGCCCTGAGGCGACAAGAAAAACTCGGAAATCGAACGCGCAACAAACGCCGCCTTTCACCCAACTCGCATCCATCTATCCACATGCACCAGGCCTCATACATGCCCATCGGCCCTCCCGCAAAACACCTTCCCATTCCCCAGAACAGCTTCATTACCCATCGCATTCTCTTTGCCACTTTCTTGGTCTATTGGTATATAAGATCTAACCCCCTTACCCCAACAGGTCTCGCGCCCCCCCAAAACCCCCTACGACCCACCCAAGATCGTAGGCTACGTGCTCGCGAAAATGGAGGAAGAACCCACCGACGGCGTAGCCCACGGCCACATCACGTCGCTGTCGGTGATGCGAACGCACCGACGTCTAGGGCTAGCCGAGAAGCTTATGAGGCAGAGCCGTACGATCTTCCCTCCCTCTCCCCTCCCCCTCACTTCCTTGACCTTTACGTATCTTCCCCTGCTCTTCCCACTCCTCACACTTGCACTATGTATTATAAAGAGAGGGAGACATAGCTGACGATTAAGAATAGAACGCGCGATGCACGAAACCTTCTCAGCGCACTACGTGTCGCTGCACGTGCGCGTGTCCAACACCGCGGCGCTGCATCTCTACCGCGACACGCTCGGCTTCACCGTCGACAAGATCGAGGAAAAGTACTACGCGGACGGCGAGAACGCGTACTCGATGCGCATGGAGATGTCTGCGCTGCGCGAGGAGCAGAAGAAGCTCGACGACGGGGTGGATGTGGATGAGGTTTGGGGCACGGGGGTGAAGAGCGAGGGCAAGGATGAGGGCGAGGGCGTGGGGAGCGAGGGGAAGAAGGAGGGTGAGGCCGAGATGAGGAGTGTCAAGATTGGGAGGGGGTTGGGGGTTGGGGAGTTGGTTGAGAGGAATGAAGTTGCTGCTTAGGGGTGGAATGGTGGGGAGAGGGAGAGGGAGAATAGATGTGTGTGTGTGGGTGGGTTGGTCGGTGGTTATTGCTAGCAGTCAGACAACAGAAAATCCACGAATCGTCTCAATGACAAGAACAAGAGCGGACGTGCATGTAGATGGAGAGACGGGGGAAAAAGAAGCCGAACGCTGTTTAGCCATGCCATTCATATCCATCCATCTAGATTTGAAGAAGAAAAAAAAGGAGATCAAGTGGAGGAAGAGGGGGAAGCATATCCGCGCGTTCCCCTTCACAGCCCTCTACACTGGTGCACTACTGCTATATATGCTACAAAACTAAATCTTGGTATCATAAATCCGACTTCGTGCTTGGAAAAAAAAGAAGAAGAGGAAGGAACAACAAACAACCCCCCACCGGAAGAACCACTTGATACGAAGAAGAGCGACGAAAAGGGAGAATGCCCTCAAGTATCCGACTTCGTGAGAACGAAGGACACACCACGAGCTCATCACGGCGTGCTAACACACGGAGGACAACACAAGGGGGTGAACAGACGGTAGGATGCGGGATTCACATCAACCCGCCCAACACGACCTTACCCACCCCACCGACCTCAGCTTTGACACCTTGCCGACAACTCTCCTCAAACTCCCTGACAACACCCGCAAGAATGATCTTCCTGACCCTCGCATCAGCTTTGTTGAAGAGCTCCGCAACCGTCATCGGGAAGCCATTCCCGGCCATGACGATGCTCTCTGGCGAGTTGAGCAGCCCCAGGATCTTGGTATAGCAATCAATCAAGACATCGCAGAGTGTGGCAAAGGTGCTGAAGAAGTCGGGATCGAACGGCAGCGAAGGGGTCTGCAAGAAACTATACGATTCGTTTGGAAGGAGGGAGTCGGTTTCGGGCATGGAGTCGAGGCCGCTGATGCCACCGCCCATGGAATTCGCGCCGCCGCCGCCCACAGCGCCGCCGCCGAACTCGAAGCCCCCGTTGACCGAGTTCAGAGTCGGGAAACCGTCGGCGGCGCTGGAGCTTCGACGACCTTTGCCGGTAATGTTTGCTCGTTTGAACATCTGCATGCCCGGGATGCGGCCACGCCCTAGACTACTTGGGGCGGAGCCGTCGGCAGGGTGGATGGACTGGTATTGTTCGAATTCGACGAGGAGAGAGTTGAGGGCGCGGAGGTAGTCGCTTGGGGACGAGGAGTTGAGATCGAGGATGGTGGGGAGCGAGAAGCCGAGGAGGAGGTAGTGGGTTGCGCGGCGGGCGAGGTTGCGGGGGGTAAAGGAGGGGAGGCGGGTGAGGTCTTGTTTGGAGAAGAGGAGCGTGTTGAACCAGTATATGCGGCCTTCGTGGCTGTAAAGGGGGTGAGGTCAGTATGCGGGGTGGGATGGGGTAGGGGGAAGAAAAAGGGGGGGGGGGGGGGAGTGCGTACGACTTGCGCAAGTAATCTAGGGTGGATATCCGCTTCGAGGCCATCTCCTGAATGTGTTGGAAGATTGCATGTGGGTTGGAGTTGTTGCCGCCTTGCAATGGAATGGGGGCGGCGGGGCCCAGGCTGGCGGAATACATGTCTTGGGGACGGCGAGCTTGTTGGAGGTCTGATTTGGCAGCGGAAGAGTATCGCGAGGACGAGGTCATGGAGGCGCTGGGGGGCGGCTTGTCGAAGCCTTGGCGCGTGTCGGGTCTTGGGTGGGAGTCGGAGCCGTTCTTCTGCCTGCTGCGCGAGAAGGTGGAGATGGAGAGGGCGGGCCGCGACGAGGACGACGAGATATTGGAGGGGGCTCCATTGCTGGTGCTGGACACGGCGGTGGTGGCAGTCGAGAGAGACGAGGCATTCTTCTCCGGGGAGAAGGATTGCGCCACGGTGGAGGAGGGGGTCCTCTTGTGGGAGGACGAGGTGTGGGTGCTGGTGTTGGCCGACGAGTCGGTGGTGCCGTTTGTGCGGAGCGAGGCACTGCGCGAGCGCTGCAACTGCACGCCAAAGTCGCCGAGGGTGGACGAGATGCTATGGCGCGAAGAGGATTTGTTGTGGCGCGGTGGAGTGGAGAGGATGGCCTGGGCCTTGGACGGCGGGCCGGCGAAGGAGTCGGGGACGGGCGGCGGGAGGGCGTCGAGCGGGCTGGTGGTGGACACGGGAGGCAGCTGGATGATGGGCGGGAGCACGCTGGTGGGGGTTTTGGGGGGCGCTTTGGACGAGGACCGGCCGCCGAAGAAGGAGGGGCGTCGCGAGAAGATGCTGGTGCCGCCGCCGCTGCTGCCGCTGGTGCTGTGGGATTGATGATGCGGTGTTGGCGGAGGCGGGTGGGATTGCGACGCGGTGGTGGTGTTGGTGGTGGTGGTTAGGGTTGACGACGACGACGACAACGACGTCGAGGCGGGCGGGGGCGACGAGTCGTCATTCATGGCGGGCGGGTGGTGTAATGAATGCAATTACCACCGTGTCGGTACATGTATGTGTTAATCAAATGGATGGGTGATTATCTGTGGATATGGCAGGAATTTGGGGAAACAGGCGCGTAGATCAGGGGCTCGGGAATGCAGCCGGCCATGCCATGCCGTCCCGGTGGATCGATTCAATAGTTGTATAAGTGTATGAATTGGCGGTGGAACGGAATCCGAACAACAAGAAGAAGAAGAAGAAGAAGAGGAAGAGGAAGAGTGAGATTCAAGAACAGTGACCGGTGGAGGGTATGTCTGAGACGAGATGAGACGAAACGGACATGAGAGTGAGGTGTACAAGTGAACAACAGATGGATGGAAGCACGTAACACACAAAGAGGAACAGTCATCAATCAGATGAATCGGATCGGTCACCACGTAGACGCCTTGGACATGTTGTATCCTCACCCTATCAAGACGACGAACCTAGGCCGGAGCAGGGAGGTGAGTGAGAGGCATAGATCAGCAGGAGGCACACCCATTGGCCATACATAGACGATACTCCGTGTTCCGTTTGCACTACTTGAGTACGTATGTATGTGTAGAAACATGCGCATAGATATATACCCAGGTATGCATATATATATAAATATATATGTATTTGAATCATTTCCCAACAATGTTTGATCCATTGGACCCTTTTTTGACTTGATTGGAGATATTTTTATCTGCAAAATTCCCCGCAGCCTCGCCATGAGGGCGGTGAAGGCGGGCCGAGTCAGGCGGCGTACAGTGGATTTGGGAGATGAATAAGCATCATGTACGCCAATGATACCAGCCCGGAACTATACACATTACACAGGAAGGCCTATACAACAGACATTGATTGGACTCGAGCTGTATACAATACACTCTCTAGCGTCCCAAGATACAATACAGCCTATCTCGTCTACTGCACCCTGGACCCCTATCACGCATCACATGCATCTTCCAATTCGCATGCCTTCAATTGTCTCATAAACAAATATACCCTGCCGTCGAACCCGCCAATGTACACACCACCTGCTTCTACCTTCCTCTGTCTTCACACAGGGCCTCGGAACACATAACCCCCTTCGCGACCCCTCCTCGACTTTGCCCACCCCTTTTACCCCGCCCTCCTCGTCCAAGCTACCCCACATGATTCGCAGACAGAGCGCAAAGGTACATTCTACACATCCACCACCAGACAGTTTTTTGGCAGAATAACTCATCAATCGCCCATACACAGGGAGAGTGGATCCCCACTGACGGCCACTGGCCCGTCGATCCTCAAGGCCATGTCCCCGTCGACGACAACCGTGTCTGGGTCGATGGCTGCTTCGACTTTAGCCACCACGGTACGCTCCTCTTCCAACCTCACCTTCGCCCTTTTGCCCGCTCATGGTCATCTAACCAACTGAATCGCAGGACATGCTGGCGCCATGCTGCAGGCCCGCCAGTTGGGCACCGAGCTCCTCGTGGGCGTGCATTCGGACGAAGCGATCCTCGAGAACAAGGGTCCCACGGTGATGCGCATGGACGAGCGGTACATCTTCTTCTCCCCTCTGCCGACGTGCCTATGCTAATGCCATAGTGTAGCGTCATGGCCGTCGAAGCCTGCCGTTGGGCCACGCGCGCGATCCCAAAGGCCCCCTATGTCACCTCGCTGCCCTGGATCACCCACTACGGCTGCCAGTACGTCGTTCACGGCGACGATATCACCTCGGACAGCAATGGTCAAGACTGCTACCGATACGTCAAGGCAGCAGGAAGATTCAAAGTGGTAAAGCGCACTCCTGGTATCTCCACCACCGATCTCGTTGGGCGCATGCTGCTCTGCACCAAGACGCATTTTATACCCTCGCTCGAGAAACGATTGTCTGGCGACGAAGGGCCTGGGGGAGACGAAGAGCGCAAAGAGACCGGCGCAGCCATGCTGCAGCGTATAAAGGACTATGCCACCGATTCGACCGGTCTTGCTCCGGGCTGCGACGTCTGGTACTGGCACGCATCGCGGCCGGCAAAGTATCGTAGGACCACACAAAGTTCTGCCGCGGAGCGGAGACCGAGCGCAAGCGGGCCTTTTCCCTTGTCGCCCACGTCGCCCACCACCAACCAGGCCGTCAGGGAGGAAAAGGGCAAGTTTCACAAACTCGTCGATGGCAAAGGCGTGAAACCTGGCCAGTCGGTCATCTACGTTGATGGCGGCTGGGATCTCTTCTCCTCGGGTCACATTGAATTCTTGCGACAAGTCACACAAACGGAAGAGGACGCCGCGAAAGAGCGTGGATGGTACACGGAAGAGGCCAAGAAGGAGCGTGTGGAGAGCACTGGGGAGGACTACAGCCCTGTTTTCATGGTTGCGGGGATTCACGACGACGAGGTCATCAACCACTGGAAAGGCATCAACTACCCCATCATGAACATTTTCGAGCGTGGACTGTGTGTGCTGCAGTGCAAGGTATGTCCTTATTTTTCCCCCTTTTCCACTAAGAAGCAAAACCTAACTCACTCCGCAGTACATCAACGCCATCATCTTCGGGTCGCCCTTCTCCCTCTCCAAAGCCTTCCTTTTAACTCTTCCCTATGGCGGAGCCCCCGCGCGCGTCTACCATGGCGTCACGTCCTTCATGCCGCTCAATTACGACTCCTACTCATGCGCCAAGCAGCTTAACATCTACCGTGAGATCGCCAACCATAACTTCCAAAACGTGAATGCCGGGGAAATCGTGAGTCGGATTATGAAGGGTCGAGCTCTATATGAGGAGAGGCAACGCATGAAGGGTGAGAAGGGCGTGACTGAGGAGGCGGAGCGGCGGAGACAGGATATGGAGAGAGAACAACGGAGGCGGGAGGTCGAGGGGCAGTTTGGCATCTAGACACGTTGCTCCGTGCGAGGATTTCCTGCTCTATTCCACTCGTGCATACCAAAAGTACATATATCGATATTCAAGCATGCGAACGAATCAATAAACACATGCATACTCTGATCCAGTGCGCGGCGTTAATGCACTAGCGTCTTTCTTAACCCCGCCCGCGTCCGTGAAATTCTAATAATCTCGAGGCTTTAGATGTCTCTACCTTTCAATTCAACCTTCGCTCTCTTCAACGCCCCAGCCAACATGAACCACTCCTCCGCTCACGAGGGCGATACCGCTCTTGCCCTCGCTACTCTTGTACCCTACTCCAGCGACGGCCCCACACTCCCGCTTATAGGCGGCAGCGAACCCTCATCCCGCAGCGCACGCCCAACCACTCACGCCACTCCCAGTCTACCCTCTACCGCAAGCAAAAACTGCAATGACAAAAAGCGCAAAGCCAACGACAATTCAAGCGAAAACACTACTACCGCCCCAGATCATACATCAAAAAAAGCAAAATTCACAGACTACGACATCCTGCAAACGCCCTGGACGTTCCTCCCCCAAGACCTACGGCACACCGTCGCGCGCGCCTCGGGCGAGGAAGACTGGAAATGGGAAACACACTGCGTTTCTGTGGTGTACACGCGAAATCAGAACATCAGGACGGGTGTAAATCGCTTAAAGGCTTATCTAGGGCATTCGCGCGGGAAAGACTCCAAGGTTGATGTCCCTATATTACTACAATCGGGCGCGCAGAAGGAAGATGGAAGTGGAATCATAGCGATTTCGGCGCAGGGCGAGGCGACGACGAAATTAGTCGGGATTGTGGAGTTGGCGAAGCGTGTTGTTTCCGAGGCAGCCGAGTCTAATTCACCTGATCATGGTAAAGCGGCGAGAGACAAGAGGAAGGAAATGTGGTTCTCCTACACGAGTCTTTCGAGTCGGGTCGTCGAGGGGAAGCCGATCCCGAGAAAAGCAAACGAGCTGGAACAGGAGGATGGAAGTGTTAGTGACAGCGAGGATGGATTCGAGCCACTGCACAATCCTGACAAAGATGATGCTGGAGATCGGATAACGAAGTCTAGAAAAGTGCCTGTTCTGACAGTATGGATGGCAAGAAGGAGAATTGAAGAATTTAGACGCGCTTTTGGGGAGCAAACCTTTGAGGTTTGTGCAGCGCCAGAGGAAAGTGCTTGATCCCATCATTCGATCTATGCTCAGGACAGTAAAGAACTGCCTTGAGGATGATGAGCATATACCCGCTTTTTTTCCGAAAATGATACCCTATTTCTAACGTGTCGTCTTCTTGTGGTCTAATTCATGACGATTTACAACTGTAAAAGGTCCATGTTATGTTTTGGCCTACTGATTGACTGAACACTGAAAGCCCCGTTCCAAATTTGATCCCCAATTGGAACGGATTATTAACTTCCTGGCACACGATATCCAAACGTCTCTGTCTAACTTTCCACTAGGCTGACAACTGTGAGTTTCGCCTACTGATAGATATTATAATATTTCTACCTAACTTTTTGCCAGAATAATTTCCCTAGATTTACGGGTTGAGTATGCCCCGCTGATTGCGTGGGTGCCTGTGTGGTCGGCATCAATAAGGACTTGGTGGTGCAATATGTCATCAAGTCTCAACAACTACGATTCGACCACTGGACTGGCATTCAATCAATACATAATCATCAGCGAATTCTGTCCGCCGTATCAACACAGAATGGAATTAATCGATTACTCCACCTACTCAGCACTACGTTCTCTGTTCTCAATACCTCATTGCACCCGACCCCTTTGAGCCTTGTCCTCGCACATGCTTATATGTAGAGGCTCTCGCCTCCTTAAACCCCTCCAAACCTATCCGTCTCACGCTTTGTCAAATCGACAATGTCTAACCCCCTAGGCTCCCTTTCCCTGGATCCTCTCCACCAACCTCCTCCATCTCTCTCCTCCAACTCTACTCCAATCACTACCAACCATCCCCCAACGCTCGCTCGCCAACTCGACGCTATTCAGCCATCTAGATCGCAAATGATTCATCATACGAATACGCCAAGCCCACTTTCGCAGGTCGTTGGTATTGAGGATGATGATAATGCTCCGAGGATGGATGGATCTAGTGATGACGACGACGACGACGATGACGGTGATTCCGGCGATTCGTCAGACCAAGAAAATGCAGCGGAAGGAGCGGAAGACGAAGACAAGAGCGATATGGCTCGCATGCAACGGAAACAGGAACTGGTCAGAAAGATGGCGAGGTTTGACGTTTTTGGATACGTCTCTTTACCTTTGTCAGTTGCCGCGATCCAAATCCCCTTATTCATCTATTTTTTTCACTGACTTTTGGTACTGAAAGCAACGTATCCGTACACGCTGCTTCTTCTCCTTTCTCCATCCACTACTGCTACCCCAGGGCCCCTGCTGGCAACATTCGTCCTGACCAGTCTCGCCTTCACCACCGTGATCCTTTCGCTCGCGGAAATGGCGAGTATGCACCCAAGCTCAGGTGCAATGGCTAGTTACACCGCGGCCTTCGCACCCCCTTCGATTCGGAAGTATCTGAGTTACATCTCTGGCGTCATGGCTTCACTCGGCTGGATCTTGAGTTGTTCGTGCTCCGCATACATCGCAGCGGGGTTAGTCCAATCGTTCTACTTACTCGTACGATCCAGGGGTAGGAGTGTGGAAGGCGTAGACAGGTTTGAAAAATGGGGCCTGCTGTTGATCATGTTTGCTTACCTGGCGGGAGGTGCGTTGGTGAATGGGTGGAGTCGTGGGATGATGCCTAGGACAATCAGGGGTGGTGTTTGGGTGTGGGGGGTTGGGTGGGTTGCAGTTTCTGTCATATTGCTGCTTACGAGGAAGACGGGTCCGGGCAGGCAAGATGGAGAGACAAAGGATGATATCGTGGAGGGAGGAAGTGGGTGGGGGGATAATGTGGCGATGGAGTGTTTGCTTAGACAAGTTGGCTTGTAAGTCGTCTCCCCATCTCTCTTCCAACTCCTGCATCCGATAAAAGCATATATACTCACTCGATATACCAGGACATTCTGCGCACTAGGTTCGCAGCAACCCCCATCTTCCCCTCCACAAATCCCCACTGACAACAGAAAAAAACAAAATCGCAGGTCCCATCTCCGCAACCCCCCTCGCCGAAGAAATCCCCCACGCGCGCCGCACCCTCCCCCAATCCCTCGTCGTCTCCTACACCACATCCACCACAACAGCGCTCGTCACGCTCTCCGCGTCCCTCCTCCGCCTCGCCCAACAAAACCCTCCATCTACCACCCCTCCACTCTCCACACTCCTCCTCTCCCTCCCACCCCCAGCATCCACAGCACTCCTCTCACTCCTCACCCCCACCGTCTTCCTAGCCAGCATCCCCGCCCTCGCAACAGCATCGCGTTCGCTCTGGGCCCTCGCCCGCGACGGCGGCGTCCCGCTGCTAAGCTCTTACCTCGCGCACATGGACGCGTCCAAGCACCTCCCGCTACGCGCCATATTCGCAACGACGTTTGCATCTGCCGTGTTCTGTCTCCCGTCGCTATCGCCCTCCCTCATCATCAATAATAATCATACTTCCCGCAGCGCCGGGAGCGAAGACGATGTAGTGCTTCACACGCTGATATCCCTCTCCACTCTCCTCCTTTCCACGTCTTTCATTCTCCCTATTTCTAGTTTTTTGTATCATCGCTTTTCCTCTCTTTCTTCTCCTCGTTCTTTTTCTTCTCGGCGCAGATCTTCGGGGTTTCGAGTCCCCGGGTTCTGCGGCGCGGCTGTCAACGCCGCTGCCGTGGTGTATTTATCCGAGGTTTGCGTTGTTGCTTGTTTCCCTGGGGGCAGCAAGAGGGGAGGAGATGTGGGGTGGGGGCTTGTTGGGTGGGTTGGGGTTGTGGTGGTGAGTTCGGGGTGGTATTTTGGGGGTGGACGGGAGGGGTTTAGATGTGTGGAGAGGGAGGGGAAAGATGGGGATGGTTGAGGAGGCTGGGGAGGGAGGGGAGAGAGTGCTATGGTAATATATATGTACTTGACGACGACGATGGATAGATCTAGCTTACTGAGGCTTTGAGAGTTCGGCGTTGGTTACACTGTTGAATTGTTCTTTCTTGAGGATTGATATTCTTTTTCCTGTGATTCGTTATTTTTATCGCCTGCCTGTATTGTGATTATGCTTATTAGTCTAGGAGTACTTTTTCTTTTTCGAGGGCGAGGGGACACTGTTAACAATACTTTAAAAACATCTAGAGCAAACGTTCATGGCGTGCTTTTCAAGTCTACTATCGCAGAGGACTATTGCAGTGATAGCGAGCTTCGAGTGCTACTCCTGCAATAAATCTTTGACTACACACCGTAACGCGTTATCCACGCCCAATAATTTCCAAATGTCTCTTCCCCACAAGGTAGAGCGGATCCCTACCTCCCTCGCTCTTCATATATACACAGGCCACACTCTATATCCGACAAAGCCCATCTAATCCTTCTTAAGCTCATACTCGGTTTGGCCCTGCCCACCCTCACCAGCTCTCCTCCTCTCCTCCACCTCCGCCACCCTCCTCACAGACCTCCGATCCAACCACTCCACCGCGACCGTGACGCCGAAAAACGCAAAAACAACCACAATCATCGCGATGCAGCCTTTGCGCCAATACGGCGCGTCGGTCGCGGGATACAGCACAATGCCCCAAAACGTATATAGCACGGCGGTAACCATGCTCATGACGTACAGAATGACGCTGCGGGCCGCGTCGTCGCCGTTGCGCTGACATATAATGCTAGCCCAACCGTACAGGATCGGGTTGACAATATACGAGGTGCCGGAGAGGTAGAAGGCGAAGAAGACGGCCGGGGTAGGGAGGTTTGGGATGAGAAGGAGGATGGCGACGATGAGTTGGAGGACGCCTGATAGTATTACCATGGGGATGCGGCGGTTCGTTATGTCGAGGATATACCCTGCTGCGATGTTGGACACGATGGAGACTGCTTGGATCCCCAGCGGGTATGTCGTCGTTGCGTGGTTTGAGAACTGGGATTTGTGGGATTTCATCCACAGCAGGAAAAGGCCTTGGAGGACGATGGCTTCGAGAGCGGAGCCGACGACGGAGTAGAGGGAGAGGATGTAGATTTCGGGCTCGGCGAGGACGCGGCGGGCGAGGGATTTGAAGTTGATTGAGTGGCTTTGCGGGTTTTTGGGGGGGAGGCGGGAGAGGGCGAGTTGAATTTCTTCTTTGCTCAGATAGGGGAGATCTGTCGATTCGGGCAAGTTGGGGAAAAAGAGGAGGCCGAATATGCCGAAGGGGATGCCCATGGCGCCGTCTGGATGGATCTTGTTAGTAGTGGATTCGAGAACAGTAGCTTTTCCTCGGGAAGTAGGAGATGACTGCGGTTCGGTGGAGACGGAGGGAACTCACTGATGATGAAGACCCATTGCCAGCCGTCCAGCGCCGTGCGCCCCTGCAACCCCTCATTCATAGCAGTCATCATGATGCCGGCAAACATACTACCAATCTGGCCAATTGCCGTAAAAATCGCAGTCCGTTTCGCAATCTCCAAGGGTTTACTACAATCCGGAAAAACATCAATCATGTTTCAGTCATCCAGTGACCGGATTCGGAGGGGAAAACTCACTACCAGGACCCCAAGATATAGATCGTCCCGCTGTACAAACTCGACTCAAAGAAGCCCTGGAAAAACCTCACTACACAGAGCTGCGCATACGTCTTGCATGCCGCCGACGACATAGTGAGGCCGGACCACACAATAAGGGTGAAGGGAAGCCAGAAGCGGGGCGTGAATTTCTGGATCAGGAGAGCGTGTGGGATTTGCCCGACGCAGGATCCGGCTGTAAACATGGCAATGAGGACGCTGTATTGATTTCCTTGGAGGTTCAGAGATTCTTTAAGGCCGGCGACCTGTATGGTTGGCGGAGGAGGAAGGTTAGTTGGTATTGTCCGGGGTGATGGAATGGAGCGGCGAGAGTAGAGCTGCGTACATAGGCGTTTGCAAAGGCAGAACGGTCTAATCAACGTTTTCTTTACAGTCAGAAGAAGGCAAAAACAACAATCGAGAATTTTCCTCTTGTTTCGAAGATAAGGATGGACTGGTTTATTATGGTTTGCGGCATACCAAGATAGTTGAAGAAGTAGGCGGCGCAGCAATACACCTTTGTCGACAATCAATTCGTGATCTTGAACCGCGACCACCTGATAGTCAGGTTTGATGGGCAGGTAGGGCAACGAACTAAGATGAAACAATCTGGCAGACGCTACATATTAGACTCTGGTGCGCGAGATATACGAAACACGAGCGTTGTTGTCGACGGCAATACCATACATACCTAGTTTGCGCACTAGGCGCTTTTCGAGGGCGGCCATGCTTCTTCCCATGTAAACCTCGAATTCGCTGCTGAAGAGGAAGACGAGAGGAGAGTCTCCATGTACAAGCAATTGGAATCGACGCGCAGGCGGGTGGCGATGCAGACCAGATTGAAGCCTCGATGGACGGGGTGGAGTAAAAAGAGAGTTGGAGTCGAGAGTACCTCGGTGTCGGCAAGCGAAGCCAATGAGGCCGGTTGCTTTATTCAGCACAAGCAACCCACATCTTGGCTTTGTCCATCTCTCCACCCGCACATGATCCAGTATTGCCATGCTCGTTATATTATCAATTCTCTCACAGTTGATATATTCGAGTGATTTCTTGGTGTGGTATTTTGAAGCCTTCGAGAGTCCTTGCAATTGTTGATGCATTCAACTACCAGCGAGATATGGATCCTGCAGTGGTCGTCATCATATTCGCTGCGTCAGTCTACTTCTGGGACTTGAAGCCCTGGAGCACATGCATAAACCTATCTCTCGTATTCGATACGATGGGCGTGTGCAGCCGGAGAAAAGGGGTGCGCTTCTGGAGGAGTTTGCAAAAGCAGGTGCGGAGAAAGTGTTGTTGATGTCAAGAGCAACAGGGGCTATTGGACTTAACACCACGTGTGCAAACGTCGTTATCCAATCTAGTCTTTGGTGGAAGACGGAATGGGAGGACCAGGCGATCCGGCGGGCTCTTCGTCCAGGCCAGACAAGAGAGGTGACCTGGGCTAAGATTAGAGCTAAGGAGTGTCTAGCGGAGGAGTACAAGGTTAAGAGAAGAGACTGAGACCAAATTCAATTCCGTGATCGTCAACGCTATCATCAGGGCTGATGGAGTTCAAGCCTCACGTACGGAAAAACTTTGCATAAAGCGATCAATTTAGGTGGTGGGCTTTACGCGATGAAATTTGACGGTATCTAGATATCGCCCGGATATCATTCTTAATGGACGATTACATCCACAAATGTGGTGCAAACGCGACTTATACGTGTAGGATTCGGACAGTGAACAGAATCAGGAAAGCATACTAGTCAAGATCAAGCGACAGCTTGCTCCTTATAAGTTCTTGATTGGATTTTGGGTGATCCTACACACAGCGATAGGTTGATAGCAATAAACGAACCAAAAAAAACCCCCGAGAAGTTGCTTGCTCCTTATCCTGTTGATGGCTTTCCGGGAAAGTCACCTCGAACACAGTCCATTAGCACATTACGCTATCTTTGCTTCATTTCAACATAATTTTTCCCCATTGCTATGAACAAAAAAGTCAATTTTTCTTTCCGTGTGCGAATGTCGGAAAGGTCGACTTAGTATGTTCTATTCTTGCCAGAAACTATCGACCAATTTTGATGCATCAGCACAGGCAGGGGCTCTCATCTTCGGTATCCCCTTCCCAACACCCCATAGAACATATCAGTATGCTAGTATCTCCCTGAAAGCAATATTTCAAACCGAAATTTACAGCGCTAAATTCCGGTCTTAGTACTGCAAACCTGCGCGACGCTTCCTACACGTCTAGCAGATCTTCTATCAGTTCTACAGTAGCAGTGTCACTTTAGGTAGTACGAAGCACATCTTCCCGCCACACTCTTACTCATAACGGGAAATTTGCGTATTACACAATCACCATCTCGCCACATCATGACTTCCCATGATTTTCCCGCGAGCCCTCACGCACTATCCTCTCATATCAAAACCCTTATATACCATCTCCTCAACCCTCATCTCTCTCCACCTGCTCGCCTTCTGTTCAAACTACGACTCCCAAGCACAATGTCCCAACAGCCATTACACACTCTGACGGCGACGCAAGCGCTCAATCTCCTCCGAAACGACACCATCACCGTGGAAGAATACGCGCGCGCTCTTCTGCGCCGCATCAATGAAAGAGATGACGTAGTAAAAGCATGGGCTTTTCTTGGTATGTTACCTGTCCATGGGTCACGCGATTTGAGTAGGCATAGACTTACGTCTCGATTATCAGATGCAGCAGTTGTCATTCAGCAGGCGGAGAAACTCGACCAGCTACCACGCAACAAACGGGGACCTTTGCATGGCGTGGCTGTAAACATCAAGGATTTCATTAATACTAGAGGTCCGTAACCACTTGAGTGGTCTTGCGAGCGAGCTGATCCCTTGTAGACATGCCCACTCAGTACGGCTCGGCTCTTTACAAAGGCCATCAGTCAGGTTTCGACGCATCCGTGGTCGGTGTATTGAGAACTGCCGGGGCTCTCATTTTCGGTCGGTCGAACTTTTTGAGATCTTCGCTGCTCGTATACATGTACTCATCTCATCCGCAGGTAAGACTACTACCACCGAGTTCACCGTCGCCAATTCTGGCCCTGACACTACGAACCCGCGTGATCCAATTCGCACCCCAGGAGGATCTTCTTGCGGCTCAGCAGCAGCCGTGGCTGACTGGCAAGTGCCACTCAGTCTGGGGACGCAGACAGGCGGGAGTGTGATCCGTCCAGCGTCATATAACGGTGTGTTCGGACTGAAACCGAGTTGGGGCGTGATCGGGACTGAAGGGGTTAAGAATGTTGCCGTGTCGTTTGACACTGTCGGGGTTTTTGCGAGGAGCGTGGAGGACCTCCAACTGTTCTGCGATGTGTTTGGGATCGCGGACGATGGGCGGGACTTTGCTTCTCCAACGGAGGATATGAATGTTGCGGTTGTGCGTACGCCGATGTGGAAGCAAGCCGGCGCATCAACCCAGAATGCGATAGTGAAAGCCACTGACATCCTTCGAGGCCACGGCGTTCGCGTCAACGCCGTCGACCTTCCCCAGGACATTGGCGAGAGCAAAGCCATCGAAGAAATGTGCAGCACGATCATCGCCCACGAAGCTGCGCCCGCCTTCCTACACCAATATCGATTAGACAAGACGCGGTTGGGCCCTTCGATCTGCAGGATTGTGGAGAATAGCGCAAATATCACACATGTAGCGTACACACACGCCGCAAACAGGCTTTTCCGTATGCGAACAACCCTCAATGCTTTTCTGGGGGAATACACAGTTGTTATTACGCCGAGTGCGGTAGATGAAGCGCCCGTAGGGCTCCACGACATGGGTAGTGCGGTGTTCAATACGCTTTGGACGGTATGTATCCCTTTACCTCGTAATTCTGATCCTCGCTGGATTTTTATAGGGAGTTCATGTCCCCGTGATAAATATTCCTGCTTTCGAGGGTCTAAATGGTATGCCTGTTGGTGTGTCGTTAGTAGCTGGGAGATACCGAGATCGGCATCTCTTGCGGGTTGCTGAGGTACTAGGTGGATCATTGATAGACGGGGTTGGTTGGAAGGGAATAGAATATGCTTAGTTTATTTTTTCGTACTGGAGATGAAGTTTCCGTGTGTATATATGTGTGTTTGGGGAAAGGGGAGGTTGGGGGGAGTGTGCGAAGTCTTGGATGTAGGAGAGATACGGACGAACGAAGTTATGGCTTCCTAGATGCCACACATCTCTTTTGGATGTTGCTCTTCACAACTTGCTAATAGTTTAATTCATCGTACTTCATCAACACAAAATCTAAGTCTATTATTTGATCATTGCATATTCTATGATAACACTTAAGTTATTATCTAACTAGCTGGGCGGGGATCAAGTAATTCAAGTCCCAGCGAGCACCGCAACTCCTTTTCACGATCCTTTTCCTATATTACCACTCTCTTTCTGAATTTTGAGTTTCTTGGCCGTGTGCCTTTATTATTATAGCTGTTGATCGATAGTATTCGGTGTAGCTAAAATATATATTGAATCTCTTACTAAATTGGCAGTCATAGATATTCCAGGGAAATCTACGGCTTCATTCAGACTCCAGTCTTTTTTGGTGGGGGCGAGGGGTGGTTGTATTTAGGCATTTCTTCAAATGTTTCGCGTAAGGAATGTACATTCCAAGGTTCCTTTCTGTACGTGTCTTGGCACGCGACCCGCGTGCGTTGTGACAGGAAACTTTCCGTATGTTTAACGTGCATTGCAATTAGTCATGTTCGACAGATAATACAAGGACCTGAGACATAAATCTTTGTTCAGGGACTCCAGATGTTCAAACAAACCCGTGGCACGTGATATACGGGAGGGGACCAATGGGTCAAGATAATAGGGCATGATTCTGAAACACGGTAATTATAACTTTCTTTGCTCTTTGACTGATGTTTGGATAGATTTTCATCGACGCAATGCTGTTGCGGATGCCTTCGTACATAGGGTCCATTGGGTAGCAGTGCGTAGGACGAGATTGGAGACTGGAACATTTGAATATTCATTGCCACATTTCCTAAAATCTCTGAAACACAAAGACGGTTGCTCGGGAAGTTTTAGAAAACTCATATCTACCAATACAGATATAGAGAATTCTAGACGTTTCTAACCAGTGGAGTTCATGATTTTGTCTTCAATATTAAGTTCACCACCTGTGCAGGACTGCATCTTTGCCTGTACTATATATTTCCATTAGTCTAGGGGCTTTCATGCTGAAATTGTTTCAAACATTCACATTTCATCTGCCCTGATTGGCCGTTAACCTCTCAGAATGTCTCTCTGCAAATTTCCAGAAGGCGCCAATTTGTCTCAGTCTCACTATAAGAGGTACTGCCCATAACCATACCCGTAACCTTCCGTAGACAGACATATCGAACAGATCAAATCCTTATTTTGCCCTTCATGACGAATCTTGAATCATTGACAGATGAAGACATTGATGTGTACAGACATCGCGTAATATTGATGTTAGAGCAGATTCGAACTCAACGTGGAATACTCTTTCCAGTGTCAAGCCTCTCGATGCATTACGTTATAAGAAGTGGGAATTTCACGCGCTTTGAAAATTACAAGATTCAGCCTCTCGGCCGCCTACTTCAAGCGGAGAGTATAGATTGGCATCATATGCGTTACGTGGATGTCTATAACAACAGCAGCAGCAGAAGCAGCAAAGCTACAAATGATGACCCCGTAGGAATTTTCAGCTTTTCGCCGACCTCCGGACTAGCAATTGTCAAGCAAATCAATAAAATCATCGATGAGGTAGGAGCATTACATCCGTCGGAGATACTCTTTCAGTCGTGGCAAAATGCTGCAGAGTACTACAGTGTTCCATTGCACTCATTACGGGTCATCGGTTTCAATACTATTATCAACAAGGAAACGAAGGCAGCCGTTTGTCACGCTGAGAATCAATCCATAAAGTCGCAAGACAAATCCATTCATTCTGCCGAATGTGATTGATGGGTTTATGGTGTTGAATCCCAGCAATATCTCACAATTCTGGGGAGCCCACTAGGCTTTATGATACTTCGCGCGTTATCAGACCATTCGACAGCTATGCCAAACAAAATCGTCCGGGAAATACACGTTGCAAAATGCAACAATCCCCAACCAGAGTCATGCAATATATACTTTGTCTTGAGCGAAGGAAACCCGGTTTGAATGGCGAAGTCATTCATGTACGTGCAGTGCACGCAATCTCTGCTTATCTTTATGTTAAGTGAATCTTCCAAACTGTCTTTTCAACAGAACCAGTGGCCAAAATGTTGTTAACACCCTTGTGAGCTAGTTGAGAAGCACTCAGCGCATTTTAAGTCTTAAGTCAAAGCATTGCACTCTGTTGAATTCGCTAACAGTATACGCATGGCGCATTGGATTACGGTGTTCCATCACGTCAATCTGGGGTCCGGCTACCTACATGGCACGCTCGACGGCTTATTAGGTGGGCGATGGGCTAAGCGTTTCCGTTGCAAACACAATGATCATTTTCAGAGCGATGCTTCATTTGGGCCTAGTAATTCAGCGTAAGAAAGAAAAAGGCGGCGTTGGTGGGACGTTGGATCTAGGTTTGCGGGGCACTAGAGACAATGAAAAGCTGTATTCCGCGAGCATTCAATGAGCAGTCTTGAAGATCTCGTTAATTTATCTCAACAAAGAGAAGCGTGTGATCTCACCCACCCACCTGTGCCAATTGTAGAAAGAGAGCTCTGATCGTGTGGGGAAGAACAAAGGACAATTCATACACCACTTTCCGACTTTTACCGCCGATATCACTACGCTCATGGCTTTTCCACAGCATCGTTCCTTTCTAAGTTCTTTCAAGGTACGCTTTCAGCCGTCTCGGGTAGAGTTAAAGGTTCATTGTCTATCACACAAAGTAACTGCTGCTATTATGACGTTTATATAAATATCTCCCCTCGAGATCTACGCTCTGCTATATTTATTTTTCAACTTCCAAGAAAATCAAATATTACTATAAAAAGGCAATTCGAGTCACTTGCAGCCATGTCTACAGTTTCCCCAAACAACCACAAGATAGAGAACAGCGAGCCAGAAACAGTCAGTCTAACTCGAGCTGAAATTGCTGAGATACGTCGAGAATTTCGTGCCCTAAAACGACATGAGTTCAAGAAGACTGTTCAATCCTGGTGGTCACCGCAGATCTGTGAATGGAATCTCGACACCATACCGCGCTCGGATGGCATATATACTCCTACAGATTTACATTACCACGAAGCTATGAACAATTGCGTACTCTACTACGTGGAACCAAAGGCAAAACGACACGTCGGATTATCCTACTTTGTCGGCGCCGGTATATTTAAGAGGTGATACAATCTACATGACGAACAGCCGAACATCGATGGTGGTCGCTACTTCGCATATCCTTTTATGATGTCCAAACCACTTACGCTCACGCAGCATATCGAAAACAATAAAGCAATGTGTCAGAAGCTTGTAGGATATGAGGAGGAAATTCTGGGGAAAGTATACGATTGCCCGGATTTAGTGAAGAAGACATACCGTTGCTATCCTCTCAGCCAAGCATTGCTCGTGATCTAAGATGGCTCCTGGGATTGGCCTGATGATGAATGGGTTCAACCTGGTCAATTCGAATGGGGCCCTATCCTAGACAGATATTGCCAAGAGCAGACTGTTGTCATCGTGCGGACTGGAGAAGAGAGCTCTCTGAGCATTCCCATCAGCTTCAATTCTCTCAGAGAGAAGGCGAAACCTCTGAATCGTCCAGATGTGGAGTCCTGCATCGCCAAAGTGGATGCTATACGTGTCTCTCTCGCAGACGCTATCGACTTCATTACCAATCTCCAGATGCTTGAAGAGCGAGCCAACCCGTCTTTCTATGACCACGAAAAGGGTATAATCGACGCAATGAGTCTTCAGCCTCTTGCACAATCAGGACTCGGCCGTGCAAGACGGTATTTCTACACTGAGGACGAATTTCTGAATGAGGTGGTCAAAGTAGGTGTAGATGAGAATAGTGATGATCACATCAATAGCATTCGAAAAGCGATGGCGAAGAGGGAGTCTGGTGACCCAGATTGGGACTGGTTAACAGCCCGTCCAACTTATATACTGGGGTGGGACCGTTTGAATTGGTGGACGGGACTTGAACTTCTTGACGAAGAGTGAGGCCACAATGTGCGGGTCAGGCGAGATAGCGAGAAAAACCTGAATCATCCACATCAATCTCATCGTGGAGGAGCAATAGGCAATGATTATGAATATGCGGGTTCGCGCTCATCTAAGTGTCCGTTACTACAATAGATGTTTTCACGAGGAAAACAATCGACCTACAGGGGGATGACGCATTGGGGTCTCACATGGCGGGAGCATAGTGTACTATAATTTTGCTTCAGAAGAATAGAAGAGCTAATCAGATTCTACTACAGCCTTTCAATTGTAAATAATAGAGATAGTACACTTAACCACCCGCCATGCAATATCCTGATGCTACGCTCCCCTGTATGAGTGACCACGAGCTGACAGCCGCTAAGTTATCTATCTATCCTACATACATATATTGTTAAATTCGAATAAGCAGGGTGCATAATGGTTATCGATAGTACCCAAGACCCAAAGTACAACGAATGGTAATGTTTGCCTTAACCTAAGTAAAACTCAATCCTATCGCTTTCACGTGCGAACTAGAACAGGAGAATACCTGTACACGCTATGCTATGCAAAAAGAATAAAAAACACGAACCCTGTACAGTTGATGCTGCTCTCCAATCTTGGAAATCATGAACCTAGTCATATTGGTACTAGCTGGGACTTCTCTCATATGGAGATGGCTCCTGGAGCAAACTAGGAGATGGGGGTGTCCAGAAAGGATGTCACAGTCCGGGGAACCCCATTGTTCCAGACCCATCTAGATAATATTGCAGTGGGTAAGTACCAAGATGCCAAGACGATTACGACTGGATATACACCCAACAGTGTGTTTGAGGTTAAGCTTTGCCGATACCGGCCTTTGACGCTTGTTGCTGGCTTGACACGTGATCTGGCAAATTTTTCTAGAACATCCGGAGTGGCCGGGATCTTGCAAGACATGACCATGGGGAACACGACGGGATACCAAGAGGTATAGCGAAGCTGCATTCAAACATGAATATCGATTGGCAGAGGACTAATTTCTATATACATAATACATCTACCACCTCGCATCCCCATCCTGCCAGACAAGAATCGTGGCGTTACGTCATGTAGAGAAGGCAATCGATTCTGTAATGATTTGCAGGCAATACCCGACGGCAAACTTCGGGCCGTGCTCGCGTGGCCTCTTATGATGTAAGGGGGACCCTTTTTTCCTGCATGGTCTGGTACCTGGCAGGCTGAGCCACTGTGTTTTTTTTTCTTCGCGATGGGCCACTAGGTAAATGGTCCGACCCCCCGACACTCCCGAGTCGTACAGTCACCCAGGAGACTTATGGAGAGGCTTCGTGTGTTATCGTTTGTCCCCTCAATATGTCGATTAATCCAATACTGTCTTCGAATTATAAGAAATTGCGAGGAGCTCATGTGTTGCATTGAGCTATTGGGCATGATAGCAAGAACCTCGAGTGCTCTTGGCAGTATCAAGATCCACAACGGCTCTTTGACGGGGCTACCATCCCAACTAACAGACTCTCATCCCCACACAATTCAAGCTCAGTAGTGGCCCGATCTCGGTTTTGCGTATTTATTATATCCCATGCTGCTCGCAGCCTTTTCCTCCATTTACTTGACATCACATCGAAACCCAGCAAGGGCGGCACCGGCTAACAGTCACGTTCAGCAGGACGATTTCTTTTCATCAATTCATATTCTTCCCATTCTGACTCCTCCCATACCAGTTTTGATCATACCTCACTCGATCCACGTCTTTCCTTGAGAAGACCGAACCTGTGTTCGCAAGGCACCTCGGTGCTCTTCCTGGTCAAACCCCCAAGCCCATCCGCCTCACGACTCGCATCTCGCACCATATTTCATAATGTCGTTCACAACGAGAGGACCTGAGAATGATATCGAAAGTGGCCCAGCAAAGCATGGGATGAACAAGAACCCGGATGACAGCCCATCGATCGACTCTACTGGAAAAGAAAACACGACAGACGACGCGGTGTTCGGCGAGATCACCGAAGGAGGCCCCAACTACCGCAACGTAAGTTCATCGAGATTTTGGATTTGGTACTGGGCTAACTGGAGCAAATAGGTGGGCTGGTTGGGTACCGTCGCGCTGATGATGAAAACCCAGGTCGGACTGGGCGTCCTTTCCATCCCAGCGGTTTTCGACACACTTGGAATGATTCCCGGCGTCATTTGCTTGCTGGTCATCGCGTCCATTAATACCTGGTCGTGCTACAGTATTGGAACGTTCAAAATCAACCACCCTGAGGTGTATGATATCAGCGATGTCGGGTTCAAACTATTTGGTCCTATCGGTCGCGAATGCTTTGCGGCTGCCTTCGTGTTGTGTGAGTCGCTCTACTCGCTTACTAGTATATTGACACGACGATTTGCTAACATCACATGCAGTGTTAACGTTTTGCACGGCCTCGGGCATGTTGAGCATTGCCATTTCGCTCAATGCTCTATCGACGCATGCTGTTTGCACCGCCGTATTCGTGGCCATTGGATGGGTCATCGCATTCGGATGTGGCAGCATACAGACTCTTAGCCGAATCTCAGCGCTCGCCTGGGTTGGCCTCGTTTCCATCATCGTGGCCATCTTCACCGTCACCATCGCTGTGGGGGTTCAGGAGCGCCCATATGCCGCCCCCCAGGAGGGTGTTTGGCAGTCCGACTACAAGCTCTTCGCCACTCCCGATTTTGCATCGGCCTCTGCAGCCCTCTCGTCCCTCGTCTTCGCCTATGGCGCCACTCCCGCTTTTTTCTCTATCGTATCTGAGATGCGGGAACCTCGTCATTACACTCGCGCCTTGATCATTTCTCAGGTCGGCATGACTACGATTTACCTCGTCATCGGAATCGTCGTATACTATTACTGTGGCTCTTACGTCGCTTCTCCCGCCCTGGGCTCGGCCGGTCCTATCGTGAAAAGGGTTTCATACGGGCTCGCATTGCCTGGCCTCATAGCGTCTACCACCCTTCTCACTCACTACCCGGCAAAGTACATTTTTGTACGTGCTCTCCGCAACACACGCCACCTCGCCGCAAACACGAAAACCCACTGGGTAGCATGGCTCAGCTGCACTTTCGGCGTTTCGATTGTTGGATACATCATCGCGTCTGCTATCCCCGTTTTCGGAGGTCTCATTTCCCTCATCGGCGCTCTCTTCGCTACCTTGACATCCTTCCAGCCTATGGGTTTTATGTGGTTCTATGACAACTGGTCAAAGGGCACGGTCAAGGGGAGCAGGGTAAAATGGATGGTGATGGTGGGCTGGGCTGTATTCGTCATCGTTGCTGGCACTTTCTTGATGATTGCTGGTACCTATGGCTCGATTGTAGGCATCATTGATAGCTACAAAGAGAGCGGTGGTTCGGCGGCCTGGAGCTGCGCGGACAATTCCAATTCTGTATAGCATCCTTTTTATAGTCAGCTTTATCGCATTCTTACCATTTTCATGCGCCTCTTAGAGGACGCTCTCATCTTTCAATACATACTTTTCTGAATCAAAGTTGCTCAACTTCGCAGTATATATTCATCTAAAGTGAGAGACAAATTGGTAAATCATGTGCTCATTATCCTGATACTGTGTACTGTCGAAAGGTAGCCAGATGAGTTGGGTCTGTTTCTTGAAAACATTGCATACATTGTCCGTCGTAGTATCGCGATACGATTATACTTCATCCGTCGTGTTCAAAATAGGTAGTCACATCTAGCAAAATTGTCACGGGGCAGATACAATCAGGATACTAGGAGAATTTACTGTTTGTGCGGTAGTGATGGGCCCACGTTACTGGCCAGCGGCTGGAACTTGAGGTGTCCTCCATAGCCACTATAGACTACACTCTCCATGTACTGTCGACCCCTGCAGAGTCTAGAACCTACGACCATGGTGCCCCTCCACATTCTATGATTGATATGTGGGGCTTGTGCCTGGCTAATGATCCATGCTCAGATTTGAGAGTATCGTCATCCCACACGCAGTTTTGTTTCATTGGATCGTTGTTTTACCCTTTGTACGTATAGGGCACTATATAGTATGTCATAACCACGTTGCCAGCCATTCAATAAGTCGATATACATTATCGCAGCACCAGTTCTCTGTCGCTGGGCACAATGACTCTTGGAGAATAGATAAAGCAACAACGTGTAAGACAACCTTTTTTCTGGGTGGGATACATCCATTGAGACCAACAATCGGTTGCCGATCCCCTATTGACTTACCGACAGATTGTGGAACAATCCCATATTGACCAATTTGTGATGGGAGTTCTTCACCACTTGGAAAAATACCATTTCGCGGCTAAATCACCGCCGTAACTCACGATGTAAGCCCACAAGCAATAAAGAGTGACCCAGAGCTACAAGATATTCAAATGCCAGGCCCAAATTCCCGAAACAGTTTTTTTTTTTGGTCATTGGCAAGACAAAATGGCTCACGTCAATTTGTGGCTAGCTCTCAGCTTTGTCATGGGAGCGTCTGCCGCATGCAATCGCACACTACTCCAAGACACAGCCACATCGTACATCAAAGCGCAAACGTCCGGAAACTTCAGTCTGCTGCCTCTGGCAACCAACGTTAGCTACATGGAAAACGATGCAGCGGTGGAAATCACCAAAGGAATTCTAAGCCAGCCAATCACCGTCGACCTCAGCCGCAGCATCTTCGATACCACGCAATGCATAGCATTCACAGAGATCACAGCAGCCACGAACAAACATCCATACGTTATCGATACCCGACTTCTCCTGACATCCGGAAAAATCACCGCGATCCAGTCCATCGTTTCGGATCCTGGGGACTGGGTGTTCAACGCAACCACGCACCTGCGGTGGGCGAAGGAGGAAAAATGGGACCCGATCCCCAAAGACAAGCAAGATGCGCGCGAAGTCATCAGAGCAGCAGGAGACGCCTATCTCGATAGCTGGAGGAATGGGAGCGTGAAAGTGCCATACGGGACACCCTGCGCGCGCATCGAGGGCGGCATATACACTGGGGAAAGGAACTCGTCTGCGAACACGTGCACAATGCCTGAATTCCCTGCGGGCTTTGCGGGGATCAGCAACCGTCGATATGTGATTGACGAGGAACTTGGGGCTGTGGATATTTTTCACGATTTCCCCTTCATCGATCTGGAGAGGCCGAATGGGACGCAGAGTACGAATTTCTTCCGTGTTGAAGGAGGGTTGATTAGATATATCCACGAGACGACCGTGTGTTCGACTCCGAATTGTGGGCGATAGAGACGAGTGCACATATAGTCGTTAACGGGACGGGCGGGCAATTGAGAGGTATTTTGAACCGTTGAAGCGTGGGTGTGCTGGCCTCCTATAGACAAAAACTCCATGCCAAAACACTGCGCGTATACGATGGTTGCGTCGCAGAGAACATGCGCATGCAAATGACTACAAATACACTCAAGATTACACCGCCCAGATTGCATCGGTGCGACAGAGTGTAAATTTCCGCCTCAGCGCGACACATTTCAAACACTACGTATAGTAATCCCCCATGCGCTGCGCCAAATTGAGGTGTTTTTTGCTACATTCATCGGAACTTGGTCGACCAATCATCTACGGCTGAGAGCAAGTTTCATTTCCTATTTAGATCCTAGCGTTGCAAGTGTAGACCAGGATGTGTAGTGATTGCAATCTATCCGTGTTCAATGCTGCCCAATATAGCGAACAGGTGTCACGTCTTAAGATAACTGCTTGTCGCATGCTTGACGCGTGGCTGAAACCTGCCTGGACCTTCCATCCGCCGTCAGTAGTACGCCTCTATATAGATATCAACACTGCACTGCACGCATCCAGATCACTATTGTATCCTCTCGTGCTTCACTACTCAAATACCACGCCCCGAACAACACTCTACTCACCGATCCACCCTCGTACTCGTACTCGTACCTGCTATCGCACTCCGCCAAACGCCCAATATGTTCCGCTACGCCATCATGCTCCTCGGTCTCGCCGCTACATTCACCGCCGCCCACGGAGACGAGGAGTCCAAGAACGGAACAGCTGCATCCGTGGTAACAACCACAATGGTGATGGACGGGAAGACCACCACGATGGTGATGACGGAGACTGGCGCACACAACCACGGCGACGAGAGCACACCGACGGCAGCGGCAGCTTCGGCGTCGCAAGGCTTAGCTTTCAAGCCTACGCATGTTCCTGCGCAGATGTAAGTAGCATGGTCGAATTGGCACAATGCATTTCGCTCAAGCCGTCAACTGTTCTCGGGTTTTACTATATAGGAAAATCGCAAGGCTAATGGGATAGTAGGGGAGCTGTCGGTTTGGCGGTTGGAATCCTCGTTGGCGTGGGATTGTAAGCTCGTCTGCTGTACGACGCCCGACACGGTCTTTGTGTGCGCCGTGTTATGCGAACGCGTGGGATTGTAATTGTATGGTATGCGAAGCTGGACTTTTCATTGTCATGATTCGAATGGGAAATGGGTGTACGTTAACTGGATAATCATTAGCGCATTCCACCATCAAATGTCTTAACAAAATCATTGGTACTCCCACACTTTTATCGGGAGTCGTCTTGCTATAACTCTCGTATAGCTTCACATAACTGCGTACTTTACATTCCGCTCGACATTCTGGCACGCAGGAGTCTAACAAGATGAGCAAGCAATTGTTTAAAAAGTGCATAGATTGTCCTACCAAATACACTGACACGAACTTCTCTACTCTAATAGCTTACATTAAAACCAAAAGAAAAGCACTACTTGCGATTGATCTGTTGCGTGCATTCAGTTGCCTATACTATTAGTAGCCAAGCCCCACTCCATACTACAATAAAAAGTCTTGGTCTGTGATCTCATATATCAGTATCGTTTAACTTGGATCAATTATTTGATACCTCCTACACTCCTACTGCCTCCAAACTAAGCAGAGTGGAGATTCATCGCATTTCCATGCAGCACAAACACTTAGTATTAAAAAACACGGTAAATACCTTTAAGCTCCAGGCCGGACACATGTTTTGTAGTTATTACAGAACTGAAAGTTTAAGAGATTTAGATATATAACATAACATTTTATAACAGTACTTAAGCCATGTTTGGTGTTTATCACAGAACTGAAATTTTAAGAGATATAGATATATAATATAACATGCTATTACAGTACTTACAACACTACATTCTTACAAAAAAAAGATTTAAACACTCTTTATATTATGATTTAAAAAAACAATTTTTATGTTAATTTAAGAAAAATAACTAGAATGTGTAAAGCAAACTTAACTTTCATAAATATACGCTTATTCAGGGGAGGGAGACGCGTGTATAGATGTTAATATACTTACATAAATGTGTACGCATATAAAAACACTAGATACATTTATATTTTTTTAAAAAAATTGTTCTATGAGTTTTTTAGAAAGATGATTGTGGAAAGAACGTGGATATTAGTCTGGCTGGGACGATGCGAAGTATGAGGATCAGCGAATAGCATATATACATAGACAGGAGATACCTATAAAGTATGCTGACATCATTTTTTACAAGGAGATGATTCTTGGTTTTTTACTATTCGAAAGGTAACTGGCATAAATCACGCAGAGACAATGAAGCGAGAAGAAGTAGCGCACTTTGATATTTTTGGTTTGATTTATAGAGAATATTGATATTGAATGCGTGTTTGTGTGACACGTTGCCTCATGTCTTCATCAAATGGGTATCTCTCTCGTCCTCATATCTGGATACAAACACACAATTACGTAAGTCTCAACCTATACGCGTATCTCCATGACACGCGACATAGTGTAATATACAGCCTCTACTATCTTATACAAGACCCCGAGTTTTCTTAATTTGCTCAGGCGTGTAGCGATTGTGATCCTCCACTCCACACCTACAAAGTCTGCCGTCCCATAGTCTCAATAGGTAGCGCAAACATGCTCAACCCAGCAACAAGAATCAATGCAGCAGAAGCATAAATCGGACTCTTCGGGTTCGCAGTCGCCGCATTAACCGCGACAATTGGCGCACAAAGGCCCGCAATGCGGTTCAAGCAGCTTGAAATACCGGTACCGGTACCGCGGTACGGCGCGGGGAAGACTTCAGGTGTGTATGCGTAGAGAACGCCATACATGATGTTCTGGAAGAAAGCCTCGAGACAGCTGAAGGCGAGCTGGAAGTCTTCGTCGCTGGAGATGGTGAAGAGGAAGATGAAGACGCCGGTGATGATGGCTGCGACGGACATGGTGCGTTTGCGGCCTATGTGCTTGATGTTGACGGTGTAGTATGCGAGGAAAGAGCCTGGAACGCCGACAATGGAGGTGATGGCGTAGTTACGGTAGACTGTGCCGACGGATTGGGCCTGGCCTCCTCCAGAGTTGGCGAGGTATTGCGGGAGGAAAGCGTTGAAGAGCGGGTAACCCATACCAATGGTGGTCCATTGAAACCAGAGGAGGCAGGTGGTAAGACCGAGGGTGCGGGTGCTGAAAAGAGGGCCGATACGCTGGGTTGAGAATTTGCCCATGGAGCGCTTGACGATATCAATGGTGCTGAGTTTGACGTCGTTGTGGACCTCTGGGTCGCCACCGATTTGGTTAAGGATGTCTTCGGTGATCCAGGTCTTGCATTTGTTCTTGTAGGCAATGCCGTGAATGACGGCTACGGCTTCGGCTTGACGGCCGCGTGAGAGGAGGAATTTGGGCGACTCGAACAAGTGGAAGAGGAAGAATCGGCAGATGAACATGGCCATCGACAAACAGCCCAGCGTAATGATGAAGTATCGCCATCCCCAGTTGTCGGCGCGGGCACAGACTTCAGCACCGGCTGCGCACGAGAAGTTGGGGATGAACGCCCATGCCAGCAGAGACGAAACCAGTTGACCAACAGGCCAAAACACCGACAACAGCGTCAACAGATTGCCATTTGCCCCTGGCAGGAATTCTAAAAATAGCGCTCCATCTACGGGAAGGTTGCCTCCAACTCCTAATCCTAGACAGGCGTAAAGAGCTGCGGTTCCGATCTGGGTGGATGTTAGTGGTGGTGGTGGGGATGGGGTGGGAGGAGGGGAGATAGGCATCAAACGTACCCAATTGGGACCAAAACCAGCAGCAATACCAAAGACACCGGCGAAGCAAAGAGTAAAGTTGAAAGCCAGTCGGCGGCCGACAATATCGGAAGCAACGCCCCAGAAACTTGCGCCTATGCAGAGACCGAGGAATAGGGCGAGGGTAGTGTAGCGAACTTCAGTCTCGCTGACGCCGAATTCTGCAGATAATGACGGCAGCGTGAGTGCAATACCTTGCAACCAGAGACTGTTGAAATGTCAGCATTCAAATTGCAAGGCATGTGTTTCTGGTGACATACTTGTCGGCCAACCATCCACATCCGCAAAGGACGAAGAGCTCCCACTGATATCTGCCCATACCAATGTCGGAAAGGGCTCGGTTGATAACCTTGGATTTCACTGTTGATTGTTAGTAACGATTCATAGATGCGCGAGCATCATTGGTATAATGGATACATTACAGGGGCGGCCCCGCTGTAGGACCAGCTATCAACACTCATTCACAGCATTACTGTATGTCTGGACCTATTAACATCCTGTCAAAGATGTGATTTGACAGGGTATTAAAGTAGGAAGAGTAGGTGATAGCTGTCCCTGCAGTGGGCCTGGCCCTGTAATGTACTGTTGATCGGAGTGTTGGCAGACTGCGTCACGTGACTTACTATCGTATGCGGAATGGGTGTCGTTAGCAGCAACGTCCTGCTCTACCTCTGCCCTCAGATCTTGAAGAGTGAGGCCAATAGTAGCGCCAGGTTTGGCGGTGCCATGGTTGACACTGGCTACGCTGCTGCTGCGTCCCGGTTCAGCCGTCTTATCCTTTTGTGAGTCTTTCTCTGCAGCTACGTGGTCTGGTGAATCGACCTGCGACATGCGCCGCTGCGATACTATTGAGTTGCGATGCTCCGCTTGCTCCAGCGGAACGAGAACGCCCGGGAACTCGGAGACATCGTGCTTCTTAAATGGGTTCAGAATCATGTTGGTCGCTTTTGGTCTGATGGCAGTATTGTTGCAATTGGGAGGAATCGATCTAAACGGTCAGTGATTCTTGGCAGAGCATGGGGCGATTCGATTCGATTCGGATGGCGGAAGGGCGAAGAATTGCTGCAAAGGGAAATTGTCGCTTAAGGGTCACCTGTTTCGGTCGGAGGTGATATATGTCGAAGTGGTGCAAGGGTCGTCGCTTGGGTTGGTGGCGCTGTGGTGGCTGATCGAAGCTTCACGTGTTCACTGCAAAGAATGCTTGTGAGCGAGGCTTGTCGAAGCTTAATTTAGGATGGATGTTGGTATTGTACGATACAACAGCGGAAGAGTCTGGGCAAAAGTTGCGGCCAAATCACCCAAAATTTGGAGGAGAGAAGTGTTGTTGGTCTGGGGAGAGATGGTGAAGAGAAGGAGGGTGGGTGAATGATGGAGAAGAAAACGACTGGCACATGTAATTAATAGTAGTAGGTGGATCAGCGGGTGGGAATGGAATGGGATGGATCATGGGATGGCTGGCATGGGTGGACTTGATGGGAGGACTTGGGCCCTGAGAGCTTGTACATAATGCCAAGGCTGGTCTCTGGATGACGTCGTGGAGCTTGGACCGGTGAAAACTTCATCCCTCACCTCGACCATGATTTGCTGCTAACCGCCCTTCACCACTCCGCCAGCCCGTTGTTTTCGTTCCAGTGCTGGCCCCCAGTGCGTTTGCCGGAGACCGATGCACGACCATTGGACGCCTATGGACCAGAGGCCCTTTGGCGGTGCCTCGCAAAACCTCTTACCCTAACACTTGCCCGTCGCGAATCTGGCATTGCAAATCTTTTTCCCGAATCCGAGATGCTGTCCATGCCGTCTACCTACTCCGCCTGATCTCGGTGCCTGTTCACCTTGTTTTCCTCTTGTTCCCCCAGGTCCCCCGCCTCCAAACTGTCCTCCTGCATTGGCCCCGCTCTATTACGTATAAAATACTTTGCGTACAGAAATCGAGGTCCGAAGAGCGGCTTGGCTTTCTACGGCGCCTCCCGAGCAAAATTACCAAGGAAATTGGCCATTTTTCATGGCGGTTCTAAGCATTCGCCTTGTGTGGAGCGCCAATGTCTATCGGGCTAAAGCGAGAACCACTTCCATCGCAAAAGCAAAATGCCAACGCTGGTTGGCGCATACGCCTGGAGAACACCCGGAACATCCCTCCCAACCATTAAAACCCCAATGGCACCTTGCTTCCGACACTGTCGGGCTCGTCTACCTACTTTTGCTTCCGCAATACCATCATCATTTCCGTAGTGACTACTTTTTACCTCGACAGTGAACTCACTCCTGAGCAAAGCACGGCTTGCCTCGTCTTATCTGCCAGACGCAATTGCTCCACATCTCCACTATTCATGAGGACCCTTTCCTCCAGCCGTCTCTACCCATTCGACGACATTCACGATTATGACTAATATACTATCAGGTCCCACATACCCTCGCGTGATGTTTTGCACGATTGTGGTTTAGCATAGCATCTTGCGATCCCGTTGTGCCCGTGACTTTGCAGTTAACAGCAAAACTACACGGTCACCGAGAGATTAGTGTTGATTCCAAGGAATCGCGGTGAAGGATGAACATTTGTGTGCCTCATCTCACTTGACTTTCACGTATACACCATGCGTATACCCTGCAGGGGCTTCGTTCTCGTTTTCCTATTGCGACTGCGATCTCTGGTACCTCCTATCTTCCCAAACTGTAGTTGAGCACCATTGTTTAGGATGGTGCGGACATAACCCAGGGTCGCGGTCTTGTTCTACCACGGCACTGATATCCTCATACAGACAATCAAGTCCTCGCACGCCCAATGAAGATCGATCGTGCGTTTCAACGTGCCTGTATTTTTTTTCCTTTGATAACACACACTTATACAACTGGACCCTTCCAGTGCTCCTAGCAGTGCCGCCTCATCTATTGTTTTCACCTTCCCCCAACAAATAACGTTTTCCCTTGGTTCTTGTTTGAGACGCTCACTCTGAAAAAAGTAAACTGTCCAAGGATGTCAAGCTGATTATGGATCTAATACACCGGTCGGGGACATAGTATTCGACGGGGTTCATTCGAATGCAGGAGGCCCAGCACCTTTTTACTTTGCTCCACGAAGTCACACCAGGGATACAGTGATGAGACATTGGGAAACTTATGCGTTGGGAATATTCCGATAGATCTACATGTTGGGCTCAACTTAACGGTCTTAACGGTCTATCCATTCATTCCGAATTCATCAATGTACAAGCATCACACATATACAGTTGACTTGTCCATCGTCCTCCAAGCCCCGACTTGAATCCATCGCCCACTTCATCTTTGAGTCAACCAACCCTGATGAATATCTTGACAAACATAACCGTTGCGAAAGTAAACGGCATATGTAACTTGTTTATTCACACTATTTGAATAATGTTGTAATATTGCATACGCGCAACGACTTCACCAACGTACGGTGGTTGTGATGTACACAGTACACCTCGAGTTCTCTGATGGGCAGAGCATTCTCATCCAATCGGCGTTACCATCGGCCCGCTCACGATGCACAGACCACCAAGTTTTTTTCTTCTCATCAGCGATGGAGTAAGTCTCATCAACCCTTTTACACTTTACCTGCTCCACGCACAAACGATCGCAGCGTATACCTTTCTACCCATCTCTCTCATCGCACTGATCATTGCGAACCATCGTCTGCGTTCGCGCGCATGCAATATGCATAGCCGCAACGATGGCGTCCGAATGCGCCAATATCTGCGTTTACACTCCCAGCACTTGCAGCGCGTCATGGAGAGATGCTGAAGTGCGAAAGAGACACGCGATAGTGTTTCCGACGAAAGCACAAGATCACGGGGTGAAATATCGTCCTTGCCTGAAGCATTCCATCACTTCATCGACCTGTTCGTCAATGAGTTCGATTACGCATTGCTGGCGGAACTTTTTTACAACCCCCCCTCTCTATCATCTATCCCTTTCCATTTCTTGTCTTGTCGCTCTCCATCCACCGCATTCCCCTATCCCAATACTCCTACACACACATACATACACATATCATACGCAAATGGCCCTTTCGAAGACTCTCTCACCACCCTCCTCCATGGTAACGAGAGTTCAAATAGCAGCGCCTACATCGAACCCAAATCTCTCCCCTCACCCTCCCTATGAAGAAAAATTCTCATATAATGGAATGGATCGTGATGAGGGTTAAACCCATGACGTTGCGATTCTTTCTGTTGATATCTAGTTGGGGTGGGGGGTACATATCATCTATATATCCAACTATCCCTTTAATTTCATTTCCGCCATGTTTGACTGTGTGAGGGTGTTGAAATGGAGTTGTTTGCTTGAAATTTTGATGTGTGATGTCTACATACATACTTAAGGTTGATAGAGATGAGATATCACGTATATGTAATACATGTATACATACTTACTTTACACGTACTACCTATCTATTACTTGCTTTACACACCTTAATTAAACGTATAAATATACCAAAGTATCTCTTTAACTAAACAACAGACAACTAAATAAGTCACACTACACACCCTACCTCTTCTTTAACCCCTCCCCTCTAAACCCCCTATAAATCTCTGCTTAGCTTTACCCCTTTTATTTTTTTATTAAGACTTCTCCTGCTCTTATACAGCAAAAAAAGTTATTGTCTAGTTCTCTCCTACAGTAATTTAAACTGCAGCAGATTATATTCTTTAGAAAACTACTGTTTAAGAACTTAGATTATTAGAAAACTCTAAATCTAGAAAGACTGATAGTTGGTAGGGTAGTTGTACGGGATTGCTATTACTCTTTGTTTTACTCTGTTTCCATCTCTCTTTTATAAGTGGTGTAAAAGTTAAGAAGAAAAAAAGTGTAGTAGTTTTTATACATTGTGTAAGAACAACCTTGGTTCTAGAGAGAGAGAGATATTCACCTTAGTATAGCCGTATAGATATATGCATGGATACGACACAAGCAGAACGCGATGCTAAAAAAAAACAAGGTACGTATATACAAAAAGACAAATCCATCATGAATACAGCGGATTTATACATATATAATAATCTACACACACATACCTACACAGAGAGGGAGGCAGAGAGAGGGGGAAATCTACATCCTCGCACCATCACCACCATCACTCTCCCTAACCAACCCCCCAAGCACCCTAAGCACCGCCTCAGCCTCCTCATCATCTGGTTTCCAAACCTCCCTAGCTTCGCGCCAAACCTGCATCAGCCTCGCCTTATCGGCGCCACATTTCCGAAAAGCCTTGAGCGCGCTGACAACAGCCATGCGACTAACCCACGTGCGCTCCAGCCCTTGGGAGACGGCATCGAGGTACTCGGTCCAGCTCTGCTCGAGTTTCGCGCGGGTCCACGAGGAATACCGCACGCCGCCGAAGGAGCAGAAGCCGTGGAAGATGACGATGAAGGTCACGCCTTCGACGGGGACGCCGTTGTATCCCATTTCGCGGAGGAGGGCGATGACGCGGTCAATGTCGCCGACGACGCGGGCGGCGTGGCGGATGAGGAGCGAGTATGTGCGCGAGTCTGGGGCAACGGGGGCCTGGTCTTGAAGTTCTTTGATTTCTTCATCCGAGGCGTAGGACCGCGCGAGCTGGCGCGAGCGGGTGGTGAGGTGGATGCCGAGGGCGCGGCGGCCGCGCCAGATGCGGGTGTTGAAGGGAAGCCTGGTGAATGGGGCGTCAGGGGAGAACAGGGCATTCTTGGAGGCGTCGAGACGCTTCATGCGTTCGAAGACGTGGTCGGCGGCTGAAGGTTCGCCGGCGCGTAGAAGGGCGGCGATGACGGCGTTGAGGACGACGGTGTCGACGGGTTCGCCGGCTGCGACGAGGTCATGGTAAGTTTGGCGGACGGCATCGCTATTTTGCATGACGCCGTAGTAGTAAATGAGCGAGACGCGGAAATGGCGGTGGAAGCGGATGTTGCGTGTTTTTATTTCTTGCAGAAAGGTTTCGGCGAGGGCATATTTGCCGGCACGCACGGCGATGTCAAACAAGACATTCATCGTCACGATACCTCCCCGGATGCCTGCGCGCTTCTCCATGTCGCGCCACAGTCGCAGGGCGTCTTGGACCTGTTCGGTATGGACGGTGCCCATGAAGCGGCCAGCGAAGTAGATGGCCGAGGTCCATTCAGAGCGGGTGATGTGTATGTGGGCCGTCTTCATGTCGTCGAGGACGGAGAGGAAACGCTGCATGGCGGTGGGAGTGGGGCGATCAACGACAGAGAGGTGGTGCAGCAATTGGCGGATCGTTTCGATGGTAAGGTAGACGACGCCGGGGGCGGGCAGCATTTTGTACGTCTTGTAGATTTGATCGTGGCACGTATGCTCGTCCTTGAGCAACACCTGCAAATGCCGGACCGTCTCTATATCTTGGTCATTTTTGAAGGGCCACGGTTGGTGATCATCGCCCACATTCCATATCAATAGCGAATTGTCCTCGTTGACCTCTTCGGGCAGTGACTCGAATCCAGGGCCGTAGTAGTCGACCAACGCCTGGAGCTCCGCCTTGGCAAACTCCTTGACTCTCTTGATGGGACCTTTGAATTTGTACTTTTCCCTCTTCTTTCTCTGTTCCTGCGGCACAGGCGCGAAGTCGTCGTCATCGTTTCCGTCCTTGTTCCATGTCGATTGGTGTCTCCGCCCTCCGCGCGGCACCTGGAGCCAGGGAGCCTTTTTGGTTGGTGATAAATGATATGCGTGTTTGGGACACGATGCCGCGCGGGTCAATGCGTGTATGAAGAAGCTGCTGCCGCCGTCGTCGTCGGTGCTGGTCCTTTTTGGCTGCTTCGAGGCGCGTGGAAGGCGAGGGGAGCGGGTCACGGAGCTCTTGGAGAAGCATCGCCGGGGGGGTTCGTTGAGCAGAGCAGGGTACAGAAAGGTGAGAAACGGGCGGGCGAATGTTGTTGGATGCGAGACTGCGGAGGTCCGTTCAATGGCGTGGTGAAGGGACATGAGAGGACAAGCATGGTGCCCGGGGGAGAGGTAGGGAAGACGATCCGGGGAGGTTTAGATGATCCGCGACGAAGCCATTGACCGAATTAGGATGAAGGAATGGATTGAGGGGGAAAGGATCGCAACGTGCGAGAGGGTATTACTGTACAGATGGATTGGAGGAGGGGATGATGATGATGTGAATCGAAGGCCATCTACGATGCACCGTTCGCGTCGCCCAAAGTTTTCTGAGCGTCACAGTCAGTTTGGCTAGCGCGCGGCAAATGCCGTCCTCCGCCTCCGCTCCCCGAAGATTCTCAACCACCATCAACATTTGACTCCATCTATCCATCCATCCATCCCACTCCCTCCCGCCTCCACCCTCAATTGGGTCATCTCCCCCTACCCGTCCACTCATGAGATAGTCAGCTTTCCATTTCCCTGTATGCGATAAAACACCACGCACGACAATCTACACAATGGGCCGCTACGACTTCCGCCCCATGCGCGTCCGCCAGACTGCAAAAGCCCTCTTCGACACCAGACGCAACAGCTCCCTGCCGCAATGGTACCACGTCATAGGCGACGTTCCGCCCTCCGAAACCCTCGCCCGCCCTATCCAGCGCGCTCCGCAGCCGCGCCGCAGCAACAAAAAGCCCAGCAGGATGTTCCAACCGCTCCCCATGCGCTACGAGGAAGACGCCCTCCGCACCGACTTTTTCAACGACCACCCCTGGGAATTAGCCCGCCCGCGACTGGTCATCGAAGATAGTGGGAATGATTCGAGAAACGTAGATTGGAGTAAAGGCATCGTGCAGCCTGGGAGACAGGTCGATGGTGAAAGGTGCGCGAATTCCCCATTCACGCCAAACTCCACCTCCACAGAATACGCAGACATGGGATGAAAGGCTAACACGGAAACTCAATCAACAGCGTCGTCCAACGCCAACTCTACCTAATGACTCACGCCAACCTCCCCAAAGCAACTGCCTACGATACCGCCCGCCGCGAGTTCTACGCCTACCGCCACCGCGCCGACATCCGCCGCCGCATCGCCCGCGAGGAAGCCCAGCACGTCGGTGCCTACTTCGGCGCCGGACCCCTCGAGGTCGGCATGGCGCTCGAGGACAAATCGTTCGAGTCGTGGAAGACCTGGGCTGCCAAGATGATCGACGACGAACAGGCTGTGCGGAGCCAGTTGTTCTCGGGCCCTATGCAGCCCGGTAACGAGGAGGATGCGACGGAGCTGAGCGAAGGCGAGCTCGAGGGCGCGTTGGAGGAGGTGCAGGATAAAGTGCCGGCTAGTCGGCAGGGCATGACTGCGCTGGGTGGGGTTGCTATGCACCCGTAAAGGCAGTTGTTTCTATGGGGAGGTGGTTTCAAGAAGGAGAAAAAATGGAAGAACCGCGAAGGCTTTACTTGGAAGACGAAATCATTGCTACAGTTTCCTGTATCATCAATTGGCCGCGAAGAGGGAGGTGATCTTCTCGTGATACGCATACGACCATGTAAAGGATAGACGAACGCTAGAAGAGGGGATAGGACTACAACCGCATCTGTACGAGTATGTTATGTCCGTATATATTGTTTTACATAAATGTAACATCACAAAAAACCGCGTCTTTTTCAAGTCCTGCCTCGCTCCGGGGTTGATTATGATGATAACTTCAAGAGCTCCACGATCCCACCCTCTCCTGAGAACGTGAAAGTCAGATAATAAAGCCCGTGCGCCCATTACACAATCCCTTACTGCTATAAGTCGTTTATGCTAATACTACTTGTAGTATTAAACTACTAGATTTAAGCATATTTCTGGTGATATTGAATTGAGCGTGGTCGGCGCTTATCATGCGTCTCTTGCTCCTAGTGCTGTCTGTCTGTCCTTACATATATCCTCATCAAGCCACTCCCCCAAGACTTTAATTCGATCTTCAAACGAGACTTTTCCATCTCCACTCTTGCTTCCTTCTTCTTCTACTACTACACCACCCGCTCCCTCTAGTGGAACCCCACTAACCTCCTTTCCAACCCTCTCCCTCAAAACCCCCGCGACATCCCCTCCACCCCCCAAAACCGCACCATCGGCCACGCTCTCGCGGAGGAAAAGATACGGCGCAAGCGTCGAGAGACGGATCTTGACTACTGTATCTAGGATATACAGTATAGTACTCGTATTCACGTCCTCTGCTTTCTCGCGAACGGCAGTAGTGGGATCGTCGCTAGATGTGTGGATGATGGAAGACTCGGGAGCATCCGAAACATGATTTCGGACAAGAGAAGTTCGTAGACACAGGAGGTAGAGTAGGAATGAGTATCCGGAGATATCAGCAGCGTGCGTGGTGTGTGTGCACCATTTCGCGACGATCGGGAGAGCGGCAGTGACGGTGGTGATGATCGTGGGACAAACCTCCTCCTTCCCGTCCTTCAACACCGTGTTTCCTGTCCCCGTCGTTGTTGCCGTGGTTGGTGGGTCTGGCGGAGAGGTCACATCTTGATGGGATCCTTGAGGTTGTTTTTGCGGGAGGATGCGATGGTGATGAGAGAGGACATGGTCGAAGAGCTTTCTCGCGTAGTTGAATGCGTAGTAATTCTTTGGATGGCGATGGCCGGATTTTAGCACGACGGTGAGTTCGCGGAGGATGAGGATTGATAGGTTTGAGGGGAACTCGGGGTCTTTGGCAGGGTTTGATTCATGGATAGTCGAGGCTTCTTCGAGATGCTCTTCTTCGCTGTCGTCGGGAGAGGGGTACGCGGCTGCAGATGGGAACAGTGATGTGCTGGGCGGTGATGGAAGGAGAAACGTGGTGAGTAGCCAGTAGCGGTGATTGTAGAGGGTTGGGGATTTGGATTGGCGGTGGAGTGGAGATGTTAGAATTGTGGTTGTGTAGACGAGCTCGCGGTGGAGGAGGTGGTGGAATGATGGATTAGTCTTGTGGAGTCTTTGGGCGTGGAGGAGGCGGCGTTTGCGGTGATTGGCGGCTGTGAGGTGCTCTGGGTCGAATAGTAGGATGGTGTGGGTTGCTTCGAAGGCGTCCTTGTTTGGGGGTGGATGTTAGGTTGGTACACATGTAGTCTTGCATTGTAGAGTGGTGAGAAACATGGATTAAGAAGATAAAGTTGAACATGGCGAGATGGATCTTGAGAAAGCTTTGAAGATAGTAAAAGAAATGAAAGCTCAGAATTCTTCAAGATATGAGCTACCAACATACATCAGACAGCACTCTGTTCTCCTTCACACCCTGGAAGAAGCGTGCACGTGCTTCGAGGAAGGCTAGGGCGAGGATCTTTTTGGGGACGCCCAGATTGATCCCATCTTGCATAGAAATGCCATCTTCCGGTTCTATGGCTGGGGGAAGGACAATGATTTCCGTAAGGCGATCTTTGTGTGCATTAAAGAAAGCAGTGATGGTGTTGTAGGCGACTTGTTGTAGGGCGAGGGCGGGGGAGGGGTTATCGGTCATGGCAGCATTTTGGAGAAGAATTGTAGTCGGATTGTGAATTCTACTTGTTCATGGAAACCAGAATGATGTTGTCGAAGCTGTCGACATTTGATAGGAGAAGTTGAAAAGCAACTGTCGATGTGGATGGCCGGTGAATTGATCATTGCACGTGGGGCAGCTGGTGAAGGCGAAGCACGGGCCACCTGCCACACATTCTCGCGTACCGTATGACATAACTTCCTTTCCATCCCTCCACCACGGAACAATCCCGACAACGACGATGCACTGAGTCGAGTGAAGTCATATAGAAAAACAATCCCTCGTCTCTTCTTCAAACTTGCCTCTCCCCAGCCAGATTGAAGCCGCCACCGCCACGATGCCTTCACTACTCCTCGTCGTCTTCATCCTGCAGCTAGCTCTCCACATCATCAACACCGTGGGCGCCAACACACTCAACGACCTGGTATGTCCGCTTTCTTCCCTCTCTAAGCTGTATTACATGAATATTTATGTGAATACAGCTATGGATTCTCTACAACAAACTTCCCACCCCTACGTCCTCGTCGGCACAGAGAGCGCAGAAGCTCAAGAAGGAGGTCATCCAGTTGAAGCGGGAACTGGCCACCACTTCGCCCCAACAGGAGTTTTCCAAATGGGCGAAGCTGGATAGACAGCACAACAAAGCTGTCGCTGAATATAATAAGCTGGGTACTAATCCCCTATGTCTTCCACCTTCCTCACCTTTTGCTAATAACCCACCGTCCCCGTTTAGACGCCTCCCTCAAAACCCACCAATCCACCTTCACTTCCACCGTCTCGACTCTACGCTGGCTCGGCACCCAGGGCTTACGCTTCGTCCTGCAGTTTTGGTTCTCCAAGTCACCTATGTTCTGGATGCCTACCGGCTGGGTGCCATACTACGTCGAATGGATTCTGAGCTTTCCCCGAGCCCCGATTGGCAGCGTGAGCATCAACATCTGGGGTATTGCATGCGCAAGCATGATCGCTTTGACTGCCGAGGCTCTCGAAGCTGTCTGGGTGTTGGCTACTAAGAAACCCGTACCGATCCCGAGCGACAAAAATAAGGAGAATGGGGAGCCCATGGCTTTCGGGGCAGGTGCCGGTGCGCGGAAACCTGGCGAGAAGAAAGAGCTATAGCGCCCTCTGTTTTTCATACATCAATTAATCTGGGAATCTATAAAAGAAAACATAAAGCAAACCCATCAAACCCAATCACATCGCGTGAACTGCTTGCGCGGTTTGATAAATGGCACAAAGATAAATCCACGGTGTGTACAAGTCAGGTTTGTGCAGCGCCCTGTCTCAATGCAATGTGATAAATAACTCCAGATGTTCAACCTGTCATAGTCATCAATCATGTTGAGACACACTGCAGCTGTCTCGGGGAACTCACCTCCACTACCCATCGGCGAATAGGCGTCTTGTACTTGATTCACGCACAGACTTGAACAAACTACGCCACCAGCAATGGGTCTCATTCTACCCTGTTCTATGCAAAGTCCACTGGCTGGCACTCTGCCTATATAAATGCACGATCTGACGGGTCATCTTTCTCCAACTCACATTCTCCTCCAATTTCCAGCTCGGATATACGCACAACATTGAGGATCCCGAAGAAATCTATACTCAACATCTACATCACTCATGTCAAAAATTCAGGACACTTTATTAGGGACACTGGATGAGTTCAAAGCAGACCTACGCCGTCACGGTTGCGCAGATGTTCGCAACCTGACCACTAATGATCTGACGAATGACATACACCCCTTGTTCTCGCATGATAGATGGGCGACTGGGGCTCATCAATGCACGCAGGCTGTTTACTCTCGAATTCTTCCAGCACTACAGCTTGCCTCTCGCCTGCTTCTCGAAGACTGCACGCTGGGATGGTTCTGCCATGTCGCTTACGGGGTCGTCTGTCAATCTTCCACCGGAAAAGAGTATTTGGCTTGTTCTAAAGACGAGAAAAAACCCCATTCGACGAGATTGGTCAAACAACACCTAGAAGCGCTCGCACGAGTCGTTGGGTTTGGATTCGAACCATCACTTCATCCAGTACATAATGCATTCGGTGCCTGTTATGGATCTCCAGCCGGCATCAGTGACACAGCTCAATGGCCGTCTATTGAGAAGCAAATTTCCAATACGGCCAACAAGGACCGTGGTACACCGTCTTTTATCGTACTGCACCCCAACTTCCGACGCTTTTTCAACGACAATTACGCCAGCGCGACCCCTTCGACACAGTACAGAACCATGTTTACATTCGCTCAAACTCTTGTGCACGAAGTGGCTCATGCGTACGCAGCATGGCTGGGTCACAAGGGAACGATCTTGTACTCGATTAACGACACGCGTGCAGAATTGGGATACTCTTGGGAGAAGGAAGTCCTCGGAGAAGAAATTTGGGCTTCTAGTGTAAATGAGATTGGCAAAGGCTGCTCTGTCCTCATTTCGACTCGATCAATCTTGTACAGACGTGTGCAGGACCGTGATCGGATGTTACGTGCCATGGTAGGTGGCAAAGATGTGCGGTGGAAATCCCTCAGGTTGTCTGGAGAAGCTCACCCCTGTGAGGATCCGATCATGACCTTCATCTATCGTTCAGGGCCATATGAGTTTCATGGCCCCGAGGACCAAGGAGATGGTCTACAGACAATACACTGCCTTTACGCTATACCCATGAAGTGGATCATGGCTTGGTTCAAAGAATCCGAATGGCAGGCTCGGCGCCGAACGTGGGAAGATACAGGGGAGTATTCTCCGCCAAAGCTGCCCGATACGTTTATATTAAAGCTTGAGCGAGTGAGCAATGGCAACCGGGTCGAACGCTACTGCCATCACTCGTTGGACGCGTCTGTGCCGCAGTCTGACACAGATGTGGACATGATGGACGTTTAGCCTGGCACCTGAGCTCTGACACCTCTGGCTCGAGAAAACTATGCCATGCGCAATACTCGAATGGTACAACTTTCCTTTCATGGGGTTCACTGAGTGGTCCTCGGGCGTGCATATCAAGGACAGGGAAGTGCAGCCGGTCAACCGCTTCCATCGAGCACATCCAGGTCAGGTTTCGATTGGAAGAGGAGGATGATGGCAGATGATAGGAGAGATAGCCCCTCTCACCTCCAACCCAAAAGTCCAGTTTGTTGGGGTCGCAGTGTGACAGTGAGAAGGGGGACTTTGCTTCGTAGGGAGATTATGTGTACATTGGAATTGGATGGTATTAGAGATCATGCCCGCTAAACACCCTATTTCAGTGACAATCCCTTCCGCTCTCGTGAAATGCGCGATTTTATTGCGATTCCCTCCCCGATTGTGTCGTCGTCTTCCGGGCGTAGTCTACGACGTTGGCGATAGAGAGTCGCAACGGTCCGACGTTCGGAGTTTCGGTGGAGCCTTAAATCCGAACGGTTCGCCGCGCAGTAGAGGGGTAGCGGGGTAAACAATCAACAAAGTGACGACTTTGAATACAACCACCTCGGACGACTCGACTGTACATATATTTCACAAGTATTATCCATCTTCCATGATATCAAACACGAAGCAACAAGAACAGTTGAACAATTCTGGCGACCGATTCATCAGTCCAGGCGGTGACACCTCTTCTTGCCCGTCCTCACTATCCCATACATATTTGCCTACAGTACAACGACGTAATGGACGACGAGTCAATTTAACCTGATCATTCTCAGAATACGTACGATTGGAACAACGAGCCCCGGGTGTTGTTTACACAAGTCCGTACTCAAGTAAATCAACAATGATATGTGACTGTGAATCCTAAATCACTGTAATGGTATGCGCACGTGAGACGAGGGACGGGAAGGTCGGGGTACCGTTGCTTGCTCTCTCACAGGGGATAATATAAATACAGCGACCATCTCCTCTTTCTCGGAGTTCAAACCAGAGAGAACTTTTGAACACATCAATCTTCACTCTTCCCATCACTCCCTCCCACCAACCTTCCCCACCTCATCCCACCTCATCCATCCATCTATCCAAAAAATGTCTTCAGAATGCTGCAAAACAGGCTTCAACTGGACCGCCACACCCACAGGCACAGAAACCACAATCACCGCCTCCCTCACCACCCCGTCCTCGACAATAAACACCTACGTGACGGGGTCCTCCAAGACCGCCGCCCTCCTCATGATCCACGACATCTTTGGTTGGACCTTTTCCAACTTGCGCATCTTGGCTGATCAGTTTGCCGAGGAACTGGGCGTTACTGTTTTTTTGCCTGATTTGTATGTTTTTTTCTTCTTCTTCTTCTTCTTCTTCTTTCTTCCTCGTTTCCTTTACACGCTTTTTCTTCTACCTTTTTTTTGGGGGGGGGGGGGGGGGGGGGGGGGGGGGGGGGGGATGATTTGCCGTCATATGGGGTCTGGACTAAGCCCATGCCAACATTTGAATTATGAATGAGCTGATGAGTTTCCCCAGTTTCGACGGCGAGGTTGTCGATCCCAGCACGCTCGAAGACCCGGTTAAAAGGGAGAAATTCAATATCCCAGAATTCATAGGCCGGAATTCAAAAGAGATTCGGTTTCCGGCCATGGAGGCCGTCGCTCGCAAGCTCAAGCAGGATTACGGGAAAGTGGTATGCCCGTTCCCCCCCTCCCCTTACCTCCCCAACCTCCTTCTTCTTCCCTTCCCCATCTTAGCTTGACGATGTTAGAATGTATGTTAATACATTGACTTCTCGCGGGGGGAAATATAGGCCACAATAGGCTACTGCTACGGCGCATGGGCGTGCCTCCAACTCTCCGCCCTCACCACCTCTCCTACTTCAACTTCACCGACTCCACTCATCGCAGCAACATCCATCGCGCACCCCTCCCTCCTCACCCCCGCCGAACTCGACGCCGTCCGCTCCCCGCTGCAAATCATCGCCCCCGAGCACGACCCAGCCTTCACGCCTGACCTCAAGAAATACGCAAACGAAGTCGTGCCGACGCTCGGCGTGGCGTACGAATATATTTATTTCCCGGGGTTGACGCATGGGTTTGCTGCCAAGGGGGATCGCGGGGACGAGGCGCAGAGGAAAGGGCTGGAGAAGGCGAGGAGGGATGCTGTGGGGTTTTTGGGGGAGTTTTTGTAGGGTTTGTTGACATTTTTCTTGATATTGGAGCTTTGTTGGTGGGAGAAACTTGATGAAATTAGCAAAGTGCTATCTCTTTTTATTATCAGCGACACTGGTAATCCCATCCCATTGTAAGTACTAAACAGAAAGAATAAAAAAAAAGTGAAAAAAAATCTAATAAATTATAAATCTAAATATTTTTTCTTTTTTTGTTCTCTTACTTTAAAGTGCGTAATAATATACAGAACTTAGCTTCTATATAAAAACATTATACAACCTAAAAAAAGCTATATACTTATCCCCTCTATTCCCCTAATCTAATACTTACTCTTTTTATATACATAAATTTTCTGTATTCCTTACATCCTTAAAACACTTGCTCTACTCTAGCACCCTTACTTATCTATTTAAATATTACTGCTTCTAGCTACTGCACCCTATCCTAGCAAAGACGAGAAAAAAGTTAATAGATAACTAGCTCTCTACTTCTCTTCCTTTTAGTTTATAAGAATAAAGCGGTAGGATCTAAGAAGGAAGAAATAAGTTTATTAGAAAAGGAGGGCATGTAAGAGGAGGATAGAGCTAAGAAAAAGTAAGGTTTAATTATATTTTTTTTGCAAAGTTTTATTTTTCCCTTAATCCTTCTTCTTCAAATCAAAAAAACTTTCCCTAACATCCTCCCCCCTAGAGTTTACTCAACAAATTGTCTCCTTTCGCAGTGGCTTTCATGTTTCTTTATTTTGATTCACAAGAGGAGATGTGTTGGAAGGATGCCTGGGTGCTTTAGGGCGGATATACAGAGTTTACATGTTGAGTTGGGGACGCTGCATCTTCGTTGGAGCTAGACATAGCGGATTCGACTTATTATACTATACTATATACTATTTTGCGGTTGTCTAAGAAGGAGAGACATATACGTGCAGGAAAAGAAGACTGTGGGTTGCTTTTCTTGCTTCCCCCCGTTGATATGGAGTGAGGGTCTGACGACAGGGGGGGGGGGGGGGGGTTTGCACATAGCGGGATATCTGGTAGTTACAAACTATGAGTGATTTGTTGCGTATATATATTCCTTGCTGCGTTGTTTGCGTGGATAGTTTATGTATTTCCGTTGTTTGTCTGGGTTTATGCGATTTCCGTCTTGTTTAGACTAGTCTGAAATTTCTAATGATAAATAATAGATGGGATTTGTGTTTTGCGCGAGTGACATTAATGAGTTTAGTTGCTGGACAGTCTGCAAGTCTTGTGCGCTTGGTGTACACTGGAGCGTAGTTGAGTAACCAGATGATGGCGATAGCTGCGTCGGTCTCGAAGGAATGTCCGCGGCGGGTCGGACCAGTGATTGCAAAGGCGGCCCCCAAACGCAGGTGTGGTGAGCAGACTGACTGGGACAAAAATAACCAACCCACCAGATAACAAGGGTGATTCGAAGATGGATTGCCGGAAGGATTGCACGTCTTTCATTGCCCAGGGCTTGGCCGCTCGTCCCAACAAAGCGGTAGAGACTGGTCCTTTGATGTTGTACGGCGCCCGCCCGCGAAGATCGGCTCGGTCAGATAACGTACTCGCTGATCCTCCAACCACGCGCGTGTAGATGCAGGAGGGATGGCAGCTGAGGTGCTACAAGAGCCAGCTTCCCGCGAGCCCCGCGGCAGCGATCCCTGCTGGGGTCGCCGCTGTGCTACGGATCGCCATGCTGTGTGCAGAGCCTCAACCCTATCCGCAAACAGGCTTGATATACTTGCCAAACATGCGTCTGTTGGGTTTGGTGGTGGGTCGCCGTGTCGCTGTTGTCGTGCTTGCGGGTTCTGAACCGATTCCCCGCCCCGGTGATGAGTTTGCCTGGTGGATGGATGAGAGGATGTAGCGGCGGGCATTCGGGGCAGCACTGCATTTTGTACAGTGTTCCTGACTGCACCGAAGCCACGGTTCTATCGTTGCTGCGCACACGAGCGCACTGCACTGAAGGCTCCCAAAGCCTGGCTCGTTGCTTTGCGGGTTGCCGACGGGTCAAAGGCATTCAAACTTTAAACGGGGGTTTCCAGACTCGCTCTGTAGAGGGTGCGACGTGTCGCCAACGACGTGGCCAGTGTTCATGTGTCGGGAGGAGTCAACTTTTGCAGTGCTTGAGCCGGAGAAGAGCGGGCCTCGGGACTGGTCCGGAAGCGAGACTTTGAGATGTCGTGGAAGGTTCACGACCTCTGACCTCGCGTCTTTCGCCGTCTTTCGAACCGAGAGATATGGCAAGTGTTGGCAAGGTCTCAGGAGCAATCCTGCAGGATGATGATGATGATGATGATGATGATGATGATGATGTGGGGATTAAGTTCTGCCAGGCAAAAGCATCGCAACCCCGCACGCAAACGTTCAACCACTACATGAGCTTTCCAAAGCGGGTGCGCACGTACAGAGGATAGACGCATGATGCTAATCAATGGACAGGGTAATAGTTGGTCGACTGTACCTTTGTAGCAGGCCTGCAGTCTACGGTGAGCGGCAATGTACCTGCGCATGTGCGAGATACATTTCACGCATGATCGGCGAACGGCTTTCGAATCGAGCGCAACGACCCCGAATGCATCGAGTATTGGCTTGGAAGGGTTTTCCTGTTGACCGGAGAAGAGAGAGAAAAAAAAAACAGACTCTTCATACGCAGCGAGCAATTTTACCGGCAATCATCCCCCTTCCAGACGCTTTGACCGATCATCCCAAGTTGTTTGTCGAGCACACAAACTTTGCCGCCCTGCTGTTTCATCTCGTCTTCCCTCAGGTCCCAACCGAGAAATCTCTCTCCTCTGTCGAGAGAGGGAGAGGAGCAGGCCAGGGTCCATCCCGCAGGCATGACATTGGACGGTTCTGCCATCCGGACTGTCCTTGCTTGCTTGCTTGCTTGCGCTGCCCGTTCCTCACCGTCCACGTTGAACGGTATGCCATCTGCAACGCCCGTCGCACATGCTTCATTCACGGGACCTGGAAACCGTTCCGGCGTATGTAGTAGCAAGGCTTCCGGACCTGTCAAGCACAATCGACGATGCCCAGTGGGGTGGCTTCAGCCGCAGGCCTCCAGCACGGGGATATGAGTCTTGGGGTGTGTCCATCCCAACACAGCCCGTCCTGCGATGCCTAGTTTATTGATTCAGGCAGCGAGATTGCAGTCATCACATGAGCAATTACCTATATGTATGTACATATGTATGTATGTATGTATGTATGTATGTACGTACACACTGCATTCGCTGTTTGCGACGCTATGCGCTAGCTACGTGTCGGCTGCGTGGCACATACCCGGGGGCCCGTCTTCTCCACCCTTCATTCACCACGGGCCCACGGCACACCCACGCTGCGTCATAATAAACCACTTCTATTTCGGGACCAGCCTGCGGTGAACGTGGAATTGGGGGGGTCTTGGAGCGGCGGAATTTCCGCTGACGCACCCAGCCGCCTGCTCTCATGCCCGTGTGAACGTGGCAGCGCAGAGGTACAATAGAACGGCCATGGGGCGTGTCGACTTGTCCGTGTCAGTCCACGTTCGACGTTCGGGAACAAACAGAAAAAAAAAAAAAACTGGGCACATGCTCGAGGATTCGATGACAGCTTGAGTGACTGTATGTTTCAGAATACGTTGGAGAAGACGTCCTACTGGCTCGCGTGGGGACACGATTTGGACGAAGGATCGGACACAAAGAGGAGTGGTATCAGAAAAGTAACAAGCAAGGGACGACAGAAAAGAAAGCAAAGACGACAAAATTTTCAACGCGAAGAAGGAAAAAGAAACAAGACAGCTATACCCGTTCAGAGCCTTGCTTACACATTCCGGTATAAACCTCGAATAGACGTAAGACTTGGACGTGCCATTCGCTACTTTCGCTTACATCCAAGCCTACCCCTATTATCGCGTCTGACCATCTTCTGCCTCTCTGCTGATTTTTGCATCCGACACGTCGACCTCCGTCCTTTCAGAGCCGTCAGCCCAAATTGTGGAGCAGAAAAACGAAGAAGTCGCAAAGGACCGGCCACAGCCACTCTGAAGTGATAGCGCAAAGGCCGAAAAAAGCAAAACACAGAGAAATCGAGAAAGCAAGCGGAGTCATAGCGCATTACGATCGGGGAAGACGGGACCTACTAACGCTGCCGCATCTCCAATGCGGGTACGACCCTCTTGAGAGAAGCTTGCACGGGGAAGCGGGATCTATACCGCGCTGTCGGTTGCTTCTTCATCCCCCCTACAGCCTAAGCCCTTTACAGGTACCTTGCTAGCCAATGCACGGGCGCCCTACATTCAAAAGACCCAGGACTCCCAGCAGTGTTACACGTCTTCTACGTGTGGGCGGTGTGAAGAATACAAGAGCTTCTGTGGGTTGCAAGATCCGAATGTTTGCACTCCGCTGTCTTCCCTCCCATTCAATGGTGCTAGGTGTGACATCTTACCGACACATTACCTATATACATACGCCTGCACCGCCCTCTCATGGCTTCCAATACCCCCACTCGAGAGATGCTCGCCACCCAAGTGCTGCCTATATCCACATACTCTATGATTCTCAAAACACCCACTCCATCCAGTATGGAGACTACTGAACACAATACCTTGTACCTGTCGACTTTGGACCAAAACAATGTTCGCGTCTACATCCAAACACTCTTGCTGTTCCCATTCCCCGACGGGAACCAGATGGAAGCTGCCATCACTGCTCTCGACCAAGGCCTAAAAGAGACGCTGAAGATATTTCCTTTCCTGGCCGGCACTCTTAAACTAGCTGAACTCGGGAAACTGCGTCTTACCTACCCAACCCAGGTCCCGGATCCTAGGGCGGCGGGTATCTTCGCCATCAAGAAGGTCGACCTTGGAGACGACTTCCCTCACACCTACGAAGAACTCAAGCAACAAGGCATGCCTCCAAGTGCATTCATGCCCGAGATCTTCTGCCCGGACGATCTGGCCGATAAAAAGAAGTATCCCTATATGCCAGCACATGCTGAAGGTATCGTCGATTGCGATAAAGTAGCGGTGCCTGCTCTCAGGGTCCAGGCAAACTTTATTCCGGGCGGCCTAGTCCTGAGCACATACTGCCATCACACGGTTATGGACTGTTCCGGCGTCAACCGCTTCTGGAAGTATTATGCACGCGAGATCTCAAAGATCAGCCATTTCCAACAGGACAAGCCAAGGACAAGAGAGGGCGAAATCCAGGATGAAGGTAACTTTTATCAATCCGATATCTTATTCATGCAGTGTTAACGGTTTGTCACAGAACTCCCTGACCGGACAGACGAATCAGAGCAACGACGAGCACTGGATAGACGTATCCGACCCCCTCCAGGTGGTACACGGGCAGATGCCGAGGCCTATTGCAAAGGCACATACTCGTATGACCAGACATTGCCCGAAGATACGCCTTGTTCCCTGAGTTACTTTGTCATCCCATACAAACGCATGGTCGAGTATCGAGACAAACTCAGTCGCCACTTCCCTGGACCGCAACGGCTAACTATTTGCAACTTGTTGGCGGCGTTGGTGTGGATTCATGTCACGCGTGCAAGGGCTAAGAGACTGAACCTTGCATGTCAAGAGCAGCAGACACGCATTGGAGTTGCTACCGATCTCCGTCGAAGATCCCATCCCGAGCATCCCGAGGTCAGCGAGGAGATCACAAAGAGCAAGGAATACATGGGAAATATGGCGCTTTTCTCTACGGGCAAAATGAAGATTGCCGATATTGTCACCGAAGATTGGTACGTTCACATTGTACATAGTATTCCGGTCTTCCGCTTTCTCTCGGGCACATCTAGTCACAGCCTCCGCCCACACCGTACAACACCGTATAGCATGGTTATATAACTGACCCCAAACAGTGTAACGGAACGGACCGTCGTCCAAACTATCCGCAAAATCCAGCAGACCATCAACAAGGTCAACGAAGATTGGGTCCTCCAGCACCTCGCCTTCTTCAACTCGATTGAGAAGATTGAGGACACGGAATGCGCGTTGGGATTCAAATTTGGACTCGACATCTACATCACTTCTTGGATGAATTTCGGTGGCGACATCGAATGGGGCATCCCCGGCACCGATCTATCCAATCATGGGCTCCATGGTCGACCAGACTATATAAGAAGGACGTACGGCCCGTCGGATGGCGGCATGATGATCATGCCACGGCGTCGCCGTCAAGTAAACGGTGAAGACGCTCCATACGAGGTCATGATCCGTCTCGCCAGCGAAGACATGGAGACGCTTACAAAAGACGAAGGTGGACTGCCTTGGTGGGCAGAAAGGATCATCGAATAGAGCTTCTCGAACGAGCACGAAAGTCATGCGCACCACGAGATAGAGGATGGTTGCCCCTGCCACGTGGGCTGGCCGACGTCATCGGTTTTCTACTTTTTGTCCTTGTTCCCGTTTTTCTTTTTGTTTTTTTCTGGTAGATGAAAAAGGGCTCAGTGGTCATCGCTACTAAGCGATGCGGCACAGCATATTCAGTGGTGTCTTTTGGTTGGAGTAGGGATTCTGGGAACACACATTTTTTGCGATTTAAGGTTTGGCCATCTGATATCCTGTACTACTACTACTTCGCGCATTGCCAGGGGTTCATGGGCGAGGGGGGTTTTTCCATTTTCGCGTTGGTTTCATTCATGCTATCATTTACTCCTTTCCAATGTCTTTTCTCATTTGTGCTCTTCGTCCTCGTTGCATAGAAAACTTTATACCTGAACATAACCTTTCATAGGCGGTTTAAAATTTCATATGAGCAAGGGTCCACGCTCCAAGGGGACGTGCGTTGACCGTTCCAAGAAGTTATCATCGTCTTGGTTACTGAAATCAAAACTCTCGCCCCGTATTCCTTTGGGAAAGGCGCTTGGCCTCTGCCTTAGCTTTCGGTGTTCGCTAACCATCTCATTGATGTAACTCTACACCATAGCAAGCCAACCCTTTGCATAATGCGATAGCCGATTTGTGATTTGTCGGTTGCAATCAGCTGGCAGCTTACGTACGCCAGCTTTCCAGGGCATCTTTTCCGTATCCATGACCCTGGGTTCTAGGCTTCGGCCACTCGTTGCCTATACTGCTAAGGCTCTATTCCAACGTCAGCTTCACCGATGCACGCAACGCTTGCATCCCACGTTCCTCCCGGCCTCGTAATATTAGCAACTTCCTGGAGAAAATAGGAGGATCATTATCAGTCCTGTGCATATGCCGAGAGTCAGTCGGCAATGTCGTGCGTGAGGTCCCATGACGATGGTTGACCTTTACGAGCCATCAAAGCGCCCGTTCATCACAATCCAACAAGTGCGCTCGCCGCATTCCTGCATGAGCATATCTTATTTCATTTTTTCAGGGTCTCAAAAGGTTTTGGCGCGTGGGCGTCTATCACGTCGCCCGCGGCCGTCCGATGTCTTCGGCACACGGCTCGTGCTCTCTGCATCCTTCTTCCATTCCATGACCACTTGATTCCCCTCAGGCGCCCCATCTCTTCGGTTATGTTAACTAGACCGACCGTCTTTTAAGTGAGCGGCTCGCCACAGTGGTGACGCTTGGGTTACAGATTTGCATGATCGGTGAACCATCGACACTGGCATCATCGCTAGCTAATTTGCAGGGGATCGGGTCCTTCACCACGGACACTCGGATGCTCGGTCTCGCTATCGCTCTGTGTGCGCTAAGGGGAACAGATATGGGCAAAGACGATTCGCAAAAAAGGGTTCGTTTAGGAAAAAGTCACGACAACCCCATATCTCTACTATAGGTTGGCAGATCTTCTTCAGACAGAGTTCATCTCCAGTCCTGTCCAACCTGGACCCCAACTAACCCGGATGAAAGCCTCGACTTCGACCCCCTACAATTGCCTTATCTGACACAGTCCCGTCTCATTGGTGGAATGACAATTAATGATGTGTGGTTAACCCCCCGGCAGGGGGAGGGGTTGACGTACAACAATACGACGTCCACACAGACTTATTCTACGAGCAGATCGGACAGGGTTTCATCGCACGTTCTCCAACTCTCTTCTTCCCCTCAAACCTTGCGTTCGCAAAAAGATGCCCCTCTACCCGCATTCACCCGTCCCTAGGCCGCACCATAGTAAAGGGTAGATGGGGATTGCCGCGGTTGTCGCTGCCATGACCTACATCTCTCCGTCGTCATGTATGCAGCCAGCGCCTCTCTGATTGCTGACAGCCCTTCATATGTATGCTTCCAAACTTTCAAGCTTTCCCGGGCACATGACTAAAGTAATCGGTATCCGCTGCCCAAAACAGAACTCGGCGCAGCTGTAACTGCTCGCTACGTATCGGTACGACGTAGCACTCTGGCGCGACGCACGCTGACGGCCATCGGCCGACATGTATGTCATAATGAGAGCTACGTCTGCGAGATGTTTGGTAAGCGACTACGCCGTCCCTCTCTCCCATCTACACAGAGCGCGAGGGTGGTCAGCTAACTCTTTCTATGTATAGCAGCAAAGCAAGCATGGTAAGGTGATCGGGGAATTACCATCGCGCTCAGCTGCCTCGCGCAGCGCGCCCACAAAAAACAGAAACAACATCATGCCATTCCTTCGCGTAAAGGCAAAGATATCCTCTCAAACACGAGGGTCGGTTGCATCAGAAAACGTGGAATGGAATCAAGGCCCGACCTGAATGGTAGTACCTGAGGAAGCATAGCATCCCACGCTCACGTTACCCATCCATCCTGTACATCCGTATCCATACATCTCGCGACTCCATTCCAGCGCCATCGCCATTCCGCGCGTGTGCGCGTCAGTCAGACCACGTGTAACAGCGCCCCCTTCTTTCGTCCACTACCATGTAGGGCTGAAAGGTCGCACAAGAACCGCTGCCCAAACACATTCCCCCCCACCCACTGAGACAGAGAGAAAAAAAGAGAGACAGTAACTGAGTGGAAATACGTAAGAGAGTCGGAGAAGTCGGCACACGGCAGCGATGAAACGAAACAGCCATCGTGTAGATCATCATCGGCGGCGGCGGCGGCAGCAGCAGTGGGGGAAGGGGGGGGGGGGGGGGGGCTCCAGTCTCGTTTGTGGAACTACGTGCATATATATGCATGTATGGAATTCCAGACCGTCCTATCCTCCTCCTCCTCCTTCTTCTTCTTTCATAATTTTTTTTTCCGTCTTCCCACTTAGTTACCTTACACTTTCTCTATACTGAAACCCTCTCGCACTTCCTCCATTTCACAGCTTTTTTTTCTCTTCAGTTTGTTCGTAAGCTAAGACAAAGGGAAATTTAAAAAGGGAGTGTTAGATTTTCTTTTGTACGCCCAAAACAATCAATCACGTAACCTGCCCCCTTTCGGGTGTCACGACCGGCCGGCTTCTCTCCTCCTCTCGCTCCCACGAGAAGGAAAAAAAATAAAAAAGAAGGGACGATGTCGCCCGGGGTTCCCGAAACCGAGGCCGAAAGAATCCCCCTTCCTTTTTCTTTTTGTGATTGTTGTTGTTGGTGTTGCACACAGCGATTTCTAGGCCCGAGATGTGGTATAGATATCGGGATCTTTTCTGTGAGTGTTGTCCCGGGATTCGTCGGTCGGGAAGGGGGAAAAGAAGATGGGTTAGAATCGAAGCGGATGCGGGATAGACAGAGGGACGCGGAAAGAATATAGGTAGTATGTCTACGGGTGTGCGGCCCGTACGTTCCATTTCCTCCTTTTTTTGCTTCTTATTTGTTTTATCCTTCTTTTCTAGCTTGTCTGCATTTTTATCTTATTTGTTCTTTGTAATTCTTTTTTTTATAGTTTTTTTTTTCTTCTAGATTTCTAAATCGCGCTACTCGGATTCGCTTTGTTCTTGTATTAACCATTATTTTCTTTTTTCTGTTTTCGCGTGTTGTTGCTTTTTAATATAACTAGTAAGCTGTTCAGCTACACCTACAGTGTAGCGGTGTGTGAGCATGTACACAGTACATTTGATTGGTACATAAGAGGTGCATACTGCCAATCGGGCCGAGTATCAAACCTACCATCCAACCCAACTCCCCTGCATTGTCTAGATTCAATCTCGCTGGTCCTTTGCTTCTTCTCCGCTTCCTCTATCCTTGCGTGCTTTTGATTTGAATCGACCGTCTTGTGAGAGTGTACATGCATTGCATACGCATACGACAATTGCCAATAGTATCAGCATATCTGGGTATGTACCATCGATGGGTAAGAGATCGCGTAGTACCTCGGCGAAGTCGTATATAATTTTCTTTCTTCCGCAGTAGTAGCATGGAAGGATGTATTCGGATGCAGAAAAGACTGTCGGCATACCGAGCTTCTTTGAAATCGGTTGCCGATGGCCGTGCAAGTCGGTGTTTTGACACGCGGGGAAGCTGGAATGCTGGTCGGAAGTTGGTGTTTAGTCGACGATTCTCCTCGGCATGGAATATGACTACACAAACTCACATCCTCCCCTTTTGAGTCACAAACATGATATGCTTGTTTTTGCCTGCTCTACAGGGTTAGATCTCCTCGTCTGGTAGACTTTGCTCCATTTGGTGGTGTTATTCACCCCAAATTGAAGTGGCCGTTGTGAATGTATTAAACATGTTGTATTCACGTATGCTGTCTGAGTGTCTTCACGCTTGATTTCTTCGACATGTCTGGCAGTTCTTTGGTTGATGAATTTTTTTCTCTTTACGGATTAAAAATAATTAAGTATTTCATATTGTTAATCGAAGATACCAACGTGTACGGATCGCACAGTAAATATGAATTAGCAGGTAGTAAAAACGAGTATCGTGTGAATACGCGAGACCAGCGTGAGACAGCGCGTCAAATTCGAACCAAGGGGACCAGTTTCTTTTCACTACCTATTCATTCTGACGGTTTGTGATTGTGCATTCACATTGGCCATGGGAACCGCATTCACCGGAGAAAAAAGCATGTGAGCTACACTAGGGGAGAGGCCTACCCGTCTGTGACTGGCTAATCTTTCTTCTCCTCTGAAGTCATAAGGAAGTTCAAGATCTATTGCTGCGATAATAATTTATGATGGGGAATAGGGAGTCATACAATCATAGCACCCTTCAGGGAGTCCCCGCACATCAGCACGCTCGACCAAGCTCAGCAGCAAGACTTGAGCTTGCATGTCTTCTCTTGCATACTACTATGCAAGGCCCACCCGCTTAATTGCCTGCCTTCGTATACTCCAACCCCTTGGTAACACTCCCCCACCCCGCCGCCATCCAATCAGTCCAGTACCCTCTCCTCTTCTTCCAGACCCCATTCCCGACGCACATGGGAAAGATCTTCTCGGAGCCTTTAAAGTACGTGCTCTGCAGGTACAGGGGCGGGGACTTCGGTCCGACCATTTCCTTCTTGGTGATGACTGGTGTTGTGGATGATGATCCTGATTCTTCCATCTTCTTGATCACGCGACAGACGAGGCGCACTGAGGCATCGGAACCCAATGTCCATGAATTGTCCGTGTATCCAACCAGGAACGAGAAGTTGGGCAAAGAGGAGATCATGCAGTTGCGCCATACAAAGTGGTCTGGGACGTGGAATGCTTCTTTGTCAACAGAAATCTTGATTTTCCCCAGGATTTCGAGACGCAGTCCTGTCGCAGTGACGATGATGTCGGCATCTAGTGTGCGCTTGGAGGCGAGCTGAATCCCGGTCTCTGTCACCTCGTCGATGGTGTCGGTGACGATGTCGGCGCGTCCCGTGGAGAAGCAGCGGAAGAAATCGGCATCAGGACAGAAACAAAGGCGCTGTTCGAACGGATTGTAAGACGGGTAGAAATGCGGGTCCATGTTGAAGTCTGGTGGGAGTTCAGACTTGGCGAGCTTGCGAAGCATGTTGGCCACAAACTTAGGGAACAGGCCCGACATTGTCACAAGAACAGTTGTGATGACGAGACTCTGGAAGCGCAGGATCTTGAGAGAGACCCATTCAGGAAAAAATCGTTGGTGCCATTGTGGAGGATCGCTGGGTTTAGGTTGCGGTAAACTCATAACATATGAGGGTGAGCGTTGAAGCATGGTGACCTTGCTGGCACCATTCTCGACAAGAGCAGGGAGAAGTGTGATCGCAGTTGCACCCGATCCTATGACGACGATTTTCTTGTCGGTATAGTCTACTTCCTCGGGCCAAAATTGCGGGTGAAATGTTTGGCCATGAAAGTTCTGCAGTCCAGGAATGTTTACCTCCCGAGCCTTGTTGTAATCATAGTATCCAGTGCCCATGATTACGAACTTTGCCCAAAATGTTTTTTGGACACCATTGTGGTCTATATCGAGTCTCCAGCGCTGCTGATCCGAACTCCAATCCATGCTGTTGACTCTGTGCTTGAAGCGAATTTTCCGGTCGATGTCATATTTTTCGACGGTTTCGTGGAGATATTCGACAATGCTCTCGCCTGTAGCAATGGGATTCGGTTTTGTCCATGGATTGAATGGGAATCCGAAGGTGTAAAGGTCGGAATCGGACCGAATACCAGGATACTTAAACAATGTCCATGTACCCCCAAGTAGCTCTCGCCCTTCGAAAATAAGGTAGGTCGAATTAGGTAAGTTTTCCTGTATACGATAAGCAGCATTGATACCGCTTATGCCAGCACCAATGATGGCTATATCGCAGATTTGCGACTGAGCGTCGGGAGCCATGATTACGATGATGACGGGGAGGAGGGGCAAAAGGACAAGGGATCAGAACGGAAGTACAAGGGGGATATATGTGTTGGGGGTTTTGAGGCGATCTAGCGACGGCACCGCAGTATGACTAAGTGGAGAAAGCGGTCATAGGGAGCGGGTACTCTCCTCCTCTTTACGCGTCGCTGAGTATAGTGTAAAAAGGATGTAGGCTGAAAGAATGTTGGTGCTGAATCCGTTGATGAAATGTACGGGAAGGTAGGTACGGGCGGTGGAGTCCGGATATTCTTGGCGATTATCTGCCGCGACACCCCATTGGTGGGTGCATCGGATCCGATATGTGGATGTATTACAGCGATGAGACTGTGAACATTTCTTCTTAGAAATGTCTGTTGCGATTGCCTCGATACTGTATCAACTGGATTTTATAATACAGCCACCGAAAGAGGCATACTATACGGAATCTGATTATCGTCAGCGGGTTATGTGACCGTACGGCGCAGCAACCCAGCTCACGTGATCTCCAGTCATCCTTCATCTATCGTACCTCTTGCATGTTATTGCAAGAAATCGTCGACAACGGCTACAAAACTACACTGTGTATGGATTGATATATATTAAAGTACATACGCAACGAATTCGCTGGTTCAAGGGATACCCTCGTCAGTGGAACAGTGCTCCATCGGACCACCTTTCCCACACATCAAGCGATGAATGTCCATCGGGTGTGAAATCCACAGAGTCTTATTTCAACATCTACCCTAGTCCATGTCCATCTTGCGTGAGGGAGTTGCGTTACAATGCCCCTTCTAGCCTAGTGACTCTCTCGCCTGTCTGGCCGTGCGTGCATGCAGCGACACATCAAACTTTTTCGTCGACGCTACATCTCTCTCGTGTGAGTAACATCTACATGCGAGCGCAGTGGCGTCCGTTTGCCTTCAGACATGCAATATTAACACCCTTACCCACTTGACCTCTCCTCCGCCGGCGTGTAACTAGCGGGATATGTTTACTATCTACACGCAAACTTGTAGTAGGCTCTCCACTCGCTAAACTCTCTACCCCGCCATTCGGCGATCGCTATGAACCCTCACCTCGTGGGGTCTGTTTACTTCAACGATGGTCGACTGGTACTCAAAGCCCATCCGGGCTATGAGCATCTCTTCCCCCCAGGCTCTGAGACCGTACCTGAGCGGCCACCGACTCCAAGTCTTTCTCCCCTGCCCATCGAGAGTGGGCCAAAGCCAGATGAAGCCACCGGTTCATCTGAGTATATCTGGGCAAACACGGGAAAGAGAACATACCCGGAGACAGAGACGGAAGAGCCGATTTCCAAGAGGCACTACACCGAGAAAATGCAACGCCATCAATTTCGAGTTGGTGATACGAACAAATTGAAGGAGTTCTATTACATCCGTCTCAACGAGGTGGGCATCATCGCACTGCGGCGCATTGTCACAGAGTGGATCAGAATCCTCGAGCCTACACGTCTGCGTGACTATGGCCCGTACCACAAACTCGACCAGTACCGTCGAAATCCCAGTCTGCTTACGGCGGAGTCCAAAGATCGGGAGTGTGAGCCGCCGTGGTGGCCACGAGACGTGCCTTACGTGGAGCCGGCTCATTTACCTGCAAAGGGTAGGGTTCTGATACTCTGTTTATCCTCTTTCCTGTTTCCTGAGCATGTTGTACTGACTTGGGAGATGATAGGCTTGGAAACCCTTGGGGTATCACTAATGCTGCTCCAAGTTTCGACCGATAAGAAGTATCAGAGATATCATACCGAAGAGGACTTGATATCGAAGCTCCATCATGCTGCGAATTACGTTGTCGCATGTGTCCCCGTTCAAAAATACGCCATGGGAAGCGACGCACGAAACGCATATCTGAAAGAACGAGCGTTACAAATTGTATTACCCGATCTCTTGAAGGCGACACAAACATTCAGGGAGCACTACACCCAAGTAAACAACAGCGAAACAATGTCAGATAAGGTGATTACGTACGAGGCGTTGCGGAAACCGGCGAGGAAAAGAGAGGGAAAGAAAGTCAAGCAACTGATGTCGGTCCACAGTATCTTGAATATTCCTTCGGAATCAGTATCTTGAGGGGTGTGTCTGATGGAAACATCCATGATGGTCTGATAGTTTACTTTTTGCGCAGCAATGGAACATGGATGGCGGTTCCTCCGGCGATAGAAGCGCAAAGGCCCTGGTTACCCAAGCAACGTTAGACGAGAGTTGGTGACCCCGAGTCTCAAGGGGACCTAATCTATTCCCTTGTCTGTGGTGTATCGTCCGGGTTGTTGGGTCTGATGCAATGATGGTTAGCACGTGTACATAGGGATGAGATGCGAACTATCCGCTACGTATATGAAATATGACGAAATTACGCAAATCATAATCAGGGTCGATCGGCATAGAAGATTCGAGAATTATTATCCAAAGTACCACATGCTCAGTCACGTTGCAGTCAACTGAGAGTTTCTCCGCAATCCGACGTTGGAACTACAAGTCGTTGTGTAGGATACCAATAACCAGCTTCCCCACTCCATCGCCCAGACCCCCCAATGATCGCCAGCGAAATCTGGGGTATATTTCTTCCACCACTAATATCTTAGCTATCCCATAAACCTCCTTTTTTACCCCTAACGCAAGCAAAAGTTGTATCTCCTCATTCAGCATTTTTTTGAATTATCATGCGTCACCCGTTTACCCGGTTATGCTACTTTCCCACTACACGACCAGTCCACCAGTAGCATCACAACCCCTTTCAAGGGTAAGAACGCGTAGCACGGCATGGAAATAGCGCAATTACACACAGAAAGACCAGATATAAATATGCTTTTCCGCGGCAGAAGCTATATTGTGGGGTAGCAGTTCTCAATCTCAATCGCAAAGATGAAGCTCACCATTCTAACCGCCATTGCGGCTTCCATCCTTCCCGCAACTGCATTACCTGCAGGAGGCGACCCCAAGCCTGACTTCAGCCTCGTGGGATTTGGAAAAGACAATCCAATTGGCGCGACGACTGGGGGTAAAGGTGGTGAAACAGTGCGAGTCTCAACCCCAGCCGAGCTCATCGCAGCCGTTGAGGGCGACGAACCGCGCATCATTCACGCATCGGGAAGCTTCAACTTGACTTCTCGGCTCCGAATCGGCTCTAACAAATCGCTGCTCGGCACGGGCAACAACACGCTCATCACGGGCGCAGGCATCAATATCTACAATGTCAACAATGTTGTCGTGCGCAATTTGGGTATCCGGTTTATCCTCGATAACGATGGGATAACGATTCAGAATAGCACTCGCGTGTGGGTTGATCACAACGAGTTTGAGAGCGATTTGTTGGGTGGTCCGGATAAGTACGATGGACAATGTGATATTGTCAGGGCTAGTGATTGGATCACCGTATCGTGGAACTACTTTCACGACCATTGGAAGTCGTCGCTCATTGGAAACAGCGATTCGTTGGGCGACGTGGATCGCGGGCATTTGCACATTACCTACCAGTACGTTTGGTCTCCCCGCGCATGAGGTTTCCATCTCATTCTCATCGATGTTTCCGCTAACATTAATGTCTCACTGCCAGCCACAACCACTGGCGTAATTCAGGCACCCGGGGTCCCGCCGGTCGCTTCGGTCATCAGCATGTCTACAACAACCTCTACGAGAGCTTCCTCTACCAAGCTATTCACAGTCGTAGCGACAACCAAGTCCTTGTGGAAGGCAATGTTTTCCGCGGTAACACCTCTGAAGCGCTGTCAACGTACGGTCTTGTGATCCCTCAAGACAGCCCAAACACATCACCCGAGGGTGATTATGAACTTGATGGGTTTGCCAATCTCGGAGCGAGTAAGTCCCTCACCCCGTGAACTGGCGATCTATCTGTGTTCGTGTGCGAATATTCACTGACCTGGCTACTAGAAAACGACTGGGGCCCAGCAACCATCAACATTACGCAAGTCGGAAACTTCACGAAGGCGCCGTACAAATACAAACTCACTCCCTTGAAGAAAGTCCAGGATCTTGTCAAAGCCAACGCTGGATTGGGCAAGATATGATTGCCCTTGGATTCTTGAACCAAGTTGGAGGAAAGAACATAGGCACAGCACATGTCAAGTAAAAGATGCTCTTACTACGGTCGAAACACTGGGAATAATTTCATCCATACGGACGGTAGCGGAGAAGACGTCCATGTAACATACCTACATACAAAAAAGAAACTTTTCGATCGCGTTTCGAAGTGCGGGATTAATACTTCTCCTGTCAAGACTCCTGCCTCTCGCTGTTGCACCCTATCATGTCAAGCAAAACATCGCTCTGCAGGATTAAAATGATTGATGGATGCTATTACCGCAAACAGCCCATCAGACATCCCGTTATAGCTAGACTTGCATCATTCCCAACGTGTTCGTGACAAATGTTTCATCATCTGGCACGCGAAACAAGACGCAGGAACGTAAAGGTTGAACAGTACAACCAACAGTCACTACATGCATTCCATCGACGATTGTCTCTTTGCTACAGAAGTGTCAAAGTATGATAAAGCGACCAATGACGTTTCGTTGGATAATGAATGGCCTCGTCTACTGAGACTGTTGATGGAGCATGATGTATACAAAGGAAATATATTTTGTAATATTAATATAAGAAGAATTTTGGGGACGCTTTGACAGCAGCCGGGTATACTGAGATGTTGCGGGGCGCGTGTTCACGTCAAATGGCTCAAGCTTTAACCTTCAAGGCTACTCGCATTCAGAACCATAGGTGCCCCATGGAACAGCTGTAGAGCTCCGACTCGCGTTCGTGCTACCATAGTCAGGTACTCGAATTATGCAATTTCTGTAGGCCCGATATCCATGAAAAGATAGGAAACCAACATGTTCGAAGAATTTTTTTATTGGAGACCCCACTCACGAACAATCGACAGGGTTTGCGCCCGGACACCTACCTATTCAGCGTTGCATTGCTCTCTCTCGTATCTTCTGACGAGCGCCCTCGTAGTAACAGCGGCCTGTGACGTGTCCTGGACATCTCGACCTTGTTCCTCTTGCGATATCGTACGAAAACAGCAGGCGAGCAAGTCATAGATGTCATAGAATAATCTTTTAATGCCCGATTTCCCGAAAAAACCACACACACGGCACGGGTTGGATCTTGGTTGAGATGCATAATCAACGTCGCTTATCGTCTCTGTGACCGATCTTTACGGAAAGCAGGTTTGCCGATTGGTGGCGAGTATACACTTAGATCACCTTCATGTCCGTTTCCTTGACCCGGCTGGCAACCGAGCAGCCCCTGCCATCACAATTGGCTGGAAAATCAACGATCAGAGGACCCGATGCCCGATATATGGATGCTGACTGCAGCCTTTTGTTTGAGGTCTGCCTTCTGCTTGAACGCCACACCATCCTGTAGGAAGGTGTTGTTGTAATATATTGTAATGTCTATATTATCCGAAGCTTCGATTTATTGGGTAGCTTGTCCTTGTCATGTCGTGAGAGGAGCTGATGGGAACATATTCAGAGGTCGTGAAATTACCCGCTTTAGTGTCCGAGAAGAGATGGATGATAAATATGACGCTGTTTCTCGTATTCTCTCTCGCTGACCGTGGGAAATGGCAGTCTGGCTGCAGAGAGTAAGACACACAGCATTGATCTGACACGATTTCCACAGCTTGCTCGAGACGAGGCAATCGTTGTTGCTGATTAATGTCACGAAGCTGGTCAAATTGAGTGATTCAACAACCATGAGGAAATTATACGCCCGTTGCAAGTGGCTTGTACTCGGTGGCGACGCTATCGCTAAGATTACGCCGGCATTGCTTCGAAAACATATCCACTGTGCCCACAAACTTCTCCGAAGAAGGGTCTCTTAGACGATCGGCTATCACGCTATACTTAATAACGGACATCGTCGCTTGCCCTATAGGCTTATTATAGCAAGCTGGCGATATGCATTGTCAGTAATGTGATGAGTGACATCGGCTCTGGCAGGTCACCTATCATCACACTGATCACGCTCGCCAAGAATCCTCCTCCAATACTAATGCACGTCATGCGCGCACAATCTGCGACGTTGTTTTCTCCAGTTTTCCAAATTTTCGGGGGACGATTCTGAATGCTTACAAGGGACGGTTGGAGCACACCAATCATGTGCGCGCTTCAGGGGAAGGATGTGGGCCTCAGTATCTTATGTGGGGGCGTCCTGGAGATATTACCGAGTGCAGCGTGGTGGAAGGCTGGATTGCCGTCTATCGGTAGATGTTATGGGCGATCAACAGGGTCAACGAAGTGATACGATCCGTGGTTGAGGAGCTGTCACTGTCTACCTTAGTTTGGGATCTCTGGAAGGATCCTTTTGGTGGAGCAAATCTCAACATATTGACTGTCTTGATCCCGTACTTGTGAGGCAGCGGCGCGGTGTGCAGGAATGAGAGCATCGACATTGTCTTGTGTTTTGAGATAATCAACGAATCCTTACCCAAAAAGTCTACCGAACTTGACCATTGAAGCGCCACAGAAGCTCCCGAGGTGGATTCTCGTAGGATTGTTAACGGCACGATGCACAGTAAGACGCCACAAGAGGAGTCCCGCGAGCATGAAGGTTTACACAAAAACGGTGGCCCAGTTAACGGTTTAGAAACTGAGACTTAACAAACGCAGGGAGTCGCATGGTTGAATATCCCAATGACCAAGTAACACGAGTATGCAGGCCAAACCAATCACGACCACGAGTTTATTCGCCGCGCGACCAGCGCCATCGTGCAGTTTCACTTGCACACGAATCCCGGACTCCATCCCGCTGTCAGGTATCCCGAAAGAGGAATACCCTACTATGACCACGACTCGCTAGCTTACTCCCCGAGTCGCATAGTAGGATTAGCGGTTTGCGTTTCGGGAGGACCTGCACAGTCTGCGCATCGAGAAACGTGCGTGTTAATAAACTGGGCCAGCCCTCTTGGATCTTCGGTGACAGCCTGGGCCTTCAATGAAGTTCACACTGCCTGTCTACCTGCCACCCAGAGCTGCCTAGTTCGTCCTCAGCTGTGACTACTTTCCAATTCGTTTCTTGTCTTTTCCCCTCTTCAGATTGTCCGCTGCACGAGTGTACGAGTGTATCGCTGGTTTCGATGCTCCGCACCTGAAAACAACCAAAAAACATGGCTGCGGAAATATTGCTCCAGCATTTGCTTGTCAATGCGCCTGATCCCGATGAGCCATTACCGTTGTCGAATCAGCCAGCAACTCTCTATGGCGTTACATTATCGCTTCTTGTATGTACAGTCATTGACGTTATCACGAAGAACAATGAAGAAACATGATGCTGATGCATGCATATGTTAGGTCGTATCATGCGTATTCGTGGCGATACGGATATGGGTGCGCTTCCGGGTGATGCACGAGCCTGGATGGGATGATTTTCTGGTTGTACTGGCAGCCATATGTAATGTATCAGCTACAGCTTGTCTTCTGCGCAGTATGTACTTTCGGATGCACAAGGCTTTGACACCGAGCTCATCATTACTCTCTACAGGCATCAAGTACGGACTAGGACATCATTACCTCTACATCGGTATCCAAAACATGGGGGACTATCAGAAGGTATGATGCACTGTCAACTACATGCGTGCATATCTAACTAACCTTTGGCCAGCTTTTCTGGGTTATGAATTCGGTTTACATCATGGAAACGGCAATTATAAAAATGTCGCTGCTGGTCCAATACCTGCGTATCTTCAAAGCGGGTACCATGCGTTGGATCTGTCTGAGTATGCTGGGCATCGTCACTGCTTGGGGAATCACTTATAGCTTTTTGAGCTGGTTTCCTTGTACGTCCCTTTCTCTCAATACCAATTTTTAGACTTCACTGACACACAACAGGCTTCCCAGTCCAGGCGTTTTGGGACCGTCTCAGCTACCCCAACGCAAAATGCTACGGCTTCGGGTTCGACTTCAACGATATTGAAAGTTTCGTTGCGCTTTTCACAAGCCACACGGCTCTTAACATGGTGTTCGACTTCACCATATTCCTCACCCCGATGGTTCTCTTCACTCGACCAAAGCTGCTGCGAAAGAACGTGCTTGCTTTGGCGGGCATCTTCGCTATTGGCTCAGTGTAAGTACCCCTTTACCACATGCCCATGACAAAACTAATTCCCATCAGCGTCGTCATGATTTCCGTCTGGCGTCTTCACTCCATCGTCGTACACCGAGCCGCCACGCAACCCTACATCGATTTTACCTGGTGGGCACCCCATGCGCTCCTCCTATCCTGTCTCGAAATCGATCTCGCAATCATGGTCGCCAGTATGCCCGTCTTCTGGCCAGTAATGGAATCCTCCTTTTCCGCAATCTTCGTCACCCACGAAGTCCACATCACGGAGCATCGACGTCTGGAAGACGATGACGAACTCTACGAACTCGAGGAAGGGAAAGTTGCAGAGAGGAAAATGAGTATCCGAAAGGGTAGCTTGAAGAGCGACAGCGGAAACTCGCGCGAAGAGTTGACACGAGAGCCGTCGAATGAACGGAAGGTGGAAGGCGTTAGTGATCACTACAAGGACCCGTACAACATCGCACAGGTGGATCCTTTCGGAGTGGAAGCCACTGCTGGCGTGATCGGTGTCGAGACAAATGCCCATTCAACCGCGGAAAAACCAAAATGGAGAGGATATGAATGATCTGGAATTTTCTTTGTATCTGTAGGATGCGTTTGGCTGGATTTTTGCGCTGATGACAGCGATTGATACCCCTTCCAGTTGGAAACATTCCTTCACTCGATACGCAAAAAGCAATTTCCATCTCCATACGGTCATTGAGTCAGTCTCTCTGACAGTAGAAATACACATAGAGTCAGACTTCAACTTTTGGGACAGAATTGAACACTGCTACTTCGACTACAATGATCGCCCCCAACCACAGCCATTTGAATGACACTTCTCGCTGCCGACATGCATACATACATCAGCCATGCACCACCGGATCGCTTATCGGTGGAAGAAGGTAGCCGCATCATTCTGATCTGCGTATCGCCACTGCGACTAACCACTAGCTTACGCGTGCATCCATCGCAAGCTTCTCCTCAGCCCCTCCGCAGCACATCCAGCCATACCAATGAATCAGATTTGCACCAGCATTTCATCATTTAGTCGTAGATCTATCCCGGCTTTGGCTTCACAACAATGCCAAAATAAACTACGTTGACAAGCTTGCACCGGTGTCTATTAAATTGAAGATCCATCGGAGAGTCACCGGTGCGTGAAGAATGTTTCGGCCTTGTGCGGCCACTCAGCGCCGGCACGGTGTTAGGCCAGAAAGGCCTCCACTCTGTATCCGCTCTATCACTTTCCGCTTATTTCCATTGATTCAGTTAGCCCCTAAAGCGACTCTGTTCTATTTCATGGATGTGTTTGTTCATATGCGAGGCAGACCTATAATATCTGCCTCTTATATAGGGCGGTACCTATTCAACATCCCATCCAGATTTGTCCAGGTGACCTGCAAAATATGTACTAATGGTGAATGCTATCATATTCCTGCACCTGTATGTGGGCCAAACTCACAACTTTCTCTTGTTTCGAGCGCATTTGGATGAGGAAATGCCATCCATCGACATGATCATCCAGATTGCCGTGGGCTCGATCGCGCCGAATACTGTGGGCGCTGTTGTCTTAAATCTGAGCGACAAGGAGTGCGATGCTGTGCCTGTGTCGCAGGCCAGTCGACCAGTGTATATCTTACTCGAGCATCGGACAAACACGGCCTCAGGGATCAGTATCCCCCACAATCCTTACCCTCCTTCTCGCGCGGGATTTTGCTTCCTGAGCTGTGGAGAATGCGAATCTTCATCAGAGCTTCTAGCCTTTGACTAGCGCCTTGCACGGGTCTCGGTCCAATATGGCGTGTTGCTACGCTTGGGATCCTGTCATGGAATGATTTCGCTCGATTTGGTGTGTCGCTGCGCTCCTGGGATCTTGTCATGGAGTGATTCAGTGGATGGTTGCTGCCGAGAACCGCACATGCACATCCCCTCGCACTTGACATAATAGAATCCTCCGAATCGATAAGCTAATTTTGAGAACCGTCGAAGACGAGAGAGTGCATGATGCGGAGAAAGATCCATTGATGTCATGTCATGTGACGTCATTTGGGTCCAGCTGGTGCTTACATGATTGATCACTGCACATGTGGACAAGCGTGGCAAAGCACACTACGAAAACGTGGGATGTATTCTCGTCCGCAAGTTAGAACGATTATGAAAACCACGTGTGGCAGTGCAGTCCACGAAACTGGTACAGGGAAACCGTTCGTGTCACTTGCACAGGAACTCAGTGGTCACTGCACCGCCATCATGGGAAGCATCAAATGCTAGGGGCTTAGCTCATTCGAGCGCTGTACGCGCAACTCGACGCTACTCGGAATATCTTGATTACCCCGTGATATACAGCAAACCAAAGAGTTGAAATAGATCTTGGTGTTTGAGAATCTCCTCCATCGCATCTTCTGATGATGACATTCTCACATTCAATGGATTCGTAGACGGGAGGCTGACAATGACGATTGTCGCAACAACGGCCGCTTAAGGTGCCGATATACGGATTTCCGGTGTCTTTGCTATCCCGGCGCCCTAGACGTGGTTTGGGGGCCGCCAAACGTTTCTACATCTTTTTCTCTCAAAGAGGTATAGGTGACCAGAGAGATTTCACTCAACCGGGTTTAGCTGTACGCGGGTCTCCCCAACTGTTCTCTAATTTAAAGGCGGGTGCATAGACACATAATCTCAGATCTACGTATATCGTTGCATCTTTAGCTTCCTACTTTTGCTTAGACGTCCGTGTTGGGTTGGTTCGTTTTGCGTATTGTCGTTGCCTAGAAAGCTAAAGACAACGGGTAGACAGAAAGAACTTGTTTCGATTACACTTGGGATAGTTGCACAGCCTGGGCACGATCTGATCAGACAGCATTTCTCCGCATTTATGCTAGCTTATGGCACGTGCGAACTCACCAGCTCACTTTCAGGTATACTGCGTACTGCGTCAGAGCTAGGCTGTGTTGGACAGCAACTATACCGCGGAATCGTATTCCGTCTGGAGAGGCATAAGGTCTAAGCAGTGACGGCAGAACTGCGTATAAGAAGGAAGGCACATCGCTTCGAATATAGGCATCCACATTCTGAATCTCAACATCATCTTTCTCTTTTACATTTCATCCAATATACCCGTAGCATTCTTTAGCCGGGTAACCTAATACTATCAATTACAATCATGATGCAAAACTCCATCTCGAGAGCTTCTGCTCTCCTGGTGGCTTTAACAAGTCTACCTTCATCTACCAATGCTTCCCCTGTACTCAGCAGAAGACAGGCTTCGAACGCCACCATGGTAGACGATTTCGAAAAGGTACATTTTGACTTGCATTCTTTCCGTCAATCAGAACTAACGATTGCTTTCATCAGATCGAACCCAGCCCCAAACTCAACTGGGTACCCTGCTTCCAAAACTTCACTTGCACACGCCTCGAGGTACCCCTCGATTACGAAGATTTGGCGGCAGGCACCACGGACATAGCGTTCATTAAATGGACATCTCCTCAAACCTCAAACTCAAGTGCCAACGCTACAGCACCCCAAGACATCCTGCTCAACCCAGGAGGTCCAGGTGGCTCAGGTGTTGATTACTTGCTTAAAGCCATCAATTATTTGATTCTGGCAGGAGGCTCTCAAAACAATTACGTTGGTTTCGATCCCCGCGGTGTCAACAATTCCGGCCCCTCTCTCAGCTGCTTCCCCGAGAACCAAAAACACACGCAACTCCTGTACGAGCGTCAGCAGCAACTGGGTGTCCAGATTGATGATCCGATGTCGGTCGTAGACGTATGGAGACGTGGCGCGGCCTTTGGAGAGTTCTGTACCCAGTATCACGGAGTCAATGGTTCCGCACGATACGCCAATACCGTCGCCGTGGCCACGGATATGCTGCATTACACTGAACTTATCGCCGAAGAAAAAGGCGAAGACCCAGGAAAAAGCGAGCTGTGGTATTGGGGCGCATCTTACGGCACTGTGCTTGGAGCCACATTTGCATCGCTCTTTCCTCAGCGCGTGGGACGTATGATTTTGGATGGTGTGGTCGATAGTGAGGACTACTACGCCGGAAAGTGGGAGACAAATCTCGCGGATGGCGACGCAGCTGTTGAGTCCTTCTTCACCTACTGCTTCGACGCCGGGAAAGAAAAGTGCCCGGTATGGGCGGAATCTCCCGAGGCGATCCAGGAGAAGTACGACGCCATCATTGAATCGCTCAAAGAAAAGCCTGCCATCGTTTCGAACCCAGAGCTCGTGGATACTCCTTCCATATTCACATACCGAGACTTTCAGACTCTGCTCGTCAGTTTCCCCTACGTTCCGGATATCTACTGGCCAGCCCTCGCGTCTGCCCTTCCGATCCTAGAAAGCGGCAACGCAGACGCCATTGCAAACGCAACACTCACGGGATTCTGGCGTGATACTTGCAGTCCGCTCGCCACGCAATCCAAGCAGTTGGAACCACTACCTTTCATCAGCTGCAATGATGCAAACGGCAGATTATTGCTCGATACCTTGCCCAAGTTTCAAGACCATGTCGACATGTTATACAACTCAAGCCGATACATGGGTGAGGGATGGGCGTACATTGGACCCGCTCAATGCCAGAACCTCGGATTCCGCCCACCAAAGTCCCAGGTCTTTGAGGGTATCCCATCTGCGAAGAACACGTCGCACCCTATTCTGTTCGCCAGCAACACCATTGACCCTGTGACCCCCCTACGCTCGGCGGAGAAGATGCAGGGAATGTTCGGGGGTGCTGGGCTGTTAGTACAGGAAGCGGTTGGACACTCAACGCAGAGTACCCTCTCCAAGTGTACGATTGGCCATTTCCAGGAGTATTTCAGCACTGGCGCACTTCCTCAAGAGGGGACAGTTTGTGAAGCAGACACATTACCGTTCCAGGAGACTGAAGGTGCGGGTGGCGCTCGAGGCGGGGATACACTGTTCTGAGTGTAAAATCTTGCTCATATTGAGAAGTAAAGCAAACGCATTTGTGGGAAACAGGCACAAAGCTTGAACTGTAGAATTAGAAGGCCGCCTAGACTCGGTCATTCCTCTCCCCTGTTATTAGTATCAACGAATTCAACGCATATTGTTTACTTAGCAAACGACACCCATGACCATTCCTACTAATAAACTATGGAATACGATAGCTTACACCCGCAACAACATCTAAAAACATCAATCTCCATCTCAAAACCGCAAAACTAACCTCTCAAACTCTCCCGAGCATCAAAATCTCACCCCCACCTCCACTATCACTACTGACATACAACCTCCCAAACCCATCCTTGGCAAACGACACCGGTCTAAAACAAGCAGTAGTAGAGCACTTTGTCACATCCGGCGCCCACATAATCTCTTTATACCCCGTCGTCCCATTCCCCTGCATCCCCATCGCCTGGGGCGCAAACCCCTCCGCACCCGCCACAAACGGGATCTGCACAATCTTATAACCAGTCGACGGCGAACGATTCCAGCTCCCATGGAACGAAACCAGCAAGCTCGTCGAGTTTTCTATAAACGCAGCATCGAGCGGCGCGGAGTGAGCCTGCAGCGCGAGTTTCGCGGGTGTGCTTTTCGCAGCGCACAGGGCGTCGTTGAAGGTGTTGTTGGGCGTGAGGACGAACTGATCGCCGATGGCGAAGGAAGTGTCGGTGATGAGGGCGGGGTTCCAGATGGTGTGGCAGGTTGGGTAGCCGTACCATTGTGTGTTTGGGAGAGAGGGGTCGCCGAGGTAGTTTAGTTCGTCGGCCGGGTTGTCGGCGTGGATGTCTGTTGATGTGCCGTTGACTGTGCGGTGGATCTCGTCGGAGGAGTTTTCGACTTCCCAGAGCCTGCAACGGTGGTTAGATAGGTGGGAGCTTGGGGGGGTAGAGCACTGACATTCCGTTGTCGTCGAACGCAAGTCCCACGCCGTTTCGCAGACCATAACCCAGCTGGTGGCCTCCGCTCGCGTAGTTGTATCCTTCGGTTGGGGCGCTGGTGATGTTGAATGCTTTGACGCAGGAGCGCCCGGTTTTGATGTTGCCCGCTTCGTAGTCGAAATTGTCGTTTGAGCCGTGCGACACAATGAGCAGATCGGGATGGTTTGGAGAAATGGTGACTGTGCGGGTGACATGGCCTTTGTTGTCCATACCGGAAATTACAATGCGAGATGTAGCGCCTACAGTGGCTGTTTTGGCATCGTAGTCCCAGGCAAAGACTTGGGTTGCGGAACTGGCGTACAACGTCTTGCCATCTTTGCTTAGAACAATGCCATGGTTTACGTTCCTCTGCGCGATCACTGTGCTTGTAGATGTAAAGCAGCCGTCTGGTCCGATAGTATGCGCGGTGATTCCCAACCCGTTTTGAACGACCAGAAGATGACCAGCGGTATCAAAGACAAGTCCTCGAGGTTGTATCAAGTCGCCGGCAACTTTGACTGCCTTCCAACCACTTGCCGTATTAAGTGGCGAGTGAAAGTCTGAAACACTCGCGCATGAGGTTGGGATGCCAGTATTAGTCGGAACAGGTGTAGTAGGAGGGGTGCTTGTGGGAGGCGTAGTGGTTGGGGTAGGAACAGGAGTGCTCGAGATGGGGGGTGGTTTTGCGTCAATGAGATTGGCTTCGACGAGCTTGTTGAAGTCTGTATTTCTCCCGTGGTTCAGATCCACACTCCAGCGACCGAATGAATTGTGAACATTAAAGGTTGAGCGATTGTTTGCTGGTTCAGCCGGTGCCTTTGTCGCTAAACCATGTGCAAATGTTAAAGATTCTCTAGTGAGATCCAGTCCGCTCAGTGTGCCTTCTGTGTTTTCCCATTGCGAGCAGCCTCTGCACCGTACATTGAGAACCCAATGTGTTGCATTGTACCCTGTGCCTTTCAAACAAGTGTATTCAGCATCGGCGTATGGTTGCGGAAGACTCAAGCCACTGTAGGGCGTTAACAAGTTTTGGTGTCCGAGAAGGCGATACATACAAAGCCATCCGCGAAGAATATATCGTAGTGTTGGCGTTTTTGTTCATCCAACCCACTGTGAGAGGAACGTAAGGCATTGTTCCACCCCACGAGAAGCCTACCCAGCCATTATAACTAGGTGAAGTGATTTGAAGCACGGTATCAAACGGGGCTGTCTGAACATCCGGAATTGCGATGCCGAACAATACACCACTGGTAGTCACGCCAGCGTAGCAAATTCCCGTTGTTCCATCGCAGTAGCGCTTGGACTTGACCTGTGCACACGCTGCATTTGAATCAGTGGATTATTCGCGAAGAATTCGGAGACGCTACATACCGGACCCTATAAGTGCAAGCGCAAATGCTGTGAACGTGCTGCACTTCATGATGAGTAACCTAGCCAAATCTTGCTTAAGGGTACATGGCTGTAGGAGGTACCTTATACTTGTACGAATGAAACGAATTTCAAGTCAGACCCCTAGCAAAGTGTTATTTTGATAATATATGCTACCAGCTTATGGTAGCGCCACATCGCACGGTTGAGAGGAACGCGGTAATTAGGATTATGGTACTCGCTCCCGACTACGCGATCCCACGTCCTTAGAAATTTGTTTGGGGGTATAGAGCGCACGGCTATAGATACTGATAAGAGACGATCCCATGCGATCATCCTCCCGTGGGTTGTGGCGGCTTCGGCATGTGTGTTTCGTTGTGGGGGTTGTGGATGTGTGGAAGCGGTTCAGCTTCGCTATAGCATGTGCGCCTTGCGTATCATTCCACACATTCCAGAATGCCCTCAGCGGCTGCAAAGATAGACGTGACTGCAAGCCTCATATCATAGAGAAAGACTCTAAGCAATCTTTAGCTGGATTGGGGTTTTCCAGTATGATATCGTCCCGGGTTTTGGGTTTTAAACCTCTTTCCAAGACATCACCAAGGCCTGCTTGGCACATCGTGATTCCAAATCATCGCCGACATTTCCTCGAAAGAGAGCCGCGATATTGCTGCTTATTGTTATCAGACGGGGTGGTTCGACGATGACGAGATTTGAATGTGGGGGCCATGCTTTCTACAGCCGTGGAATTAATGACGAGGGCCCGGTAGCTCATATATTGTTGTATTTACCCATGAAACGTCAGCACCAAGTACTTGAATAATTATTGCGGGATTATCGTTCGTAATTGAGACTACTGCAAAGCTCCAGATTGTGCGATTTTGAAGCGGTCCGGTCGCCGAACAAGAATTGGAGGATATGCTAGTGGAAAGAGATGTATTGTAGGGGATGTTTGTTGGCTTTCTCATAGGAAGCTATTCGGGGCAAACCCCAAAGACCAATGAATATGAAATTTTTGCTTTGTGGCATTCCAATTTTCGATTTTGAGTTATCACATACTAGTGACAGTAGATAGGTTGAAAGGCTTAAAAGACTGCGGTGGCACACAGAACTGTCCCGTCCGGCTATACTGTTGATCGATCAGCGCAAAGTCACGCAAACACACACCTTCATTCTCGCACTTTGAAGTACACCAACAACATATTGATAAAGCTTGAGGCATATCACTTGCTACAATTGCTCTTATTTGTTTCCCATGACCCCAATAATGTTGATCATTCTACTTCTGTCTTTTCATTCATTGCACTTCTGACAATACCCCTCAATTCAATCGTGTACCAAGAAAGCTTAGACGCGAGCAGAAAGCGCACTGTACTTTCATAGCAGCATTCAAGCCTGAGATACATCTCCAAGGCCCCCCTTGTCGCCATCGGCGCCCTCAATGCCACTATCGCCAAAGACATTGGCTCCTTGTCCAAGACTTTCAAAATCCAAATTCAATCCTTCCCAATCCCATATTTGTTCCAAGCCCCCCATCTCAAGGGGCTGCGATGCGTGTGGAAAGAAAGGAGGCAAAGGCGCAGTGGTTGTGGCAGCGGTAAAGTAGGGATCTGGGGGTATGAAGCTATTGAGATCGAAGGGAATGTCAGTGTCTATTGGTGCTTCAGGCGCTATGGGTGGGAAGGACGGTGCTACAAGTTGAGATGGGTTACCATCGTCGTTCGGTGTGGATGTGGTAGTGGGATCGATAGATGCGGGGGTTTGCGTCAAGCTTGTGGATACAGAGTGAGACTGGCCGTGCGATTTGAGATCCGATTTTGAGGAATCGACTCCGCGATGCCGCTTCGTGCTACCATGCGAACTGTCACGCGACAGTGCTGGTGAAGCTTGCACGAGGTCCAAGAGGAAACGATGTGACGCTGCACCGATTTTGGTGGCGCGAGAAAGTTTTCGCAGTGCAGTGATGGAGTGGTCGATCATTTCCATAGCTTCTTCGCGCCTTGGGAGGGTATGGTCGCGATCGTGTATGATGGCCGAGCAGAGGATCGTCGAAGGGTCGAAGATGCAGAAGATGACCATATGGGATTTTGCGTTGATAGGGAATGCATGTTCAAACATTTGATGTCCGATTTTCAGAAGAGTCAAAGCAATTGTGATGCCTGTCTTGAGGTAGTGTGCGTCATGATCAGTGGAAGGTTGGCGTTGGTCACGTGCCAGATACGGCTTAACAAACATGAGCGAAGACATGTAGATAACAGCATGGAGTTGGAATCGTTGAAAGACGAGGTAAGGGTGGTCTTGATCAAAAGATTTGTCCGTAGAATCGACGCGGAAGACTGGCGGAAGCTCATCGATGAAAGCGTCGATTTCAGCGAGGGCGGTAGTGATTTGGTCAGTCGTATAGTCGTTTGAGGTCCGAACATCCACCTGTATATGTGCGAGTCTTCGAGCGAGACTGGCTTCCAATGCAACGTGGCAGAAAGGCGATACCAAATTGAGTTCGGTGCTAGACTGGTCGAGACGAAGATTAGGAAGCGTGAAGGAAAGATCCTTCTGGTTGATCAGGCGGGGTCGGTTGAGCCACGAGGACATCTGCCTGCTTAAACATGAGTTCACGGTCCAGCTACTGTATCAATCGCGCGAAAAACACGTACCAGTCCCAAACAAATAAAAGTGCCCACATCCGCCTTCGCATTTCAATGTCGTACTCCGACAAATCGTCAATGCCAGAATCTTTGTCCAGGCCTATGGCTCTTTTCAGTAACGTGTACATGCAACATTAAAATGCCTACTTACCAAGTTCTTGTGCCTGCCGGATAGTATAACTAAGCGCATGCCATGCTTCGACAATGTTCCCTTCTGATTTAAGCCATGCACATTTCAAGAACTGCTCTTGCACTCTCTCAAGAGTGGGACATGATGGTGGGAAGTTTTTGCTTAATTGGTCGGCAATGGTTGAAAAACGTTCAGTCAAGCTTTGACAACTGCATGCCAACTCGAACTCAATCATTCCCCGGAGTGAAGAGGTGAGATATTGCGTGGTGTAGCTAAGAATTCTGAGTAGCAGACACGTGAAATGTGGCGAAAGATTTCTGGCGTTAGTGCGATCCGCCCACCAGTGCACATATTGTTGAGTAAAGGTCGGGGCATATATCGAATTGTAGCGATGATTGACCGATGTGAGGAAGTGATTCACAATGGCATCTGGTACCATTAAGTCAGTATTAGGTTCTTCTGCGAATCAGCACTTCTCACCTGTGATTGAGCGAGGCGGCATGGCTGCTAGTGCCTTTCCGACTTGGTTGGTAGCTTCAGTGAAGATTTCATTAGATGCGTACTCCTTGAGAAAGTCAACAGCAGATTCTTAGACAAAAGCGGAGCCAGGAAATATCTACATCATCGTCCGCAGGTTGTCCTAAGTTGTAATGAACATGACCGGGCATGTATCCCCACATCTTCAGACCATGACCATAATCACCAGGAACCGCGTCGTCGTGGAGCCCAGAATCGTCTATGGCATCTGAGAAGTCTCTTTTAGAACCTCTGATATCAGCAGCGGTCTCACTGTTTCTGAGTTTAGTCAGCAGATGTAGTCGTTATGGCCATGAACATCGCAGGGATAGTACCGAGCCGACGAATCTGAAGACTGGGCCGGTTTCGTCTTCTTATTTCCAAAATGGCACAAATGTGGCACTTTCCTGGCCAGGCAATGATTGCAAGGCCATTCGCGGGAGCACTAATACCGACCGAATTAGCTTCCGAAGCATGGAGTAGCTGTGGGGTGGGAGTCCGATGGATTTCGGAACGAGCCTTTTGTTTCCGACGTTGGCACTCAGTGCACGAAGTACTCGAGCGATCTTTCGAGGCCTGCATTCTTCAATGTGCTATTGGCTTCACCGATATTCCAGTAAACTTCTGGAAAGCAAATAAAAATTTGAGTAACTCGCTGTGCTGATTTTTAGCGTCATCGGCTTCATAGTCATGATTATAGCCATGCGAGAATGCCTAGTCCGCCACGCACTGAAGCTGACTAACATGGCCACGTGACTTGAGCTGCACCCGGATGTCTTCGAAACGCTCAATTTTCTTGACCGGAACGAGGTATAATCGGTTTTAAGAGCGATTAATAAACGCCCAAGTATATGAATAGCAGATAAGTGAGTTCCGAGGTCGATAAATGCAGGTACTGACATAGAGGGACTACTGTGAGAGTCAGGGTTTTTGCGCATTTACCAGTAATCCCGCATCTATCATGCATGGGGGCGGGCGAAAACAAGCCGGCCAGTACGAGTATCACTATAATACAAGTGAGGTGGCGGCCAGAAAAAAGAAAATAAGATTGTACATGGGTGATTGACGTGCCCCTGGTAAACCCGTTACCGCCAGGCCATCGCCAGTCCCCGGAAAACACTTGGCCGGTATTCGGAGGTAACAAGCTTGAATCCCGTATGAGGAAACGTGACACAACTTATCTTAAGGAAGATTCAGTGATTTAATGTTTTCTTGCCGGTAAAACGTGTTCCAAGCATGCGCGACAACCTATGAACATGGACCAATCATATTAGAGTATTGCTCCGGTCACCATCCGTAAGCCCATCAGTCGTCCTGAAATTCGGCCGAAAAAGTTTGCTGTCTACCTGGGTACCTATTGAAGATGGTTGCGGAATGTATGTGCCTCGGGAGAGTATGAGAGCAAACAATAGGTTTGGTCGAATATTTTACGTGCATATGCCATCACTGAAGCATGTCGTTATCGGCATTACACTCCAAGATAGACACTCCGTGTCAAATTTCACTGTCTGTTCAATATTTCCAAATCGTACAGCACAGTTGTGAGCTCGTACGAGATGCTCCATCCCTCTACCAGTGTATTTATAATGGTATAATGATGAAGAGTCCTGTGATCGAGCATTTCTCAGCTAGTCTTTTTACGGTTAGACTCAGGATTTGCGGGTTTGCCTGGAGGATGCGTCATCTCTTCAGTTCCATCTACACGTCTTACTTGGCCAACTGGTACCTGGACCCCCTTATGGATTTCTGAATAGCTTCTTACCATGAGTGCGGACTCACAGACGCAGCAACGATGGGTGCCTCCCAGCAGGCGCAGAGACAAGCCGATCTTGTCGTGCAACCTTTGTCGCCGTCGGAAGTGAGCACGATTTTTCCAGGCTTCAACTCCTCCAAGTCACGTGCTGACCTGTCGTGAACCGTGTAGGCTGAAATGTGATCGCCAACAGCCGTGCAAAGCTTGTGTCGGTCGCGGCTTGTCTCTTTCGTGCACATATACCCGCGTTGCGCAAAAGTCACCAGCCACAGCGGAGGCGGGTGCATCAAGCAACGTCTACGATCGAATCAACCAACTGGAGAAACTCGTCACTACGCTTATGGAAGCAAATCACACTGGATCACCTGGTAGTGCTTCAGCACATTCGAATTCCACGCCCGTTGTTAATACCAGAATCGCCGACGAGCCTACCGAAGCTGATATCCCTCTGGCCCCCGATAAAGTAGAGCTCAACAGCGACGAGACGCGGTATGCGAACAGCGGCCACTGGACAAGTATCTTAGATGGCGTGAGTAATTCCACATTCTTACAAAGATTCACAAGGAACGACTAGGCAACGGTCGCTATCAACATGTGTTTAACAGATCTTCAGATTGCTGAGTTGAAAGAGCACATTGACGAGATTCCTACCGCAGCCCAAAGCCGTAACATGGTGGAGGATGACGACGGTGCCTCGGAGCTGCTCCTCGGCGTTCACTCCGAGGCTACCCACGAGGAGATCCTTCTTGGTCTACCCCCAAAGGCTGAAGCAGATGCAATGCTGGAAAGGTTCTTCGCGCGTGTTGAAGTAACCACATGTACGGGTATTGTGCCTAATATGAACTACGCTGACGATAGCAGTAATCATTCACCGACCGACATTTCTTCGTGCCTACGAAAGATTCTGGAAAAGTCCTAGGGAAACGCCCATAATGTGGTTGGGATTTTTGTATGGCATATTCACCATCTCTACTCACTTTGCCTCCATTGTGACTGAATATCACTCTGGAATCTCAGTACCTTCTGAAATGACTAGATCTACAGCTCGGATCGACTTCTACCGCGAAAAAGTGGTACAGTGCCTGATTTTGGCAAAATACCCCAAGTGCCCACCCTACACACTTGAGGTAATGGTACTCTATTTTATGAGCGAATATTTGCGTTCCCGAGACGTGCAGTTTGGACAGTGGCTGCGTGTGGGGATGATTGTTCGCACTGCCTTCAGAATGGGATACCATCGCGAGCCATCACGATTCCCAAACATTTCTCCTTTCCAAGCTGAGATGCGGAGAAGACTCTGGACGATCATACTCCAGGTTGACTTGATGTCTTCCGTTGCAGTAGGACTGCCGATAATGGTCTCACACTCTCTTCCCGATGTGAGGGAGCCACGTAATCTTGAGGAAGACGACATGTATGAGGAAATGACCGAACTTCCTCCCTCACGACCAGATACAGATAAGTCAATTATGCGGTATGGCAAGAACCAGATTCTTTTTAATGGCGACCATTTACTGACCTTCATTATAGTAAGACTGTCTTCTCCTACTATATCGTGATAAATCCACGTACGGGCAAAACTCTGGGGAACTCTATAGCTAACTGTACATGACCCGTCTAGTTTATTGCGTTGCACGAAATCGCCTCCTACGCGTTCTCGCAAAGATACAAGATCACACCAACGCTAGTGAACAGCACGGCTATCGCGAGGCTCTGGAGCTAGACGCTAATTTACGAACTGTATTCGAGAGCATTCCACCTGCATTGAGATGCTACCAAGTACGGAACTTTGATGTCGAATCGGACATTGCGATGCGACAACTGTACATAGGTATCACATATCTCAAGAGCTTGATGATGATCCACCGGCCGTTCTTGCTGCTTGGGCGCGAGGACAGTAGGTACGAATACTCGAGAATGATGTGTCTGGATGCGGCACTAGAGATTCTCGATTTCCAGACCCTACTGGAATTCGAATCTCGCACAGACTTCAAACGGTGGTCGGCGAATTGGAAAATCTGGACCGCAAGTTGGCGACTTTCATCGTTGGTGAATCAGGATTTTCTGTTAGCGACTGCGGTACTACTGCTCGACCTCAACAAGGATGTTGTCAAACCCTTACCTTACCCGGACGCCAAACTACCTCGAATGCGGATGGAAAGAGGCCAGCCAAGTCGCTCGGAGGTCGTCGGTGCATTGATCAAAGCCAATTTTGTGTGGAACCTGGCAAGTGCGAAATCCAAGGAGGCTGCCAAAGTAACTACCGCCATCAATCTGGTTCTTGGGAAAGTCAACGCCGCGGGTGTGCCTGGCGGAGGTGAGTATATTTCTGGTTTGGAATTGATAAAACTGTGGGTAAGGGGACTGACTTTTGACAGTCGTATCAGCCGCCCATGTACCTACTTCCTCCCCGCCAATCGAACAGCATGTTTCAGACACGCAGCAAATATCCGATCTATCTCCTGGGGCTTCCGCCAACGTTTCGCCTTACTTCGACTTCAACAATATCGGAAACTCGCCATCGTTCCCAATGAACGAGATTCCCATGATGGGCTTCGGTGACGGCTTTGATTGGGTAAGTTATCAATGCATTCTCCCGCGAAGTCAAGTAAAAACTAATAATATATAGGGAGGTCTCGACTCTCAATTCCCACTGCCGTCTTTCGACCAGAATATGCCCACATATTTTGGGTAAACTGACTTTGGTTAACACTGGAGACACAATCGTAGGGGTTTCTTCGTTGACGCGTACATATCTCCGAATAACAGCATGTATATAATTGATACCCCACTCACTCTATCTGTTCTATTTACAGCACATTGTTGTTTTTTGATCGTTCTCCGAGTTCTCGCTTCGACTACGAACTAGATGTTCAAGTAAAATTGTCGTCATAATCAGTGAAGCAACAGAGTATCTAAAATCCTGACATGTTGATATTGCCATAACAACCCTGTCTTTTTCTCAGTTCTACCGCCTGAGACTAGTCATGGTATTCAGACCAACTACCCCTCCACCACCATCACCTCAGACAACTATGACATAATCCTCCCCATCTAATAAAAGGCCACACTCTGTCAGCAAATATACTATCTTTCTAGTCAACATCCACCCTGTTGCCGTCGGCGTCACATACGCGAGTCTAATAAAGAAACTTCGGTTATCCGACCACATCGACTTCACAGCGCTCACGCCCATCACTCGATCAAAGTCAAAAGTCACGATACATACACCGCGAAAAGCGATGCTATAACAAAGGGTGTTTCAGTGCTAGCAGCCCCACCCTTGTTAGCGATCACGCTTGGCATGAGAGGGGGGCTCTTGAAACGCTGTCAGGACTACCTATCCCCTAGCTTCTTAAATCCAGCGGAACTAAATACTCTCGGTTCCTTATTGAAAGATGAAAAGGGGCGTTGTGTGAGTGTGTAGATATATCACTGACGATGATAAAGAATAGAGTAAGACTGGCCTCATCATCTATTATTTTAACATTGCTTATATCTTTTTGTTTGAAGCACAAACGCAAAGTACAAATGCTACATGTATATATGAAACCCCTCAACAATGCCTACTACCTAATCCTCACATCGCCCATGAATAAACTTTCTTTTTTAATGTCAACTTGAAACCATTTCCGCGGGAGACTTGCGCGTGTAGCTTTACACCCGCACACATTCCCGCAATCGGAAAAAGCGTCTTGCTCAGCAATAGGTAACTAGGAAGGATAACAATCCTAGGTTGCGCTTAATCGGCCCGTTTTTTTTGGGCATCTCGTGGATCCCGCGTATGGGTGTTATTTCTGGGGGAAGTGAAGAGGGGCCTTGGATAGAGAGGGGACGAACGAAAACGACGTCATTGATTTGACAAATGGGTAGAAATGCTGTTGTTCAACGCTGTTTGATTCTCGCACATCGACTTGTGCGAGGCGAACCGTAAACAAGTACGATACCTTACTAACCCCCATCTTCCCCCTCTCTCCTTTTCCTTTCCCTCTCTCTATTTTACGCATTGAAATTTGAGCTTTTCGAGGATATAGCAGCATCCCCGTGTCTTAACAAAAAAAAAAGTTGGCCCATCTTCGCAATTTGGTATCGACACGCCATTCTTCTACTCCTACCCCTTTCCTCACAAAATGCCACCCTATGGTCTCCCCTCCTACGGAATAAAAACCCCGCAGTCGTTCTTCAACAGGCAGTTCTCGTCGTACTTTGGCGATCCGATCGTTATCGAGCCAGATATGGATGTGCGCGGGATGGGAGTGAATCACGGGTACGAGAGGAACACTGGAGTCGGGGCGTTACCTATGTACGAGACGAAGCGGGGAGAAAAGATGTGGGGAAGGGGGAGGAGGTGGAGGTGGATGGGAGTCGGGGTTGTGGTGCTTGGGGTTGTGGGGTTTGTGCTGGGGATATTGGTGGTGCTTGCTGGGAGGGAGAGGGGAGTTTATGGGGGGCAGTTTCTGGTCAAGGTAAGGGATTGTCCTTTTCATTGGTGTGCTGGGATGCGATTCCCCATTTTTCTCTCTTTTGGTGGACATGGGGAGGGGCGATTGATGATGTGTCGAATTGCTGATTGATATGGCTGGGTTGGGTAGTTGAACACGTCGCGTGTTGGACAAGATATTATCCGTTTCGAGCGAGCGTCTTCATCGGCGGCGGCTGCTACACGAACCGCGACGTCCCGACAGCTACAATCTACTGCTGCGCCTACTCAGACGACCACATTGAACCCGTTGGATTCGCTGAACCCTTTTTCGACTGCGAGTCCGTTGAATCCTGCGAATCCCGACAACCCGCTCCATTCGCTGGCGCCAGCAGTGGATTCCTTATTAGGGAATTTGATGGATAGCGTGAATGATGGACTTGGCGATGCGCTGGATCAGATTGTTGAGGGGCTGGTGGATGAGGTGGGCGTTCAAGACTTTTACTACCTTTACTTGAGTGGGATTTGTGAAGGGAATTTCGGGAATGGGACGGGCGTGAATAAGGACGGCGTTTTGGTGGGGAAGTGCGTGAGCTGGAGTGACGCCTCAGCTAGTAAGTCGAGACACCAAATCCATGTTTTTTCTCTACCCACCTCATAGCATCTTAACTACCCAGCGAAGTCCCAAAAGCTAACCCTTGCGCACAGGCTTCCACTCGTCGTTCAAAAACGTCCAGTCTTCCATCGTCGTCGGACTGACGAATATCTCTGTTCCCTTGATCGCCGACTTGACCCAAGGAATCGGCGGCGTCTCGTCCACTCTTTCAGGAATCCGCACCGCTCTTTTTGCTTTCCTTATAATTGGCCTCACAACCTCCCTTCTCACAGTACTTTTGGCGATCCCTTCTGTCTTCTTCCCCGATTCACGGCTCCTCATCATCACCAATGTGTTAGTATCGGATCTTGCATGCATAAGCTCGTTCGTCTCGGCTGTGCTGATCACCACGCTTGTGGTAGTTGTACCTTGGGCGATTGGCGATTTGCTGGCGGGCGTGGGAGTGGTGATGAGTAGAGGAGAGACAGTTTTGGCGTTTCTGTGGGTGAAATGGGGGTGCTGTCAGATCATTGCTGTGTATTGGACGACTGTTTGGTTTGTGGAGGTCAGGCGAAGCAGTTTCTTCAGGAGAACAAGAACGGGGGACGAGATTGGGAATTGGAAGGGGATTTTAGGCGAAATACGGAGGGACTTGAAAGGAGCAAAGGAGTTGTAGACAGTGGTTCTTGATTGAATGAAAAAGACGTCAGTGGTTCCTCTGTATCAGTTCGAATTTTTGCACTGAAATGGCGTGCCTTTGATGAGGCTCAACGTGAGTTTGATATCAAAGTTGAAGCAGGAATTGCAACGACGATATAGATCTGTTTGCTGGTCGGTGAAGTAGTGGAATTGGAGGCTATGCAGATGACCGCGTCAGTCGACCGACACACGCGCAGACGATAGTCTCACGCTGACCAAAGAAAACTCCAAGAGGAACATGATGCGGCATCCAGACTTCGGACCTCGGTGTGATGATAGAAGCAATTTGAAGTTGGACGACAAGGAAAAGCACGAGACGCTCCGGATCAGAAGCGGCTGGCCGCCTCCCGCCACCGCACGGGCCTTCACCGAGGCATCTCAGCTCTGCGAACCTCTGCCTCGTCTGTATACACCCGCAATCGATCAAAACCAACACGATTCATCTCGTGAACGCTGGGCAAAGCGCTTGAGCATGCCCGAGCTTCTCACATGATGCTGAACTGGAGGTTTCGCAGCCCTCCACGCTCTCTTGTCCCCAGCCCAGGAAGATGCCGCCCGAACGCACGCGCCGAACCGTGAAGGCCTGTGTCATCTGCCACAAGAAGAAGATCCGGTGTGATATCGATGAAATCGAGGGAAGCGTATGCACGCCTTGCGCAAGAGATGGCTACGACTGTGTGCCGCGCGAGCGCAAGCGAAAACGATTTACCCTTTCCCCGTCACCTCCCATTCGGCAGCGGGTGCCGCATCACAAGGGGAACCCGGTTTTGCCAGAGAGCAGTCGATCGACACTGAGCGATGCGTTTTCCACCATATCGAACCCTGCTGTCGGGAACGGAGACGCGGCCAAGCTGCAATCCCAGGACCCGAGCTGGAAATCCGAGAGCGATCCCGACCGACAGCTTTCGAGCGCCGCAAGTCTCGGGGTTGTGTCTCCCCCAAAGCTTGATCAGCATCACAGTCCCGAGTTCCAGGCATTTTCCGAGCAGACCCAAGCCAGTGCAACGGCATCGACGTATGCCTCTTCTTCCAACGTCGTCAGCTATCTCGGCCGTCTAGAGTATCTCCGGAACGATGTACCCGTCAACGATGATGCTGGACTCCCCAGCAAGATGCCCCGTCGACTCTCCGACACTGACCTTGAGATACTCAAACTTCGGCGCGTCGAGGACTTGCCTCCAAAAGCAGTGCGCGACTCTCTGATGAACGCTTTTTGGACAAGATGCTATCCCTGGACTCCGGTTGTGGAGCGTAGTTGGATCAACGATAGTAGCCCCGAGCACGTGTCACTTTTACTTCAGCACTCCATTTTTCTCGCTGGAAGCAGAGTCAGTCCCTATCATCCAATCTACACGCCCGAACATTTTTACAAAAAGGCTCGGGTGCTGTTCTGGATGAATGCGGAAGAAGACCCCATCATCACTATTGCCGCAACGCTACTCATGCACTGGTTTAATCCCGAAGGGCCAGAGAGGGTGTCTCTCGACACTAGCAGCTTTTGGTTACGAGTGTGTATAGGTCTCGCTTTCCAGGTCGGTCTGCATAGAGAACCCACTGGCAGGCCTGATGCAGGGTTGAGGAAGAAGATCTGGTGGTCTCTGGTGACCCGGGACTGTTTGATTAATGCTGGCCATGGCCGACCACGAGCAATCGACCTGAAATCGGCAGATGTCTCGCCTACTTCGTATATGGATTTCAACGGGGCGAGTGCGCCTGCTGATTTATTTGCAGCGTACGTAGATATCTCGTGCATATTAGGTATGAAATCCATCGGCCACTTCGGCCATGCGTTACACATAACAAGTCGTTTCGATGATTCCGTCGATAGTCCATGGAAACCATCTTAGACTGATGTATATTAGGAGATCTCACACAAAGCTACTTGCGCAAACACGGTCTCCAGGAACACAAAAAGTCCCTCGAAGATCGACTGTTCCGCTGGATCAGAACGCTCCCACCACACCTCCAGCTCTACAAAACCCAAGACACGCAATCCTCAACCCCCTACGACTTCGAGACCCGGCAACTCCACATTCAATACTTCACAGTCCTCGTCATTCTCAACCGGCCCACTGACCCAAAATTCTCGCCCTCAACCGCCTCCCTCCTCGCATCCTCTTACATCGCCGGCATCTTTGAAGGCTTCCTCGCGCGCGATGAATTGCAATTCCTCGGCCCTATATTCACGTTCTACTGCCTCACGGCCGGCATGTCTCAGCTCTCCTGCTACCGTTACTCGGGACTCCTGGACACGGCGGAAAAGAACCTTTCCATCGTACGTCGCGCGCTCGAGGAACTCGGTAAACGCTGGCCCAGCGCGGTGGGAAGCTTGCGCCACCTGATGGACGTCCGCGAGAAGATCCTTCAACGACCCACGCTCGACCGCCGGTTCCCAGATTCCAACATGTCGGTTGCCACGGCGCACTTCTTCCACGCGTTCCCGCAGGAGCTGTGTCGCATGTGGGGGCCCATCCACGCGCAGACGACGGGGATCGCGCCGAGGGAACTGGAGACGGCGGGGATTTTGCAGGGGCTGCGGACGCCCGGGATCACCCCGCTAGAGATGAGTGTCGTTGATGGTTCGGCGTTGCAGGCGGGCGTGGGTGGGGTCGCGGGTGAGGTTGGGATCGAACCTACGCTTCTGCAGCCTCAGGAGTGGTTTGTGCCGTATGGGGCGGGTGGGCTGGGGAACTGGCTTATGATTGATTGGGATCAGGCGTTTGGGTGGTGAAGAGAAGACAATAGGTGCCCGCGAATAAATGAACTAGGGGAAACGAGAAAGGGCGGTTTGGGAAGAGCACGTCTTCAGATTCGAAGAAAGAGCAAGGTTTGGCCTCAGAGCTCCACTGAGTCACCGAAACCTTTGAAATCGAAAATCGAAAAGGGAGGAAGGGAAGAAACGTGATTGATCTGTTCAGGTATACTACCTAGGTACCAAACAAAAGGACTACAGCCGCGCCATTTTCGCTGTCTAGAAATACGCAAGATGCCCAAACCGAAAGGAGAAGAAACAAAGAGAGAAATCAACGACCATCCTACTGCTCGTTCACAACAACCCCCCAGGGATTCTCCCTCTCGGCCTCCTCCCCCCACATAATCCCCTTCAACCACCCCTTCAGCAACCCCGTGTAAACCCCCATATCCCCGCCAGCCATCGGAATCTCCACATCCTCACCTTTATAATGAATCTTTGAAATCGGGGCAACAAACCACGCGGTGCCAGACGCAAACGCCTCAACGAGCCTCCCCTCCTCAGCCGCAACCCTAATCTCGTCCATGGTAAACCTCCTCTCCACCACCTCCAACCCCTCGACCTCCCCCGCCGTGGTCCCCTTAGCAAGCCTCCCCCTCGCAAGCTCCAGCACACTCCTCCTCGTAACCCCATCCAACACAATCCGCTCTCCCAACCCGGCAGTCACCAACTGCAGCACCCCGGTCCCTTTCTCCCTCCACACGACGAAGAAATTACTCGCGCCCGCCTCCGTCACGACGCCGTCGTCGCCGAACAGCCACAGAATCTGATCGTAGCCGCGTGCGCGCGCCTCGCCCTGCGCCACGAGCGACGGCCCGTAATTCGCGCCGACTTTCGCGTACCCGAACCCGCCGGGCCACGCACGACACATGTCGTCGTTGCTGGCGAGCAGCTTGACGCCGCCGGGCACAGCATCCATTTGCGGCAGGACAGTCAAGATGATAAACAGCATTGCCTCTGTGGGCCGCTGGACGCCGATGGCCGGGTCGGTGGCGATCATGGTGGGGCGGATATACAGGAACTGGCCGGGGTTATGTTTGGGGAGCCAGCGCGGGCCGTCGGTCTCGCAGAGCTTGACGATGAGGGCAAGGAGCTGGGCGGGGGGGAACGCGGGCAGCGCGATGCGCGTCGCTGACATGAGCATGCGGTTGCAGTTGAGCGCGGGCCGGAACAGCCGCAGCGCGCCGTCGTGCCCGCGGTACAGCTTCATCCCTTCGAAGCACTCGGTCGCGTAGTGCAGGCACGACGCCGACGGCATCAGGGCGAGCGGGCCGTACGGCGTCAGCGTCGGCGCTGTCCAGCCTGTGCTGAGGCTCCAGTGGGCTTGGATCATGTGGTCTGTGGCTAGGCGTTGGGTTGCGCGGAGGGGGTCGGTGAGGGCGGGGACGGGGCGGAGTTGGGAGGGTGTGGCGTGGGTTTCTTGGAGGAGGGAGGCGTTGAGGTCTGGGAGGGGTTGGGGAGGGGGTTGTGCGAGGACGGGCTTTTGCGGTTGCGTGATGGATGGGGTGAGGGTTGCTGCGTCGAGGTGTGTTGGGGCGGTTTTTTGGAGCGCCGTCGTGATGCCGCTGAGGGTTAGGTCGGATGTCTTGTCGACTTGTGCTTCGGACGGCGGTGTGATTGCCATTGGAGCCATGGTTTGTTTCTCTCGGGCTCAACGATCCTTTCGAATATCGAGTAGGTATTGTAGATATCAATCGATGGTATCCACGGGTATATCAGGTAGTGAGGAGAAGGAGAGTTGCGGGTTCCCTAGAAACAAACAACAACACCGAGTTGTAGTAGTCGAGAACTAAAGTAAAGATCAGACGAAATATGGGTGGCCAGTCCAGCCCTTATATATCCCTAAGGCGGAGCAGGACTTGGTAGGATATGTGGGTAAGGGCTTGGAAAAGTGTCCATGGATACATGTGGAGTTCCAAGTCGCAGTCACGCGCGTGGTACCGGTTCGAGACGACCTAGAGTACGCGACGCCTTATCGACGATGTGTTTTAGCGATGAGCTTAATTTTTTTTTCTTTTCTCTCTTTCCTGTCTATCCTACACTAAGCTAGATCGCCGTTATCACTGTTTACAAATATGGTTGGATAGATGCGTTTGGCGAGCAAGAGTTTGTGTATTGGCAGTCGTAGTATCAGACTTCACGAGTACAACTGTGTCTGTTGACTTGATATTTGATATTCCCAAGTCTTCGATTCTCCAATTGAGCAACACATCCCACAAAATTTTCCATTCCCTCTTTGGCAAGATAACTCGTCCAACGTTATCCGTCCTGATTCTGTTTAGATAAGCCAGCATACCATGGCAGCAGGGGGAGTCATCGGGGTGGACCTTGAGTATCCACAGCGGAGACGACGGCTAGGCGCGGCCGCTTCTATCCGCGCCGCTTCGCTCTTCGTACAGGATTCCTTCCTCCCCTACAGTCATATCTCGAAGGAAGGATTGAGTTTCCGATTCTCGGAATCGGTATTATACGACATGGCAACCATTCCGCTGCTATACGAATCTGCGAGAATCGGAGGGCGTGGTAGTATACATGATTGATTGGTGGTTGATTAGGTTTCGTGCCATGTTCCTGAAGTAAACGGTGAACTTTTGAGAGAGAGGCGGATACCCCCGGTCTACGGCACCTCCGACTACTTGTTTTTTTCTTCCCTCTCTTCCTGGTCAGCTCGCGATGGCGCTAACACAAGGTCAAATGACTCCCGTGGACAGAGTGCAAGGGGGGAAACGGTTAGATGGCGATAAAGTACGTGAAGTTTTTTTTTTTCCAAGCAGTAGGGGTATACGCCGAGGCACACATTCCCAAGACGCTATGATGCAAAAGCCGCAGATTGCCATGGCGGCGGCTCTATCTAAAAAACGATCCCCCATCTATATCCGGATTCCGGTTCGGGATTCAAAGCAAATATCAACTCCTAGGCTATGCTAAATCTAACAATGAACGCAGCTCCTAAATGGCACTAAGATCTTTCATGTTATGCCGAAGCCGTTCATTCCGAAGTCAAAATCTGGCTCGTCCGCAGACCATCGACGGCAGAAACAATGTCGTCAGCAATCCCGCCAACCTTTTCTTCCAAACTCGTCATGTCTAGTTTCGCAAGCGCATTGTTGATGTGCCCGACCACCTCCTCGTCTTGGATCGTCTCCGCCATGACCTGGCCCTCCGTGCGCCAGTAGTCCTCGCGCACGGCTCGCAGCTTCTGATCACGATTCACCGAGTTGCTGATCAGCCCGAGCGCGCGCGTCTTGTTGACTGTATCTTCGGCTTCCTTGGCTGTGGCTTCGAGGCGCTGGGCCATGGACTGCGGCCTTGCGAGCCAGCGGTTCGTGCTCGTGAGCCAGAGAACCGTCCCCAGTCCCGCGTCCACGAGCGCAAAGGCAATGTATCGGTACATGCGTAGTTTCCAGTGCACGAACTCGATATCCTGCAGTGTCTTCGCTTGTATGTTCTGCTTGATGTCGTAGGAGCCCAGGTACCACGCTTCCGACGCCACCATCGCCAATCCCGCGATCGTGGCGTGAATGCGGAAGCGCGAGCCCTCGGGCCCGATCAGCGAAGATGTGCAGAGGCCCAAGACCACGAGATGGGCCAAATGCGCTGTCGCGAGTTTCGGCAGGCTGTAGTAGAAATAGTTGCGCTCACTGCTTTGATCCGCCTTTGCGCACCACAGACAGTTCACCAACGTGTCCGGCCCAAACACCAAATATCTCAGTTTGTTGGTCGGCAGAGTCGAGAACTTGTCCCTCAACAGCTCGTCCGCATCGTCCAACGCCCTGTGTGTCTGCAACCGCGCAAACAGCGTGTTCGTTTCAATCTGCAGGCGGCTGCTCGTCTTGACGAAGATGTTCTCGGGACCAAATTGCGGCAGGCTAAGTACAATGCATACTACGGCACTCAGGAAGAGTAAGTTGAGCGCTCCCTGCACCTTCGCGGGCGTTGGTTGCACGGGCAGACTGCGCGAAGCAGTGCGAGACGTGTTGAACAGCTGGAAGAGGCGCGGGAGGATGAAAGGCCCGAATATAATGAGGATGCTGTGAATGGATTGCGGGAGGAACGTCAGTCGCGGGATCACGACGTAGGAGATGACGAGGAGCGCGATGGACTGGAGGCTGATCATGGTGTCGGCCGGTTTCTTCGCAGGATTCAGGGTAATGAGCGTGTCGAGATCATGGGTAATGCCTCGAGAGGGGACACAACGTGGTAGAGAAAGGGGAGTTGTGGGTGACGTGTGAAGAATCCCGCCCTCATCAGCCCTAAGAGCTAAATAAAGACGGCCATCTAAACCCTGGGGTTGACTGATTATGTCATCCACGCTAACTGTCTTTGTCGTCGATGGAAAGTACCCTCAATGTGCCATGCATCACCTCACTCCTTTCCTCCACCCATCAAACTAGCAATGTATGCCTTCGATGACTGAATTTGTGACTCAGAAATCGTTATGTATCTTCAGCTATACCTCTTCAATATGCGGGCCAACAACTACTTCCGCTGCTAACCCTTCAATTTTATACATAGTCATACTACCACAAAGCTAAAACATGACTGTCCAGCAGGTACTGAAGAGTCATGTCAATCTTGAAGCAAGGCAGTTTAATCAAGACAAAACACGGCTTGAATCACAGTAACACAAACTTCTACCAAAATCGTGATTAACCATGACCTGCGCGGCAGTGTAACAGAGCATGTGTTTGTGATTCACGCACGTTCTTCGACGACACCACATCCCGCGATGCGATTCATCATAATTTCGCATATCGAGACATTGGATCAAAAATTCGACCTTTTGCAGCTCCATTCAAACCCTGCATCGCGATGTGATCGCGTTAAGGACCTATTTTATACGAAGGCTAATCTATGTAGCTGATAAACGCTGGTCTGTTTTTGGGAGGATCTGGCTCCAGCACTTATCACACCCCAGAACCCGGTCTCTGACTTATATACCGTCAATAGTAGACTTATGGTCGTACTGAAATACTTATACTAAAAGCAGTGTTTCAGAGAAGTGCAACAATGGTAGCGAACAGTCAGAAATCCTAGCTGCGCAGGCCGTTTCTCGGAGACAATACTCTCATGGTCGTACTGGAGATTCTTTCTCTACAAACAATGTTTCATAGAAGAGTACAGGTTTCATCAGTCAGCGATGGCAGCGAACAGTCACAAATCCCAGTCACATAGGCCGTATCTTGGAGTCAAAATGTGAATATTTAAAGCGACTTCGTCGAGCTTCTCAGCAGCTTCCAAAACTGACTTCACGATTACCAGTACGATCAAACTTGTTACTTTCAAATTCTTCTATCAGAGCCAGAATCTCTCGTTGTCCAGCACCCAAAATATGTCCCGGCCCGCCAATGATTCCTTCGCTAAGATTGCTCGGAAGCTCGGGAATGAATGGTACAGCGAATCGACCCCGACAGACCCGTATACTCTGCCTACAGAGATGACGAACTTTCTCGACGGCGTCAGCCGGGAAACCATCGGAAGAATCAAGAAGGTGGTAGTGCTTGAGCCAGGTTTTGTCGGCAGCTCTAAAGGCCGCCTACGCATCCAGATGGCATATGACGTGGTCCGCTATATCTTTGTCACAAATCGGCTTCACGAGAAGCCGTGGCACAAACCCAACACCCCGATCATGGTCTTTCTTCATAACGACTGGTACGACTACAACTCTGAGGATGAAACGGCAATCGCCGAACAACTCTTCCACTGTGAAAATCCCAAACTTGTTTCCCCTGTGTTGCCAGAGTCTCGAGTTCCACAGGATCAATTCGCTCAGGTCACCGCGACCGCTGACAATGAGAAGGCCAAACGGGATCCGAATGATGAGAGCATGGAACAACTTTCCAAATACAATCTCGATGACGCAACACTGCTGATACATTGGAGTCCACAACTTCTCTCAGCTGTCGACCAATGGGGCCGTAACAACTTAAAATACCGTCCACCTGTCCTCATCTGCCCTAAGATGTACAAGGAGACCGCGCCTGAGGATGCTGCTTACACAACTGGCAGAGAGTTCTCTGTGAAGAAGGGTATCTTCGTTCATGTGGAGAAGCCACCCGAGTCTTTCAAGTTACCAATGCTCGATGAGTGGTATTGCCACGGCTTGGATAGGAGTTCTCCATACAAAATCCCCCGATGTACCGAAGAATTCCTGGATGACATGGGGGAAATTGCAAAGGAGATTGAGAGCGTGACAGCCATCTGTCTAGAAGATGCTTGCCTCATAGAGGCTCAGTTACAATGCCTGATGCTTTATGATGTGGTCCGCTATCTGTATCTCAAAAAGTGAGTATTTCCATCGTACAAACATGTCCCGCATTTCTGACATTCTACAACGCCCAGGAAAGAGAGAAATCCAATCAATGTCCACATTCAGTGGTGGGAAGGCGAAGACTACGATTGGTCGAAAACATCCCTCAAAGCCATGTTCGAAGCAGAAGACCCCAGCAAACCCAATTCCGTGCTGCCACCGAAACGCATTCCGCAAGATCAATTCGCAAAGCTCCGACTGTCCACACATAACGAAGAATACAAGACGGACAAAAAGACCTTGCTGATGTACTTCGAATGGCAAGGCCACCAGAGTCGTTTCTGGGAGAAGGTTAAAGACCCTGCCACTCGTCCCCCTGTGGTCATTTGCTATGATCTGTACGCCCCGAACAGAATCGAGAGATATAGAGAGATAGTTCAGGACTACCATCAGGGCGCCAAGTACTCTGGGTTCACAAATAAAAAGCTGCCAGCATATCATATGCATCGGGAAAAATCACAAACAACGTCTAGCGAGGATCTCTCGGGCGATACTGAATACCCCGGTTCCGCCGACACAGATGAATTGATACAGTCCAAGCGCGTCCCCCCGCCCAAAAATCAAGCTCCGCCTCCGTCCACGAACTCAAGAGGCCGTTCTCGGCCCGCGAGTCTCTCTCCTCCAGCTGATGAGAGGAACAAATCCGAAATCGAAAAGTCAGCCGCTTCCAAAGCCAGACAAAACGACCCTGATTTTTCCGATCCAGATGGCCTGATACAAACCAAGAGCTTCCCTCCGCCCAAAACTCCGTCTCCACCCTCGAACCCGAAAAAACCATCCTCGGCCCGCAAACCTCCTGCTTCCTAAAACCCCGGGCAAAACAAATCCCCACTTGTTCAAGCCAGTGCTCCTGCAAATAACAACAAAGCTCACTCGTCCTTGAAAAACGTATTTGGGGAGTTTGGAGAGCAGTGTCGCTGCCTTATCGAACAGCACACACACTGGTAAATAGGGCAGGGAGAAGGATCACACTTCTGTGTAGCAGTTTAGCATCGACCCCTAGAGCAAACGAGCTACTTCCAACAGCGGGTGAACAGTCTTAGCGTGTGGAAAGGTAACTTGGTTATTGTAGTCAACCTATTTTCTTCTTCTATATATATATATATATATATATGTTGTTTTATTTTTCGTCTGTGCATACACAACTGCTCTCTCTCCCACGTTTGAAAGATGTCTGGTCCATGATTGTCCCCAATATCTTATATGGTACTTGAATGAATGGCACTTGCACACATGGGTAGTATGTGGCTGAACAATAATAAGTGATCCCCCATTGAACTCAATTAAGCCTTTTGTACTGATTGGATCTTCTCTCTCAGTACTGACTTTGCCACATTAGAACGCTGAAAACGGAATACAATCTATGATTAGATATGTATGTAAGACACTAACCTGTATTCTGTAGATACAGCTCTTCGCTTAATGCTGGCCTCGTATCTCACTACTAAATGTAGTAGTAACGGACCAAAGATTCCTTCGCGTAACAGGACCGGCTAGTGCTCACCATCGCTGCGTATATAGTTACAAGACGACAACCTTTCTTTCCAGACAGTTTGAACTGTTCTAGCAGCAGAAGATCAAGACGAACAACGCCTGGATGCCTCGTGGAATTGTCCATTGCACTTCCCGTTCACAGTGACTGTGCGCAATTGCACATCACCCACCTCAACTCAATTCATCAACCTTTCCATCTCACCCCCAAACAGTGAAACTCAACACAGAATGATCTCTCCAAAAACCATCCTAGTAACCGGTTGTTCCACCGGCGGCATCGGCGCCGCCCTCGCCCTCGCCCTCGCAAAAAGAAACAACACCGTAATCGCAACAGCGCGCACCCCATCCAAAATCCCATCCTCCCTCTCCACTCTCCCAAACGTCACCGTCCTCGCCCTCGACGTCTGCTCCCCACCTTCAATCACAGCGGCAGTATCCCACTTCACCAGCAACAACCTCACCCTCGATGTCGTCGTCAACAACGCCGGCGGCGGCTACGCAATGCCGCTCCTCGACGCGTCCATCGACCGCGCCAAAGAGCTCTACGACCTCAACGTCTGGGGCCCGCTCCGCGCCATCCAAGCCTTTTCCGCGCTGCTCATCGCGAGCAAAGGCCGCGTAGTAAATATAAGTACCTGCGGCGCGGCGGTGAACACGCCCTGGATCGGCGTGTACTCTTCATCCAAGGCCGCTCTAACGACTCTCTCTGAAACCCTCCGGCTCGAGCTATTGCCGTTCGGTGTACGTGTTGTGGCGATTATGGTGGGTGCCGTCGATAGCAAGTTCCACGACAACGATGTTTTTGAGTTGCCCCGGACGTCGCTGTATGTGCCTGTCGAGGAGCAATTGAAGGGCTGGGCGAGCGGGGCGTCGAAGCCAAAAGGTGTGGCGGCGGATGTGTTTGTGGAGAGTATTGTTGAGGATGTTGTTGGGGATGGGGCTGTGGGGTTGGTTTGGAAGGGGCCGCATGCGGGGAGTATCAAGTATTTGTCGAGGTTTGCGCCTCAGTCTGTTGCGGTGAGTTCTTTGGTCTTTTCTTTTTTCCGTCTTTCCTTTTTCTTTTATCACCATGCCTCGTCTTGCTTAGATGTTCGGGGAGTTCTTTGGTCATGATGTGTTGGAGGATCGTTTGCGATGGTGAACTGACGTCTTGTTTTATCGTAGGATGCTGCTATGAGCTACACGCAAGGCCTGGCCGAACTCAAAGCACACGTTGATGCGAAAGAGTGAAGCTCATTTCACTCACGGAAGAATCGATAGCAATATTCGATATATGAAGGTTGCCCTTTGAGCAATTATTCCTACTACTTCACCTCAATCAACACAATTGCAGAACCACCGACTTCCATATACATACATTTACAGTCTACAATTCCGAACATCGAAGGATTAAACAATACAATGCAGACTGAAACCAGAAATTCTTCAGAAAGGGACCCTGAAGACCCCCAAAACATCTCGACTATTAACAATACTAAACTATTCCCTTTCTCTCCCCTATAAGCCCTCATCGCAAACTCCATCTTAACCACCATCCCTTAAAAGTTAAGCAATCTTCACAATCAAAGACACACAAAAACACCGAAATAACCTTAGAGTCTATAACTGTTGATCAATTACGCGAATAACATTTTACCCCCCTAAAAATATCTCATAAGCCCGCCTCTGTCGTCGACCGAATCTATAAACCATCAACGGAATTAAGAAGATATCGGCACCGACCCGACCCGACCACCACCGCGAAGTTTCCTTACCAAGCACAGATATCTGACCAAGAAAACCTCTCGCTGCACGTTATTAACGAATTTCAAGGACACGACTCAGTGGGGATTCGGCGTGACAAAAATGCTAGGAAGTAAGCTGTGCAGAAAGCGATTGAGAAATTCACCGCTGCGCAGAGAGAAGGGTGAGAGAGGTAAAGTGTGGGTATGTAGTGAAGAAGGTTTTTGCTGTAGTTGTTCCCGGATCGCGCAGACGAAAAAAAAGGGAGGGGAAGAGCAGAGGAAAAAGAGCAAGTTTAATTTCATCATCTGTCCGTTTGTCTTATTTTCTGATTAGATACTGTCTGTTCTTTTTTCTACATGGCATGGTGTTTGCATTTCTTAAAGATTTAAACAGTCTAGAGGGTACCTTTAACCCACCCCACCTGCCCTACACCCACTATCACGTGGCCGAGGCAAAGAAGAAGGCGAGCAGTGGTGAGGGCTTGGTAGCAGCACCTAGGAAGAAGAAGGAGAAAAAAATAGGAAAAATTAATCAATATAAGGAATTCACCTAATCCCACAATAAACAGGGAAAAAAAGATGAAGCACTAGTTTCTCCGTTCCCTAACATTCAATGTTATTCTCACTCAAAAGTGCTCGCTCGCTACTCCTTCCTCCTCCTCTCCCAGCAAATACATACCTAGGTACGTACATACACACTGTAATCAAAACAACTAAAAGATAAATAGATAGACAGAATAGATAAAGTAGAACACATGCCATCCATTGCAACCCCGCAGATGCAGGGTCAAATCGGTCCTTCTTTTTTTTTCTTTTTAATTATCAGGTTTCTGCAGACAGGTTATCATGGACTGCTGATCTTGCTACCCAATCTCGTATTGAACCCTGTTTTTTTTTTTTAATCTAGCTTGCTGGCTATGCTATGTATGCTAAAGAGAGAGAAGGAGAGAAATCAAAACGGCAATAAGGAAAGTGCAACGTTGTAAGTGTGTAAAAATAGATGGAAGAGCGAGGGTAAATTGTTGGTGTGGGTTATTTGGTATGTAGGTTTGGCTGATCGATGCGATAAATGTTAATTACTTGCTTGCTTACCTATGTGGGGTGGATGTTCTGGATGTTAGCACCAGTATGTATCCAAGCAGCGCGTCGCGCGAGAGGAAGAGAGAGAGAGAAGCAGAGCAATATCCCGTCAGCTCACTAGCTACCTCATGACACCCACGGTATGCATACGCATTCAACCACCAACACCCCCTACCGGTGCATTCATCCCAAGCCTCCTCCCTAGTCGAGCCGGGCGCCCCACAGCGCAAAAGCAAGCTGATGCAGGGCAAATCTGCACATTCGCTCATCGCGCATCGGCCCAGTTTTTGCCCTGCATATTCTGCTGGCCCACACCAATCACAGCGCATTAGCCTTGTTTCCGTTCCAAGCTAGACGGTGTCGATCTTTGCTTGTTTGTCGTAGTTATGATGTTGACGATGATGCGTGATGATGATGGGGATGAAACGTTATCGGGAACGAAGGGGGTGTTGGGCTTGGATTGCATTTGCCCTGCGCAATCGATGACGGGGTCCTAACCAGGGGTGCCGAACGGGAAGAGTGTTGGTGATTGATTGGGAAACTGTTGGAGCGTGTGAAGCAGCCGTTGTTTGTCCTTGCTGACAGAGTCGCTTTTCTTGTTCCTTCTGTTGTGCGTGATGGGCGAGCAGTTCAGAACTGGAATCCGCGCATGACGCTGTGGGTGCGATATGATGCACACATGTGTGTGCGAGAGTTTTGGTTGCGCCAAAGACCGTTTGATTTGGCTCGGGTGGGTGGAGGGCAGGGCGGTTCGGGAAGAATGAGAGAGCATGGTGACGTCATTGCGGTGTCGGCTAGGAGAGCCATTGCGCCAAAAAGGGACCTAAATCCACCGGGCACCACTCACCACCTTCCATCGTATCTCGGCAAAAATCCAATTTGCAGATAATTAAAGCCAGTATGCGGGCGGGTTTCAATAGAGCAATAGGTTCGTCACGACTTTGTTGTGTGTGTGTTGGCGCTGGTAATGGAGGGGACCTCGGGAATAGACTAGACTACGGATTCGCTGAGTAATCTCTTGCTTGGCATTGTGTCACGTGCTGAACGTGAACGATTGTGAAGAGACATTGGGAGAGATCAAGATATCATAATACCTATGCAAATAGATGCAAACCGAGCAGATACACGCAACTATCAAGGACACCAATTAAGTAAAGTAAGAAAAGCAAGAAATGCATTCCGCCAAGAAACTTGCTTTATAAGAATCTCCCTCCCTCCCTCGCATTCGCAAAGTTAAGTTAAATAAAGAACGCAAAGCAAGACTGGAGATAAGAATATGCAACTCCACCCATGGAAATAAGAACAAGATTACTAAATCCAGAGGTTAATCAAAGAGGAAAAAATCAGGTTCGGATACCCGCGCACTGTTGCAACCCACATTTGATGCATCGGATCCGTACTTACATTTCGCCCGATTATTATCCAGTCGGCCGAACATTCAATAATAAGTCAACAGCAGCAACGGCCTCGGTCCATCATCCATCACATAATCACAAACCCGGAATTCCACAGATGAATAAAAATAGACTTTGACAACTCTGAAAAAAAATTCTCTATACCTACTTGTGTGTATGTGTAAGGTCAAATGTAACCGAAACCGAAAGAGAAAGCAGAAGACAGACAAGAAGAGAAGCCGAGCTAGAAAGCCGGAAGAGTCCCCCCCAGGAATCATCCTAGCAAGTTAAGTCTATATGCGTATGCGTATGGGTATGTGTGTGTGTGTGTGTGTGTGGCTGGAACATTAAACACAGTTAAGTGGCTAGTGTCCCATACCCTCCCATCCATCCAACAAAAAAAAATCTCTTCACAAGCATTTGCAATTCTGCAATGCAACGCTGCCCTAAGAAAATTCTGCTCCAGCATCTCTCCATGCAATGGGATTGGTCAGATGTCGGGAACGATCGGTCGGCGAGGCCCGAAGATGATAGCACAGCCACGCGCAACAACGCCACGCTTTCGCTTCCACCACGCGAAGAGGTGCCGGTGCTTCTAGCGCTGGACCCTGGATTTTTCTTCGCTCTCGCTCTCGTCCACTCATGTGTTTTGGATCTAGAATTTTTTTTTCTTGGGTGGGATTGTGGATTGATGGGTCGGTATTTGCGTTCGGGGATATTGGATACGACTAACTAACCATGGAGTTGGGATTCCAGGAGAGAAGATGGGGTAAGCTGCCTGGGCAGTAGTTAGTTAGGGTTAAGGAGTCCGGAATGAGAATTGTTGCGCGCTACAGAGTGTAGTATTGGTTTCGTGTGATGTTGGTGGTACGGTTATTGAGGCTCTTTTCCTTTGGTGTGTGTGTGATTGCATTGATCGGTAGATGGGGTAGGGTAGGTATGTGAGGCTTTTGATTGGTATAGGTGCCATCTTGGCGTAGTCGCCTTTGCTACTGTTGGATTGTTATGATTTATTTATTTTTATCTTTATTTGTGATACTGTAGATGGAGGGATAGATATGGATGGCGGATGGATGGATGGATGGTGTAGTAACGAGCCGAATTATGCATATGTGCGCGCCTTTTCGCCATGGACCTGATCAATCAGGAACAAACATCACTACCGAGTGCTTCGTCTCTGCATGCAAGCGACGTGGGATCATCGTTCCACAGTATTTCAACGGTATTGTGCTCTGGTGGCAGCCGTGGCCGTTGATCTGCAGGAATTTATTGGGGGTAATGCTGCTTTCCCGACGCATTGGGTTGCGGGATTGCACCGCCTCATTGCGCCGTCTCGCGGGCTCTCCTTGTTTAGGCGAGGGTGGGAGTGGCACAGGAGGATCAACTTCTTTGCTAGTTGGAGATTGGGTGCTTAGGACTATCTGGGTAGGGTTTGCGGGGATGTCGTGGTGCATTGCATGGTGGTGTGGTATACTTGACACAGGCAGTGCGTAGGTTGGGTACGCATTCATGTCCACGTAGCACGTTCCGAATGGGTTGTTCCCAGACGAGAGACGCCACCTTTGTTTGCGTGGACCTGTGTGGTGGTGTTTGGCTTTACTGGAGGCTAGCTGGCTGGCTGAAAGAGACAATGTCGCGCTGCTGAACAGCTAGGACAATGGGGTATGGGTCACGCGGTCCATTGGTGAAAATTCGCCGGTGCATGTGACTTGACTTTTCATGATTCCAGATTCGTGGCTTTGACTCATTCCACGGTGTAGGCGAGCAAGACTTGATAATGCTGTAGTCATGGATGTATAATCATCAAGGTTGGTTGACGGGTCGCATCAATGTCCAGTGGGTTTAGTCAACATTGACGGTTAGCTTGGGCGACGGACTGACTGGCGCGGGAAGATTGATTACTACGCCACGATTTCAGCGGCGGAGATGGAGCCAGATCTCGCACGCAGGCACGCACGCACATAAGCGCGTGGTGCAAACGAGGCTCGAGCCCAGCAGCCGGAGATGTGGAGGTAGGGAGAAAAAGGAGGGAGATAGGGTCCGTCCGTTGGGTTTACCGACCGACGGCGGAACATGGCGTGTCCGTCCGATAGGGTTCGCGGAGGTAGGCTGTGGGATGGGTTTGATAGGTAAGCAGCACGCACGCAACGCAACGCAACACAGCGCACGTACGCTTTTGTTTCGAGGCGCCTTGCTGTCTGGCCGTTGATGGATATGCAGGGTCCTGTATTGATCGATGTGTGTTTTTACCGTGTACAGCGCAGCGGTTTATTGGGTTGGCAGCAAGGACAGAAGAACAGGCAGCCGAGGATATTCTTAGAAACAAGGGTCTCTTCGTCTATCAAGACATTCACATACAAGCATACATGGATGGAGGGAAAAGAAGGGTTCACGATCGGATATCGTTGCCCTGTTGGGAGTCGGCAGTACCCTTCGGATAGCAGCCGAGCGTCTTACTGTGCCTTGGTTTGTGTAATGGTATAGACGGTGATTGGTGGGGGGGTAGGGCAGGGAAGCAGGAAAATTTCTCTCTGCGAGTAGCACAGCAAGCAAGCAAGCAGTGCCTGTTTTTTTTTTAGGGCTGTGCTGCAGCACGCAAGCACAGCAGGACACACATACACACTCACAGTGGAGAGATGGAGAGATAGACAGACACACCTGTTTTGACCCCGGTCGGGCATGGCCGTCGTCTGGGCCTTTTCCCGACAAAAGTGCGAGCACACTGCATACATAGCATAGTACACTACATAATGCAGCCATACACTAGCGGCCTAGCGCGTGCATGGGTGTCCCCTGCTTACCCTGTATAGGGCTAGTAGCGTCTTGGCGATCGTCCTTCTAGAATAAGGGTCGATCGGCGCAATGGTCAGTCCACCCACACGTCGCCTACGTCATGCCATGCGACTATGAAAGAGATGGGTTGCTCCGCGCACATCTGCTTCCGACACGCCCGCCCCAAACCTTCGTCCTCCACCTTTCTGCCGCTACCACTCTTCCTAGTCTTGTAGTCACCCTTTAACAATCCATTGTCCACCATCATCCATCTCTCATACCCAACGCTTAGCTCCGAGGACCACCGAATGCTCCCGCGCCCATCCCAGCACCACCACTAAGCATTTTCCACTGCATTCCACCCGCCTGCTACCCTTAGATACTCGATCGAGTCATAGCTCTGTGCTCGCTTCCAAGTATAAAGCATCTCGCCACCCGCCGTGGTCCTTACTTAGCCCACTACTTTTCCCTTCGCTATGTTGACGCTACCACAAAGACGTCAGCACCTTGCACACCATCATCCTTCGACAACCACCACCCCTTCCGCCGCTACCTCAACCACAAACCTACCTTCACCACTCTCCCCACAGACCTTCTCGCTCGACACCCTCACACAGCAACTCTCTGCCCAGCAGGCCCAGCAATACGCCGACCAGAAGCTGCTCAACGATTACCTCGAGTCCCAACAGACCTCCTTCAACCCCCAGCTCGTCCTCGACAGCAATACCTCCAACCCTTTTATGCCGGGCGCCTACGACTTTGCCAACCCGCAAATCAGGATCCAGCAGTCCACTCCCGTCCCCCACCCCGGCGCAGCCTTTTCCTCGTCTCCTATGCTGTCCGCCACCGCTGCGACAGGGCTCGACAGCTGGCCCAACTCGTACAACAGTAATGTCCAGGGCTCACAGACGCTGCAAACGCCCCAGCAACAAAGTCGGTCAGAGCGAAGTCACAACCGCGCACCCTCGTCGTCTTCGGTAGCATCTACCAATTACCAGTACGTCGCTCATCCCGAGTCTTCGCCTCTACTTTCAGCTACTGCTTTGAGCACAGCTGCTGCTGTTGACTCATCGTCATTGCTATCACTCATGTTGAACCTTGAAGCTGACCCATTTCAAAGAACCTTCCCGAACTCAACCTCGAACCACCTCCCAACGCCTACACATACACCTACTCAAGACTCCTTCATGAACAACAACAACAGTTTCAACAACACATATACCTCACAGGCAGGCAACATGGACTCAACCATGGCTGCACACATGTCAATGAAACAAGCGCTCATGGACCAACACGTTCCAGACGATGACGTCCCGGCGTTTGCCCATTCAGCGCGTCATAGCGTGTCTAGCTACGGTCATGACTCGCCGGCCACGCCCCACACGGCGCAGGACGACATGGACTTCAAGATCCCTCCCAACGGTGAGACCCTCCAAAAGGTCGATTCATGGCTGTTCAATCAGTTCATTGCTTACGATGACGAAACAGACGTGCGACCAGTGCCCAAGTTTGAGCGAACATATACAGATGTGGCCGCCGACTACTCTTTTGATCCCAATGCGATAATACCGCAGACGGCATCAATACCAAACAAATCATCCAGCAATGCGCTCTTGTCGCCATATCACAGCAACAAGAATGACCTCATCCAACGTAGTCTCCAGGCAGCCCAGATCGCAAGGTCGCAGTCACCGTCCAGCTCAGCGTCAAGAGGTGACTCACCCTTCCGTCGTGGGTCACCCTACCGCCAGCCCAGCAGCAACAACACCTTCTCATCGCCGCGGATGGCAGTAAGCACTGCTGCTGCTGCTCGTGAACAGAAGCAGGCCGCCGACGCGGCGCACGCAATGAAGTCGCAATTGTCTTCATCAGAAGACTCGCAAGTGAAGACCATCTCTCCCAAGGATGCGCTTCTGGATTACCGGGATGCCGACAACGACTCCAAGGTTCCGCTGTTCCCTGAAGGTGGCGCTACCGAGTACGACCAACAGTACAATGGTGGCGACCGATTTAGGAACACCGCCACCCAATCCGGCTTTGACACAACGTCGCAGTCATTCAGGAGAGATAACTGGGCCACCCCCCAGTTCTCGCCAAACTTCCCTCCTGCTGTGTCGGCAACGTCGCAGCCAGCATCTACATTTGCATTTGCCACGCCCTCCATCCAAAACAACATGCACTCCGTACAGTCCAACCCAACATCACAGTACAGAAGCGTGTCGTCGCAGATGTCATTCGGTCCTGACTCTACCCCCGAATTCCCCGCGCATCTCACATCTATGGAGTCGAGTTGCAGTGAAGCTGGTGGTGACCCGAGCAGCCAGTCAAGCGACCGCCCTGTCAGTCACAGCCTCCAAAAACCTGCCGACTCCAAGGCCGACTCTGGTACTTACACATGTACGTACCATGGCTGCACGCAGCGCTTCGAGACGCCGCAAAAGCTGCAAAAGCACAAGCGTGAAGGTCATCGCAACACGGCCAACATAGGCATGGGAACGTCAGCTTCGTCGTCGACGTCGGCGGCCGGTATGACATCAGCGGCCCTCTTGGAACGCAATTCGCAAGCCGGACCTCACAAGTGCGAGCGCATCAACCCCACGACGGGCAAGCCGTGCAACACCATCTTCTCGCGCCCGTATGATCTTACGCGACACGAGGATACGATCCACAACGTGCGCAAGCAAAAGGTGCGCTGTGCGTTGTGCGTCGAGGAGAAGACATTCTCGCGCAACGACGCTCTAACGAGACATATGGTAAGCCTACACAACCTCCCATCGGATAAGCGCAGTCCTTTTCATCTGCGGAATCATCATGCTAACTCTCCGACCACAGCGCGTCGTTCACCCCGAAGTCGACTTCCCCGGCAAACACAGACGTCGAGGCGGTAACCACGACTGATCCTATCTCAACCATCCCCCTGAAAATTGGCAAGGTTCGAACCATGAGAAAAAAAAATCTTCAATGCATGCATGTCCTACACCCATGTCGCCATTCCAGCCCTACGGCCTTTAAGCTAGTAAGCCATGCGGAGGGCCCCGCCCATCCACGATTGCGGCGCAGTGCAGGGTTCGCTGCACGACGGGCGCCTCAACAAACGCCCGCCCCGGACTTGTCCGTCCGCGTTTCGTTTCTCCGCCCGACGAGGCCCGCCTGGAATCATCTGGAATGCCCGATTATGCGAATTGCAAAAGACTGCGTTTTTTTGTTCGATTCCATCATCTGGGCTTAGATCCCCTCGTGCGTGCATATGCATGCTTGCATGCATGCGACGAAGACACGATTAGAAAAAAATAAAACAAAATCCATCACAAAAAAAAAAAACTTCACGAGAGAAGGAAGAAAAATTTCTGGCGCGGTTCGGTGGATGCCGATGAGCGAAAATGCGGCATGCCTGTCCTGCATAGTCCAAAGCACACATGCCCGCCCCTCCCCCCACCCGTTGTACGATTTGAGATGAGAAAAACATGTATTTTTGACACACGAAAAGGAAGAATCACGACATGCGATTCCCCACCTGGGAATTAGGAAAAACAACATGGGTAAAGGAAAAAGAGCCGAAACAAAAACAAAACACCCCTGGCCTGGCCTCGATGTAAATTTTCTTTTGCGTTTTCTCTCGTAATTTCCTGCCTTTTATGTTTTCTTTGCTCTTGATTTTGTGGCTAAAGTCCACTTCAGTCATGTAGTACCCCCTTTCTCTTCCTTTTCTCGCTCTTCTTTTACTTTAGCATAGGTTTTCTTTGGTTCCAAGGGGTTTGTGGTCGCGGTCATATCTACACACACACACACACACACATTGGCGTCTTGTCTTGGTCTTGGTCTTTTCCAGCGGGTTCAGGAAAAATAAACTTGGGATTCTTTCTTACCTTTTTGTACTACCTTTTTCTTCTTTGGCTTTTAGTTTTCTTTCTAGCAATATTACACCCCCCTATTTCTACTTCTTCTCTAAAGTACCTTAATGCAAATCTTAGATCTCTCTAATTTACTATTCTGCTATAGGACAAGCTACAGTTTTCTCTCCTTCTCTCTCTCTCTCTGTGTGTGTGTGTGTACTTGTATCTTCTTTCTAAAGGGAAACAATAATCGCTACAGTATGCAAATCTAAGCATATAGAAGAGAAAGTATATGCTTAACATCTTAGAAGTATTCAAGTTATTTCCAAAGGAGTTATATTTAGGCTTTTGGACGTCTCTATACAAGTAATATATAGAGGTTTATTTTGTAATTTTTTTTGCTCTTTAGCGTTTTTATTTATTAATGTGTTGTTAAGAAGACAGACAGTAGCTAAACTAAACGCATTTGAGTAGAAATACAAAACAGATATACTATGCAGTTTGGAGGACTCTTGGAATACAGTTATTGCTCCAGTAATACAGCATCTTTAACATGCTCTATAATGCTTATATCACTAATACTGTACTATGCAGAAAATATTTTTTCCTGTGGCAAGGTTAGACAAGAAGCGGGTGGGCTACATTAGTCACTAGTTCATAATGTGTATTAGAGGGTCAGAAAGTTGTGTATTTGTAAAACTTCTACTAATACTTAAATACCCTATTTAGAGGTCGAGTCTATAAGCGCATGTCTCTACGTATAGCTCTAGTTCTTCCTTCCAGCCTTCTCAAACCCAAATTGAAGTCCAGCAGTACCCCCTTTTCCGATGAACAGGTCCGTAAACCCCTCGACCGTCTCAGAGCGCGCCCAATCCCGTTGAAGCTCACAGAAGATCTGAGCGCAGGAAGTAAGTTTCGCACCAGCCTGCTCCAAGCGGCGCAAAGCCGCATCGTGAGCAGCCAGGGAAGTGCCGCCAACGGCATCGACCGGAATGTAAATCTCGTAACCCAGAGCCAGAAGATCCTCGGCAGGGAAAGCCAGACACGCTTCCGTCCACAAGGCGGTGAAGATGAGCTTCTTGCGGCCCGTCGCGGTCACGGCGTTTTGGAACTCGACGTCCTCCCAGCTATTGATAGATGTACGGTCAATAGTGGGGATACCCGCGAGCACGGTAGCGACTTGAGGAATAGGGGGCTTGTTGAATCCGGTTTTGACGTTCACTGTGGAATGCACGATGGGCAGCTTGTAGAGCAACGCCGCGCGTGAAACAGAAGCGATGTTGTTGACCAACTCTTGGCGATCCATCGAAGCGATTGATTGGACTTGGACTGGCTGGTAGTCGATGATAACGAAGGCCGAGTTCTGTGGTGTGAGGAGCTTGTCCTTGGCTGGATCACGGATGGGGCTTTCGCTCGGCATTTTGGTAAAGAAGTCAGGATAATAGAGAAGCGAGATCGTTCCAATGATTCTGGAGTTCGATATTGGATAATAAGATGTGATATTGGCAACAGAAACGGTTTCTAACGGCTGTATTTATATTTGCCTGAGCAAGCCAGAATCTGGTTGGGTACTTGGTTTCATGCAGAGGTGCTACACCGCCCCGCCATCTTTGAACCATTTGTCACTCGGAAGGACGAAGACTCCACAACCGAATATAGCAAGAGCATACATGTAAGCAGCTTATCGACAAAAATCTGTTGGATGGGATGTTTCCTCTTTCCCAAAGCTATGGATTTTTACGTGCTGGGCGAGCACTAAAGTAAAAAAACTGGTATTTGAAATAAATGGTGTTTCGACAAGGGGGGCCAATCTGATTACTAAAAGGACTCTTTCCTAAAGCGTGCGTGAAAATTGTTTCCTCTTTCCTAAAGCGTCCAGAGAGAAGGTTTCCTCTTACCTAAAGCTTGCTCTTTCCTAAAGCATTTGGTAGCATAAAGAAGTTAAGCCTAACATAATGCTAGGTTAACGGATTCGCTTGGTGTAGCAGGAAAGGAATTTGTATAGTACTGATAGTAGCGGGTTGTGGGAGTGGCTAGACAAGACTATAGGACTTAGGATAACAGAGGTATAGCTAACAGCTATCTACGGCATGAACTTCCGTACTCTCTACTCGTGGCGTGCTAGTATGATCGAGTGACTGATAATACGGATGGCCGATACGTGAATCTTCTAGATTATTAGCGGAGTAAAGACTTAAGGCAGACTCTTGACTGCGCATTTAACGTAGTGACGTATATGACGTCCTAACAATTCAGTAGAGATGTACAAATTTATACTGTTAAAGGTATTAAAGAACTATAGTACACTTATAGCCTTCTGCTGTAAAAGAGTAAAGTTTTCCTAAAGCTTTCTACTTATTATAACTCCTACCTACCTTACTATGGCACCTACCGTCACACCACCGCCGCGCGACGAAAAGGCAGACCCTTGCTACAGTTACAGTACCCGCTATTGTATTTTAGAGATAAAAAAATCTATATAGACTGTTGGAGCTCTTCACTTATGATTCTCGCGTACGCCGTGGAAATTAATAGAACAAGGGCTTAGTCATGCATTCTGCCTCTCGGTATCATGAACAGCAGTCGAACCCTTGTGGCTTCTTTTGAGGGTGGGCGACTATTTGGGAGACGTCTCAAGAGAGACCACGAGCTGCGCGGTTGGTTTATCTTAGATGATACTTTGATGAGCTTGCAGTGTGGAGATTCGGCATCAGATTGATTAGTTCTTATGCCCTCAGACCATGGTTAAGAGGTATTATTGGGAGATGTGCAGTCAGATCAGGAAAGGAATATCCTTATAGAATTGAACGATAGAGAGCCCGCTTATGTTTGATATGTATTTTAGTAGATGGTAAAGAAGACTGGATCTCTGTAGCGAGTAGATCTTAACATAAATCTAGTACAGATGACATGTTAAGGCCTTTTCTAAAGCTTTCTCTCTTTCCGTGCATATACTGAGAAGAGTGATGGATTGCGCATCTCGTGTTTTCCTCTAAAAATAAAATAGTCATATTTTTTTTTTTAAATTTTTTTACCAAAATATCACAGTATAGATGCTTTCAGAACAAAAGCCGAAAAATAACAACTCGCAGCAAAGAGTTTCACTTAGCCCGAGGATAGAAATCCAGACCAAGCGAGTAACAGCATTTGACAAGAGTTCCCTCGTAGCCCAAAAGAACGCATGCATATCCCAGTGGAAAACCTGCAAGCTCTACAAACACAAGAGTTTGCTCAAAAAAGGTGAAAAGCTCTTTCTTACGAGTTCTCAGCCTCGCTTTCGCTCGTGGCCTCCGACGCGCTCATGGCCAGATCCGCATACCGCGTGACGAGATCGTCCAAACGCTGCTGCTCCGGGTCATCCGCGAGATTCAAGATCTTGATCGGGTACTGCCCTCGCACGTGGTTGGCGCGCAGTTTACTCGTCGCCAGATCCTCCTTCCGGATATCAGTGTACTGGTGCATGAGATCCGTTTCACGGGGCGGTATATCAGCGCACACGAGATGAAATATGGTGTATGAGAGATGATAGTTACATCCTTGGCTGTATAAGCCCTTTGCTGCGAGAACCAGGGCGCTTTGGATGTCTTGGAGGTGTGGTGGCGAAAAAGGTTCAGTGGGAGATAAGGTTGGTGGTTTGAGTTGATTGATGGATAGGAATGCTAGGACTGCTAGGCCGTGAGTTAGATATGTGTCGGCTTTGTCGAACCCGTGGCGGAGGTAGTAGAGCCGGAGGATCGTTTCAAAACATGCTTTGGAGGAGTCCACGACGGCGGGGAGGTCGTCTAGCGGTGTTGGGGCCGTGTATGGCTCTTGAGAGCTGATTACCGCCTCGCAGATGTTGATCAAAATGTTGTGATATACAAAGCTACAATACATTATGTAAGCGAGTGGTGATCCACAAATCTAGTTGATCAAGGTAGATGTCGGTAATGTTCGAATAAGCGAATGTGGAGGGGTAGCTTAGAGGAAAGAAACACCACGCGTACTGTAGTTTGAGCTGGAATGGAAACACGATCGTTTCGGGCGCCAACTGCAATGGCAGCGTAGAGTGCCAGGCGATCAACTCTGCTGCCAAGTCGATAAGAGTTTGGGACGATGGATCATCGGAAACGGCACCATCTTTGTCAAACAGATAGCGGCCAATCTTGACAACGATGACGGCCAATTTCATTCGCGCGGAAAATGTGCTTGCAAAGTTCATTGGGTGCGTTGTCCGAGACAATGGATAGCGTAGCTGAAAGTCGCCATACCATGCTGGATTCTCCTGCAAATCGGGCAGAGGCGTTTTCGGCATCTCTGGGATCAGCGGAGCAATCATAAAATGGTAGCATTGTAATGAAAGCCAAGAGTAGATACACCAGGCAGTGAATCCATAAGCGTGTTGCTTGCGCGCGCTTCTCAGTGAGCTGGTGTCACCGAAGATATTCAGATCGTGCGCAATGGACACAGCCTGGACGGCGTACGTCATGCCCAGCTTATCCATTGAGTACATGTTGTACAAAATGTTCATAACAAGCCCAGCTTGAACAGTGGTTATCCGGCTTTTTCGGTAGCGTTCTTCATCCCAAAGTCGCCGTGCTTCGGCAAAAAACTTGTAGCTTAGGCTCTGAGGTTTCCAATATTCACGGCGGTCGGCCAGCGAGATATGGCAGTTCTAGACCGTCAACATACAACATACATGGTCCTGGACATGCAAGATTGAAAAGTGACTCACACAAGCTTGAGCCAAGACGACATTGACAAGTAGCGATGAACAGTACTTTTCAGACCCGGATATCATATCGGCGAGGAAAAGATCCTTTTGAAAACACGCAAACCACACATACTCGTATTGAAAGTAGAGTTTCAGAAGAAGCCGCAGGAGGTTGTCATCTTTTGAGACTTGAGTCCACTTGGATGGAATCACTGAATCCAGTCTATGATCGATGATGCTGGCAGACGAATATGGCTTGTTGTACTCTGGTCTATCCTGAATGGCGGCTGACGAATTGTCAAAGGAAGCCTGGTACAGTGGAGAATGCAAGTACTTGTTTCTGGGAGATTGCAAGTGCGCCGGCATCTCCTTACGAAACGGGAAAACGAAGCGATATCTTGTTTCCGGCTCGACGTGCAGTTGAAGGAGGACGTCGCCTGCTGTCAGGTGAGACAGGATGGACTCAAAACTGCCGCCCTCGCGCAGACGTTGGAATATCGCTTGCGCGTCAGCCTCGGGTCGCGACTGCAGTGCACGTACAAAGTGCTTCAGTCTCGTATACTCGCTGTTGACTTGGTCTTCCGTGTGAGTATTAGCACCCTGAAAACGTGTTACGATTGCTCCCGTGTCTTCCCCAGCCCGTACCCGGGACAAAAGCTGGGTAGCATCCTGCTCTGGTAGTATCTTCATAAAGCTAAGCAACTCTTCATGCGCAGAACGCTAGTTTAGGAGGTCTTCGTATTTTTGCTTAACCCTACGCGCTTCCGATTGAAGGTACCGGCAGACTGTGCTGCGTTTGGTGCATGCTACGCATGTTGGTTGCTCTCCACTGCACTATAACTGCTCGCTTAGCTCTCTAGTGTACCCATTAGAAGTAGTATATGGATGGCATCCCGACCTTTAATTTATGGAGGCGGCAAGCTTCGCAGGCATTCGATACCCTTTGTCTCTTCCGCTGTTTCTCTTCTGGCGCAGGTTGATGTCTCGTGTGAGCTCCTGAAATCGCAGGTAGCAACGGACGGAGAGGGGCACTCATACTGGGTATGTCTAGAGATTATGGTGAAGGAGAAGAGGTTGGATTTCGTGAACCACGGAACATGTGTCCTGCCTGGGGTTCGAAGGCAGATTTGTCGTGTGATTTTTCAATACCTAGTGTTTGTGCCGCATGGAAATGCAATGCATCATTATTACTTTTAGAAGAGGTTGGATTGTGCAAAACGAATAGCACTGGCCGGGTGTTTCATCCGATACGAGAGGATTTGTCAGATCGATGTCTAGGATGAGACCTGTATGACCCACGCCGGGAGAACTTCGGGTACGCGTCACGTGCCCACACCCTCACTGCACATGTGCATCAATTGATGTGTGCAGTGCAGTAATGATTCCATCACCCGTGCATTTGATCACACACTTTGCCTACATACCTAGGTACATGAGTATATATGTAGTGATTAGCTTCCAAGTCGTTGGTTTGTTATCGGATTTGGAGGGATTCAAGAAAGAATCCAATGTCCTTGGTAGGAATCACATGTTTCTTCCGATGTCGCTCACATGCAGTAGGTGAATGGAAAAAGGAATAAGCGAGGGGTGGTACCGCTCACGTGACGCTGTTTGTGCCTTCCAAGGTTGCTACTTATATCACTCGGCTCGCCATTCTCCCCCTTCACCACAATCCACAACACAGCACAACACAACACAACACATCACAGCACAAGCATTATAATCAACATCATGGCAACCAAGGTAGCGTCCCAGATGCCTCCCACCGCGCCAATCGCCGATGACTCGGCCTCCGCGCTCCCCTCAACGAGACGACTTTCGATACAATAGACCTTGCATCCGTGTCTTCCCAAGAAGCTCATGACAAGCTTTCCGACGCGGCCAAAACCACAGGTGCAGCACTTGTTTCCAACTTGCCTACGCGACCCCCCATTGCAGCGATCCAGCGCCTCTTTGAGAAATTATACGCAGACAGCTCCCTTGCTTCGCGCCTGAACGCTACATATCCTAAGCGTGGCGTCTTCAAGGACGCTTGCTTGGCACCTGGCGCATCTACAAAGATCGACCAGAAGACGACAATTGACCTCTCCATCGGCCGCCTGCAGTCTATTCGCCAGTCGGACCCAACTCTTGCAGAAGCTTTGGGCCAAGATTTCGACGACGTTGTAAGCTTCTACACCTACATCGAGACTGAGGTACTTCCTATCGTCACGCGAGCGACATCCTCCATTAGCGGGCTTGATTTGGAGCCCACTCACAACGGGACCAACAACCACCTCCGTTTGATCGACTATTTCTCTTGCCCAGAACCGTCTGCACCTAGGTGCGGTGAACACCGCGATTACAACACGTATACAATCGTGTTCCAAGACCGCGCCGTAGGCGGGTTGGAGTTTGAGATTGACGGTACCTGGAAGCGTGTCCCCGCTAGCGTGGATGCTGTTATATCCTGGGGCTGGTGCGGTGCGATCTTGTCCAACGACGCCGTGAAAGCCGCCAAGCATCGTGTACTACGAACCTGGCCGCTGGCCAGCCGAAGGACTACTGCTGTTGTCTTCGTGGCACCCGATCTCGACACTGCACTTACGCCTGTGACTAGAGCCGGAACGGGGGATGCAGGATGGCGTCAAGAGATACTGGAAGGACGCATCACTGTTGGGGCTTTCAAGGAGATTATATCCAAGAAATGGAGGAGACGCGATGGCAACGAGCCTGGAGAAGTTGTCCAAGGGGCACAGGACCAGGAAGTTCAAGAATTCCTCAAGCCTTTGCAATCCTAATTGTGAGCACCGTCGCATTACTGCCAATGCTGCCACTACTACAGACACAATTACTATCAAAGCGGATTCTGTACTGCGAGTATGTTGCTATTAGGTATAGCGTGAGGTCTATCCTCAGTTGAATTCCAACAAGTCTTGTCACACAATTAGTCTTTACAATCCATACCAATATCTAAACTGGTTTCTTTAATAGCATCTAAAGCAAAATGAGTGTCGTAACATCTATCCCTCTCGTTTGAGAAGGCTTAAAGAGTCTTTGGGTTCAACCTTGCCCCAATCTCCAAGCCGCCACATCCATAGCTTGTCGCCTCCATTCTGCAGCCAATATGGACTAAGCATTTGAATTTCCCTTCCACATACGACCATGGGACCATGATAACAGAGTTTCCTGTCCGACTCGCCGTTTTTCAAGAGACTAGAATAGGTTATTTAGAAAAACAGCTACAGTTTGTAGTAGCAATGCACGCCGTAAGCGCTAGAATCTAGGGGAAGGTAGAAGCAGCAAGAGATAAGCAGGTTCCATGGCACAGCAAGTAAAAAGGGCGTCTTGAAATACTATTATATGTAACAGTTTTCGCGTTAGCGTTTGCATGGTCACTACATATGTATGTTTGCCAAGTAGTTAGATCCGTCAAACCCGCGATACTGGACGCGTACCTGAACCACTTGCAACCGTCTTTGACCTTCCTTATACCTTGCAGTCTCTCGTCGCAACAAAGAGAAGCACGATGCGGAACGCTCAACACTATCCAAGTGGCCTCGATGCCGCGTTAGCCACGGCCAAAGTAACCACGCGTGGGCAGTCCCTGTGTGCCCTGCTCCGTGCGTTTGTGCTGACTGCCGAATGTACTACAGTATTATACCCCAATTGAGCAGAATATCGACCGATACGTGTACACGCGCATCACCACTGACAAAGAAACTACGGCTATCTTAGAACAATACAACATAAAGGCTCGGGAGTCGCAGCAGTACCTGCGGCGTGCCGTACAGCAGCACGGCGATGACATCTTGACTCGCTGGCGCAAGCGCACGAAAGCGAAACGCGCAGCGCTGTTGTCACACGCGGAGCCTGACCTTCCTCAACGCGAAGGTTTCGTCGTGGATCTCGACCACGCTGGCACCCAATGGCAGATGGTCCGAGCACACAGAAAGTACTTCTTGCTCCCGTATCTCAACGTCGACAAACTTGTGCAAAACCCGTCAACGATGGTGGGCCTGCTGCACACACGAGCCAAAGACAGTCTGGAAGAATGGGCGCCATTTCATCACGAGCAATTAAGGAGTACGTGGGGGCTGGGCGGGCTCGATGTTGATTTCAATGCCGGAACGGTTTTCATGTACCCTCACTAAGTGGGAGGCGGGAGCGGCACATCGTCATAATATCGTAGGTTATCCTCGTGCAAGACTCATCATTGAGGCTCAAACAACATTAATGCAATTTCTCAAGCGCGTCGTTGAGCAGCTCATTGTTGGCTTGCCAGATGATAAGCCGGCTAGTGCGACCAAGATGGAAGAACTCATTTGGTCAGGGCTGAGGGTGGCTGGAGAGGGAGCCTGCTGGTCGAATTTCGTTAACCGGCCTTTCACAGGACCTCCTCGTTTCGATATAGATGCTCTGGTTGCTCAAGTGAAAGCACGAGCAGACGCAACCAGCGACCACCTATAGCTGCTCCAGACAGAACCTTCTTATCTAAAGCGGCATATGCGCAAACTCGCCCAAATGGAATCCATCCAGTCGATTGGCAGGAATAGAATCGGCCCAGCCCTCATCGCCGCAGAGCTGGGGGCTAAAATTAATATCAACTGGTTCTGGCGAAGCGCACAAGTGGAGTTTGAACACCTCCAAAAATTCTATAGTCGCTATCAAGACTCAATCATGCCAGGATCTCCAATGCCAAAAATAGTCGACGACGCTCTCGGAGCCCTCGAGCTTGCTCTGGTCAATGAACTCCACACCCGCATTAAACAGTTCGGAGCCATGGTGATTCAACGACCTGGATTTCGCAGCATCTACGACTCAACAACATCACCTGTCAGAAGCAACACACAACAATTAATGTACGATGTTAAGACAAGGATTAAGTCACAGTTCACCCAACAGAACAGCAATGTACCAGTCAGAGAAGCCCTCGCCTATCGCACAGAAAGGCTTTAGTAGATCTTGTTCCAACTCTAAAGTAAACCTGACAGCAAAAAGCAATACCCTTATCCAATGCTACTCAACATGCTAGATAAGCACCTGGCAATTTCCAATCGTCACGAACGTGGACGTCTTGACGAAATCCTTTACAAGAAGCTATGAGACTATGCCACACTCTTGGAACTTCTCTGGACTATTCGAATGCATCGTCCCCGGAACACCAATCGCACAGTCCATGATCTACCGACACTGTAGCATCAATTTATACTGGAGAACGGGCTGCAATTAATCCGGTGAAATTGGCCCGTGCGCGGCGCAGGCAGAAGCTGAGTCCTCCCCATGTAAGGCAGTGTACAAAAATAGAATTGGGCCCCCAATCTAATCTACGTGTGAAACCAGTGGATCATCTTGCACGCTCAGCCTCGATCATTCTTTCTCTCCCAAATTTCCCATTTGCTGATTCTGTTCTGTTTGCTTTTTTTCTTTTGCTTTTTGGACAGTTTGTGAGCTTTATCCCTCCTCGATGCTGCCGTTCGATGCAATCCTACACCCCAGGCAAAAGCAAAAGTACGTCTCCATAGACGACGATCTCCCAGCCCCCGCGCGCCCCGAAAAGCGGACATTTCAAACATCGAAATCCCGCCAGGGATGGCGGTTCGGCGCCGTGAATTGCGCCATAGCGGCCACTGTTGTGTTCCTCGTCAATCTGATCATGACCATCGTCTGCGCGACATTTGAAGGCGATCACGAAGGGACGCTGTATGTTGGCGATTGCGAAAAAGTCAAACAAATCAATAAAGGAATGCACATACTCATTAACATCCTAAGTACGGTGCTACTTAGTTCAAGTAATTACTGCATGCAGTGTCTCTCAGCGCCAACGCGGAGGGACATAGATGTCGCGCACGCAAAAGGCAAGTGGATGGATATTGGGGTGTTGAGTGTTCGTAATCTACGTCGCATTAGCAAGAAGCGGGTGATGCTGTGGGCCCTTCTAGGACTCTCTTCGCTTCCGCTACATCTATTGTGGGTCTAATTGGATGTGAAGCTCTAGCGTTGCGGTGCTAACGTCTACAGCTACAACTCTACGATATATATGTCTATTTCCGCTTTTGAATATCGAGTTGCTGCAGTCGGGCAATCGTTTGTTGATAACCCTGACTGTAAAGGATGTTCCACTATTCTCGACCGCACAGCCGTCGATCTTGCCAACAATACAAAACCCGATAGAGGCACTAGCTGTGGCTTTTACAATATCAAAAATGGCACAGCTTTCAACATAGCAGTCGCATCTTTACACGAAAAAGCTCACACTGGCCTTCTTGATAGGATCGAGCCCATCGACTGTATCAATCAATATGGTCAAATGATACAATCAAAACACGGAAGCTTAATTCTAGTTTTTCGGGATGAAGATGTTCCTTCAGTAAGAGATGAATGTATGAGCGCAAACTCGCCGGTGTTTTTCGCGGCAGAAACAAAAGAACCAGGGGTAGACTATATAGATGTCCCATATCACTGGATATGTCCAACAGCCCAAATCAACAACTCTCCGGGCTGTGACGGACAAATGGATCTGGACAAGGTGAAGCAGTCCCCCGCAAATTGGACTGTCGGCTTTTATCCTTGCAGTGATGGAGACAATAGTCGATACACCACTTGCAGTCGCAATTCGAGAGGCCCGATACAGTACTGTTTGAGTGAGAAAGTGGAAGCTAGGTGCGAACTTCGATGGAGTATCGCGATCGCAGTGGTGGTTATATTACTTAATGCTTTCAAAGCGTGCTTGATATTCTACACAGCATTCCACATCGACGAAAACCCCTTAATGGCTGTAGGAGACGCCATCGTCTCCTTTCTTCAAACTCCGGATCCAACCACCGTCAACATGTGCCTCTCATCCCAAAAGGATTTCACAAGGGTAGGCGACACTTTCAGCGCGGGACCGCGGCGCTGGGATAACAAAAGATATCAATGGAGACATAGTGTCAGTAGAACTAGGCGAGCGGTCACCTTCTTGATGTGAGTGCTCCCGGTTGCTTCTGGATCCTGGCGAGCAAAGATCTAGTATATTGCTTTACATATCCGGACTGACCGTATTAAAATCGCTTAGGATGTCGATCGCTATTGGAGTCGTCATTGGCCTACTGTTAATGGGCCTCTATAATCTAACAGGAGTCGATAAAACTTCCTTAGTGAGTATCGCTCGCATTGGTTTCGGTGCTTTGGACCCCCGCCAATTCATTGGCCTCGGATTTAATGACGTATTGCGTAATACGTTGGTGGTCAATTCAGGGCAGGTCATTGTATCTTTTATCTACTTTTCGTATAACGGTCTATTCACTTGTATGCTTCTGGGGTACGAGTGGGCGAGTTATTCATCTGAACGAAAGGGATTAAGAATTACTGCCAAAGCAAAGGGAGCTCAGCGGTCGACCTACTTCCTGTCTTTACCATACCGGTTCGGATTACCTTTGATGGCGACCAGCAGTCTCTTGCACTGGCTGGTGTCACAAAGTATCTTCTTTGTCTCGATTGACGTTGGTGTTCTGTACCCCCTGTTGGTAACTCAAACTGACCGGTGAATCCAGAGATACGATGTCGATGGTAAATACACAAAAACGGAATCTACGTGCGGGTACTCTAATATTGCAATAATAGCGGTTATCGCCGTTAGCGTTGCAATGCTGCTGTTCGTGATCGGAATTGGCTTTATTCCCTACAAAGAGGGCACAATTATGGTCGGCAGCTGCAGCGCGGCAGTGAGCGCAGCATGTCATCCGATGTCCAAGAATATAAAAGGAGAAGATCTGGTTTGCAGGAAACTACAATGGGGTGTGGTGGGGCAACGATCAGACGGTGTTGGACACTGCACTTTCACGGATGGACAGGTGGAGCCGCTGATCAAAGAGAATATGTATGCGGCGGGCTCATAAGACATTGATGTACCTTAGTTTTTGACTTTCGGATGTATTGATATGTCGGAGGCCAGTTCTTGCTACTTCACTGCGTCTCACTGATTGCTTTGTACAAAAAGAACGAAAACACATATATTAAGAGACTCTGTCAAGATTCGAGAAAGCGTTCGCGGAGAGTGCAGTGACGCATTCATAGATCCAGGGTCTGAAGACGGTACAAAAACAGCACCTCGTTCAACCTCCGAATCCACCCTTGTAAAGTAGTATTGCTTTGGAATTTGATGTTCCACACAGAAGAGAATATATATTAAAGATCCAAACACGCATTTTATTTTAAGTAAGAGTTTAGGTGTTCTTACACACGACGATGGATTTTGACGATGGAGATGGACGAAAACAGGCGATTAAAGCGAAATTATGCGATATGCCTTCACAATCCAAACACGCATGATTCGACGATTGCATCCTCTGGGCGCATAGGGTTGCAACATTACAAAAATTTCGCCTTCGGCGTTGCGCCATCGGGTACCTTGTAATCACCCTTTGGTCTGCTTTTTATTCCGTATACTGAGCGTTATCTATTGCTTTGCCGCTTTCTTTCTATACAACTTTGCTTGCGACGTTTTGCGGACGTATACAAGTAATCAAGGCCTCATGATAAACTGGCAGCGGTTAAGAGCGACTGCCCCTACGGAGTAACAACGAGGCCCAATACAGGGCTTAGCGGGTAAGAGACAGCAGCAGTTGATGATGAAAGTTTTTTGTTCAACAACCTATCCGCATTATCGGTCTCTGGCATCTTGCAAGACGGTTTCGCGACTATAAAATTGAGAGGTTGATGCGGACATAAGCCCTATACCGATGTGTTTTGCCTTAAGCGCCTGCGGTTCGTTATCTGTCTAGGTCGGTACGCCGCGTCTAATACCAACTAACAACCTGAATCAGATCTGCTTAAAGGCATTCTCTATTTGAGTGACGACCGTGCCAGCAGATGCGTTGTCTATTGATACTACCTAGTGTATAGACATTACGATTAACGGACGACTGCAGTAGTTTCTCGTGTTTCGTATCTAGCATCAGTCTCGCGGCGATCGATTCTGCTTCTATTAGGGCGATTCGTGCTACTGTGTAATTTCCGCGTGTAAGCACGTCCGCGGTCTCCATTGTGTCTTATACAAGGGGATGAAAGGTGTGATACGAGATCGTTTTGGCTTAGATACTACCATGAACTGTGATCATGCTATAGTCGTTAGTTACATTAAATCTCAATCTTCTCCTAATTGCGTTTACCCTACAGCTTAGGGGTTGGTTCCTTCTCAATGCTGTTGAACTTGGGCGCGAGATATCTTTTCACCTCGACGAAAGACTAGCAAGAATCACAAACCAATATATGAGAATTTGCTTCCATCTGATATCACATACGACCATAGGACCATGAAAACAGAGCTTCCCGTCCGCTCAGCTGTACTTAAGCATGGTACCGGCGGATTAGTAGTTAGGTGGGTGACCACTAGCGAATACCTGCTGTTGTATGTTTTTGCTTTTTGACACCATTCAGACATATCTTCATAATCTAATCCTAGCATATATTTGGCTTTGAGATTGGACAGGAAAGATGCGTATGGTATGAACGGCACAAATATGTTTCATTTTGCTTTGCTAGTTTCGTGGAGTCAGCTCCACATATAACCTCTATGGAAAGTTGTAGATGAGGCACCCCGCAGTCGTCGAGGAGTCCATTAGCTTCCTGAGATTTACGGAACCGCCTCGACGGTGACCCACAGTCATTGTGTGGATCGAGAAGGATAAACGGACCCCTTGAACAGATAATTTGATATTCTTTTGTAAATAGTCGGCCTTCAATGGCGCTAGAGTACATCCATGATGTGAAAGCCAATGCGTCTTTTTAACTCTCTCTTCTAGTTAACCTTACATGTAAGGGCTTTGGTTCAAGAACAATGAACACACGGTGGTCGGGCCATGTATCCATACAAGGTTCTGCGCCTTGGATATCAAAGTTCCAGATCAGTTTCGCAAGAGCGAGACGTGCTTGAGCAAAGAAAAGTCTATCGTGCAACAGGTCAACTTGAGAATGATGTAGGAGAGAACAATGGCTTACTTTGCGCCAATACAATTGCGCGGTCCTGTGGAAAAAGGCATAAAAGCAGCCCTGTTATCGCTGTCGAACATGGGATCATATCGCAGATCGCTTGGTGGTAAGAAACGTTCTGGGTGAAACTCGTCGGGCTTGTGCCAGTATTTCGGGCAGTGGAATATATTCTGAAGGCTCACTCCCACGATGGTCTAAATCACCTGGTCAGTGCTAATCCGACGCATGAGTGTATGGTAAGAAGCACGAACATTGCCTGGGATGAGAGTTCCAGAGATGACACGAGAGGAATTTGCGGGCATTGTTCTCGGCAGTGATATTGGTGAAGGATGATGTATGCGCAGCGTTTCATTCAAGACAGCCCCTAGATAAACCAAATCTTGCACGGCCTGAACTGTAATGTCTCCATCCCTCTGAAACGCGCTGCGTACTTCCTTGACGACCTCTTTCAGGGCTCCAGGAGACTTCAACAGGAAGTAGGTGCAGCTTGTAAGTGCACCAGCCGTGAGCTGACAGTCCGCAATAACCAACGCAAGAGCGTTGGAAAGAATCTCCTTCTTTGTAACGCCCTTACGGGGGTTCTCCTCCTCGGAGACACGACCAATGACGGGCGTCAGCAGATCGGCGCGCGCTTCACGTGTCGACAACCGACGATCGATCTTAGCTGCCGCCACGCTCCAATTCTTCTCCCGCGTTTTGCGTGTGATTCCAAGAAAGCAGAAGTCGAGTATCTTGTCGATTGGCGAATACCAACGTAGACTGTTCCGAACTGCACTGTACTGCGCATGCAGGAAAAACTTTTCGATCCAGGTATGCGGCCCGGGAATATCGAGACATGCTGTCGACTCGCCGTAACTGAGGTCTGTGATAGTATCGAACGCAACGTAGCCGTAGAACTTATTGATGTCCAGGATCTTATGTTGCTCAAGTTCTCGATTGATTCGAGCGACGAAACGAGAGTTATGATGTTCAATGAGAGCCGCTTGTTCACGGAGAGCCTTGCTGGAGAAAGCGAAGGCAAGAATGCCGCGGATGCGTTTGTGAGTCTCATTCTCAGCAGTAAAGAGTGAAGGAGACCCATTCATGGGCGGGGTTTGACTGAAGGTGTCTTTCAGAAGCAGCGGCTGTGCTGTGTATATTTCTTGCCACGCTGAAGTAGACAGGGTCGTTACTTCGTTGGGTGCAATGCGGATCGTGTCGCCGAATTCATCGTGCAGACGTGCTAGGGCCCTCCACAGATCGCCCTTCACCATGTGCCACAGCCATGGTAGTCGCGATATAGCCCACAACTACACTATCAGACACTTTTCGCATTGATGTTCGCGTTGATCGACCACAGTACTGACCTTGGGTCCAGGCAAACTGGCTAAAGGGTGCCACCAAAGACGATACACCACAACACCAACCGCATAAACTACGACCAGAAGAATGGCAGAGACGAGAGTGTGAATTGCCATTTCGACTGGAATTGCACGGAAAAACGAGCAGAAAATTTCAAGTTTACTGGCTGCTGGCCACATGCAGCTTCGGTTGCGCGTGTTCACGTGGGGGGCGACCATCGCCGGTGGACGAGAGAAACCCGCCGGGCCCGGCCAATCTTCCGGTGGTCTTACGCGCGAACCTGGGGATTAGCAGCAAGGAGAGCACGACGTCAATCAACCAACCTCGAGGCAAACGTGAGCGATGATGGCGATGCAGACACGATTGCCAGAGATGAATTTCCGGGTACCCTGTAGGGCCGACACCTGGATGCACATATGAGATCAATGTGCAAACCTCGTCCAGCTCCCAATGCCTGCTTCAGCCGACCATGATGGCTTCGCAAGTCGTCTCTGCCGCATTCTTCTGTCCTCGCACGAGACCTCCACCCCAGCAATATGTAGACGAATTGAGGATATTCCTGCGCCACAATCGGTATGGAGCGGCTCTATTGGCGCACGTCTCCAGCCTCGAGAGCACATTGAGCCTTCTGTCTGAGTCCAGAGACGATATCGCTTCTATACCGGACGGGGCTTACCTCACCCAACTTCTAGTCGATTGGAGCAAAGATGGCCCGTCAAGTCCAGTGTGCAGCGCGAAATCGAGCATTATAGCCCTCCCATTGTTGATGGTTCTTCAACTAGGGCAATATTTTCGCTATCTAGAGGCCTACGACATCAAGCACCATGAATTTCTTCGTGGATTAGGCGAAAACGGAGGAATACATGGGTATTGCGGGGGAGCCGCAGCGGCACTCGCCATCGCCTGCGCGGAAAATGAGGAAGAGGTAGTTCAGCATGCAGGTGTTCTTCTGCATGTTGTTCTGGGTATAGGTGCGGCTATGGAGGCTGCCGACCATCAGGCTTCACAACATTCGGCCACAATTGCTGTACGCTTGAAGTATGAAGAGCAGGGCGAGGAAATTGTGCGGAAATTTCCTGGGGTGAGTTTGTGACCGTCTCGACTCTGTCTATACTAGTTTGCTGACCCTGTTGCAGACATACATCTCAGCTGTCACAGAACCAAAGTCGATTAGTATAGTCGGGCCAAGTTCTTTGCTGGCTTCGCTCACCAGCCACGCGAGGGAAATTGGTCTACCTGTTCACGTCACCGATATTACCGGTAAATCGCATAATCCGGAGAGCTGCGAGCTCGCCCAGCAGATGATTGAACTCCTTGACAAGCATCCTCAGTTCCGGCTATCTCAGCACGTAGTACCGCGAGTTTCTATGCGATCAAATCTGAATGGCGATGTGATAGCAACAAATGCTTTGGTAGCGGACATGGTAGCTATGATGCTTACATCAAGATGCGAATGGTACACCCTATTGAACCGAGTCGCAGAAGATATGAAGTCTTCAGATCGACAGTCTCATTTGATTGCCGTGTTCGGTCTGGATAACTGCGTCCCAATGTCGCCATTCCACAAACAGCAGGTCATCACATCCAAATTCGAAGCTCGATCGCTCCCCATGGTATCTGTGCAAAGGATTTCGTCTGCCGAATCTTCACTGAAAATGAGCTCTTTCCCGGATACAGCGGTGGCAGTAGTCGGTGCTTCGTGTAGGCTCCCAGGAGCGAATAACATGGAGGAGCTTTGGACCCTTATTAGTGAGGGACGTGATTGCCACCAGCCAATCCCTTCAGACCGGTTCGATACGAATGCCAGCTCGAGAGAATCGAAGGACGGCGCTGGAAAGCGATCAGAAACTTTCTATGGCAATTTTATCGACGACGTTAAAGGGTTCGACGGTGCTTTCTTTGGTGTGAATCCTCGGGAGGCTGCAAATATGGATCCCCAGCAGCGACTATTGTTAGAACTGTCTTATGAAGCCCTTGAAGACAGCGGGTACATTGCAGGTCATGACCGCGCAGCAGGTGATTCCGTGGGCTGTTTTATTGGAGCAAGTTTTGTGGAGTATTTAGACAACACCAATGCTCACGCTCCAACGGCATATACTTCAACAGGGACTATACGCGGTTTTCTATGCGGCAGAATCAGTTATCACTATGGATGGACCGGGCCTTCGGAAGTCATTGACACAGCCTGCTCATCTTCTTTAGTTGCCATTAATCGCGCATGCAAAGCCCTGCAGACTGGCGAGTGCACAATGGCTCTTACAGGTGGTGTCAACATCATTACTGGAAAGAATAACTTCATCGACTTGGGCAAAGCTCGGTTTCTGAGTCCGACTGGCCAGTGCAAGGCCTTTGACGCCACTGCCGACGGGTATTGTCGATCTGAAGGAGGGGGTTTAGTGGTCTTGAAACTACTCAAGGATGCTATTCATGCACAGGACAATATCTTGGGTATCATTCCCAGTGTTGGGACGAATCAAGGTGGTCTGTCATGCTCGTTGACCGTCCCATCCGTCCATGCACTTCAATCTCTTTACCGGGACCTCTTGAGACGGGCGAATTTCCAGCCATCCGACGTCTCATACGTAGAAGCTCATGCTACAGGTACGCATCTCTGTTCAATGTTAGCTAAAAAATTTAGTAGAAACATTCTGATGGCAAATCAGGTACACAAGCGGGCGATCCAATCGAAATGGAGAGTATACGAGCAGTTTTTGGAGATCCGGATCGCATCAGTAGCCTTCCAGTTGGGTCGATCAAAGGAAATATCGGCCACTGTGAGACTGCTGCCGGAGTTGCAGGCTTACTCAAAGTGATCGCAATGCTCCAGCACGGAAAGATCCCAAAACAAGCGAATTTCAAGAATCTCAACCCTCAGATTGCAGACTTGAGACCAGACCGTCTCTCGATCCCGCAAAAGGAGATTTCTTGGGTAGGAAAATCCCGTGTTGCGCTGGTGAACAGCTACGGCGCGGCAGGATCTAATGCGGCATTGTTATGTTGCGAAGCACCGTGCTACCGAGAGTCCTCGACGTTACAATACCCCGCTGAGGTCTTCTTTCCACTCATCGTGAGTGCCGGCACGAAACAAAGTCTCATACTTCAAACCCAGACTCTTAACCGATACTTGAGCGAGATGCCCTGCGACGTATCACTTCCAGATGTCGCTTTTACGTTGAACCATCGAAGAGCGATCCGAAAATTTTGCGTCACTACAACAGTTTCAAGTGCGAAACCTGTTATCGACTTAGATTCCCTGACGTCCCAAGCTTTTCAGTATCCAGAGAGTCCCAAGCCTGTCGTTCTGGTATTCGGCGGCCAGACTGGTAAAAGTGTGTGTCTGAGCCGTGCCTGGCTAGACACCTACCCAGCGTTCCGGACTTATGTCGATAGTTGCGATAGAGAGCTTAGAAGCTTAGGTTATCCCTCTCTCTATCCTGCCATTTTCAGTGACGAGGAATTATCAAGTGCAGTGCTAGTCCAGTGCGGAATGTTCGCTGTACAATACGCATGCGCAAGCTGTTGGATTGACGGCGGTCTGAAGGTCGCAGCTATTGTGGGCCACAGTCTGGGAGAAATCGTGGCTTTGGTAGTGTCCAAATCACTTTCTCTTGCGGATGGCATGAAGCTGGCAGCTAATCGAGCGCACTTGATTGATACGAAATGGGATGGAGATAAAGGCTTGATGCTGGCTGTCAACACTTCGTCGGGGGAAGCAGTCCGGTTAATCAACGCGGCACAAGCAAGATCACCAGATGTACGTCTCGACATTGCTTGCTACAATGCTCCTCAATCGACTGTGATTGGCGGGGATTCAGCAAGTATTGAGCAGGCGGAACAAACACTATATCAAGATATGTCGTTTGCTGGGATTAAACACAAGCGCCTATCAACGACACACGCATTCCATTCCAATCTCACCACTCCGCTAGTTGCTGATTCAGAGATATTGACGGACTCACTTTCATGGAACGAGCCAGCATTTCCCCTCGAATTCTGTACTGCGACTCCTCTAGGCTCCATCAAAGAATGGAAAGCAGACAATCACCTCAGGAAGCCAGTCTTCTTTTCTGATGCAGTTCGACGCATCGAAAATCGACTGGGCGGATCTGTGTGGCTGGAGGCGGGCTTGAATTCACCCATGTTGTCTCTTGCGAAGAGATCATGCTCCTCTCCAGAAATGCATTCCTTCTTCCCACTCGATACTAGATCAGTAAAAACGCCTGCAGATTTGATCAATCATACGATTTCCGGGCTTTGGAAACATGGGATTTCGCTCAAGAATTGGGCATTTCTGGGCCAAAATCCCAGATATGTTTGGCTTCCGCCGTATCAATTTGAGAGACGACAGCACTGGGTGGAGAACATCGACCGCGCAACCGAAGCAAATCGCAGATCGAAAGAGGGTATTTCAGGTACACCGCAATCCCGAGGCCCGGAAGCAAGATGGCTTGTACGCAGGCAGGGTGCACCAGACGCGAAATCAATGTCTTTTGATATTGACAGTGAATGCGATCGGTTTCAGAAGATTGTGGCCGGTCATGCTGTTCTCGGCCAAGCGCTTTGCCCAGCCTCATTGTATATGGAGTGTGCTACTATGGCATGTAATATCGCAGGATGCACTCCTGAAAACGCGAATGTGCGATTCGATGACCTAGAGTTTCTCGGTCCTCTTGGATTGGACCTACGAAAAAAGATCACGCTTAGCCTGGATCAGGTGGGCGATGGTATGGCATGGGATTTTACCGTGCAATCGACTTTGTTTGAAGATTATGGGAAATCGACCATTCACTGCAAGGGACGGATATCTTTCACCAAATCCGCCGACTTTGCACGTTGGTCGCGTTTGCTCGACGGCCGCACCGAGAGGCTGAAACAATCCGAGAAAATGTTGTCAAAACAGGCATATGAACTGTTCTCCCGGGTTGTTGACTATTCCGCGTTTTTAAAAGGAATTAATTGCATACACTTAGACAAGAATGAGGCTCTTGCAACCGTCACACTTCATCAAGAGGATCAACCTGGTCGTCATGAAAGTACTGCATGGCAGCGTTGCGATACAGCTTTGATGGACGCTTTCATCTCCACATCTGGTCTTCTTCTGAACAACAGCGACATCGTATCAGAAGACCAGGTCATGATCGCTACAGGAATAGAGCAGGTGATGTTGGACTCAGCCTGTGCTATGGATTCATCTGCACAGTGGACTGTCTATACTATGTTCACTAGAGTCGATGAGTCAAAAGCCTTGAGTGATATTTTCGTATACTCATCTCAAGGCAAAATGGTGGCAGCATTTAGTGGTGTACGTTTTGCCAAAGTGGGGATATCGAAGCTACGCAGAACACTTTCATCTGCGAATCCCAAAAGTGCCAGTAGTTCTGTGGCGGAAACCATAGAATCGGCCACATCATCACTGGATATCACATCTATCACAGCGAGCAGTCCAGCGACAGAAAGTTCAGATCAGGAAGGGCAGAAGGTAGAGACCTCCATCACCCCCTTAGCGAAACCGGAGGAGATGGCAAAGTCACTTATCGCAGGTTTTGTCGGACTTGACGCTGGAAATGTTCCCATGGATATATTGCTCGCGGACTTGGGGATCGACTCGTTGTCTTCCATTGAGCTCTCCACTGAGATGCAGGTGCAATTGAAAGTCTCTGCTTCACCCGATGACCTCTGCAACATGACCGTAGCAGATCTTTCTCAGCACATATTGGGATCGATGCTGGGAAAGGCTAGCTCTGTAGCGCTCGAAAAGAAGCGGGTTTTCGAAGAATATCCGGTCAAGGACGCAGATGTTGAATCGCGAAGAGAATACCAAATCACGTTCGACGATCCATTCCGAGCTCTCGCCAAAGCGCAATTTCGTTTCGACACTGCAGCGGAGGAACATGGGTTTGCCAACTACTGGGACGAGCCCCATCGCCTACAGAACGACCTCTTGATAGCGTACATTTTGGAGGCCATGCAGAATCTAGGGATAAGCCTGGAATCGATGCCACCTTTGACACATATTCCACCACTGCCAAACATACCGAAACACAGTCGACTCGTCTCGAGATTATGGAAAATTCTTGAAGCCGACGGAATCATCATGAGACATGGAGACATTGGTTCACGTGGACATAAGAACCCCGTCAATCGTTCTTCCGAGAAGCTCTACAACGCTCTTGTCTCACAATTTCCGCAGTACCAACCAGAAGCCGAATTGATGAAATTGACGGGACCTAAACTGGCACGGTGTCTTCTTGGGCAGCAGAACCCGATATCGCTCATGTTTGGAAGTCCCAAAGCTGCAAAAATAATGCAGGACTATTATCAAAACTCTCCAATGCTTTCAGTGCTTACAGAAACACTAGTTGAATATGTAATAGAACTGTGCAAAGGGATAACAACGACCCCTGAGGAGCCTATCAGAATTCTGGAGGTCGGCGCTGGCACAGGAGGAACGACTAAGAGGCTAGTAGATGCACTGACTGCTGCTGGGGTGGATTGTCACTACGAATTCACCGATATCTCAGCAACGATGGTAGAGCAAGCACGAGAAAAGTTTTCGAATCGAACTTGGATGAAATTCCATACCTTCGATTTGGAAAAAGAGGTCGAAGACAGATTCCGCAATCAATTCGACATTGTGATTGGCACAAACTGCGTCCACGCGACGAAGAATAGGGTTCGTTCGTGCCAGCGTCTGCGAGACACGTTGACTGATAGCGGCCTGCTCATACTCTCCGAAGTCACACAAGTCATCGACTGGTATGACATATGCTTCGGCTTGCTAGACGGTTGGTGGTATGCTTCCGACGGGACAGAATACCCTCTGCAGCCATCGCACGTCTGGCTCGAGGCGTTCCGATCCGCCGGATTTGCGTCTACATGCTGTTCGGGAGGCACCTCGCGGGAATCGACAACACAGCAGCTACTTGTGGGATACAAGCGGGATCAGCCACCTGCTCGCTCGAATTCCATCGTATACCGCACAGATGCGATGGAGTATAAAGAAGTACAGGGTGTTCGTATCCAAGCAGATGTCTATGTTCCATACGCTGTCAGACCGGCACCGATGCCCGTGGCTCTGCTGATACACGGAGGTGGACATATTGCTCTTTCTCGGAAAGCCGTCCGCCGTGCACAAGTGGATCACCTTCTTGCGAATGGATTTCTGCCGGTCAGCTTAGACTACCGCCTCTGCCCCGAGATCAACTTGATTGACGGCGCAATGGTCGATGTGCGAGATGGTTATTGGTGGGCGAGAAACAAACTGCCTCTTGAACTTCTGAAAAGAGGTATCGTTGTGGACAGCGATCGTGTCATCGTCGTTGGATGGTCGACTGGAGGCCATCTGGCCATGTCTCTTGGCTGGACCACAAAGAAAGCGGGTATGCCGCCGCCTGCTGCGATCCTGAGCTTCTATGCGCCTGTTGATTTTGAATCCCGCGGTAAGTCTTTGCAGCTTTTCGCGGATTCCCGATATTCTTATTCTAATGTGACTGCAGAGTTGGATGACAATCATGGGAAATCACTTCCTGAGCCCAAAATGGATATTCGAGCCCTTCTTGCGAATCTACCGAGGACTCCCGTCACAAACCACGGCACAAACCCATCAGACGAGACTCGTCTGGGATTCTTAAATTCAGGTGACGCACGATCAGAACTCCTTCTCCACGTTTTTAAGAATCGCATTGGTCTTCCATTACTGCTCAATAATCTTCCAGAGAATGGCAGTCAAGACGGAGAGTACTTGTCTCCTCCATCTGCTGAACGCATTGCGGCAGTCAGCCCGTTGGCTCAACTTCGCCTGGGCAACTATAACGTACCTACGTTTATTATACATGGTGATCGAGACGAAATCGCTCCGTTTGCTGCCGCGGAGCGTTTCATTCAAGAGATGGGAAGACGAGGTGTGAAATATGGATTCTTGCGACTGGATGTGGGTCACGTCTTTGACGTGGATGTCCAGCCGGGAACCGCAGCATGGGAAGATCAAATTGCGCCTGGGTACAAGTTTCTTGCTGGTTGCTTGTAACCAACTTCAATGTCGCCTTCACTTTTCGCGCGTTTATGAAATTTTCTGTCGTTTAGTGTTTTTTCTCCTGTCTTTTCTTTGAAAGCATTGACTGGTTCAGCGCATAATATTTGGCGCGATCAGATATCATATTATATTTGTATGCTCCCCCTAAACGACTCCCGAAGCTCTATTAACGTATCTCGAATACCATGCACAGGCTGCTCCACCTCTGCCAACACTGTCCAGACCAATAAACCCATCTTCCCATCGCAAGCGCTTAGCAAAGGCCGCTCTGACGGAGACGTGCTGCCAACATCGCTAACGCGACAGCCCGCAGGAAGCCCCAACATCGCCTCGATAATACCCAACTCATGCACGCAGCTCTGAACAATAAACTTGAGTTGAAAACGCGCAAAAGAAGCCAGCGAAAGTCCTCCGAGCGCCAAATCAGGAAAAATAGCGGGCAACGCGGACTTGTGAGAAGAGGTGGAGCCCTCGGCGGCTAACGCGGCGCTGCTCGACAAAAGCAGACTTTTGATCTGCACGTACAGACCGCGGTGCAGCTGCGTCAGGCGAATATACGCCGTCACAATCTGCAACGTCGCCGGCGTGTCCGGGGTATCGCTCTTGTCTGCAGAAACGGCGTCTACGAATGTTTTTAGTATGCGCAGGAAAGTGAGGGAGCTTTGCAGCACGTCTGCTGCCATTCTTCCTAGTTCTTCCATGGGCGCTGCACAGGTGGATTTTTCCTCGTTTCTGAGGTATAGCTCCACAGACGCGCAAAGGGACGCGCTGAAGGCTGATAATTGGTAGACGGCTGCCAATGCGGATGGGCTGCTGCTGTCGGTTTCCATTTTATCTGGTTCTGGGTGTGAATGTTGGGTTGTTGGTGCTCGGGATCGCGGTTCAGAGAATAGGGTCGTGAGATCGTCAAACGACTTGTGACTGAGCTCTCCTTGCTCAGGAGCAAATGTGCCACCGAGACCGAGCGCATCCATCTCTTGCGTACTGGCATCGGAGGACGTGAATGGCGAATACAAGAAGTTGTCGGTATCTGGGCTCATGGTGGGCGACCCAAATGCATCGCCAAGTGTTGGCAGCGAAAAGTCGAAGCTCTCAGCCGGAAATGTGAAAGACTCATCATAAGTCGAGACGATTTGGTTGGAGCTGGTGGTGGCGCTGTGGTTGGATTTGGGGCGTGGAGTGGCAGGCGAAGTTTTTGTTGGATTCAACGCCCGCCCAGCTAACGGCCGCCCAGCTTTTCTCGATGGGCTGAAGACGCATTCGAAATGTGAGGGCAGACAACGATTGCATTTGCTTTGACCGGGTTCGCGGATACACTTCATCTTCTGGCCATGACAGCGATCGCAGGCGGTCCGCGCTGCACGATTCATCTTGATGTTTGAGCTAAGAGGACGAGAATCAAATTGAATATTCTGCCTTCTTTCTTCTCATGTCTCGGGGTGGTTGCAGGTAGAGATATCGTATTGGTTAAGTAAGTACAAATCTGGATACATCCATGGATACGTATGAGTATGCAGCATCACGATGCTCTCTGCCACCCCCTGGCTCTCGTTTTCCTGTGTAACCAAGGCGTAGGGCATACATCACTACACTAGGCATGTAGCTGTAGTCTGCTCCTTTGCCTGAATCTCAATCAATTATCGGAGACCGAAGCGTGAGACAAAATGTACGAAAGCGCTGACTGGGGGGGCACAGTACATAATGCGGGTGCGCAAGGCAGATATCATGCACGCCAGCTTGGGATTTGCATGCTTTCCGGTTATTATGTACATCGATTGACGTATGAATTCGATCCCTCACATATCACGTGATGAGCTGGTACATGTAGGAAAGCGGGGCGGTGTTACCCTGTAGCCTTGACGACCTTTACAGCGAGGAATGATATAAACCTACGAAAAAACCAACCTTTTGCCAATACTTGCAGCAAGCCTTTGTCTATTAAACACCAAAAATCCTCGCCATCCATACTCGTTTCGCCAAAGACGCCTTGAACTTTCGCATTCATCAATCATGCCTACTATCTTGGGTCGCGAAGTTGGCCCTATTGGCTACGGCCTTATGTCTTTGACATTGGGCGCCCCAGCTAATCTTCCTTCAGAAGAGCAAGCATTCGAAGCGCTGCGGGCCGCTGCAGATCTCGGGTGCCTAGTCTGGAATGGGGGAGAGTTCTACGGCGCGCCGAGCTACAACTCGCTTGTACTTCTTAACCGTTTCTTTGAAGCGTATCCTGAATATGCCGACAAGGTAGTCCTCAATATCAAAGGCTCCATGAAGCCCAATTGGACACCCGACGGCACCCCTGACAATATAAAACAAAGCGTGGAGAATTGCGTCAAGTTGCTCGGGTCCAAAGCCCGCATTCATATGTTTGAGTGCGCCCGACGAGACAAAAACGTACCGCTGGAGACGCAGATTGGAACGCTCAAAGCCCTTGTCGAAGAAGGCAAGATCGAGACCGTTGCCTTGAGCGAGGTGAATGCGAACACGATCCGTGAAGCGGCCAAATTAGTCAAGATCTCCGCTGTGGAGGTCGAGTTATCTGTCTGGAACACCGCGCCCTTGAACAACGGCATAGTTCAGGCCTGCGCTGACCTTGACATCCCAATCTTGGCGTTAGTATTTTCGACGGGCTTTCATCGTAACTCATGCACGTCTAATCCTTCGACAGTTACTCCCCACTTGGCAGCGCTATGCTTACGGGCAAACTGCGGTCCCCGGCCGATCTAGCTGAAGGTGATCATCGAAAAATGTTCCCAAAATACCAGGACGGCAATTTCCAGGAGAATTTCAAGCTCGTGAACGAACTGGAGAAGGTCGCTTCTGAAAAGGGTTATACGGTGGGCCAAGTAGCTCTAGGGTGGCTGGTCGCACTCTCACGTCGACCGGACATGCCCACCATAATTCCCATTCCTGGTAGCAGTAAGTCGGGGTCTTTGGATATTTTTTTTCGGGCGAGATTTATGCTAATCATTGACCCCAGAGTCTGTCGAACACGTTCGGGAAAATGCTGTTGTCGTGGACTTGTCGGACGCAGAGATGAACCGTATTGATGCCATCATCTCTAACCACGTTGTTGTCGGCGACAGATTCCCCTCTTTTGGAATGGCTCTCACTAATCTATAGGGCCAGCATCATTCTATACAAACAAGACTGCATAGCTTTACAGAGCCAGACGTGAGGATTATGATAGTCTCAGCAATATACTCTAGCTTCTAGCAAGACTTGACTCCTTTTTCATTTGCTATAGTATGAACTCTGACGTCGCTCGGATCTCGGGAACTATCAGGATAAAGAGGCAGCAGATAATCGACAGATCTGACATGCCATTTTAATACCGCTCCAATATGCATGTGTGCTTATGCGCTTATGTTGTATTGCGGGGAAGCATCCGTTCCGCACCTCCGGGTTCTCGTATTCTCCAAAACCCACCGGCATCCAATCGGCTCTGCGTAAATGCACCGGGTCGTGAAAGACAACATGCAGCCATCAACGTCCAAGACAGACGCCTAAGAATCCCAATTCCTTGGTCATTTGCCCCCGGCCGCTCTGCCCAGTAGGCTACTATACTACCTTGTCCTGTTTTCACTTTTACCCTACTCCCCACTTTTGCCTAGCAGTATTGGTCGTTCAAACTATCGCTTCTTCACACTGCGACTAGTCATGTCGGGATACAAACCATTTGGTGGTCGCGAGCCAAACTACGAGGACAGAGGTCCATCTGTCGTCGCTGCAGGAACGATCTTCATCATAGTCCCCACTATCGCCGTCTGGTGAGTGAAACTCTGTGTATTCGCAAACTTGCCTGTCCTACGCAAGCGCCCAAAAAGCATGCACCTACTGACTCGTCACACCTGTCATTGTAAAGTGTCCGCTTTTGGTCTCGAATAGTTGCTACTCGATCCAAGTTCTGGTGGGACGATGCCGCCCTGCTGGTTACACTGGTTAGTCTGAAAGTTCTTCTGCATCGAGCCATGCCCTGACACTCTAGCAGGCGTTCTCCAACGCATACAGTGCCACCATGATTTGGTGGACCACTGTAGGCTATGGAAGACACATGTACATGCTCCCTCTGAGCTCGGTCAAGAAGAACATGCTGGGCGTACAGCTCATCACAGCCTTCTACATTGGCTCTATCAACTTCATCAAAATCTCGACGCTGTTACTCTACGCGCGCCTGTTCCGGGTTTCCAAACGCATGATGTATACTCTCTGGACTCTCGGGGGTATCGTTGTCGCGTGGTGGATCGCATCCGAAGTGCTCCCTTGGTTTGCGTGCAACCCACCCAAGAAAACGCTCGATCCCTTCATTCCGGGCGTGTGCATTAGCAGGATCAATTACTATCACGCTTTGGGGCTCATCAACCCACTTCTGGATATCACCATTCTGTTACTGCCCATGCCGATCGTGTGGAAGCTGCGCATGAGCTGGCGACGAAAGTTGCTGGCTTCATCGGTCTTCGTACTAGGCTATTGGTACGCTACCTCCCACTTGTTCACTTTGCTCCCAAACTTACAGATGCACAGTTCCGTTTCGATGGCCCTCGTTCGCTCAGGCATGATCTTTCATAACCCCAAGATTCTCTCTGCTAGCAACGGCGCAGACCCAACCTGTACGTACACGCCTTTCTTCCCTTGTGTCACAATATCGCCCCCAACGCCACTGCCCCACTTCTAAAGTTTTGTGAAAATACTAACTATGAGGAAAGACGACACCGTCCCTCTTCAAATCGTCTCCATGCTCGAAGCCCCCCTCGCCATCATCGCCCTCTCGGGACCCCCCATCAACCAAATCATGCGCCGCGCCAAACAATTCGGCTGGCACTCGCTGTTCAGCACTGCCCGCGAGCCGAGCGGCAGCAGCGGCAGCAAGTCGAGCACACGCTCGCGACACACAAACGACAGTGTGGCGGACGGCGCGAAGCCAGATGGGCTTTTTCACCGAGTCGTGAAAAAGAAGATGAGTTCCGCGTCTGTGGCCGTGAGGGGCGGAAGGAGAGAGGACGAGGAGGCTTTGCATCCTGTTCCGTCGTATAATGGGCATGAGTTGCAGCCGTGGGATGGGGGGAAGGGGACGATTCAGGTGCAGAGGGAGGTCAGTGTTGTTTAGGGTGTTTTAGAATTGAGTTTCTTTGGAGGAGAGATATTGAAGACCGCGGGGTATGATTGTATTGCTGATCTTATGTAGTTATGGTTCTTGTATAGTTGGAAGTTGGGATCGGGGATGCCGACTGGGGAATGTGAATACTAGAAAGAAAGGGTGTTTCTTCTTTCTTCTACCTTTCACACCTCCCCTTTGACGCGTTGCTTTGCTTCGCACCAATTTACCAGCTTTTCTGTTTAATGGGTGTTATCACTCTAGTTGGTCAATATGTAGGAATAGAATAAACCTTTTTCGAACTGGAAAAAACACATAATCTGAACGTGAGATAGAGATTACAACATTTATTATTTCCCACTACTTTGCAACGCGAACGAGTTGTTCGCGACTTAGAAACCAAGACATCATTGCGTCGAACCATCGGCTAATTTCCTCTTCCCGTATAGCGTATGAATGCATCTGAGATGTCGTCTTACGGGCGGACTGGGATCAGGGGCATATTACAGTCAGCTCGCAACTGCATTTCCCCCCAATCAATTTACATCTGTCAAAATGACGAGACCCATTCTTACTGACTCTTTGAATGTATGCTTTGTTGATTAGTAGTGTCAAGACATCATTTCTCAGTATGAAGCGGATTTCACATATTGCTATCATGTATAATTGCGCAATACAGTTTGCTATACGCATCATTTATTTCCACTGCTATTTCGCCTGTTCATCTAGAGCTATTATGTTTTATTGTATAGTCGGTAAAATGATCGAAATAATTGGATTACGGCGCCATAATGAATTATCTATGGACTCTACAGACATTAGTATCTAGGTGCCTAGGTCGGCAACACCTGGGCACTGATAACGCGTTCTGTCACGTGACAATGAACATGCCTGTTCAAGCTTTCGCGCATCAATCTGAATAGACGAGCACTCAAGTCCACAACCTTGAAACTCACAACTTACATACCAGGACCAGCTCCGTTGGATAAGAGACAGTCAGCATTGCAATGGCTCTCACTCCCAACCCCAGTCTCAAGACACCTTTCTCATCTTGACCTCCAACTTCAAAGGCGGCCTGTCTCTGAACAAATATGCTGTCTGCTTATCGATAGCGAACCCATCATCGACGACCTTGCAATCAAATGCGCACGCAAACCTCGCGATGATGAGCTTCATCTCCGCATACGCTAGGCCTTTGCCAATGCAGTTCTTAGGTCCGACGCTGAAAGGCTGGAAGACATCTTGATGATCGCCGAGAGTGTCCTTGGGGCGCTCCGGGTGGTCGGCTGGTAGCCAGCGCTCGGGGATGAACTGGTCGGTCCGGGCGAAGTTATTGGGGAGGGTGAAGGCTGCGAGTTGGTAGACTGCGACGACGGTCTGTGGGATGTTAGGTTGATCAGAAATATGGGGATCGAAGGAATTAGAGGGATACAACTCACATCTGGAGGTATTTCGATGCCAGAGATGGTGTGGCCTTGGGGTGGTGTCTTGCGTCGCATACCTCCTGGGATCGGAGGATACATGCGCATCGACTCATTGATGACGGCGTGGAGGTACGGCGAGCGGGCGGTGTTGGCCATGGTCAGCGCGTCGTCTGATCCCATGCAGGACTCAAGTTCCGCGCGCAGCTTCTCCCTGACTTCAGGGTAGAGAGCGAGGAAGTAGAGAGTACCGCATAACACGTCGGAGAGGGGTTCGGTGGCGGCGATGATGAAGAGCGCAGCATTAACCTCCATCTCGCCCAGAGACAAAGCTTTGTCGCCTTTGTTGCGGAGCAAGTACGTCCAGAGGTCATTGCGCGTGGGATCGTCGCCGATGGCGAGTCGCTCGCGCACTTTCTGCGCACTCATGTCGAGATGATCCTTGACACCTTTGAGATGCTCTACAGGAGCAAAAAGCATGATGAAAGGAGCCAGCTGACCGAAGGCATTGGCGTTGGTGACGAAGCTGACAGCGCGGAACCATTTCATCAGAAGCGCAACCCAAGGGTGATATCGTTGGTTCTTGACGCATTCAAATTGTGTGTTGAGGGTGAAGTCACCGATGATGTCAAAGGCAAGAAATCTCATCCACTCGCCAACATCGAAGACGCTTTCCTGCTTGACCTTCTGCTCAAGCATTGCTATGAGATTGTCTACATGCGCCGTCAGGGTGGGCGACTGTTCGCTGATAGCTCGCTGAGAGAAGCCATGAGCAAAGGCAGAGCGTTGACGCTATACATTACGAACAAGTATCAGCAAATTCATTCCAATGGTTGTCAGAGCGGGCGATCTTGTTACTTACCGAATGTTCCTCGCCAGACGTTGTCAACATGGGCTGGGCATCAGGTCGCACTTTGAAGTAGCCATATTTGAGAAGCTTCTTGGTAGCGGCATGGCCGTGGATATCTTCCCATGAGCCAGGCGTGATGAAGGAAAGCTGGTTGGGACAGATGCGTACTACGGGACCATACTTTTTGTGCAGTTCGCGGACGTCATATGGCTGACGACCTCTTTCTCCAGAGAAAGCGTGAGGAAGATGCGAAATCGCTCGTAACTTTGGACCAGGAAAGCGAACGAGCGGGTGAAAGGTGACGCGGTAGATGGCACGCACAACAAAAAAGCTTGTCACAGCTGCAGTGATGATAGCAGCCAGATTTTTGAAGGGATGGGCAAGGAACTGCTCTAGCAGCTTGGCTATGGACGACATGTTCCAATCTTCTCACGTACCTATGTAGGCTTCAAAAAGGAACAGTGGTACGATGGACAGAAAAAAGAGACTCAGGTGGGGGAGAAGACGCCAATGCTGTTTGCAATCTACATATGTAAGTAGGCAAACATGCCAACTGACCGACCATTGCACCGTTTGCTCCGAATCGCCGCATTCCTACATATGGAGCTAGGCAGGCTGACCACCACAACAGTGTGTTTAGGTACACAGAGATGTATGCACATGTGCACGCAACGCGCAAGTCATGTGACCTCGTATTCCCCCTCAGTGCTCCCCGCTCCCCGCCAAACAATCTCAAAGATCGAGGTCCCCGAATGTAGCACTCTCCCCCCGGGTTTCTACGACGTCAGCAATATCCGCTGCTTGCTGTGCCACCGCTGGAGCCTGGGCAAACGGGAAGTCACTCCCGTACAAGACGTGACCAGGCGCAGCAAAGTCGAGCAGCAGCTGCAAGGGCCCCTTGTACCCGGCGAGTGCAACATCAAAGTAAAACTGCCGGCACGCCTCCAGAAATACACCGGGTGGTCTTTCTAGAATTCCCATCTGCACGCCCAAGTCTGCAGCGCGCCCGGCGATGTATGGCAATGTACCACCACCGTGGGATAGAATAATGCGACATTTGGCTCCATGCGTGCGCATAGTGCCTGTCGTGATAAGATGGACCGCCGTTCGCGTCGTCTCATGCGGCCAGTCGCACAGCGGCCTTGGGATCACGGTTGGTTCTCGTATAGCTTGCTCGGCCCCCTCCATGGTTGGATGGATAAACACAATCGCGCTGTGTAGGGCGAGCTCATGCCATACGGGTTCGAAATCCGGATGGCCAAGATACTTGCCCCCGTAGCTACTGAACAGCATGATTCCATTGGCCCCCAAACAGGTCATCGCGTATCGAATTTCTTCGATGCATGCTTGGCTGTCATCCAGCTTAGGAAGACAACCGAAGAAACCGAATTTCCCTGCGTGCTCTTTCTTAAGATTGCCCATGATCGTATTGACGCTTCGAGCCAGACTTTGTGTCTCAGAGGGATTTTCAGTCAGCACCCAAGGCGGGATCGGGAGAGATAAGATTGCCGTGCTGATGTTGTTCCGTGCCATAAAATCAAGACTGAGATCGACATTCCATTGCGGAAGGCGTAAGCCTTGCGTTAGGGCTGCGTTTTGTTCCAATACTGCAAGAAACCCGTTAGCAGTGGCCGTTAGCAGAGGCCCGAGTTCTGAGCCCCGATCAAGCATTCTCACACTTGGTCACCACGGGCGGGATAATATGGTGGTGATAATCAATCTTGATATGATCCATCGTGAGTGGTTGGCTCTTTGCAGTGAGACACGGCGGCTGCTGCCTCGCTCACTCATCTCGGGGCGCTTGCGCATTTTAATAAATTCTCGGGCAGTGCCGTTAAGACTTGCATCACCCGAACAGGTAGAGACGAGAAATTACCCTTCTACGGGGACCGAGGGCAGAATTCAGAGCCAATAGAAGGGTTGGCGTGCCTGGGGGAGGTGCATGGGAGATCAATACTCTAATCGCAAGCACGAGAGATATAGCCTTCTGGGGTCCGATTCACATGCACTATCGAGGTGTCAGTCGCTAATTCAGGCAACTCTCAGACAATTTTGATGAGAACTTGCAGAGATATAGCGGCATGCCTGACTGGTCACGCTGTATAATATGTGGATGGCGAGCAGCGGTTGGATGCTTTTTGGTCACGATATCTTGGGTCTTTCTAATCGCGCATCTTTCTCAACGTTGAACCTAGAAAGAGATATTGAGAATGTGGGCCTCTATCTTGGCACTATGTCTCGTGAATCTTCATTTGTCGTCCGCTCTATCGGGAGAGGAGATAGCTAAGCAGCTGCGCTCTTCGCTGTCCCCAGAATCTGGTATCTACCTACCGAACGATACTGAATGGCAGTCAAAAGTGCTCCAGCCATGGAACCAGTGGAAGGCTCCAGTTTTTAAGCTTTCTGTCAAACCAAACGAGCAACAAGATGTACAGAAAGTAGTAGGTGGCCACACGCCAATCACGAACCTTGTCACACACTGACGGTGTAGATTCAATATGCGAAAAAGCAGAAGATACCGTTTTTCACAGTGGGCGGAGGCCATGGCTACAGCGAAACTAGAAGCAAGTGCAAAGATGGGATTCAGATCGACATGGGAAACTTCAAAAGCGTGTTTGTAGATGCTGAGAAGAACACATTGACTATCGGTGGATCAGTACGCTTCTCCGAACTTGCTGGCCCCGTCTACGCTGCGAAGAAATCTATAGGTACGGATCCATTAGAGTTTAACGGATAATATCACGAAAGCTAATCATTCTGTTCAGTCGTGGGAACCTGTTCCTGTGTCGGTATGGCTGGTGCCACCCTCGGTGGTGGCATCGGCTTCTACTCGGGCTTTTACGGCGCCATATCCGACTCTCTCATCTCGGTCAGTATGATCAGTGGATCTGGTGATATCGTGACCGCGTCCGAGACGGAAAACAGCGATCTACTCTGGGGAATGCGAGGCGCAGGGTTCAACTTTGGCGCCGTTACATCTCTTACATATAAGGTGTACGACTCTCCAAACGAGGGGAACGCATTAAACACTGATATGCTCTTTCCTATCAGCCAGAATGGATCTGTCTGGGAGGTCGTGAAAGGTTACTTTGAAAACCATCCCAAAGAACTGAGTATTGCCGTTGGTCTATTGTTTGACGCAACCGCCAAACAAGTACGTCTCTTCAACCACGTTTCCCATCGTCCACAATATATCCACTAATGCATCCCAGGTAATCATGGTCGTCAATACCATTTATGTCGGTTCCTTAGACGAAGGCACAGCGCTGCTTAAGCCATTATTTGATTTAAGCCCGCTTAATGCAAACAGCACCTACCTCCCATGGAAAGACGTGCCAGACGCCGCGCTCTTCGGCGGCATTGCCCAAAATTGCCTCGTCAGACCCTTCTACGTACCCTATACGGCCACCCTCCACGCTGTCGACGTGAATAAGATGATCCGCACGGTAAACTACGTCAACGCGACAATCCCGAAGGATTCGAGACTGCAAACCTCCCTTGTGACGTTCACGCAGTATTCTTCATGGGGATTCGAGCAGCGCCCAGCCAATTTCTCGTCCTTTCCGCATAGAACACAGGCAATCTTTGCGTAAGTCTTCTCTTTTGTCTCTTTCTCCTTCCACTTAGCCTCTACCTCCTACCTGCGACAGCGCCAGAGGAACAATTAAACAAAGCGTACATACTAACCAATCTCACACCCCGCAGTCAAGTCGACGGCATAGCCAAATCCGCCTCGGATGCCCCTACGGTCTCTTCTTTCGGCTCCCGCGTCAGAGACTTGCTCCTCCAAGATACAGCCCCAAATAGCCTAATCCCAGCGAGCGATGACGCCTCTGGAGATGAGCCAAGCAACTCAGACAACATCGCTTCCGCGGCGCCGCCAGCGAAGAGGATGGAGCCTGTCTACACGCATTTTGCTCATGGCGACGAGGGACCCGAGGCGTGGTACTCCCCCGAGAATCTGCCGCACTTGAGAGAGCTGAAGAAGAGGTTTGATAGGGACGGGTTGTTTAGGTTTTATAATCCTATTAGTTAGGTGGGATACGTAAAGAAGAAGGGTGTTGTATGGATGTTGTTTGTTTTCATCTTTCTCTTGTTTCGGTTCCCTCTTCTATCCATCTTTTCTTTTCTTTTCTTCTTCTGTAGGGTCTCAGGAATTGTTTATTTACTGCGGGATTGAATTAGGGTCAAGCGCCTAGAAAATTGCGAGGAGTAGGAGCGAATTCAATTTGATCTTTGCAATATGAATCTCTAACGTATTATCGCAGTAGAAGTGAATGTTGGTTGTGATAGAGATATGTGGCACTTGCGTAATGTATAAGTTATCGCGATGGATAAGATTCGGCACATTATGAAGCAATGATACCCTCCACTCTAAAGTCATCTCTTCCTGCCTCATCAACTGCATAAGTCCAAGCTCTGGGCGTTGTGGCTCATTGAATGCCTTTCTCGTTTTTATATTTTCTCTCGTACACGTCAAGCTGTGAATGCCGCTCTTAAGCGAAGCTCTTCAAATGCTTAATACTCAAGTCCTGATCATCTTCCATCTTGTCTCTTCAAGAATCATATATATTAAGCTCCCCTCCATCAGCCCCGAAGATGGTTGGCAGCTTTCTCTCCAATTGCAAAGACTGCCATTTGTGGATTTTCATTCATAAGCGTAGGCGTGATGGTCGCATCAGCGACACGAAGGCCTTGAGCTCCTTTAGCACAAAGCTTCGCATCTACAACCGCCATATGATCATTCAATTTCCCCATATTGCATGTGCCAGCTGGGTGATAATCTGATTGATGTCAGCTAATATCCAACGATAGAATCAAACTCTGGAAAATCTCACACGTATCAGCTCGTCTTCTCCGCCACGGAAGAGCCGAAGCTACTTCGATTTGGCACTGAGATTCGTGTCGGGTTTCCAGCGGTGGAACGAGTCTTTTGCTATTACAAAAGCCATCGAAAACGTGTGATGTCAACCTACTATTTGAAGAACCATTAATTTCGTCCTTCTTTTCGCCTAGTTGCGTAGAATGTCTTTCACCACCCCCTTAAATATGCCGGCACCATATCCGAAATATCTAACTGCAAGGTGATCTGATTGAACAAGGAGCTTGATGTAACACAGTATAACGCAAAAGCATGAATCCTAGACCTTGAAGACCAGAAACCGGTCCCATAGCATTGGCCTATCACATCAATAACCGCATGTCCCCTCCCACAATGGAATCTAAGTCCGAATTGAATTTCGCCGCATCATCGCATCGCTGCACAAAGTGACAACTTCCAACATTCCCGTACGATGCCAAATTCCTGAGAAGTCCCGACCACGCTTTTCCATCTCCATAGCTATGTTCCAACACTGATCAGTGAGTCTATTTTGACATTGATGCTTTGAAAACCCGTAGTCTTTAGAGGGAGAGCCACAGTTTGACACCAATACGACTAACAGATTGCTGTTACTATGCAAACGAACTCGTGGTTCATCTGGTGGCGCAATGATCTCGTTAAGGTTTAGCGTGCCAAGCACATTTGTGTTGTAACAACCGCTGTCGTTGAACTATCTCACTCACACTCGCAATTCCATCAACACATTCATCGCACTTATGGCTTTTCAATCTCCCAACGCTCCACTCCCAAACCGGGTGCGAAGAATCGATTATGGAATCGGGGCGGACTGTGTATATACCATGGAATGCAACAACAAATATTTTGATGTTTCCTTACCCGCCGACTCGAAAGCGGGTACCCTAGAACGGGGTTATCTTGATCGTATCGAAGCCAACATGGATGGAAGTTCCGAACTCGATATCATTTTTGAAGAGCTGGCTGATATCATCGCTGTAAAGTGTCAACCACGGTACCGAAAATTTGCTGGGGACCTGAGTACCCCCAAAGTCCTTTCAGACATCGTCGGGCCCCCTGCAGCTTTTCTTCGAATGACAACGGCTGATGGAGAGCTGCAAGTTGTACAGAATGATAGCTCGACGAGTTGTACGAACCGCGCATTCTATGGAATTTCTATAGACGACTTTTCCGATCTGCCCATCCATCAACTCTCCGACATCAGCCTACTTGAGGTGCTGAAAACCGACACAGTGTTCAAGGTTGATGTTCAAGAAACTACGTTGTGTGCGAAAGTCGCAATGCAACAGTTGCAGTGTCACACTATCCAACGAGAGATCAACGCTTTGCAACGTATTCGGGAGAAGGCAACGGCAGAGTACGTTCGTATTCCATCACTTATTGGACTCATTTCGTCAGAAAATGGTATTTTAGGGTTTCTCATGGACTACATAATAATGAAACCTCCGGTTTCTAATATTGCGCGTTACAAAATGGGATCCATTTCGATGTCCGAGAGGAAAAAATGGTATCGTCAAGTGAGGGATACGTTAGAGTGAGTGATACGTTAGAGTGGGTTGATGATATCTCACTAGTATGGGGTGACATCAAAGCTGAGAATGTTCTTATTGACGAAAAAGGTGATGCTTGGGTAATTGATTTCGGAGGAAGTTATACAGATGGGTGGGTCGACCAAAACCTTTTTGAGAGTAAGGAAGGCGACTTGCAAGGGCTTAAACGACTTGTGGACTTCCTCGAGCTCAAATGAATGATTCCTCAATTTTCCAAGATACCCGGTAAGCACACATTCCTCCGCTAACCTACTCGAATACGCACGAATCATAGGCAACGTTGGCGTCAAGATAAGCCTTGTTAATCGCCTTCACTCAGCAGAGAATCTCGCTGCAGCACACTCTAGCCTTGTCGAGCGAGTTTGCCTAACGAGAGAACAACCTTGACCGAACCGGACTACGGCAAGCGTGATGGTTCAGCGGAGAAACCTGACATTTCAAACTAAAACCTGAGAATAATGACCAAGTGCGGCATGTCCAAAGATTGGCTCAAGGTACTGATTTTTTTAACGTGTGGAATTTCTTTGGGCTAGTCAGTATGTCTTCCTTTCATCAGAGAATTGGAAGGCAGCGCTGAATATAGTATTATGCTAAGATGCAACTCATTCATTTTCTGCCTGACAATGTTTTTATGCCGCTGTGACTGCTCAAAGTTAATTGAACTTCTGTGGATTCTAGATCTTAATTATCAGATACGCTACAGTCGCTAACGTTCATCTTCATTGCGTATTAAAAGACTGAGAAAAATGTGGAATTTCTTGATGATTTGTGTCTGCATATGTAATGGTGACTCAGATGATGCTTGAAAGGACCCATGTTGGAGATGTGCCAAGGCTGTCACTACGACCCGTTCGAAGCATTGGATTTTGGCCACACATGTGTAACAGGAGGGTTACACAGAAAGCTGAAGGGTGTCTCGATTATTCAATTTGGTGAGTCAAGCCTTTCCCGCCCAGCTATACTGTGAGTCAGCCCCACCTTTCGACCAAAAAAGATCCTCCAAACACACTACTATTGTTGTTAACAAGTCTCAAATATCCATCATCAACCCGTTTCTTTACCTGGTTCAGCATGGCGACTGAAGCTGCAAATGCCATGCCACTAGCTCCTGACCTGAGCAAAGCTTCTGAAAAAACTCTTAAGATTGAAAATGTATGCGTGCGTCTCGCCTTTCACTGTTTAGAACTAATTTGATTCCCATGTAGACTGAGAAACGTGACACGCTCGTCGCTACCGAAAAAAATTACCAGAAAGCATGGGCGGAAGCACATTTGTTCGAAAGCGACGCTCCAACCACAGCTGAAATTCCATTTGGCTCTGTTTCACCTGCCGCCCTCCGCGAACAGGAGCCCAAGTTCATGGGAACTATGGCTTATCCATATAGAAATGGTGTCTTACACGCTGGTCATTCCTTCACTCTATCCAAAGTGGAGTTTGCCACGGGCTATGCGAGGATGCAAGGAAAGCGGGCTCTATTTCCAATGGGCTTTCATTGCACAGGCATGGCGATCAAAGCATGCGCTGATAAGCTTGTGCGGGAGGTGGAGATGTTCGGCAGGAATTTTGAGGCATTTAACGACGACACAGAAGCGGACGGCCCGCAGGCGCCCACGCAATCCGATACCAAAACAGACGTCACCAGATTCTCGTCGAAAAAGGGGAAAACGACAGCAAAGTCAGTCAAGGCTAAATATCAGTTCCGGATCATGCTGTCCGTCGGCGTTTCGATTAGCCAAATCCACCTCTTCGCGGACCCGTATCATTGGGTGAGGACTTTCCCTTCCCTAGGAAAGCAGCACCTTTCCAAACTCGGCCTCCGAATCGATTGGCGACGGTCTTTCGTTACAACTGACGCCAATCCATATTATGACTCCTTTGTTCGCTGGCAGATGAACAAGCTGAAGGAACTCGGGAAAATCAAATTTGGAAAGAGATATACCGTATACTCGCCCAAAGACGGACAACCCTGTTTAGATCATGATCGTAGTTCAGGAGAGGGCATCAATACCCAAGACTACACAGCTGTCAAGCTCAAGGTCTTAGAGTGGCTTGAGACTGCGGTGAAAGCAACCTCAAAAATTCCAGACGGGTCCAGGGTGTACTTTGTGGCTGCCACTCTGCGTCCTGAGACCATGTACGGACAGACTTGCTGCTTCGTTGGTCCAGACATTGCCTATGGTATCTACAGAGTCTCTGATGACGAATACTTCCTTGTCTCGGAACGATCCGCTCGAAACATCGCATTTCAGGGTATCTTTGCTCAGTGGGGAGCTGTCGACAAAATCACAGATATACTGAGAGCGGATGTCATTGGGACCCTGGTTAACGCGCCTCTCTCAATTAATGAGCGTGTTCGAGTTCTGCCCATGGAGACTGTGAAATTCTCGAAAGGAACCGGTGTTGTGACGTCAGTTCCCTCCGACAGCCCCGACGATTATGCCACCATAATCGACCTCACCAAGAAGGCAGACTACTATGGAATCAAGAAGGAGTGGGTTGAGCGAGATATCATTCCAATCATTGAAACACCCAAGTATGGTTCACTCATTGCTCCATCGCTTGTCCAGAGCATGAAGATCAACTCCCCCAAGGACCCCAAGCTGCTAGAAGCCAAAGAAGAAGCATACAAAGAAGGATTCTACCACGGAACCTTGATCTACGGAGAATTCAAAGGCCGCCCTGTATCCGAAGCGAAAGGGCTAGTTAAGGAGGGTTTGATCATATCTGGGGATACTTTCAATTATGCTGAGCCAGATGGCGTTGTAATAAGCCGGTCAGGAGATGAATGTGTCGCTGCTCACTTGGACCAATGGTATCTCAATTACGGCACAACCGAGAAAAGCGGCGGTGGAGAGTGGTGCGCACAGGTTTTACGCCATGTTCAAGATGGGCTGAACACCTTTTTCCTGGACGCGAAGAACCAGTTCGAGCAAACACTGGGCTGGCTTAGCCAATGGGCCTGTGCTCGGTCTTACGGACTCGGGTCAAAACTGCCTTGGGATCCACAGTTCCTTGTCGAGTCACTCAGTGACAGTACAATCTACCCATGCTATTACACCGTAGCACATTACCTCCATACAGACCTCTTCGGTAAAGAACGCGGTATAGGAGACATATCGCCTGACGAGATGACGGATGAGGTCTGGGATTATGTGTTCGCCCGGAAGAGCGAGGTCAAAAGTACTGTGCAGCTGGAGACACTCCAGTCGATGCGACGGGAATTCGAGTACTGGTATCCACTTGATCTCCGCGTCTCTGGTAAGGATTTGATGACGAACCACCTTACATTCTTCCTCTATATCCACATTGCTATGTGGCCGCAAGAGTTTTGGCCTCAAGGTGTCCGTCTAAACGGCCATCTTCTTCTTAATGGTCACAAGATGAGTAAGAGTACCGGAAACTTTTTAACCCTAAGTGAAGCGGTTGATGTGCTGATGCAACTCGGATCGCAATATCTGATGGGGGCGACGGGATTGAAGACGCCAATTTCGAGGAGTCCGTGGCAAACAGCATAATCCTGAAACTATACGAGCTCAGGAAATGGTGCGAGTTCACAATCAATGAGGCTCACCTTATCGACTCTGTGGAGGAGTATAGAAAGCTCTGCGATCAAAAGCACATCAAAAACATGGACCACGTCCAGCGGCAAACAGAACTAGGATTTTGGGATTATTTGTTCGCGAACGAGATGGCAGCTCTGGTACAAGAAACGAAATCCCACTACGACAAGTATGTGTACTACTCCTTCCATTACTTGGTGCGCGGCTAACCTTGAACGTAGGATGCACTACAAGAACGCGATCAAGTCTTGTTTCTACGACTTCACTTCTGCTCGAGATTTCTATCGTGAATTCACCAAGTCTGCAGGAATCGGCATGAACCACTCGCTTGTACGGCAGTACATCGAGGCGCAGGCGTTGCTCATTACGCCTATAGCACCACATTGGGCGGAATACATCTGGCTCGAAGTACTCCAGAAGCCCACCAGTATCCAAAACGCGCGATTTCCCGAACTCACACCAGTAGATTCACAACTGACGGCCACTCAAGCATACATTCGCTCTAACATGTCTAATATCACATCAGCAGAAAGTGCACAACAACGAAGACTCGCCAAAGGCAAAACCACCAAGTACAATCCCAACGCAGCCAAGAAACTTACTGTCTTCTTCGCCAAAGAGTTTCCAGCGTGGCAGGGCCGATACATGACTCTTCTCCAGGAGACTATGGAAAAGTTTGGGGCCATAGATGTTCGTGGATCAACTGCGAATATCGACAAGAAGGACATGAAGAAGGCCATGCCTTTGGTCCAGAGCATCAAGAAGCGCCTGGATTCTGGGGCAGATCAAACGGCAGTTTTTGAAAGGAAGCTTCAATTCGACGAGGCTGACGTTCTCGATAAAATGATCCCTGCGCTGAAGCAGGTGATTAGGAAATGTGATGAGGTCATTCTTGTCGCGGTTCAGGCAGATATCCAAACCCAGGGCTTACCACCAGTCGCACAGGCTGCAGATCCTGGCAACCCGGTATTATTCTTTGAAAACGTTTGATGCAACGAGCCATGTAAGTCAAGGCTGTGTCGAGATCGGAGCAACCCGATAGGAACCAGTCGGTGGGTGAGGCATTGGAGTCGGCGACCTTGTCAATCGGAAGTCGGGCGTTCAAAATACTGTTTTATTTCTGACGGTTCAAGGGTTCGACTTGGCAACCAATTAAGGTCATCGCGCCTACATTCCATCTTCTTCAATAACGTGCATCCCATCTTCTGAATGATAGTAAGCTTGATGACGCCATCTTGATCCAGCCCATCTTTTACGCAAGATCTGCCTGATCGGAACACTAGGATATATAAGAAAAATAATCTTAGATCAAAAGGAAACGATAAATCTGTCATAGGAAACGCTGTTTCCTATGTCTTGGCGTCATCATTCAGTTTTGGAAAATCATTTTAAGCGGATAGATTTCTTTCATGTCGATGACAATCAATTCGTGAAGTTTTTGATAGGAAATGAAAAGTTTGAAAGTCGGATCACTGTGTTTTAAATATCCAATCTTTCTCATGTATGCCATCAATCCGCTACTGATCAAACTCCGTCGCTCAACACAAGAGTGCCGGAAACTGTGACAATAGTTGAAGTCATAGCGTTAGCGACGACTGCGGGGAAAGCAGCAGGGGGGTGCTCGCGTCAGCTTTGTACCTATCGCACGGTGAACGGGACAGAGTAACCACCATCTAGATATATTTTGATGATGGTGTTGCGTGCTTTGCCGGTGATCAGGCAGACCACCCGCAGAGAATCTCGATAGATCTGTCATGGGGTTGATATATTATTTGCAATCTCTGCTCCTAATCAAACCCTTAACTACGACTTAATATAAAAACATAATGTGTTCTGCTAGACATTCGCTGTCTCCGGACTGTGCTATATCGCACATGACATCTTTCAGCTGGCTTGGCATCGCCTCTCACGCAGCTGCAGCAATGGTAAAGGCTAGGCAGCTGAACAGATAAGCAAACCTTGTTTTTCTCATTAAGGTCTCGATTTCTGCTACAGTAAAGCTTTATCTTCGAGCTTCATGCCTCTTGGATTACGAATCGCCCGCAAGTATTGGCACAGCGTCAGCTTCTGGCTTAATAAAAAGATAGAGGTGTAGGATATTTCAGATCAATTGGATGCTGCATGCTCAACTACATATTATGGAAAGCCACTTGAATACATTTACATTTTGGTTTCCAAAAGGAGGAAAAGATAATTGAACCTTCAACAGTGTCTTGAAGTATAAGTACCCAGGTATAACCCAATGCAAGACATACAACCTCGTCGAAACTCAACTCCCCTACTACAATACACCTATCAAACTATCAACATCAATCATCGTTCTTCTCTACTCCCTCAGAATAACAGTGAGTATTCTTCCCTACACATTGTAGTGATTTGCAGATCACAAGATTGATCACTTCTCAGATGGCATATTCTTCGGTCTCAATCGCCCCTCCTGTCAATTACTGCAGCTACAAGGTGGAATGGGATGGCCAGGGAAGGGAATATCAATTGAAGACGGACTGCAAGCAGAAGACATGCAAAGATAGCACGGCTTATGTTTCCAAGGAGCAGACTGTTCCTAAAGATGTTTAGAAGGACAGACAGAATGGCAATACTGTATCTCACTAAGGTGTCTGTACTGTAATTAGACTTTTCATGCAGTGCGAGTAATCAGGCAATTTATGCTCTTTCTATAACTATTATATCCTTTCGGTTACGCATCTAGTTACTGCGCAGATAGTCGTGCGCTGACAATAAATGATGTGGCAAAATGGGAATCCCAACAGAATGCGAAAATTATATGCTGATAGATCTTATTACAGCCAGCAGCTTTGAGGTCGAATCATGGCATCTTTTTAATAAACTAGACAAAGAATTTTTAAAGGAGGCATTGGAAGCGTTCCTCATAGCTACAGCAAAAGCAAGCTACATCGTGACTGTTATTGCTGGCTAGAATCTAGAATACCCTTTACATTGTAAGACGCGAGTGAGTGTTCCCTACAGGTGGATCTAGTATAGTTAATGATTAACCAAAATGATTTTCATTGTCGAAGTCTAGCTGTTTCTATACACAACGATGTCGTAGTAACAATCAAAGAATCAATGAACAGACGGTCAAAGACTAAAAGCAAAGAGTCTAGAAAGGATGGAAACGCAAAACATATATACTCGGTCAAAGTAAGAAAAATACGCTACACCAGTATTTCCATGCCAAACTATTGATAATTAAGGAACTCAGTGCGAAGTATTTGCAAAGCCTTACGCGCGGCGAATAAAAAAACGATAGATGGTGCCCAGCACTCACCTCGTTCATTCACTTACGACGAGAGGTATACATCTAGGTCGCTCATGAGACTCACTTCCAGAACGTGACAGTCGCCCAGGTGCGCATACACTTTCTGGTAGTGCGTCTCATGGGGACGACGATCGTAGCCCTCAAATCCAGGCTCGCCGACTGCCATCGATTCGTCGATATCTTGTGCAATTGACTTGCACTGCTCGCATCCTGCTACAGGGAATGGACCGAGGTCTACCACTGCAGTCGGTTGGTCTGCTTGACGGAGGCTGTTCTGCGAGGCCAGAAGAGAACCATCCATTTCCATGGGCACAGTATCATCGCCCTCGAAACGCTCAGCCGAAGCGTGAGAAGATGAATTTAATTCATTGTAAGTCTCCCACAGTTGAGATTCGGAGTGCGCTTCATCAGACTCGCTCGAGATTGGGAGCTCTTCATCTAACGCGTGATTGGATATCACGTTGTCTACTCCGCTATCAGATTCAGAGGCGCCCGCGCCTTCTGCTTGCGGATCCACGCGAAGAATACGACCCGGAAGCTCGCCGAATGTAACGTTAATCTTATTATTCTCACTGAGGCATGGATAAGCTATTTTTGCGATATCCAGCACTGTTGCGTCGTGTGGGATATACGCACTCGTAAGATGGCGAATCAGCTTATCTTCGTCGTATTGCTGAAATTCGTCGTCGAGGCTGTCACTCATCAAAGAATCCATCCTCGTAATCTTTTTCGGGTGGAGAGTGACTCAAAAAAATTGGATGTTTCGATGTCAATGCGTAGCAGATATTATATGTTGCTCAAAAAAGGAGATGATGTGGTTTTGTAGTGTGATTTATGGAAGTGGAGAAGTATCTCTACCTGCTGATAATATATCTATTGGCTGGCCGTTGTGAAGACGTTGTTGAAAGTCATTGTTAGTCGACAATGTGTTGTTTGACTCTTCCCCATTCCCAACTCTCGTGCTGTGCATATGATCATACTAGCGGAAGCTGAGTTAAAGAAATCAAGACGCTAGTTAGTACTTTCTATCTCGTGCAATACTATGCATGCTGAAGAATTGCTAGGTACAATAATGGAGCCATAATGTCTGGTCTGTGTAGTACCTAACGTTTACGATTCTGTTGTTTTCAGTAGCTCTCATAACTGTAGCGACGCGAGATATACACCTCGCATCTGCTTCAGCGCAGGAAAACAAAATTTCTTTCGTTCTTCGAAGAAATACATCGTTGATATATCCTCAAGGTGTCTTGAATATTTATGGGCCCCTGGGTTTGTGAGCCTTCTGGGTCTTGCGCAGGCAACCCTTCCCATGAGAATTGAGATTACAGTGTTTATGCGCGGCAGTACTTGCGCGACTTGGTAAAAACTCCTGCATGCCATTATTCAGATTTCAAGGGAATTTAACTAGCCAGGTCCGAGAAACAAACATAGCTGATCAGCAGGGCGATAAGGTGTTATCGTTAACGAGATTTTGAGTAAGGAGATGTTCTATAATTGCTCATGATGCTATCATTAAAGCGGCTATTTAGTAATATAAAATTTGGGAGATCGGTTGGAAAATCAAGGACTATTTTATTATGTGAAACGCCTGAAAAGTGCGGGACATGTCTAACAATACCCTAGAGTATCTGATAGATCCCGGGTATTATGCGCTTGATTGTTTCATGCCCTTACGAAGTGTGCCTGTAAGGATAATTATCAGAATCAGATGGCTTGTAGGCTTCATCGGTCATGGAGTTCTTAATGATCATTCGGTTGGGGAGGATGGCTAATAATAGTCGTACGACCATCCACGATACTGACTAAATATGCACCTGGGGTTGGTTCAGGCGACTCGCTGCCGGATACGTCAACATCATTCTCCATGCTATCGTCTGTGTCCTGGTGGTGGCCGCCACTGTGTTCAGCTTGCTCAACACCAGTTTGGTCAAAAGACGGTTGTTCTTGACGGGCCTGACTGTAAATAAATGCATTGACATCGCGAATGGCAATTTGGGCGCTCGCTTCGAACAATTCGTAGTCGAATTCTGAGGTGTTAATATGTACGTCTGCACAATAGTTATCATCCAGAGATATCCCAAGGCCTAGAGCAGGTTGAAGCACGACCTCTTCGACGCTTGTGCCTTCTTCATACTTTTCAAAGAGACGATATGCATTGTGATTCGATGAGGAACCTAAGTCACTCTCATCCATGCTCATTGATTCGCATTCTGGTCCTAGTTGTGATGCTACAGTGTCGGAGCCTGGAAGATCTCGACTAGCATTGGCCTGCATGGAATCTCCGAAGGCCTTATTGACCGGTTGATCCGTCTGCTTCTGGCAGTCGAAACCACCTCCTACTCGGTCAAGATTTAGCGTAGATGGGTAGACGCGTTGCCCCATATTTCTTTTCGCTGGTATCTGGTTCATAGTAGATGATTCTTGATTGAGATTATTTTGGTTCAAATTGTTTTGTTTTCTTGTGTTGTCAATCTGTGTCCTAACGTGAGATTTAGGAAGGCTGTCATGTATATAGATGCGCAGGAACTCCACTTTGTTTAGGAATTAGCACTATTGTGTATACACAATGTTTGTTGTTTTTAGTTCATGCTTGTCTGCTCTCAAAACACAGTTATACTGTAAGATAGAGGCTATAATACTTGAGTTGCAGAAAGACCCCTATAGCTAATAGATATACTCCTAGCATGCGCTATGCCTGCTGACTAACTGCCTACCAGACTCCCTTCAATCCCCAACACCAAGTCAGGCCGTTATAACGGCGCTGGATTCGATGTGGACTTGCATTCCTCTTTAATACCATAAATCTGCAGTTGCTTGTGCTTCTATCCCACGTTCCTAATTAGAAGACGTGACCTTTGGTTTGCTTAATGCCGATAACATTAATGTTTCTCCATATCATAGTCGAAACAATTCCAAGCAGCCAAACAGCCGTACCGGCAATGAACAAGTACTTCTGGCAGTCTCCATAGGCATGTTGAATAGCCAAGCGAGTGGGCGAATCAGCTGGATATGAAAGTTGCGTGACAATGTCTCCGTAGATGGTAGCCAGGTTTGGCTGGTCTTCCGCGGGAAGATATAAAGCGAGCTTCATGGGCAGAACGTTCTGCCAAATAGCGGAGGAAATGGTGAATCCGATAGCATTTCCGATGTTAGAGAACAGCGAGAGAACAGCGAGACCGATGGCGAAGTATTGCTGTTTCTCGCAGATGGCCAGCATGGCTATCTCTGCAGTGATCATGATAATGCCGCTGCCAAAAGCGATGAATATCTGGCACATGACAATATAACCAACGGTGGGAACAGGCTGACGGAAGTGGATCATCAGAGCAGCACCGAGAATCTCGAACGGAATGGCCAGGTAGAGAGTGATGGGCTTGTAACGGCCAGTCCAAGAGATGACAAGGCCGGCGAAGATGGTGAAGAAGAAGTTAGCGACGGAATATGTCTGGACGACATAGCTGGCGTGTGTTACGTCCAAGCCATTGGTCACCTGGAGAATCGAGCCGAAGTAAGCGCCCCAGCAGGAATTGCTGAGGAAGAGTGTAAGGGAAAGGAAACATGCGCCCAAGCCAGTTCTATCTTGGAGGAGATTCCAAGGTATCAAGGAGATACTAGCAAAGAATCTCTCCCAGACGGCAAAAGCGACGAGAAGGAGAATGCCAAAGACAAGAAAACAGATAATGATTGCTGAGCCCCATCCCTTTGCTTGCATGGTGTACAGATTGAATGGCAAGAGGAAGAACGCAACGCCAGCAGAAAGTAGGAACAGGCCTACAACGTCGAATTCGCGAAGATAGTGACTCGGAGAGTGTCGCCCTGAGCGTGATGGTACGATACCCTGCTTCTTAGCCTGGGAGAGATGGTACATGAATAAGCCAAAGACGGGAAGCGTGGCAACTGGTATAAGGATACTCTCCATTCCAAAAGCCCAGCGCCAGCCCGGTCCATCTAGAAAGGCTTTCGAGACGGGTCCCGCTAGCCATGGCGTGATGATGTTTCCAGTGCTACATAAGGCCACGACTAGGCCTCGATAGCGTAGCGAGCTGATGTCCGCCAGGAAGACGTTCATGCTGAAACCCACGCCGTTGATTCCAACAAGATAGAGTACTTGCGATGCAGCATAGGACTCAACATTCTTGCAAGCGGCAGAAATAATTAAGCCTATAACTGCAACAACGACACAGCACAGGAAACCTTGAGGTCGACCGAAGATGTCCAGAGCCTTGCCGATAGTGAGATTCGTGACGCCGCAAATGACAGAGCTCAACACAGATGTGGTAGCCGTCAAAGAATGCTCCATAAAGGCCGAGGTGACGTATGGAAGCACTACGGCTGTGACTCCCGCTACAAGAGCTTGGACAAAGTAAACGAACCAGATCAGGAGGTAGGAGGCGATGAGTGCTCGTTTTGACCAGTATATAGTCACAGCCTCGATATCCTGAACACCCTTTTGAAAGTTCGTATCAACAACGCTATCTTCGGCTCTGGTCGTATTCATTTGACCGGAGCTATTTTCTGATGCGTCGACAATTTTATGTTGGATATTCCCGCCTTTCTCGTCATGACTGCTGATCTCAGGTTCAGTTGCCATCGATGGTGTGCTGCCAACGCGCTTATATATAGTTGCTCAGGTATTCCGAAATTGGGTACTCGTGGAAAGATGGAATGCGATAGAGATGAGAAGTAGCTCTGTTGATCTTTGGTTGATTCTGGAACAGCGAATAGTGGTCTGGCAGACAATATGGAGGTAGAGATTGAAAAGGATTAAAAAATGAAGGTTCCTGTACATCAATCAGTTAAATAGGCGTTCATCACTCCCTAGATCTCCGCTAACCGGGTCTAGATTGTTTCCATGGATTAATCCACTAGATGTAACATGCAGCATTCACTCTCGTACGGTATTCCCCCTCTCCACTCGGACATCAGCGTTGCTAGTGCATGCTAGTCGTGCTCCTAACTGCTTTTCAATTCTCTCTGTAGCTCACAGCCAATGAAAACTTACTCAAATCTGCAGCCGCAGTCCCCCTCCAGGGTGAAATTGAGAGTATCATTGTATAGTGGAGTATAGTCGTGCAAATACACCACGTATGGTTGTTTGGCCTGAGTAAGATAGAGATTGACTTGAATGTTATAGCTTGAAGGCTGGACACTCTCTTAATAAATGTTAAATGATGCCGATTGTTTATGGATGGTTGTCGCATCGACAGTGGGGAATCTGTAGCAGTGCAGGGTGTTGCGGCAAGCTATCAAGAAAAGCCTGTTGAGGCTAAATCCATCTCGCAATCACTTTCCATGCGACGTGAATTCTCTTTTCTTCTGATGGCCAAGCTTCCCACTATGCATGCGTCGGGTGGATCGTCATGGACAGAAGCGGTTGATTGGTTAAACAGTAGAAACCAGCTCTGAAGGGATCATAGAATGTAAAGCCTTGAACGCCGGCAAGGCCAGGGTGAGAGACAGGAATTGACCTGTCGCGGCAACGAACCGCATGACAAACGCGATTAGTAAGATTAGCATCTTCATGTTCAACAATGAAGAGCACTTGGTCCAGTGTTAATTAAGCAAGAGCACAATGACAAGACGCGTGAGTATCAACGTTAGGTATGGCTCTGACCAATTCTGGGTTGAGGTTTTCGAGAAATGAATGACATTCAAGAAGTTCAGAAGGACTGAATCCAACAATATGCAGTCATTTGTGTCGTTTTTTCTTCAATGTTATTGAACCCGAGCTCCGAGAGTGGCGGAGCAAATCTAGCAAAGGTGGGAGCATCCGTCAATGAAGAGCAAATTTTCTAAAGGCATGCATCCAATTAAAAGTGCGACAGACGAGCAAAGTAAGCAAGCGGCATAGAGCTGCAGCTTCCCGGGAGATTACAAGGCGGATATGGTGGATTGCCACGCCGTGCTAAGTCTGAGCCTAGGAGGGGCTTGAGTCTGCATAGCTAGGATCTAATTCTCGCCAACATGGCTTGAAGCTTGTTGCTAACCAGTCAGGTCTGATACGGTGAGCGTTGTGTTCTGTGTGCAGCTGCATTGGCTCTAGTGTCATGTGGTTTTGGTGACTCGTGAGAGGGTTTGCGCTAATTCCACTTGTGGCCGCAATAGGTGCGAGTTGCGACGGCCACATGTACACCAGGTCAAAGAGAGAATTGTAAGAAGAGAGACTAATAACAATGAGCTTGACATAAACCTTGCAAACATCATCTAGGATCTACTCTCCCAGAGCGAGGTTGAAAACTCGTACACCAGAAATGGCAGATTACAGTAAATCCACGTGCTCTTCCTGACTAATATCCTATCACTAGATATGAAGCTTTTCTACGCTCTTGGATTCATTGGCAGGGAATGCCAGCAGCATCAGTCAAGGCGGCTAAGCATAGTGACGCTTTGAGATGTCAGTGTTAGCATAAGTAAACTTTAGTGCACGTTGCAACGCTCCAAGAGCACCAGCATACTTGCGCAAGATGTAGCGCTGCATCTCCCATAATAGTTCTGACTGCTTGCTTTGGCCAAACGTACAATCGTTCTCAAGGTTAGTAGTACCATCTGCTCCCATTTTTTTCCTCCATACATACCCTTTCTATGATCTTCAATTTTATTGGTCATTGTACAGTTGATGTCCTTTCAAAAGATCCAGTCCTGAATTTTCCAAGAGTTCAGGCCAGACCCAGAATCAAGTATAATTAATTCTACTATCCAAGGCGTTACCAAAACTTTCTCTCCTTAAGCGAAATCGAGCGAGATCGTTGGCTTCTTGCAACTATTCCAGTTCAACCCCACGTGATTCTTAGCCCTCAAAAGCAAATCCTTCACCTTGCGATGTTCTTGGCCAGGAAAAACATACTTCCTACAACGAGCAGCAGTTTACCAAGATTGTAAAGCTGTACCATCCAGACTGTTCCAGTCATCAGCCAAACGGAGGCCGTGATCGTGCAGCTAGGCTTAAGCAATTCTAGATGATCATAGACACCCATCACACAGACCCGCTCAAACGGGAGGCCTATGAAAGCTATGATAATGGGTGGAAATACAGTGCACCTAAGTCCCATCCTCAGCACTGGCCTGCGCGGACGCACACAGCACACCCTCATGTCGGAGCAAGACTGGAGGCAAGGTTGGAGGCAAAAAGAGGACGTGCACAACCAGATTGAGGAGGTTTTATTTGTCAGGAAGGTCGTGACTGCGGTCACTCTGATACTGCTTATCGCCATCACGTCGTGGTTACAGTTGGTGAGGGCAGCCAAGGCTTCGCAAGATGTGTCCCGTGAATACATAGAACACGAGGCTCTTATATCAGAGCTGAGATGGGTGCATCCCGAAGCGAACTGCTTTACAAATGAAGGGTGGATTGGAAGGTTTCCTTTGCATAGGGAGGCGCGACTAGCTTAATACAACATCGTCGCCAAAGGGTGGCTACTGCAGTTCCTTCTTTCGTTTTTTCACGAATATTGCTGCACATTCTTCCAAAACACGCTTTGCTATACTCTTTATGCTTATCAATTTTTATCATGCTATCACAGATGCTGCACAGCTGTTATTTATTAGCATTCTGGTGGTGGAATCTCATAAAGCGAGTCTTCCCTGGGCCGTGCGCGAAACTTGCTCAATACCCCTCGGCTGACTACAGTTGAGGAAGATCCCCTGCAGTAAGGCCACATGGGAATCAAAACATTTTCGAGGTGTGCCACTTGTATGTAGATATCGTATTGTTGAATACAATCTGGGCGCGTCTAGAACTTATAATGAATGCTACTTCAGGAACAGCGTACTCCTTCACTGTACGCTCTTCCTCAGCTCGTGGCTTATAGCTGACGGATGAGACTCTGCGACTGCAGTTATTTTAGGTAAACAGTGTAATCCATTGTATCAAGCAAGCACTAACAGCTTTCTATAGCGTCCTTTCAACGACCACCTAGACGATAACTTTGTCCTCAATTACCGGTCATAAAAGTGAGCGTGAACATACGCTACCGGCTGCGTCTGAGTCTTTCTGTCACCCCTTTGTAACTGGACCATTCACTGTTGGTGCACATACAATGAGGCAGACTTCAGGAACTCCAGGAATCACAAGTGCAATAGTTGTTCCTGCCACGCTGTTTCTCTTCGCTGTGTCCTTTTTTCTCCTCTGGTATATTTATCGAGCTCGTCAAACGCCGCAAGAAGGGAGAAAAGTTCCAACTTGGGCTTCATTACTCTGAATATGGGCTGAAGCAGTCCAGTGTATGAAGCAAAGTCGCAGGGGTTACCAGTCGGCAGACCAAAATTTGTCAGTTCAAACCGATGGGCAAAAAAGTTTATGTGTGGAACATGCACCAAGCAATGCTTTTATAGGTTGCTGACGATCTTTTCAAAGTTAGTGCTATTCAAAAAGAAATCAACTTACCTTCAATTGTTGAAGGGCAAAGGGAAGGTACAGGGAAGGGGTGTTTCCGTTGTCTTTGCCGAGCTGCGTTTACAGGCGGATTGGCTTTATGTATATATCGCTAGACTATCTCCTACCTGCAGGCTGTGTATTTGAAGTATCCGAGGCATTGCTCTAGAAACTAGGTAATCTAGTCATAATTCTTTTCTTCTTTTTTGCCCTGTTTTATGCGCCAGCAGAAACTATTATTGTAAAGGTAACTCGTTCTAGCTAGGAAATACATTACGAGATCAAGAATATAGTGTCATAATTCCGGATTAACTTTCAGCACTGCATGTATCGCAGTAAACTCATTAATGAGAGCTATATCCTTAAAATAGAAAACAGTTCTCATCTCCTGTTCAGAACTCGATGCTCGTCAATTTGACTAGCCTCTAGGCCGTTGAGAATACCCTTCCAAATCCCATTTACGTACGATGGTATCGCGTAACCAGAGGCATCGCATGGTGTGGTGACACACATATTGCCCAGGACATTGATCTGAGCTTACTACCTGTTCTCGACTTAGTCTTCCTCTAGAAATAATGTTACCTCAAGACGGAAACCCATTGACAGCAGTCATCTTGAACGGTTTTGTTCTGGGGTTGAATGCGGATGAGTAAATCTCAACCTGTGACTGGCTTTCCTCAGCAGTACTGAAAAGGCATGGTTGCCGAACGCTAGAATCAAGCACTAGGTAGGAGATGAGGGCGCATCTAAAGCATACATTGGTATATAAAACAGTACCCAGGGTTTAAGCAACATTCCGCACGGTCATAGCTTCCCGCATGATGACTACTATTTCAATTGCGCAAACTCGGATGATGATGACGGCCGTGTTTCATAGCGTATGTTGGAGAAGTGGAAAATCGCGAAGTCAAAAGCTCATGTCTCATTATCCATCGTAGCATCCTCCTTCTTCCCAGCCACCGCCATTGATGAACCGCCAGAGCAGAAGCTCTCCGGTAATAATACCCAGGATAACAGTGAGCAAGACTCTAAGATTAAACGTTATGACAGCAAGCATGCTATGCATGATTAGTATTTCTAAAAGGTCAGCACGGACGAACAACGTACAGGAGATAACTGATAAGTGCTCTGAGACCCTTTAGCAAAGCGCGTGGAAGATTAAGATTAAGCCTCTAGGGATTTTCCGCTCGCCAGCGACCACCGAATATTGCGCTCTATCCCTAGGAAGGGCGCGGGTCGAAACACTCTTCTATGGACTCTCTTAGCTTAGAATTACCCACTCCTTTTTCTAGGTCTATGATGGAGGGCGAGAGGGGCTCTAACTCAGGTATCCATATAGCGGTCGAGATCCCCTTGTTTGATTAATATATAAAAGAAAATTATATATATATGTTTGAGTTGGAGTATAGGTGATCCTACACACAGCGGAGGGCTTACAGCGATAAAATAGATTCAAAGAAAGTGCGGTTACTCAAATGACAGTGAAGAAAATCATAAATTTTTATGCGCTTTTTAACTTATATACATATAAAATTATATATATATATATATATATTTAGTATAATTGAATAGATTTTAACACATTGCGCCTATCTATATCAAAAAAAGAAAAAACGTTTTTGCTAATGAGGTAAGCGTATAAGAATGATATACTTATTTAAATGGGAATTCAATGTATATCTTTTAGATCGCTGGTAGAGTTATTGTGTAACAAATAAGATATTAAGCAAAAATATTCATTGTGTTCTTTGAAGAATGATAGGTAGGGACAGTAAGAATCTAAAATAGTAGGTAGGGGCAGTAGGAACTTAGTATAGCACCTAGGCAACAAAGTAGCACTGAGCGCGGCGGTCATTTATCCTCTACACGCTGGGATCTTGCGCCTCGTATTCCTTGTTGGCTTCGCCGCCGGGCACTCTATCAAGGTTATTACTAACGGTGAAGGGGTCGCTCTGGCACTCGGTTTTGGCGTCGGAGTATTTTATGACGTCGGAGTCGCCCTTGGAATCGAATTGCCAGGTAGACTGGTCTTCAAGGTGTAGAACAACCTAAAATCCACGTTAGTTGCCTAGTACGCTTGTTCCAAAGCTTTACATACCGTAGTCGTGAAGGCGCCCTTGAATTCACCGCGCTGTACGATGGCGCGACAATACATCTCCTCGCCTGGCTTCAAGTCGAACTTGCCTCCATCAACTGTAATAATGTCTTGGGATTTTTCATCGCCTTCCATTTGCGCATTCTGGTACTCGTAGTTGAGTTCAGTTGTTTCTTTCACCCCCATGCCCAAGACCTGTCCTGAAGCCTCCCAGGAATGTTTCGCACCAAGAGTATGCGTCTGCGTGGTTGACCACATGTGCTTGTCCATAAGGCTCCATCGGGATTCAAAGTTGTATGTAACCGTTACGTCTTTATGGTTGTTTTCAAAATGCTTGTCTAACAGGATACGGTCGGTAATTCCCCTGGGCGTGATTTGGTTAGAAGAAAGGCACAGACCAGCGGCTCTTCTGTCGGGAGTGAGGGAACCTTACTTTCTCTGCTTTTGAAGTTCCTCGACGGTTTGTTCGTATTTCACGTCCTTCAATTCCATGGTCTTGATGGGGCTCTTGAGCATGGCGAAGGCAAGTTGATTGATCCATTTGCCTTCCTCAAACAGACCCATTCCGCCGACCATGATACCGGACCCAGTGTCCGTAGTCTCGTATGACTTGATTTTACCAGGCTCCTCTGTTATAAAAATCAGTGTTCCATACTTTTTGCTCTTGTTTCCATCTCTAGAGTCGTGTAGCAGGTCGGGACGATATTTCGAAAAGAACTGTAGTGGACTTACTTCCAGCCTTAAATGTTTGTTTTCCTTCGATACTCATTTCAATGCGTCCGAGATGCCTTCCCAAACCATGACCCCAAAGTGTAATCCTATTGATAAGGTCTCCATTCTCGGGCTCCCACCTCCATTCCTGTTTGTCGCCAATACTACCCCCTAGCATAGGACTGATCTTCCCATCGGCTAGAGAACAACGCGCAAGACGATCAGTGAGAGGTTCTCTTTCAGAAAGTGTAAAAAGGATACCCACTAAAGTAGAATCTCAGGCCTTTCAGACCTTCGCCATTTCCCCAGACGTCCAGACCCTTGACAAAAGCTCCAAAGTCGCTCTTTTGCGTGCAGAAAGACGTTCCGGTGGGACCGCCCACCAGGGTTGTTCTTTTCATGTATGGCCTATCGCAGCGGCCACCATCAGCGGTTTTCGGATCAAAGCCCTCCCTTGCAACGAGTACGCGTCCAGAGGCAAAGCCCGAGATAAGAATTGCGGAGGCTAGAATAGCCTTCACGTTGAAAAACATGGCAATGGAGTAGGTGTCGAAGTAAAAGATTGAATGTAGGGTAAAAAAACAAGAATAGGAAAAAAGAAAACAGACACAAATCTATTTGAACTGTAAAGAGCGAAGTGGAAGCGAATCTGATGATGGGTTGCAACTGACGTCCAGAGACTGGTTTTTATATTCTATTACATACAGGGGTATACTTCTTGGCCTATAGTTTGTTATTGAGCATCGCTATTGTTGGTCCCTACGGTAGCATAGACAGATACAATCCCCATGAGAATAGGCGTCCAGTTTACCTAATTGCTGTGTATGTAATCAAACCTATTCATATGCACCCTGTGGCTAAATAGTTAAGCAGATAAGGCCCCCGTAAGAATAGGCGCCCCGTTTACCCCAAACATACATAACTCGAAACATAAACTAACTTGTTCGGATTATCAAAACAGAGTGCTGTCGTCAGCAAGGCTAGTTTGGATCCTCCCTGCGGTAACGTTTGCGCATGTGGTACGTATCGTACTGACGAAGCTACGCGCGGAGGAAAGGAAACTTTGCTGAATCATCAAATGGAAGGGTGCCGGATCTTGTTGATTGCGATGCTCTACACCTGCAATCAAATGGATGCAAAATCATTCAATCAACTAGTAGATAGAGATTTTTATAGTGAGTGACTTTTAAGCCAAAGACAGTCCTTGTTGTATCTATCCAGCATGCAGAAATATTGACGGCACCATTACCCATATACACACAAACCCACAGAAGGCGTGCTCCTGACGCCGTGAATCTAAACAATGGACCGTTATAGAAAATTTACATATTTCCGATCTTCCTGCAGTAGTCCTACAATACCCGAAGAAGCACTAGGCAGATGAAGCACAACTTTCTGCGGAGATCCTTCAATCAGAAACACACTGTGTAGAAGCTCTGCGGGCGTCAGATAGCTAGGCCCGCTGCATACATCAAACGTCTTGGTCCCCGTTATGCTTACAAAGGTAGAGATATATTTAGGGATTGCACTGGGGAAGGGATGTTATCTTTAGAATGCACAGATTGTTCGCAGGGGATTTTCATTGTTGCTGTAGCATCTGAAAATCGTTCTGGACAATTCCATGACGATCCTCCATATGTAAACGGATCTCAGCCACAACACCAGCTGCCTGAGAACCGGGAGGAGGACTCATTTGCCATGTCTCAGGGTGATCCGGATCTGCAGGCTCATATACAGCTTCCAGAGATGCATAGAGAAATTTACAATCGGAGCAAGCTTCAACCGGGAAGTACTCAGACGGTGCTAGGTCTTCTTGGAAATCGTCGATTGTGTGGTTCAGCTGCTCAGAATCCATACTATGAATCCCAGCAACTGTACCAGCCAGCCCTGCAACGCTGTCGGGTGTGAGGGAAGGGTCGGCGATGGCGAGGTATCCCATCGATTCGCAAATTTCAGTATATCTATTTGGGGTAGCTTGCAATGCAAGACCTTCCATTGCATCTTGCAGCTCGTCCGTTTTAAGTTTGTGCAGGTATTCGTAGAGTGCCCGCATTACAGCTGGATCCTCGAGATCTAGGTGGTCATCGGGAAGTGGTGATGTGTCGGAAACCTCATCATTTGAAGTGCAATCCTCAGATGCCTGCATCTGTGGATCTCTATAACTCCATGTGTTTGACATTTTGGTGGTATTAAAAGTATTCAAGTGTGTTTTTGGGAAGAGGTGTAGTGGTAAAGACAGCTTTATGGTGTTGAGTTTGTGTTATGGTGTTCATGCTCGCAGAAGGCGAGGATATATAGTGTAAAACGGTATCTCATTGTATTGTCAAACACGAGAGGTGATAAAGTCATCATCATCATTGTTTACTGCATAATGTAGAGTTTCCCGACTCTATGACGCTTTGTTTGACAATCGCGCACCTTGTACTTCGTATTCGGGAGGAAGTGATGGAATTAGATAAATCCATGTGAAGCTTCTCCTGAAACTAATATTCAGATTAAAATTCTTCTAGATGCATGACGGGTACAAAGTGTCTTGCCACTTTATTGGGAGCATATCCCACGATAGTGGAAGCGGATGTCATAGTCTAATTGAAAGCCAATACGACGTTCGCTATGACGGCAATGTCTTGAACAACAATACGTCGAAAGCGAAAAGGGTGAGACGAATCTTGCCTTCAATATCTCACGTGAAACACATGAGATAGCTTTGAATGGGAACGTCTTGTCAATACGCGGTAGACTCCAAGAGTCTTTAGGTCTTCCGCCATACATTGACGAGAATGCATGATGGTGCTTCCTCTGTTTGATTTGAAATACATAGTATACATTGTATGCAATCAACTTTGGGTGTCAGTCAAACCGACCTTCTGTGTGCGTTCACAGTTAATCACAATCTTTCCTTAGAAGAATCTCGCAACCATATATCATCGAGGTCAATCAACATAACAAAGCACAACATACATTCAACCTCGAGACCTCAACACAACCAACCCATAAAGCTTCCAAGATGCTTTACAAAGACGAGGTCGACCACAATCAAATAGTGAGCGTGCTCCAGCACAACATCCTCACACCGGACATGCTAGAAGATGAAGCTGTCCATCTGACAAAGATCTATTTCCACCTCACCCTGTTCGTCGATATCGAAATTTCGGAATCCGCAATCGCCGCCGCTTACCGAGAGATTCGCGCTAACCAGGACGTCGATGCTGACATGGAAATGATGATCGCTACCACTGAAGAACGCTCTGACGATGATGAGGATGAGCCTGATCTAGACATCCAATCGATGATGGAGCAAATAAATATTAACAACAACGAGGGTGAGCCTGGTCTTGACATCCAATCGATGATGGAGCAGATGGATATCAGCACCAACGGGGGTGCAGGATCGGTGGGAGCCGCAGAGACACGGAATAGAGGGTGGATCATGCACTTCCCTGTCCAAGGGTGCGGCGTTTGCGATGCGAGGTGGCGCATGATACACACTGACTACGTCGTGACCTGGTCCCACGAGCGGCCATGGTGGGAGTATGTGCCTGACAACGTGCTGGATTGGCTACAGGAGCATGTGCTTGAGCATATTATTGTTGGAGATGCTGCTGCAGCTGCTGCATCTGGCGATGGGATTGCCTTGCGATAGGCGAGGATGAATGGTTCTTCTCTTCTAGCGTTTGGAGTTATTGACATTTGATATAATGGAGAATTTCATTTCTGATTTTTAGTCATGTTGTTAAGGGTAATGAGTGCTTTTCGCAGTGATTATGTAACTTTGAGCTATGCATGGATTTTTTTTGTGATATGGCAAGATGGAATCGGGATTAATATACACATGTGCAGGCAATCAAGACGGATGCATTGTGTGTGAGACCAAAGCGCGAAACCACAACAGCAGCCCATATCAACATTATGCGCATCAAAACTTGATGCGACGTAGTCAACAAATCCCATAGATTTCACGTTCCGTAAAGCATCCAAGCGCCCCTAGCCAAGTTGCCATTGACCGTCATGTCCTCGCGCAGGGTGTGCGATGAGCCGCAAATTCCGAATGGTTGTTCATACATCTCCACAGAAACGCGCCTGTATACTCCTGAAAAATCATCCCGATCCGTTCGCCCTCTCAATAGAGGGAGGAAACAAGGAGTTGTGGATTATTTCTTCCTCCGGTTGGCTTTCTTGATGGCATTATATGTCCCTCCCTTATCCCACAATACCTCTTGTAGATGCGCTTGTGCATTGATAAGCACGGAGGGAAGTCCTGGGATAACCGTGACCACCTCGCCAGTACTATTGGACTTGGACCGTATGTCGCTGAAAGAAAGATATTGGAGGTGGGTGTAGTGGTTCCTTATTTTGTTCGTGGCAGTCGGAGGGACTGGACTGGAATTTGTGGGCAGTGGCATGATGGTATCTCTTTCGGATGTACGAAGGTTCAATCTATGTAGAGTTGAATTCCCAGCTTTTTGTTCAAGTCTGGTTGAGCGTGGTGGTGGAGGTAGTAGGAGTGGTCGGATCTAATTACCCATGTTTATGCATGCAGGACTGCGTCATGACTCATCATGTCACACAAAATCACGTGATATATCTTTCACATCGAGACACTCTCGGGCGATTCATCATTGTTTGTTCAAGTCTAGCCCTCGTGTCCTCAGCAGGCGCAGGCAGCTGGTTATCATGTAAACTTTAGAAGAAGGCTGGAAGATGAAATGCATTAAAGAAAAATATACTTCTCACGTGTATAGTTAGCCGTCCGTGATGTACACCTGGGCGCATACCAGGGTAGTGAACCAATCTGGTAAGTGAAGATGGCCACGACGTTGGTTGGTGACAACGCGGAGCGATAGTGCGCCGTGCAAACACAATGTCGCGATCAGCGTCAATACCACTGTGATTAGGCAGCCGCTAACTTTAGCCTCGATCTACAATCTAAGTGCTGGTATTTAAGTACGCGTAGAAAGGTGCCACGTCCCCTGCTACCAAAGCTTCAACCTCGTATAAAGCGAACACCAGACCAGCTAAACTCGCCATTGCATCCAAGCTAAGTAGACCCTTGCAAAAATAAGTACGGCCCCACACTGCACCAACCTAGCAACAACAACATCAAAACATCGACAACACAACAAATCATGTCGTCTGCAAACAACCCCAACCACAGTCAATATGACGATGGTAGCAGCAGCAGCAACAACAACAATAGCACCAGCGCCACCGCTCAAATCGACGAAGATGAAATCTCCGACCTCCTCACAACCCTCGACCTCTCCCCCACCGACACATCCCTAGAAGATCTAGCAGACATAATAATCTTCTACCTCAACCAGCTCAACGCCACTGCCCCTACAACATCCACCTCAAACTACTCCCCAGAATCAATCACAGCTGCCCTTTCAAATCTACAGCTCCAACCTCCCCCTACTCCTACACAACACACACCCCCTGCTTATCAGATCCTTCACCCACCGCCGCAGACGCCACTGGAGACAGTCACACCCACTGGTATTGAGATCGCGGAGGTGAATTTCCCGGTTGCTGGGTGTCCGGCTTGTGAGGGGCTGTGGAATGAGATTTTAGAGTCGGTTAGTGAGGAGGGCGGGCTTAGGGGTCGAGAGTGGTGGGAGTGTGTGACGGAGGAGATTGGGGTTAACGTTGAGGGGCATATGCTGGATCATTACATTCAGATGGATGGAAGGGGCGGAGGATAGTCTTGGCTTTCTAAGGAGGAGGATGAGCTGATGGAAATGTAAGTAACGGGTGAAGAGGAGATGATTTGATAGCATGGATGATGGAGGAGGAAATATTGGGGATACTGGGTGGCTATGACGACCAGCATGGCGTCTCGGTGGATTTTTGGGTTTGGCTACTTCTAGGCTTATGTGGTAGCCTAATTTCTGGCTTTGACAATGGGAGGTCTTCTGTTTCTCGTATTATCATTCTAGTAGGACTCAGTGATGCGGCTCGGGCACTCAACGTATGATCGTCCCTGGAGCGCGTCGATTAAATCAGAAAGGGAGATGATAGCTACCACCTAATCAAATAGTGGAAAATCTCGAATTTCAAGACTGCCGTCCAAATTCTTCCGATATACCAAATCAGCATGTCCATCTGTCGAAACCAATTATCAAAGTTACGCGCTGCATTGTGCGACCCCGGGATATCAACACAGCTACTCCCGTCAATCCACACAACGCAAATAATCCCACACATTGATATCGCTTGGAAAGTTGAACAGGACGATCTGACAATGCCCTTGACTTCGCCGCATCCTCAAACCGACAGATAAAGCTCCCGAGTCATCTCCCCGCCTCATTCCTAGTCACTCCACACATACACCTTTTACTTTACAACCCCAAACTCCTTTTCTACAACTTCAAACCTCATTCTTGAAACCCCCAAACAAGACACCACCACAACAAAAAACAACTTTCAGCCGGCTAATCGTAAACTACCAAACCCAAAACAAAAAATGTCTTCCACTCCTCCACCCGCACCCGAATTAACCCTAGAAGCCCTAACATCCCTCTTCCGCACACCCAACATCCCGTTCGAGAACCTCTCTTTCTCAGAGCTCCTCGATATATTGCTAGAGTTGCTTCGTATCCCTCCAACAGCTACATCGACTCACGAACCCCAAAACGCAGACACAGATGTGGTTATGGATGTGGGGAGTGAGCTGGTGGAAGAAGATATCGTGAGCGTGTTGTTGTACATGTCACCACCCTCCTCTTCAACCTCGCCTTCCTCTGGCGAAGATGAGGTTGTCAACACGATAGATAACCTTGCTATCACTACCCCACGATCTGGGGAGATGGACTGAGGTGGTGTTGAGTAGAAGGGATGGAGAGGGGCAGGAAAAGATGCCATTTCCAGTGGTAAGGTACAAGATGAGGAAATAAGGGGGTCTCGCAATGAAGCGGCTAGAAAAGGAAATAGGATGTTAGATTTTGTGCGATTGCGAGAGGGTGGACTTAGTGGGAATGGAGGCTTACACAATGTTCGTTCCGGATCATGTTGATCACGACGGTGATGGGGTTTTTCAGTTTTCAATAAGGAACGAATTTGTTCTAGGGATTTGCTTTCGCTTGATTATCGTTTTTATGGTCGTGTAAATTGACCGTGAAAAAAAGCCTATTCCGTTCTACCGGCTTCAACTCATAATCTGACATGTCAATGTAAATGATTTTTTCTTCATCCACGCCAAGACTTCTGTTTCCTATATACATACATAAACCATCCGAAAAACTCGTTTGTACCCCCAGACATAATTAGAAATGAACTTTTCCACTAAATGAACAATCCGCATCTAAACAAAGTCAAACACATCCCCGCGATCCTTGATCATCTTCGCAACTCTCTTGGAGCCAACGATCCGCTCCAGCTCCATCCCCTCCCATTTCGAAAAGCAAACTTTAACACTGGCCTCTGTCCTCGCCACTTCTCCCCGATCAACTGATCGCGCCGCAAATCCCACTACCTCCTCGAAGAAGGCCGGGTTCTCAGGCACAGCGTAAAAGGCAACGCGCTTGACGCCGCGGATCTGGTACCGGTGAAAATGATGCGCACGGCCAGTGTACAGGAGAAGTGAGTGGCGTCCACTCATGAAATGCGACCGCGCTTTGCGCACGTCGGTCGCATCTGTGTACTCTGAGATGGAGGCGTATGAGAGGTCTGAATCTACGAGGGAGTTTCGCACACGGACGAAGTCGAGGTACGAGGGTATGAAGACAAGAACGCCGACGCCGCCTTCTGGGGGTCTCGGAAGACGCGTGATCCAGGGTAGGACAGTCGAGTTGAAGAATTTGAAGCGGGCGTCTGGGTCTGTGAGATGCGAGGGGGAGTCGAAGCGCGAGAAAGTTTGTTTGATGCCGTGGCTGAGGTTTTCGATCAGCCCTGAACTATAGTCTGGGGTGTATTTCAGACGCCCAAAGATATTACGCATGTGCTTGTTGTAGAGAGTGTTGATTGTTGGGGTGAGGTAGGCTGAGAGGACGATGGTTTGACGGAAGTTTGGAGCATGGCCATCGAGATACCATGATCGCACGCGGGAGAAGTCGCAGCCGTGAGCGTCCTTTGGTTGCAGGTTGAGGTGTTCGTACACGAATTCGGCGTGCTCCCAGTTTTGCATTTGTGTTGCGTCAGCTTGCTCCATGATGACCATCTCAATAGACGAAAGGAAATCGGCGTCCTTTTTCTTCTTGTCGCCGGTCTCGATGGCCCTGCGGAGTCCAAGAGGAGAAGCAAAGATGATATCTGAGTTGTAGAAAGTGGAATAAAACTTGAGCGTCTTGCGCGTCAGCTTCACACCCACGCGAAATTCGTTCTCGTCGTTGCCCTCAAACAGTTCCCGGAAGTCGTCGGGCTTGTCATCAGAGAACTTGTCCTCAGGCAACGAGAAACTGTCAAGGAATCTCTTCTTGTTCTCTTGCTGTTCGAAATCGTACAGCTGGGTGATGGAGTTGACAGCCCGGACACATGCTTGTTTGGTCTCTAGCAAGAAAAGGATTTTGGGTCGGGTAAAACCTTGGTCGCGATACTCAGCATCGACATCATCAGACGCTGCTGCCAACTTCGAATTATTCTTCAGTACCCGATCTCTAGTGCGAATGATGTGATTGAGAGCATGTAAGCAGACCATGTCGCGTATGCGCTGTGCGTTTTTCACAGTCCTGGCACCGAACATGACATCCTGGTAGTCGAACAACGAAGGCGCAATAGCCTGTTCCACTTCGTCGAAATCGCCAAGGACCTTTGTTGCGTTATCCGCCAGTTTGGGTTTCAGCTGGACGTTCGATACACTCTTGACCTTTTTTCGAGGAGGGTGTGTATCACTCTCTCCAGGCAGCTGTAGTAGACATCTTCCACCTTTCCCGACATCGAGTTTCTTGGTTGTCCACTTGTTCTTCTTGATAGCGGATCGGCAAGTCGTCACCTCCATCTCATCAGGTTTCTCGAAATGCGTCTCGAAAGCACTACTTGGTTCGCCAGCAGCTTCCTCGCTTTCGGAATCAGACCCATCGTTGGCATTTTGTTCGCCATCCTCCTCCTCGCCAGAAGAACCCGACTCTGCATCTGCGAGTACCTCCGCCAGATCTTCTTCGTCATCTACCGGCATCTCGTGGTCCAACTTTCTTCGCTTTCGTCTAGGCTCGTCGTTGGATGTACCGGATTTCTTTCGCGAAGCAAATGTTTGTAACAAATTCTGGTAGGCTTTAGATATGGGCTGAGCTACTTCCTCTTCCTTCTCATCAGCTTCGGAGGATGCGTCGCTTTCGTCCGATTCTGATTCAGAACCTGAGGATCCAGAATATCCTTCCCTTTAAAGTGTTAGATTCTTCCACATAGTCTTCTTCGCTGGATTGCACTCACCCGTTTGCGACAGGGTCCTCTATGCGCGCAGACTCAAAGCCATTCCTCTTTCCGCCTCTTGAACCTCCTCGCATTCCACCCCTGCCTCTACCACGCATTCCTCCACGCATGCCACCACGGGGTCCCCCGCGTGAGCCGCCTCGTGAGCCTCCTCGAGAGCCTCCGCGCCCCCGAAATGGCGCCATTCTTCACGAAGTGCTGCTTGTAAGAGTGAAAAAAGTCTTGGTATGCGCAGAAGCTGATCAACGACTTTCAGTACATTGTATCCGAAGAATCAGAGTTTTAAACGTAGTGAGCGATCTGGAGAAACGTCCTGGGTAAAATTGACGGTTTGAACGAAGATTGGGGATGCGGGCAGAAAAGTTGCCATGCGGCTCTGCACCACAAAATAAATGGAAGAGGCGGCCCGTGCGCGAAATCTTGGCCTCGCTACGATTGATGCAACCCCACCCCAGACTCGAATTTCCTTCATACCCCCACCGACCGGCCATCCGAAGCACCTCACGTCTCTCTCTCCCCGACGACGACCTCCCTCACTCTCACCTCGAGCATCGTGAGGCTGTAGCCCTGTATAAGCCCGCCATCATGACCAACAACGACGCCTACCTCCACTTGGCCCGCCCATTGGGCCCTGCGCTCGGCCAGCCCTCCACTGCTCCTCTCAACGTGATCGTCCAACCCCAAGCTCTCTTCGCCATTATCGACCATTCTTTGCGCCGTCCGGCCGACCAGGAACGTGTTATTGGCACTCTTCTCGGTACCCGAAGCGAGGATGGCACCGAGGTTGAGATCCGCAACTGCTATGCTGTCCCGCACACAGAGAACGCCGAGCAGGTCGAGGTGGATATGGACTACCAGAAGCAGATGCTCGCTCTGCACCTGCGCGCCAACCCCAAGGAGGTTCTTATCGGCTGGTACGCCACCAGCAGCGAGCTCAACACCTTCTCCGCCTTGATCCAGAACTTCTACGGTCAGCAGGGCGACGGCACTTTTCCCCACCCGGCCGTCCATCTCACTGTTTCCACCGAGCCCGGCAAGGAGCCCGAGTCGCGCACCTACATTTCTGCCCCCATTGGCGTCACCGCCGAGCGCGCCGCCGACTCGTGCTCCTTCATCCCCGTGCCCCACGAGCTCAAGTACGGCGAGGGCGAGAAGTCTGCTCTCGAGCTCATTTCATCGGCCAAGGACCGCGAGGACCGCACCCAGACCACCTTCTCCGACCTCGAAGCACTAGAAAATGCCGTTAAGCACGTCCTTGATATGCTCGAGCGCGTCTCCAACTACGTTAATAACGTGTTGGACGAGGAAGCTGAGCCGTCATCCGCATTGGGCCAATTTCTCCTCAACGCCCTCAGCCTGGCACCCAAGGTCGATGCCGAAGATATCGAGCGCGACTTGTATGTTTTTCCCCTTCCCGAATCACTTGTCGTGTCTGTCGCACATTGCTAACTTGAATCCCAGCAACGCACACATCCAAGACGTCCTCGTCGTCTCCTACCTCGCCAACACAATCCGCACCCAAATCGACCTCTCCAACCGTCTCGCGACCGCGGCTCTGACTCTCGGCACCGGCGATGCGCTCTCAGGCGAAGGCGGCAGCGGTGGAGGCAACAACAACCGCGAGGGTGGCGATAACAGACAAAAGGGCGGTCGTGGAGGCAAAGGCAGACAGAATAACAACCGGTCTCAACAAGCCCAACAATCGCAGGAGGCGTGAGCATTTTGAAGAGAATGAAATGACCAAAAAAAGAAGAAAATCAGTTCCACTAGATTCTCAACCTCTCCAGATTCTTTTCTCCTCATTGTTTGGGCATGGCGTGGCGTGGCTCTTGGACGCACCAAAAAAAAAGCTCCGCTCTCCCTGGTGTTTGATCTCTTTGTTTTTTACTTTTCCTTCTCACCAGCTTCCATAGTATTCGGTCATGATTGACCACGGGGGAAAACATCTTCTTTACGCGGGGTTCAAGGTTTTAGACTCTGTTAACCACGGGCATGGGATAGCATGGGGGAGCATCTTTTGTATGTTGCATCAATTTGTAGGTGACGAGGCGGACGAAGAGATAGGGCTCGGCAAGAGAGGAAGATGCGGTGTGGAAGGTTGTATGGTGTTTGCCACGAAGATATGAATTATCATGCATGGGTTGTCACACAGTACAGTGAGGACGAATTGAGAAAAAAAAGTCAAAAAACACAAGAAAGAAGACATGATTTGATGTTGACCGATCCACCCACCATCCTGAACGCCTCATGAATGTTCCCATTGATATAATGCTCCCATGATCCCTCATTTTCCCTCAATTTTTCCTCAGTGTCCATGACCCGCACAGATTACAATCCCCGATTAAACCAATCTCGCACATCTCTAGTCCACACACACAGCAGCCTGCTCATCCACTCCTCACACTCGCACCATCCCCCTTCTCGCCCCTCTTCTTCTTCCTCCTCTTCCGCTCCCCATCCTCCTTCCCGCCCTCCCTATCCTTCTCCCTCCCCTTCCCCTTCTCCTTCTCCACCGCCCCATCCCCGCCATCATCCCCGTCAACCCCAGCGCCACCGCCTTTCGCTACAACGGCCCCCTCATCAGTATCAAAAGCCTTCCTCTTCCTCTTCAACTCCTTATCCGTCTCCAGGATCTCGCTCACCCTCCCCAACTTGGCCGCATCCCTCCTCAGCATGAACTTGAAGTCGTCGAGCTTGATTTTCTGGCGACGCGCGTGGTGTGCTACCGCGGCGGCTTCGTGGCATGTTTCGATGATGTAGTCGGTGACGATTTCGTCGAGGACGCGGATCGTGGTTGGTAGGGGGTTGAGGTCGTCGCCGTAGGCGATTAGGAAGGATTCTACTGTTGAGGGAGGGGCCGCGTTAGAGGGGTCGAGGTTTAGGGAGGTGGAGGAGCGCGGTTTGGGGATGCGGGGTTGGATGCGGTGTCTTTTTTGGTAGATGTTTTGGGGTGGCATTGTTTTTGGTGGTGGTGGTTGAGGGAGTGTGATGATTGGAAGGATGTGGTTCTTGGGGTCGTTGTTGTGGTGCAGTGGATGTGGTGGATAGAGACAAGACTTTATGAGAGACAGAGGCAGGAGGAGGGCAGAGACAGAGACAGAGACAGGTGAGGGATAGAAGCTGCGCAGACAAGATAAAGGTGGTAGGCGTACACGGCAAGAGCGCGGCTGCCTGCCTGCCTCCTTCACCTAAAATCCGTCTACACATCTTCAATCCCGTCCCCTCCCGTCTGTCCATCTGGGTGCATACTCTATTTCCACATGCAGAGACGCACATGACGCAAGCAAGCAGACATCCAGTGCGACAGACAGGCCTCCGCGCAAAGGCTCTCGGGAAGAATCTGGACAGACTGACGCAGCGAAGCAGAAAACAACTAAAGAAATCATCACTCACATTCTGGCGCCGGGAACTGCTGCCCCTTCTGCCGCTGCCTCATGCGCACTTCCGCCATCTTAACGGACTCTTCAGCTCAGTCCAACTCGATCCACCCGAATCCGCTTTCTTCCTCCTCTATGTACGTCTGTATGTACCGCAGACTCCTCTCCACCAAGCAAACAAGCAAGCAAAGAGATCAACCTCCCGTCGCTTATTCCACTTGGTCCAATAAAGCCGAACAACGTCGTGGGTATATGCAGCAGGAATTCCCCACTCAGCAAACGCGGAAGCTATCCGTTCCCGTTCCCGCTTCCGGGGTATAAATCTCTCCTCGACGCGCGAGGATGAATGCAAAGTTTCCGGTCCACTGCGTTTCGCGCAGGTAAATGGGGGTAGATGTCGTAGATCTTCGAAGGTTATGTATATTATCGCACGACGCTGTGGATGTCGACCGCGTCTCTTTCTATATCCGCTGGAATCCTCGTTGTCGTCGTCGATGATGATGATTATGATGTAGCCGTCTCGTCCCGTCTCTTTAATCTGTAACAACCGCGTCTACACCGGATGGGAAAATAATAGACGTGTGCACTAGTGCTGGGAAAGAAGAATACAACTCAATCACCGATGTCGTTCGCTCCTCGTATCGCAGCGCTAGAGTTCGATCGATCGGTTCGTCGGTGGTTGGAAGATGTAGTAGGGAAATTCGGTGCACACGCACGCAAGGGGAGCGGGGAAGGCGAAAGCGTAGTCGTAGATGTAGGGAGTTGAAAGTTCCCACTGTACCATGCAAGTAAGTACTTAAGTATGCAGTGCAAGCACGCATCAATCGGAAGGAGGGAGGGCTTTAGCTAAGCGCCAAGACCCCGGACCCGCGCGCGCGTGAGTGCGTGCGTGCCTTCAACGTTTAGCTGCCGAAGGCCCACGCACGGACCGTTTCTACTCCCCAACTACCCTGCCTGGCATCATCGTCGCTTGCTATCTGTCGACTTGGTTGCTTACTTCCCGTTCTACTTTCCTCCCTGCGCTACAACGAACACATACCTGACCGCACCAAGGAACGATACCCCAAACGAAAACGGTGACGAGGGATCCCCGAGCCTTTGAAACCGACGTGAGATCTCCCCCCAGACCTCGAACTCTCGACCGCAGAGGGGGTTGAACAAACGAACGAACGAACAAACAGATATTCGCGAAATTCAAAGGACACGCTCGAAACGGCATACGTCGATCGCGAGAACACACCGACGAAACCACACACTCTCTCTCTCTCTCTCAAAACAAAGCAAAGGGACAAGACACCCACCCACCAACCAACCAACCAACTCCCACATTTCCTTCCTCCCCCCACCCACATACACAAATATAAAAATGGTACACCCCCCCTCCCCCCTATCCCCCCAATCCCCCCATCCCCTCTATACCCCTCCACTAACCTAAAAAAACCAGACCGCCCTCTTCAACTTCCAATCCCTCCTCTCCGTCCTCCTCCTAACAATCTGCACCTCAACATACATGCACGCGCAATTCCCCTCGCTCATGGACCGCAATAAAGAGAATTACTTTGTTGGGCCGTTTTGGAAATGTGCGAGGGTTGGGGAGAGGTTGAGTCCGTGGGTTGCGGGGGCTTGTTTTGTTATGGCTGGGGTGGAGTTTGTGGGATAATGTGTATGGGGATGAGGGGGGGTGATGGGGAGAGAGGGGGGTGGATGAATGATGGGGAGGTAGAGGTAGAGGTAGAGGAGGAATATGCTGTCTTCTTTGCACTTTGGAATACTTTGGTCTAGATGATTGATGAATGGGTTGGGCTTCGTTCTGGGGAGAACGGATGGGGGACGACGATGAGGAACGACGAATCCCGAATCCCGAACCCTAAAGCTAGGAAAGAAAAATACACATGAGGGAAGGAAATGTCAAAAAACGAAAAAATGAAAGAAAAAAAAACATTACACAAGATCAAATGATATAAGATATATGTTTTTCACCCCATTTGTTTAGGGGGGGGTATCTATCTTTTCTTCTTCGGTTTACAAAAAGAGCTTGTTTACGGAAAAAAAAGGGGAAAGAAGAAGAAGAATGTAAACGTCATGTGTCTGTGTGTGTGTGTGTGTGTGTGAGGTTGCTTATACATACATACCTAGGTACCTACCCATGTACTTATATACCTGCGTACCTATCTAGGTAAGTAAATATTTATATCGTCTAATAGAAACGTAAACAAGGGTTCAAAAAAAAAGACAGCAAAACAACAACAACAGCAGCACAAGACTACGACAAATACATCACACCAAACACAGCAATGAAAAATCCATAAAGAAAGAACACGTGTTTCCTGTTTAATAAAAGAAAGGTATATATGATATATTTATATAACAATGATAATAATAGAAAGAAAAAAAAAGGGAAAAAGCTTTTTCTCCAGAGGAAGTCTAGCCACCCACGCCAACCTTGCCTTTCCCTAACCCCACCACTCCAAAAAATAAAGAAGCGCACCCCCCTCCTACTCCAAAAAAGTTTAAAGTGTAATTCCCTCCGTCGCTCTTTCATGATGGAGGGGCCGGGCTTGTAGGTGTTTCGGGGGTTACAAGGAACAAAGCCTCGGTGTTGTCTCGAGAAAAGAAGATGGAATCCCTTTCCCAAGGATGCCGCCGCCCTTAGTCCGTCCGCCCCAAGAACCCAAGAGAAAGAAACCCAGAGAAATCTACCGCTAAATATTGAACAAGATATGAGCAAGAGACAACAGACGTGTAATAATAGAAAAACAGACCATACAGACAATAATACACAGACGTAACCCAGCGCCTTAGCGAACACCCCTTATTAGTTGTGGTGTCTAAAGGCGCACAGTATTTTTTTGGGTGTGAGGTGAGATGAGATGGGGCAGAAGATAGCAAAAACACTTTCCGAGCCGTACAAGAGCTCGAAAAGAAGAAATAAGGCGAGCAATACAAAGAGTAGTAGGTGGAGCGTGAAGGAGGAAGACAGAACAGTGGATGTGACCCGCACAAGCTAGCAAAAGCTTATGTAAAGCCCCAAGAACGAACCCAGCAAGAACCGCCCAACCCCGTTGCTGGAAGAACACCGTGTATACTCCCGTTCCGAGATAAAGAGATGAGAGGAAAAGCCTTCACGCCAGCACCGGCGAGAAGGAAGCGAAAAAGAGGAGACAGGAGAAAGCAAAATACACAATCTTTTCAGAAAGGCGACGAGGTGGCCCGAGTCAACCGGCCCCTCGTCTAATGCTTGCGGCTTCCCTCGCCCTTGCCAAAGCAGCCACCGAGACCCTGGCGGGAACCCGCACGCTCATGCACCCCTTCGACGTCGCTCGCATCCTCGACGACAACATCATCGTGGTGCATAATGAAGTCGGGTTGGCTGTGGGCGTCGTCACCGTCCTCATCGTCATCGTCATCATGGTCACTAACCAGGCCCGGGTTGGAATCGACAGTGTGCGGGCTAAGCTCGACCGGCGAACGGGGCAGGTGATGACCGGTGTGTTGAAGCGCAGACGGCAATGACAGCGGAAGACGCGGAGGACCGTTGGTTTGTCCCTTTTGGCTGACGGGACGTCCTGCCGCGGCTTTGCTCGCAGGAGCAGCGCTGGGAGTGGCAACAGGCAGGCGCGCCAGATGAGTCGGCTTGGTGGCGATGGGCGTCTGTACAGCACTATCGATCAAGTCGTCATCCGAAGTTTCCATGGCGTCGAGGTCGATCCTGGACTTTGTGCTGTCGACCAATCCCTTCAAGTTGCCCGCGAAGCCACGTTGCTTGAGCAGATTGCTGAGGTGCGGCGTGGCGGGTGAATCAGCGAACGACTTTGCCGCCGCGGCGGAGACCTTGGGCTTCGCCTCGTCACGTGACTCCGACAAGTCCCGGTGGACGTCTTTGGCCAACTCGGCAGGATTGGTACGAATGAGCGGGTGCACGTTGCCAGGGGTCTGCAGAGCAGGAAACGCGACAGCCGGCGTGGTGACGACGGGAGTCGCAGCTGCTGCTGTTGCTGCTGCAGGCTCGGTGGCGATGACGGGTGCGCCGACCTGGTCGACGTCGACGGGAACACCGCAAGCGCAGGCCGCCTGATCGTGACTCTTGAAGACCTGGTTGTGCTTGATGCGGCAGTGGTTGAGGAAACCCTGGGTGTTTGAGAAGTTGCTGTGGCCACACTGGGCGCAGTACAGGCGGACCCACTGTCCATCCGTGGAGCGCTTGTGCAGCAAAGGGTCGACTTTGGGTGCGGGTGCTGGGTTTTCACCAAGAGCCTGAAGCTTCAACGTTCCAGTCGAAGTTCGCGACGTGCGCGCTTTGCCAGTTGAACCAAACTCGGCGAAGCTGCCACGCGTCGTGCGGCCTTCACCTGCACCACCAAAATAACCCTGCGCTTGCTGCGCAAGAGCGCGCTCCGAGACGGGTTCGAACTTGATGTCCGAAATCAACCACTTGGCGTAGTGCCGAGTGTAAGGACCGTCGGTGACGCCCCAAGGCGCGGCGAACTGAGGCTCCGTGTAGCCCGCGGGCGGTTGCATCGAAGGACCGACACCTCCGCTGACGTCGGCGGACAACCCCTCTGAGCCGGGAAATGGGATCAGGGCGCATCGCCTGAGCTGCTCCAAGGACACCTGACACTTGGCCAACTCTTGCTCAATCAGACGAAGCTCGTTGTGCTTGAGCAGGATTTCGTAGTTGATCTGAGCTTCGATGCTTTGCGCGAGGGCGGACATGTCCGTCTCGGTTGACGTTGCAGGCGCAGAGTCGCAAGTGGAAGATGACTTGGGCTTGGGCGCGGCTCCTCTTTTTGACGGATGGGCCTTGGGACGGGAATCCAGAGCGTCAGCGTCAGCTGCTTGAGAAGAGACGGGAGCTGTTGAGTTGGCAAGAAGGGGAGTCGACGAAGGGGTGCTGAGACCATTGTTGAGCGGGTTCACGTGATGCGATGTTGCGCTGGGCCTGACGTCTCCCGTGGCATCTTTCCACTTCTTCACCACATGGGCGTGCTGCGAGGCGACGGCGGGCTCTGGGCTGGCCGTCCTCTTGCGCTTGATCTGACTCACAAGGGGCGCCATGTCGACGGCAGGCATGCAGGCGGATTTTTGCTTGTGCAGGGCAGCCTTCTCCATGAAGCGGTCGGCGGGCGACTCGGTGCTCCATGGGAGACGGAACATGGACTGCATAGTGGTGGTGAAGAAGGGGTGGGAAGGCTAGTGCACGCAGCGGTCATCTGTCGCAGTCGCAGTCGGGCTCATTCACAGTCTGGCCGGGAGCTAGCGGGCTGCGGAATGACGTCGCAGACGGAGTTTAGTGCCAGGAGGGAGCGAGAGAGGAGTGGAGCAAACCAGCAAGCAGCGGCGACGGCGACGACGACGACGGCGGCGACGGAAGAAGGGAGCGCACGGTAATTAAAAAAAGGGTACTAAGGGTATAAAATAGGCAGCAAAGAAAGAAGGAAGAGAGAGAGAGAGCGTGGCAGAAGAAGAAGAAGAGAAGTAAGACGGGCCGGCAGGGTAGTTGGCGTCTTAGGCGGCGGTAGGTGGTAGGAGGTGGTGAGAAGAGGCGATGGTGTTGAGAGAGGGGGTGACGTGGAGGGAAAGAGGGATGATGATGGAGGAGGCTGAAGGCGAGCGAGCGAGCTTGGGCTGCAGCAACAAGTGGTGACAGGCAGGCAGCAGGCGGGCAGTTGGGCGAAGATCGGCCGGCAAGCACCCAAAGCAACTTGGATGGATGGACGGCTGGAGGGATGGCGCGGGACAGCGAACCAGAGCAGCAGCGCTGGCTGGGAATATATAGTACGTAGGTAGGTAGGTAGGGGAGGGAGACTACCAAGGTGAGGTGAGATGGTGTTGTTGTTGTTGTTGTTGTTGTTGAGGTGAAGGGAGAGGGAAGAGAGGAAAGAGAGGAAAGCGAAGGGAAGGGAAGGGAAGGGGGGAGGGAAAGGGAGGGAAAGAGCTTACAGGACAGGACTGGACCGGGGCAGGACGGGGCAGGAGCGATTGATAGAGAGAGACAGAGTGTGTGACTCTGAGAGGGTGTGTGCTGTTGAGATGAGGGAAAGAGCGGGCGGCGGGCGACGGGGCGATGAGCGATGGGGGGAAGGAAGGCGGCACACACACTGGGGGAAGAGGGAAGCTGCGACGGCCTGGTGGCCCTGGGACGCGCTAGGCCCGGGAGGGCAGGGCAGTGGGCAGGGAGGGGGCCTGGCCGGCCTATCAGACGGCGGGCTGGCCCCACCTGCGCTGAGCTATTTTGTCATTCTGGAAAGGCGAGGGAATGGCCCGAGTCAGCCAGTTTGCGACCTCCACCAGCGTCCGGCCTCGCCATCGTGATCCTCGCGGTAGTCTGCGCGTTGTCGCTATCGCTGCTGCTCTGCGTCTCTCGGCCTCTCTTCTTCTTCTCCTCTCCATCCGCCAAGTACGACCGCGTGAGTCGAGCAAGCAAGCAAACAAGTGGAAATCAAGTAGGACGACGGCCCGAGCAAACTCTATTGATTCCACTGTGCAAGGTCCGCATGCACGCAAGCAAATAAACAAACAAACAAACACCAAAACCGAAACCCGCCGCCGCCGCACTCCCCGTCTGACCAGCAACACATTCATTCACTCATGCACTCATCCATTCAATCCAAACTCACACCTACAACCTCCATGCCGCTACTGCAACTCTAACCCTGCCGCGTCCGCATCCCATTTGACATACTTATACCTCCAGCACAGCATTGAAACCCTCTCTCAAACACTTGCATGTCATGCCAGCCTTGACACGCTGTCGTGGGGGAAAGGATGATCCCCCTATTCCAATATCCACATGCTATACATAACCGCAGCATCTAACAGTATGATCCACGCCGTGTGCCGCCGCATCAGGCGCGGACCAGCACCCGCTTGGCTGGCTGCACGACACCTGTGCCTACGCATGTACCGTGTAGATGAGGCATAGGTACCCTGTGCATGTCTTCCCGGCTGCTCGGCTCACCGTCCGGTCGCAGTGTCCCGCTCCCTTTGCTGAAACATGGCCACTCGTCTGCACTGGCTCACCACCACCCTCTCTGCCATCCCTCAACACCATTATCCAGCTTGAGGCCATCGTGGCCTGTCTCTCTCTCTGTCTTTCTTTTTTTGAGCGTCACGTGATGCAGTCATCTCCCGTTGGGCTGCCAACATTCCGATGAACCTTCTCACCACGCCAAATTAAAATGAAGAGAACGCGACACTCACCCCTCCCCCTCTAATCCGCTCTTTCTTTTAACCCAACAAACAAACAAAAAAGAAGGCATGCAATCATTTGTATTCCCGTATCGCGCAAAAAAAGCGTCTCCAATAGCAATCCACAGCCTAGCCTAGCCTCTCCTCTCTCTCTCTCTCTCTCTGCGCAAAGAAGCAAGCAAAATCCCGCAAATTGCCGAACCACCTTGCATCTATAACCCCCACTCCCTTCTGCCTCGGAAACCACCGGAACCCCCCACCTCGCCCTCGTCCGGAAAAACAAATCCTCCGCAGCCTACACCTGTTATCTGTCTATGTATCTACACGAAACAAAAACTACAAGGCGTATGCCTTACTAATTAGCGGTGCCTGCGTTATCTTTCTTTTCTCTAGTAGTATGTATGTGCGGCGTGCCACGTATGGGTACACGTAACTACGGTCTAGCGATTTGTATAGTCTTGTGTATATGAACTAGATGCTTGACTAAGCTGCGTTTGGCTTGGGGACTAGGTGATTGGTTTAGTGCAGGGTAGAGTAGAGTAGAGTGACTTTTAGTAGGTAAGTGTGTGTTTTTATAATCTTGAAAACCTAATTAAACTGAATTGAATTGGATTAGATTGACACTAGGAACATGTTAAGAGTAGAGTAGTTCTTCCGTTTACGTCTACATCTCGCTCTCTGAGCGGACTGGCCTTGTATCTCTATTCCCAGCCGGCGACAACAACACCCCCAAACCATCACCACTACTACTCTCTTCCTCCTCCCTATTACTACAACTACCACTATCCCTCCTCCCCCGTCCAGTAGGCCCCCTAACCACCCTCAGCCCTTTCCTCCCTCCCCATGTTCGCGGGGTGCACATCCTTGCAACAAGACAACATGCGGAGAAACTATGCACAAAACAAGGAGACAAGAACCACAATCAACAAAGACGTTTGAGCAGTTTCCCTGTATCACATCATCTCATCTCATCTCATCTCGCAGGGCGGGAAGTGCGGGGGGGGAAAATGGACACGACGAGTAAAGTAATGGATTAGCATTAGAGATGAAACAAAAAAGAACAGCCGATGCAAAGGAAAGATCGCGAAGGATCGTTTCAATGACAATGATTGACGATGTGTATGAGAAGTGATGACCAGCAATAGATAAGGGATCAGATCATCAGCAGCAAAGGCGAAACAAAACAAAAAAAAAAGTCTTGATGACATGGCCTTCTGCACGTCCATGACTCCCTAACCAAGAGAAAAGAAGCCAGACGCCAGAAGCCAACTCACCGGCTTCGCAATAGCCGTTGGAGGTGACTGTGAACTGTGAATGTGTGATGGTGGTGCGACCACGGCGCGCGTGTCGGAGGCTGAGATTGCTGGCCAGGTCCTCGGGTTCGCCTCGCTCGCTCACGCCACGCTTCCCGTGTCACTCCACCTCACTCCATCTGCCATGGCACCACCACAAGGCAAGGGACGCCGAATGCGGCTGGAGCCTAGAATACATATTGCTCTTTCGATGCGAGAGTTTGTGTTGTACGACTATATGAACTACGACTGTCTGCCGTTTCGCAGATATTTATAAATACGTTTATTTCTGCTCGCATTCGTTGGATTGATTGTATGGGAGGGGATAGATTCGCGGATCCGAATATCCGTCTACCACATGTAAAAGGCGGAAAGAGGAAAGGAGAAAAACAGGACTATCCACCAAGGCCATTCACGGACGATCTAATTGACTCATTTCTGCATAATATTGAACGAGGCGGAAACAAGAAAAAAACTAACAAGCGCTTCAACTGGAGAAAGAAGCCAGTCAGTCCCTAAGACCCGCCAAAAGAATAAATCTACAAAGACCGATTCCCGGCACGAAAGAAAAGCGAAATAAAACATACACACCCGAGGAGAGAAAGAAAAAGAAAAGAGGGGAGAAAAAAAAAAGAATCAAGCAAAACAATGGCACCACTCCACCGCCAAACCCCTCCAAAACACATCGACCGCCGCGACCTCTACACAAACCTAGAAGCACGCATCCAATACCTACACTCCTTCCTAGACTTCAGCACGCGTACATCCCCCCCTTTCCCCCTTTCCCCCTTTCCCCTATCCCTTCCTCTCTTATTCTAACCCTCCTCTCCATCTAGGCGACATCGAAGCCCTAACCTCGGGCGCAAAATACATCCGCGCGCTCATCCCAGCCATCGTAAACATCGTCTACAAAAAGCTCCTCCAATACGACATCACAGCGCGAGCCTTTACCACGCGATCGACATCGTACTCAGGCCCAGTCGATCAAGAAGAAGAGATGAATGAATCGTCGCCGCAGATTCTGCATCGCAAAGGGTTTTTGAGGGGGTATTTGGTGAAACTGTGTAGTGATCCTTCGAAGATGGAGTTTTGGGAGTAGTATGTTCTCACCCTCCCTTTTCCCCTTTTTTATTACTTTCTTGAGTTGGGTTTGGAGAGGAAGATTTTGTGGTATGGGTGGGAGATGGCTAATAACAAGAGCGGAGTTATATTTTAGATAAAGTCGGCATGATGCATGTTAATCGCGACGAATCGCAACACTCCCTCCACATCGAATACATCCACATCTCCGCCACCCTCTCTCTCATCCAAGATATACTCACCTCGGCAATCCTCTCGCACCCGCGTCTAACCATGGATCGTAAGATCGCCCTCTTAAAGGCGTTGTCGAAGATATTGTGGATCCAGAACGATTTATTCGCGAAATGGTATGTGCGGGATGGCGACGAGTATGAGGGGGAGAGGTTGGTGCCGGAGGTTGAGGCCGAGGGGTGGTTGCATGGGAAGGAGGTAGTAAGGGGGGAAGAAGAGGTGGGAGGAGGGGATGATGGGGAGGAGGAGGAGCAGATTGAGGAGCGGGGTGGGAGGTGTCCGTTTAAGGATGTGGAGGTTGGCGGTGCGAAGTTTGTCTGAGAAGAGATGGATGGCGTGGTGCGGGGTGAAGGCATGTAGTTTCTTGCGTGGGTTTTATCGGGAATCGAGTTGCGATTGTTGGTAGAACCAAGTGCCCAGCTCCCGGCAGTTTTCTCGTCTTATCAAAGTGTATGCACTTCAACCGTTCGGGCTCTTAGGAGAGAGGAAAGACTACTTCCTGAGGACCGAGCCGGACGCGATCGGGTGTGTATGTCAACACGTGGTCTATATGTGGATACATAGTACTCACGTTCACTTGACCATCATACGCCAAGTTTCCATAGATCTATGCAAGTCAATTCTCTACTTTCACGTGGGAGTGGATCGCCTGGCATGTTGCGTTGAAATCATATGTGCAAGTCGCTATAAATATGTTCATGTATGCGTCTCTGTACAAGGTAATTGGAGGATCTAATCAAGTTCAATCAGCTACAGAATGAGATGCACTTCGCACTTGACAGTTTTGACAGATTGTGGATCCTGTGTTAACAATCCAGGGGAACGGTACTGGACTGCGATCCCGGGCTCCCTGGTCGCTTTTCTCCAACTTTACTGACTCCATGGTTTGTACACGATCGTAGTGCCGCTTTGGCCTGAGACGCATCTTATAGTTCTTCGTCAGAAGATTCCATATGACCTGCGTGTGCATTCACAGCCTTATCCATCACTAAATTCGCATAGACACCACGAGGCATATACAAAACTTGGAATTGGAAGATAACGATAACAACATCGAAGCAGCCCCAGCACCCCCCCCAACTAACCATGGTATATACAAGCACTCTACAGTAACATTTCATCTACCCCAAGATAGTCTGCGGCGCAACACTCTCCAGCGTCGGCACCACAGTCCGCATCAACCCCGTCTCGGCGTCGAAAAACATCTTATCAATCGTCGTCTCGCGGTTCGTGCCACCACCTCCAGGAATCTTAAACCGGTGATACGCAATGTACCAATCATCAGTACCCGGTACATTCACGATCGAACTATGACCCGTACCCAAGATCCCCAGCGAAGCATCCTTCTGCAGCACCACGCCACGATACGTCCATGGTCCATCCACTGCCGTCGCGGTCGCGTATCCGACGCGGTAGTCCTCCGATCCCGTGTCGTCGATCGAGTACGTGAGATGGTAGAGGCCGTCGCGGTAGTTGACGAAGACGCCCTCGCGGAAATCCGTCAGGCCCGCGATACTGCGGATCGAACCGGGGACGAGCGCCGTCATGCTATCGTCGAGCTCGGCGTAGAGCGCCGGCGTCCCGTTTCCCCAGAACAGATAGTATTTCCCGGTGACGGGGTCGCGGAACGTCGCGGGGTCGATGGCCTGGCCGGTCGTCTCGCTCTCGTTGTTGAGGATCATGGCGGTGGGTTGCGCGGTGAAGGGGCCTGTTGGCGACGCCGCGACTGCTACGCCGATGGTCTTGCGGTTGTACGTCGGGTTGTGCCCGCTGAAGTAGAAGTAGTATTTCCCGCCGCGTTCGATGATGGTTGGTGCCCATGCGTTGCCGACTGCCCAGGGCACGTTGCCGGCTGTGCCGTTGAGGGTGAGGATCGGCTCCGTTGAGCGTGTCCAGCTCACTAGGTCTGGGGACTGCCATACGTAGAAGACTTGGCCGCCCCATCCTGGGAAGCCGTCTGTTGTGGCGTAGATGTAGTAGGTGTTGTCGAATATGGCAATGTTGGGGTCCGCGTAGAGTCCTGGGAGGACAGGGCTATCGCGAGCGACGAGGGAGGCTTCCTTTGTTTGTTTTCGTTTGGTTTTAGGTGAAGCTCTAGCTAGGGTGTTGAGGTTGGCGAGTTCTTGCGCAGTTACCGGAATCACGGTGCCGTGGCGTGGGCTAGATGGTAACTGATATGAACCGGATACTTGCCAGTTGGGGTTTGCAATGTCCGTTGTCTCAAGCGGGATGTACCCACGGCCGCCGTATTCGTCGACAAACAGATAGTACTTCTCGCCATTGACATCGCCTGGGTTGGATTTGAAAGCAGTGGGTCCTTCGACCGCCGATGTTCCCGCGCGGTTGCCAATGCAGGCGGTGACTTGGGTCCAGCTAGAGAGAGGTGAACGGAGCGAATCCGACCTCTCTTGAATTATGTCGGCGCAACCTGTTCCAGACGCACCTTCGTCTTTTGTGAACCGATAGAAAGTGGCTCCGTCTTCCAAGACTGTGGAGTCAATCCGTGACATTCCTGCATCCTGCCATACCGATGTCTCGCTGAATGTGACAAAGTCGCGCGTCGTAGCGAAAAGCATGCGGTGATATGTCGATCCGGTATGATTGGGGTCATTCTCGGCATAGATGGAAGAAGCCCAGTACACAACGTATTCTCCAATAGAAGGATCATAGTGTGCTTCGGGGGCCCATGTGTTTCCAGCAGTAGGCGGCGATACTTGAACATGTCGTTGCGCCGACCAGTTGATCAGGTCGGTGGATTCCCATACCTCCAGGTAAAGACTTCCAATGCGTACGGCATCGCCCCATGATGTTCCCGAACCGATTGATAGATCGGTAGCGATCAGGAAGAACTTGTCGCCCTCATTGGATCGGATGATGAAAGGATCGCGCAGTCCTCTGGTACCGAGGGTCGATGATAGAACAGGCTGTCCACCATTCAGCTCCTTCCAGCTCAACGCGTTGTTACCGTTACTGGCTGCGAAATAGATCTTCTCTCCCTCGATACTGTTTCCGGTGAAGTATGCGAACGCGTATCCAGCGAATGGGTCAATTGCAGCTTGTCGTCGTACTTTGGCACTGAACGTTCGCTTGGTGGCGAGTCCGTCAACATCGATCGTTGCAACGAGATCGACCGTTGCTTCAGTGCTTTGCCGTTTGACGATACCACTGTGAGATATCACGGACGGCGAGTCGCTGGACCATGTCACGTTCAGCCCGTTCCATGATTTTGGTAGGTGGAGATTGCCGCGGACGTCGTCAATGTTGGTTACGCTGATGCTGTCGATAGCCCGACGCGCATGCGCAACGGCGAGAGGACTAGGAGCCGCGAAAGCAGTGGAAGCCCACTGCAAGCCCAAAGAGAGCAGAGCAGGAGTCAAACGCATGATGAACGGCGCACTCTTGTGATCGCCATGAACTGCCCCTCGCCCGAATCATATATACACACACCATCGGCACATCAACGACCGAGGAAGAGCGACGTCAAGACCAAGTCACCTGCTCTATACACGCCTTGCTATTTTTTTTCTTTCCCATTTTTCGCCCTCTCATTCGGTGCAATTACTTACCTGAGCACACTCAATACCAAGCACCATGCCCCATCCATCTCCGCACCTTGCTACCCCACTCTTCGGCCCCGGTTCTCGCAAAACCAAGATATTGGGGAAACCTGGGGAAATACATCCACGAGTTACATGATTGCATTTCGCGATCGCATAGTCGTCAATGACGCAACTGGGTCCGGGGTAGCTGATGCGAATGATCTACTTGCGGGGGCTGTGTTCGTTAGACAGGGCGCTAGGGACCAATTTGTTGCGTGCGGGCCGTTTATATTAACCGTGTAGTCCATTTCACTTCATCCAGAACAAGAAGGTGAAAGCTTTCTTCGACCATGTGAAGAAATAAAGTAGAACTACCTAGGCTGAATCTGTGAATAGTTTCTGACGAAGGAGTTGTTTACTAAGGTACGGCCGAGAGTAGTCAGGCACGACTGACAGGTTCTGGATATCCTCCGGTTCACCCCTGGATTTTGGTACCTCGTGATCTGGTTGGCATTATTTTCAAGTCGGAGAAAAGTATCGAATTGAGATCAAGTTTAATGCGGCATGACGATTCGTTTTGTCATTTTGCGTGGGGCGCAATGGAATGTCGCGTGGCAGACCGTGGTGAAGGGGACAAAAGGCAGTTTAGCCGCTGGCAAAGGCTCGCACCAGCAGCGGCGAATAAACAAAGATGCGTCTGGTGTGAATGAGGAGAGTTTGGTAGCAAGTTCTCGTTAAGGTAGTCAGTCCTTCACATTTAAGGAGTCTCGGCTCAGATCCCTCTACTGCTACTCTAATAGGAACCTATGCCCACGCCGTTAGACCATCTCTTCACTAAAACCCTGATACTTCCAACAAGGCATCACGATACTATTTATTGGATCGAAAATTTGGAATTCCCTGGGAATACTATATGCTATTATTACTTCTACCTCGTTCCAGCCTGATCGATTGGAATTCGAACATGCAGGCCATCCCATTGTTATGCTATTATTAAATTGAAACCCTTTGCAAAGAAACTAGTACCGGTCCTCTTTCGAAAGGGAAGACACAATGCTTAAAGCTAGGATCCTTCCAATGGATATGTCTAGCTAGCAGGAGGGTTCGCATAGGGGTAGACCCTAATGGGAGTCTTGATAGGAGGTGCGGGGGCCAAAGGAATGGGGACTTCGAAACCCTTCGGAGGATGAAAGTTGTCCGGTAGCTCGATGATGTCTCTGTAGTAATCTGGAAGACAGTATATCCTGTTTCTGCCCCTGTTACCTTCTTTCCTGCCTTCGCGATTCCGGCCTGGACCCTTCTTTGATTCCACATGTTCTAGACTCATATCTGCTGAATTGCCGTTGTAACCTTCGTCGGCTCCGTCACGATACTCTTGGTTGTAGTACTCTTCACTGTATGAATCCTCGTCGTACTCTTGATTGTAGTACTCCTCTTTGTAATAGTGTTCTTCGTACTCTTGATTGTAGTATTCTTCTTTGTAATACTTTTCGTCGTACTCCTGATTGTAGTATTCTTCTGTGTAAGACTCGTCATCGTCGTCCTGGTTATCATCGCTGGTGCTATCGCGACAGTTGTTTCCCCATTTGGCCTTGATAGCAGGCAAGATGGTTCGACCATTGTGTACCAGATCAACATTCGGTGCTACGTAGGTGTGAGTAGTGTCGTTAGCACTGCTGAATACTCCTCCGTAGGATTGATTCCAGTAGTAGCTTTCGAAACTTCCGCCGGCAATAGTGTCGTCCCATTGCCTGATTTTGTCTCCGGTGAGCCTGCCAACCACATCCCAGACGTTGGCTCCGACGTCCCAGCGGCCCAGATGATGTAGCTTCCAGTTTGCCTCAACAGTGGAGATGTCGGAGTAATGGTTGTAATATGCGCTATCGTTGGTGCCGACAAAACTTTGAGGGATCGCGGAGCCTAGCAAGATGCCGGCGACGTGGTTGCGAGCCGTGGGCTCTTGACCGTTGGCTTGCCATGTGATGTAGATCAGAGCGTTATCGTTGAAATACGAGTTATTGAGCAGAGGTTCAACAAAGGAACGAGTCCAGTTGCAGGAGACTGAGATGTTGGTATCGTGACCGTCGTTGTAAAGATTGGGTGTTACAAAACTCCACTGCGGGAGAAGCTCGTCTTCTAGGTCTTGATAGAATCTGATGAAGTGTTTAGCAATGTGAGCATCAATACCAAGAAGCCGCGAATAAGGAAAACTTACAGTGTGAGATTCTTGACCCTCGATATGCGATGAGGATTGAGCCTGATGGAATCAAATCGAGCCAGAAGATTGTGCTTCCTCTCATAGTTGCCTTCAATAGGGTTCGAGTATGCAAACTAATAGTATTAGCCATCCATGAGTTACACTTCTCATAAGTTATCACTTACACCTTCAAATCCGGTATACGGCAAACCTTCATTGTAATCACTCCAGCTGATCTTTTTGTCTTCCAGCAGATCAATGACCGTAGAAACATTCTTGTCGACAAGAATGAAGCTGTCGCTATTCAACCCAAAAGTATCCCCGCTGCCCGGGGCGATGTAGTTAGGCTGGCTAGGAGCGCCAACTCCGTACGTGTTTGTGTGCAGGATCCCCTTCTCGATAAGAGCTTGGCAATCGGCTTGAAAACAGTCAGCACTGATAGTTGCATGGGGACTCTGAAAAGTGGTAGTGCATCAGATAAAAGAACTTACGGTCAGCAATAGCATTCTCATACGCAGTAGTCTCAAGATAGATAGTCAGGAGCCGGTCGAAGGCCTGTCCCTTCACATTGGAGGTTGACGACTCTGTCAAAGCTGTGGCAGCAGCGGATGCTACATCAGCCGAGGCCGTTGAAGTATGCGTGACTGATGTTGATCTGCTGGACCTGGCTGCAGGGTCTGCAGCCACGGTGCCAGCTAGGGCCAGTGAAAGGAAGTGCAAATATCTAGACAACATCTTGAATAGCTGCTGGGTGAAATGTCGGATCTACAGTGAGAGCAGCTGTGAAGGAGGACACTTGTTGATAACTAAATAAATATTTTATAGATGGAAGGATTTCATCGCATGATGGCCACTTCAAGTCTTTACGGGGAAATCCATCCCCAATCGTGTGACTGTACCAGACACTTTTTCTTACTTTCAGGTACGTTGACTCTTACATTCACTCGATTGTAACAATGCATCTTTGTTGAGGTGATGAAATTCGCTTGGTTTAAGAATCCGTTTCTGGTGTGCCCCGCATCGAGCACCAGGAACACTGGAACAATCTGGAAGCGATGGAGCCATTCCTCCAGCTACCATGAACTTATCTGTTCACATGCACAGCGGGTAGTTGGTACCTACAGATGTTCAAACCAGTGTGTGTGTGGTCAAGAATGCCCTTCCGAGACCATTGGGCCATATTGTTGTTGCGAAATTTTGTGGTCGGCCCTTTTTACCTCAATGAATTTATAAAATTTCCGTTTCCAGGGTTCATTGATTCTCAACGTCTTGTTCACGAAAAGCTGGGGAAATAATGTTTATTGGTAATAAAGTAGTGACATCACAAGTGAACTTTCGCATCTACTGCGCTGAACAAGGCCACAATATCTAGCAAGGAATTGAGTGTGTCCTTCTGGACGATCTTTCCCATTGCTCCACAACCCCGCATCGATGGCTGGGTATTCATTTCTGGATGAGTTTCCAACCCACTGGAGTTGCAAGGTTGAGTCGGTTTCCGCCATTTTAGTGGGAAGAATGTAACGGTGCATTGTGATTCTTTGGATGGATTGAAGACCAGATCCCAAATCACCGATTCATTTGGACACCTAGAATACTCCACCAGTTCTTTTTCTTTTACCAAACCGCTCAAAGTGCGCCATATTCTGTCGCGCCCGGAGTTAAGGCTCTCCCAATACCATGGTTTGGGAGTTCGGGTACCTTTTCGGACCTCCGCCGATGATTCGGATTGGAATGAGTAAGTAGACTTCCGTCAACCCGATCGCAACCACTCGCTGAGATTTTGTTTGAGATTTTTCTGCTGCCAGCTATAATGGTACAATTTTAATGAAACGATGTGTATTGCGACATGAATCACATCACGTGTTTTGAGATTTCGGACGACACCTGCTCGGGCACATATGTTTTTAGACAAAATCAGAACGGATCTTGACTTATGTAGCATCAGTGAACCAATCAAGTCTTACGTGCATCCCATGCGTTCCAGAAGTAGCGTCTACTTGCCCTCCCCCCAGACCCACTGTTGCATAACGTAATTCAATTATGGAACTATCATTCTGCTCTTTTGATGGGTCGTGATGCTTTACCTTATACCCGGCCTTTTTGAACACCGTTTCTGTCATGGTATACATTCAAGCTAGTATTCAATAAACAAAGGCAAGCTTACGTAAAACCTCAGATAACTTACTAGTCACGTGATTCACTCAGCTGCGTGTAGCCCTGGAGTATTCTGACCAATCCCTCAAAGTAAGCTGTCGATTGCTGTCAAGTCTCTGAATACATGAGATGAACGCGCTTATAACTCACAGCCCTGCATTACGCGGTAAGATTTCACTAGAGGCAAACACCATCTTAGGTGCTATCAAATGATTGTTGTACCCAGAGTTAAGACCAACGAAAAATTGGACATTTATTGAGGGGTATCTAAGTATACCAACTGATACTGTCTGCCAGGCGTTCAACAGTATCAAACGAAGCGTATCGCTCGATTTTTTCCAATCTATTCGCACCTTCAATGAACTCCATGAACCAACGATTACATGTCGCACCCAACTTCCCAGAGATCACTCAAAGTGACCAGTAATAAGGATAGCCGACAATTTCCAAAGCGACTGCGGTACAAAAACCTCGATTCAGCATGCAACCGTCAAGTATAGATCCGGTTTAACAATGTAATCTAGGAAGTGTTCCCGCCAGCAATTTTCTCTTTGGGGGGTGTTGCTGGGCCGCAGCGTCGGCCAATCAACGGTGATAATTAGATCCCTCGGCTTCCAAGGGGTTGCGACGCAATAATACCAATCCATCGCATGTGAATTGCTCTAATCCACTCCGATTTGCCATGATTCATCAATTTATTTCCGCACTTGCAGCCATGATCTTCAGTTGGATCCGGCACGCTGTGAGCACCGGTGCGCCCTCTGAGATCAGAAGCCTCGCCATAATACTAATCGTACATTGAATCTTGACAAATGAAAGTTCTATCTGACTATATAGAAAAAGGATATAGAGCGCGGTAGCACTCCAAAAACACAATCAAATCTTCAATCCATCTTTTGCGCCTGCGGTATCTTGTGCACCCACGGATACTTCCCCCGCACAGTTTCCTCGCCGGCAATGAAGTCGAACACGGGCGTCAACACTGTTTTGCTTGCAGCCCAGTGCAAGAAAAGCCTCAGCACGACATCAACAGAGAGCACGTACAGATCTATAAACTTAGCTAATGGCGTGCCCCAGCTTGCATTGTTGGTGGCGCGCGAGGAAAGATTGCAGCCAAGCGTCACGGTATCGAACCGAGCGTTCTGATACTCGCGGAAAGCAGCAGCCAGGTCACTCTCGGGGATATTTGATGTGGTGACAATGCTGCCGTCACTGGTAGGAGTACCGACCGAGGCCGAAGAGAAGAGCTTGTGTAGTTTGTTGACCAGAACGACAACATCTACGATGCCATTGTTGCAGCCCGCGCCCGTGGAAGGCGTGAATTTGTGTGCAGCGTCACCGACTAGGACAACCCGCCCGCCACGGCTCCAGTTCTCGACGACGCCCTCCTCAAGGTTTATGAACCCCTTCTGGATGTTGTGCGAGTAGGCCTCGCCCAGAGTCAGGACTTTGATGCCCTCGCGGTTCTGGTAGTTAGGGTTGTCGTTCAGTGGGAGATGGCCCCATTTAGCGACGAAGGCGGCCTCGTCCTCGTCCGAGTAGCGCCGAGGCGGGCGGTTCGTGGGCTGTGGCAGCCGCTCGTAGACAGCGACAACAGCGGAATCCTCGTTGGCGAAGTATTGCGTTGTTGCTTGCGGGCCGTGTGCCTCGGTCATATCGCCCGGATTGATGCCCGGGAGCCTCGGGAAACGCATCCAGAAGCAGCGGTATGTAGTAAGGTAGGACAGATCTTTGTCTTGTTGCTGTTGCTGTTGCTGCTGCTCGCCGTCGTGCGTTTCCTTCTCACTGCCCATGATGGCCATGTGTTTTCGTACCGCACTATAAGCTCCGTCTGCACCGATAACAAGCGATCCTTTGTATGAAGTACCGTCTGTACACTCTACTATCACGCCGTCATCGGTATTTTCGAGGCTCGACACTTTCTTGCTGGGAAGAAGTTTTGACTGCGCCTCGGCGGGGAGGGCATCCAAGAGGACTTGCATGAGGTCCTGTCGAGGGATGACACGTGATGCACATCCATGGCTGGATATGATGTTAGGATATACAGGAGCTCAAACGTAAAATTCTCTCTGTGGAGAAATGACTTACTTCTCATGGAGATAGGAGAAGAGTTTGGCGTCTCCGATGCTTCTTCCCTGGTGGTTGAATCGCTTGACTATGGATAACGGGGAGCTGACCTTCTCGATGGCTGGCAGGACGCCGAATTGGCTCAGTGCTCGGAGACCTATTGGGGACATGACCAAGCTGGCGCCAGCGGCCATGACGATCGAGGGTCGGCTCTCTAGCAGGACGAAGTCGATGCCGGCCTTGGTAAGGGCGTGAGCGACCGTCATACCCACAGGCCCACCTCCAACTACCACAATTTTGGTTTCAGTAGCTACTGAAGCTGCCATTGTGAATGACGTTGTCAGAAAGTGAACGGCAATGATCTATCGTTGAGTTTTCCTCGCGTGCGCATGATTGAAGCCGTTTGAGGCTTTGTACTGGCTTTATACATTTACTTCAACATTGCGCGAATGGAAAGGGGTGGGCCCGAGTTATTGAATAGTGAACCTTTGACGAGTAGCATGCATTCATCTAGACCGAGGCAGTGGCACGCGTTAGTCATTGGATCTGAGGCTCTCTCGGTAGCAGATCCGAAAAGCAAAGCGTGGCCAAGACGGAACCGGGTTTGGCGTGTTGATGGCTCGCAGAATCGCTCAGTCAAATGAGTCCATCAAGCATACGGGGAAACCTCTTCAGGAATAGCAGCTAGCGCTAAAAGTATCAAGCTTTCTTGGCAGCCTGATACACCGAAGAACGACCGCTTCAAGCTTCGCTCTTCCTATTCTCAGAATCGCAGCGCACCGAAAGACATCGACTAAACTGAAGAGAAAAACATCACAGAGGGAATGGCAAGTTTCGCTATAAAGAGAAAGAAACTGGAAGCAAGAGTACTGCGATGGAGAGAATGTGTTGATCGAGAATTCGAACGAGGACTGAAAAAGCTGTCATCTGCGTTGTGAATCATATGGTCCTTCTATAAGAGGATACGACACCTCGGCCGAGAAGGCAAACACTCGCTTCCCAGGCAATTGCTAAGGGCTCTGCAAATTCTGTGCCCCTTGCCCAACGGAGCCAACAACAACACTATAGCAATAGAAAGGCTGAGGTGTTTCCAAATTGGGTATCAAGTAATTGTTGACTAGACTATCAGTTTGATTTTGGTGACCTTGGGGTTGGACTCCTGCACTTGGAATCGTGGTATGGAACGATCTTGCTGACACAAGATTATTTGAATAATGCAGTAGTAGGGCTTGAGAATTGTCGATTTACAGAATGGTTTAAATTGTTCAACTCCCATAAGGCAACAGTATCTTGACAAAGAATTGTGGTGGACAAAAATGAACTGTTCAATATTTAACATGGGAGATAGAAATAACAAATGGTTCTGACATACTATCCAGTGCTCACCCTCGTAAGCCTATGCGTGCAAGATACCATCAGGCTCGCAGTCCGCAATCTCATCTTCTCCAACAGCCTTTGAACACGGCACCGCCTTCTTCTGACAATCGTACTTTTCGCCTTCTTTCCCCTTGTTGATATCGTCCGGGTCCATTATCCTGAAACTTTTCTTCCCCTCGCCGTACTCCTTTGAGACGAATTTGCATTTGTCGGACCACCCTGTTCGAATAGATATTGAGCCGGTTTGTCCGTTACAGCAATACTCATCGTAGAAGAATTGAATGATGAGATCATTGTCCTCCTCTTTGGTCCAGTCCACAAGCATGGATTTGCCACCGATAGCTGGGTCGAGCTTCTGGCAACCGTCGCTGAGTTTGGGGTCGCGGATTATTAGATCGGCAACTTCGTCCGAGTCTTTGCATACGTCGTTGTCGTCTGGTAGTCCATTGAAAAATCTGAGATTGAAAGCAAGTGCCGTGGTTGAGAACAGAAGTAAGGCTGTGAGATGCATTCTTGCGTCGGTGTTTGAGGGCGGGAATTCGAGGTTCGTAGCCTCCCGAGTTTCGAAAAATATTGGAAAACGAATGAAAACTGGTGGAAAGCAGAGTTCGAGTGCGAGAATTGTTAATAGTTAACCACGAGTCTTGGAAGAGTGAGCCTACTGTTTTCTGTGCTAATCAGTACGGTTCCTATTAGTAGAACAGATATCAATACATTCACGCACATGGTCTGTCCTGAAATTGCATCAACGCCCCGTCCGTTGGACAGACATCCATTCCCATTGCCTGTTAGTTGTTATTCTCAGAAAAATCGACAATCAATCTGGTTTGTCCGTGCGCGGTTGCTAATTGTGGGCTCTTGCGCATCTGTGCCCGCACTTCGGATGGTCAAAGCTCGGGCGTAACCGCCCCATCTTGCTTACTACTTAGCTTTATAACTGATCTTGAAATTGGCTATGCATTAGTAGTAGTAAGACTTGGACTTACAAATTGATCATTTTTGAGCTGTAAGGCAACTTTTTAATTCTCACTGAGACAGGTGCAATGCCCAAAATAGAGCTCAGCGCCACGCAAATCACAGACGTGTATGCACGTGATCTAGGGATATCTGAACATATCATTTCCTCCGCGTGGTATTGTTCCAATTACATATCCATTCCCTTTGACGCGCCCTTTTTCTTTGGTGAATTGTTTCTTTCTTACAAAAATGAAAACTTTGATTCCTTCGTTGATTTTGGGAGCTGTCTCCCTTTGCTCGCTTCTCCCACAGTCTTTTGCAACTCCGAACAACGATGGCGTATTGGCTGAGCTGCGCATCGAAAAATCTACTACAGATGCAACGACCAGTGTCCTGGGTGCTGCAGTCCATAGGGACGGTGACATTTCCCCATCCCCGCTCAAGCGCGCTGAAGAAACAATCATTGCGAAAATTGAAGACCTCGTACGGGGAGACGACCTCATAGAGAAGAGACAGACAAATAAAAAGAACAAGACCAAGAAGACGAACAAAAAGAAGAAGAAGAAGGATTGCGCAGCGAAGAAAGGAAAATGCAAAAAGGACAACTATGCGAGAGACCCCGAAACGGGCAAGTGTAAAAAGTGCCCAGAGGGTCAAAAGGTTAACCCTGACGGTGATGGTTGCGAAGAAGATACGCAATCCGAGGACGAAAAGAAGAAGCAGGGCAAGTGTCCGGACGGCAAGGAACTAGACCCCGAAGCACCTGACCAGGTAAAGATCCTTGACTCACAGTTTCTCATTAACAGACTGACTTTGAGCAGGACGAACTTACAGAAAATCCCAAGTGCGTCGATAAGGAGAAGAATGATGAATGCCCGGAAGGACAAAGCAAGTCAACTAAGACGGCGAGCCAACCAAGCAAGTGTGCGCCTGATGATGAACGCAACAAGAAGTGCAAGGGCAAAGATACTTTCCCCTTCAAGAAAATCGGAGATGATGGAAAGATGAGCACTACCTGCCGGTCCACGCCAGAGAAAGAGAAATCCAAGTCTGAGAAGGTTTGGAAAGCCCAAGAGCCGATATCGAAGGGCGCCAATGAGAAACAAAGGAACGATCGCGATAAGTGAGTGTGGCCAAAAGTAGAAGATTAGACGTATCTAATCTACTGGCAGGAAACGTCGCATCCGAGCACGGCGAGGTGCTTGTCTGGCGCTTGGAGCTGTGACTTGGATGCCATCCGCAGACATCGATGAACTGACGGACGACATAATCTCTGGGATACAGGAGCCCGAAGCTGATTCTCCACTTCCAGACAAGGACCTTGAAGACCGTAAGTCGCACTTAAATCCGATTAAACTCTGCTGACCGAGTACTTACTCCAGATATGATTGAGATAAAGGAGAAACCTGCCCAAGTTGCAGCAGTTGTTGTTGAAAGGGACCTAGATTCTCGAGGCGGCCTAGGCAGTGCCTTCGGGCAGATTTTCAAATTCCTTTCTAAATTGTTCAAGAAAGGCGGTGGAAAAGCTGCGGGAGCCGCTGCGAACGCTGCTAAAGTATTCAGAGTTGCCGCTGCCCCTTCAAGGAACGGTGGCGGCCGTCAGATCAAGAATCTGCGCGACTCTAAGAGTGTTCAAACGTCGATGAAAGCAAGCGACAAAGCTATGAACGCGGGTAGAAGCTCTCAAGTCTACCAGAAACTCCTCAAGGCCCAGGACTGGCTCGATTGCGTGGCCATGGGCGCCTCTGCTGTTGCTGACGCGGCTTCCAAGCGCGAGGTGAAGGAATACAATCATGAATTTTCAGCCGAAGACGGGAAAAAATTCAATGTCAATATCAATCTCGATGCTCAAAAGGAGGATGTACATCCATCCCCTAATCCTGAAACGGGCATTCTGGTCGTAGGCGATATCAGCTTCGACGCCGAGACAGCAAAGATGAGTAAGTCTCAGAGCTCACAGACTAATCTTTTCCATTTTTAACTCCGTGCATAGGAATGGCGACATATCCCGATAGTTACAAGAGACACGACCGCATCCAATACGAACAGTGCCATTCTCTGGCTGGCACAGACCTCAACAACGCTCTGGTGAGGCTCCAGACATGGGGTGGCTGCTGTGCGTACTACGATGGTGAGCATTGCGAGAACAAAGCGAACTTCATCATGTATAATCGCGCAGACGAAAAGTTGAAAGATGGGGATTCAAAGGTCATCTCTTCCTTCTGGTGTACAGAGGACCCGAATTGTCATGGCGCACCCGGAGACTCCGAAACCAATCGGAAGCCATGCTCCAAGGCCGTAGGGGAGGAGGAAATTGCAGACTGCTACCCCGATGGCGTTCTACACGGGTAGGCTTATAAGTTTATAAGTATATAATTCTTTTCGAGTTCTTTCATTTTAAATCACTTCCATGTCTTGAACCTACACATGTATGCTACTATTCATGCCATTTGCTTTGCTTTTGAGCATCCTCTTGTTTGCTTTTATTTGGACGATTTAGATATTTCTTATCGTTCTCTATAGAACGCGGAGCTTCGTTTTTCCACTTGCCTAACATTCCGTCCGACTATCTTTCACTTTGCAACAATGCAATTTGCTCGTACGAATTGTGAGGCGCAGAACCGCAAGCTGCCAAATAGTCGGACCAAGCTTATATGCCCAATTGAGCGGTGATCATATATGGATTTGAATCTGTATATGGAGAGAGTCTGCGGCACAAAGGTCTATGAAAGACGAGTTTTTGACGTCTTATAGTTGCTTTTGCTGGCGAATATAATGGGTTAAAACGTTTCACATATGACCACAGGACCATGCAAGCAGATTTTCTTCTGCAACTTGCCCTCTGCATATAGAGAATTTTCAGAATCTTGTAATTTGTACAATCAATAGCAATGTTTTACTAAGCTAATAAGCAGTAATACTTAAAAGTAAAGAAATTAATACAGTGTGCGCTAAGAATTTAGTGTACTAAAGTACTAATTCTACTACTAAGCAGTTTCTCTTTCAATGTTATTATTGTACTAAAAAGCCCCTATTAGCTTTATAATCTTAAAACTAGAAATATATTATAACTTAATGTATTCCTGCACCTTAGTATAGTTTTTATATTTTTTCTATCTATTCTTTATTAATTACTCTTGCTAAAATAGGTCTGCCTAAACTTATACGTTAAAATTTATATATAGTAATATTTAATTCTTTATTTAGATAAAAGTAACAATTCTAGCATTACTATTTTATATCAACTATTAAAATTATTAGCATTTAAGATTAAAAACTTTATATCTATTTTTTATTACTTTTTAACAAGTTATATAAATATAATAATCTAACTTTATTAGTAAAAGTAAAGCTACTATAAGTAAAATAATGCGTAATATCTCCTTAAATATACTTTAATAATTTTATTACTATTAATAAAAATAAAAAATTTAAATTAATAAATACTATAGTAAACTTACTTATAAATAAATAAAATATAATAAAGCTAATAAGTTACTTTAAATAAGGCTATATAGCTTCTACTAGCTATCTATAAAATAAAAAAAGTATATTTAAAAGTATTAATAAATTTACGTATTTTTTTAACTATTTATATAATACTTTTTATTTTATATTAAGCTTTAAAAGTTTTTAAATAGTTAATAAAAAAATTTATATTACTTTTATTGTTAGTTAAATTATTCTAAGCAGCATTTTTTTCTTATATAAGTAGCTCTTTATATATGTTTTTGTTAGATATTATAGTAATTTATAGTAATAACTATTATAATAGAAATTAATAACTAATTACTTATATTTTTAAACTTTATAACTTTGCTATACCCCTCTTTTACTTTAAATAAAAAGCTAGTATATATAAGTACACACTTATTTATTATATAGCTATACTTTTACCTATAAATTATACTACTTATTTTAATATAATTTAGTTAAATTAGTAGAGTTTTTTTTAGCTTAATTAAGCTTTATTATAACTCTACTATAATTTGTAGTAATTTTTTACTTTTTATTTAATAACTATATAAATATTCAGAGATCAAATAAACTATAAAATATATACAAAAAAACTACAACTTTATAAATATAAAAAAAAAAGTTATATAATATATTTAAGCTTATAATAAGTGTAGAAAAAAACATAATATATATATAAAGTATAAAAAAATATAACTAATTTTAGTACTTATAGCACTATAAAAAAATATTACTATAAACTTTATAATAAATTTTTTTACATTATAAAACTTTGTTATAAAAATATAGTAAAATTTAATACTTATAATTATAAATAGATTTACTAAGTACGCACTTATAATTTTATTTTATAAAAACTACTTAGCTAAGTAGTTAAAATATATTATTTTAAATAAGTTAGTATAAAACTATAAAATACTAAAGATAACTATTAGTAATAAACATAAGCTCTTTATATCTAATTACTAAACAACACTAATAGTAATAATTAAAATAAAATAAAAGCTATTAATAGCTTACTATTTAAAAATAAATAAATAAATAAAATGTATAAATTAAACTATAATTATATACTTATAGCTATATAGTAACTAAAACTAAAATAACTAAATTTCTTTATTACTAATAGCACAGTTAGTATATAATAATAAGCTATTAAAATTAATAAGTAAAAAACTATACTTTATAAACTATAAAAGACATTTAAATCTTTTTAAAAGAATATTACTAATAATAAAAATATAAAAAGTATTAAAAAATATAGAATAGTATAAAAAAATATATAAAAAACTAAAAAAGAATATATAAAAAGCATAATAAAAATTAATTTTATTTATTAATAAAAAAAGAAAAATAGCACTTTAGCTAAAAAAAAAAGAATAAAGTATATTTATAAACAAAAAATCTTTAAATAAAACAACTAAGTAAAAAGTTAAATTATATTAAAGTTAGACTATTTTTAATTAATACTATTATTAGCTTAGTTAACTATTAACTCTAGCTTTTAAAAAATATAAAAATATAAAAATATAAAAATATAAAAATATAAAAATATAAAAATATATTTAGTATTTTATATATTACAACTAAAACTAGCAAGTTTTAAATTGCTACTATAATATACATTTTACTATAAAATAAAAAAAAATAATAAATATAAAGTTAAAATAATACTACACTATTAATTAGCTAATAATTAAAAAAAGTATTTAGTAAAATAGAAAAGATACTTATACTTAATAAATAGCTAAAAACTTAAAGCTTATTTTAAAGACTGCTACTAAAAGTAGCAATAGTATAAGTTAAAATAATAAATTTAAAAGCTTTTTAAAAATTATTAAGTAACTTTTTAAAAGTACTTTAAGTACTAAAAGCTAAAGTAAAGCTAAAACTATTAGTAAAAAAGTTTATAAATAATAGCTTTTATATTTTTAACTTTTTTAAAAAAAATTCTATAGTAATAGCTTTTTTTATATAATAATTAAAAAGATTTATTTATTACTATAATTACTTTTTACACGCTTGCGTAATGTAAAAGTTTTTTATAGCTTTTTTTTATATACGCATAGCTGCTTTTTACTTTTTTTATATTTTTTTATTTATATAATAAGCTTTTTTTTTAAAAAGCTAACTTTTTAAACTTAAACTTAGTAACTTCTATATTATAACGCTAGCTATAATAAATATATTTACTATATTTTTTAAAACGCATGTAGACTTTATAGACCTAGCTATATATTTTATATATTAAATATTTTTTAACTATAACTTTGCTAAAACATTAATTAAATTTAAATAAATAGTAATAATATTTAGTACTAGAAAGTTGTAGAAGTTTAAGTATAATAAAAAACTAAACTAAAAAAAAAGTAAAGCTTTATATTATTAAATAAGCTTTAAAAATAAAACTAAGCTAAAAAAAAAGTATTAAAATTATAATATAAATACTTTAAGTGTTAAAAATAAGCTTTTTATAATACTAATATTAGATATTACAGTAATACGTAGTAATAATAAAGTTAATAATTATATTTTTTATAATGTGTTCTAATAATTATGTGTATTGTTGCCTACCCCCTAGAGAAGAGAGATATTATCTAGTGTAGCTAATTCTTATGCTAAGCACTAAGTTTTTTCTAGTAGCTAGTCTAACTAAGTGTTACTTTAAAACTTTGTAATAGCTTATAGTAATTTATAGTGCTATATTTAACACACTTCTTTAGCTTAAAACCTTATTATAAGCTAGAAATACCTTTTGTATTAGTTTTAGCTGTAATTAAAACTAGTGCTACTTATTAGTAAGCAGCGCCTTTATAAGTCTATTTGCAATTATTTCTGTAGTAGGTAAATACTTAATAGTTATTACTTCTTTAGTGCGTTTTTGCTGTAACTAGTAGTTATAAATATCTATGTATTAAAGCTTTGTCTAAAGCTTTACAATATCTTTATTAACTAATTAAATTATCTAGATGTTGTTGCAGTAGATAGAGATTAATTTACTAAGTAAAATTATCTCTAGCTCTTAAATTAGGCGCAAGAGGTATATTGCCTCTTTAGCTACTTAAAAGAGCAACAACAGTTTAGCTTTAGTAGTTAATGTAGTAACTGTATTCTGCTTATTTACTCTCTATGCAATAAGCTTTTTAAAGAGCTTAATTATATAGCTTTATAAGCTTTTATAATTAATTATATTATCTGCAAATAATGCGTTGCTTAATACTTTAAAGCTTTTACTTCTACCTAGTTATAAAGCAAGATCCTTAGTTAATTAAAGAAATAGAAAAATCCTGTTAGCTAACTAGTAATATTCTAGTAATAGATTAACTAAAAAGCGTGCTAGTTAAAATACTGCAAATATAGTATTTAGGCGCGTTGTTATAGTAGTAAAAAGTAATAAGCTAACCTTACGCTAATACTTATTAATAGCTAATAGAGTAGTAAGCTTATTATAAGGTCTTAGCTTAATAGTTTCTATAAAAGTGTTGTAGCAAACGCTTTAGTTATCTATTAGCTTACTAATTTTCTCTAAGTATGCTAACTACAATAAATAAATAAATTACTTTTCTTAGTTGCAGGTAACTTCTACGCTAAAGAACTACTAAAAGTTTTTTCTACTAGTTATAGTATACTATTCTTAGAGTGCTTTTATAGTAGCTTTATAGTAATTTTTACTATAACAATTATAGGCAAAGATAATGTTATCTATATAGAAAAAAATAATTACTTTATTTTTTATTATGCAATACAGCTTGTGTTGTTAAATAAAAAGTAACAAATTACTGTAAACTATAGTAGAGTCACAATAAAGCTTAATTAAGCTAAGGGAACTCTGCTAATCTAACTAGATTATGTTAAAATAAGTAGTGCAATTTATA